TATATATATATATATATATATATATATATATATATATATATATATATATATATATATATATATGCCCTATTAGTAGGCCTAGCTATTGTCTATATAAAAATCTCAGCTTTGTGATTTTTGTCTTCCAATGTCTTTTTGTTTTACACTATAAGCGTAAAACCTCAACCTTTGAGTTGCCTGTCTAATTTTCAGAAACTGGTAAATTATTAATCATTAAAAAACTCATTATTATTGTTTTACTACCAGTTCCGTAAGTATGTGTACACTACTTGTTTTTCTTGGCATAGTCTCTGATATCGAAAAACAATACATTTTCGTGTTTTGTATCTGCAGACAATATTATATAAACGTGTTTTAAATAGTCTGTGCCTCTGTGGGTAGTTTGTAGAAAGGTCTGCATTGTTTACATTGCCTAACTATTACACATGCGCAGATATTGACATAAAATGTTTCCGGTTTTAGAGATTCCCAATCACTTATCGTTTTTCAACATTACACACTCATTACACCGACATAGTCTATGACTTAAACTCAGAATAACGAAAAATACGCATTTTTAATTCATAAACATAACAGAAAAATTGACATGTTTTTAAAAAGCACAGACTGTCAAATTTTAGCATTACTCTCCCAAAAACAGCCTCGTTTGAAAACTGACCTCTGCTTGGAGTGTGTTCCATAGAGACCAAACAAAGATGGCTGCTGGGATGGAGGACGTAAGTGTTGATGTCAAATGATTATTACCATTATATACAATCCTTGTGTTAACCGCAGTTTAAATTGATTCATTTCTTACATGCGTGGAATAATCATTTAAACCTAACATTTATCAAGTGTTTTATGTTTGAAATGATTGGAAACCATGAATTTTAATGAATGGCCGTGTTAAAAACTTTCGGTAGTGTATTATTATAATTTATAAACAACACAATTGCAATAAACAATTTAGGGACGTGAAATATAACAGTATGATACCAAATTGAAATCAAATTTGCATATTGCATTGAATTCTACAATGTTTTGTTTAATTAATTGTTATATAATATATATCCAAACCGTGTGTTGTTTCATTCTAAAATGCATACTGGGCACATTTCCACATTTTTGTATTGTAGATGGATCTTTTTACCCAGGAGCTAATGAAAGGTATTATGGACAAAGCAACAGATCACCATGATGAAGCAGCAAAGATAAAAACAGCAGTGAATGTCACAGAAAGTCGTAGTCAAACATCAATTACACTTGCTGAACAACTAGAAGAGAGGCTGAAAAAATTGGATACAGATCCTTTTGATGAAGACGAGGTATGTATACTTATGTTTTATATTACCAATTTTTCTTCACAGTTAATAATAATGGTATGAGTTATTGTGTTAATTTTTTAGTATATTTAATCAAATATTTGAGGTGCTTTGCAGCACATACTGTACTGTATATGTGGCCTAGTAGCTTATGTTTTTCATAAAGGATTTGAGCGTTGATATGTTGAGAATATAGTTCTTAAACATATCATCATATAGTGATGTAGTTTTAGTTGACATGATAGATTACATAAGAACATTTAATCTATCAATTTAAATTTATTGGTATATCTCATGACTAATTTTATTTCAGGCTGAACTACGTTTTCTGCACTCTAAGCCAACATGTTTTGTGTTGATTGGAAAACCAGGGGCAGGGAAAACAGCATTAGGTAGAAGATTGGCAGCAGAATGGAAATGTGAATTTGTGCATGGTAAGTTTTTATCTTTTCCATTTGCATAAATTAAAAATTTTTATATATAGATGTTTATACATAGATTTTCTCATGTTTATTGTCATGAAACAATATGTTTTTAAAAATGTTTGATGAAAAGCTTATAGTTTTGGTAGTTCTTTTTAGATATTAAAGTTACTGTTTTTATATTCCATGCAGCTACAGACATCATAATGCAAGCCATAGAAATGCAAACTGAAAGAGGAAATATAGTGTCTGAAATTTTACTGAGAGGAGAAGCAATACCAGAGGAGATTGTTGCCAAAATGATTGAAGAAAAAATCAATTCCATGGAAGTGGCACACCATGGTTTGTTATTAATTATTGATTAAAATTCCTTTGTGCAGAACAGAAATGCCCCATTGTGAGCCCTCCCTTCTTAAAAGGATTTATCAGATACACATGTTTATTTCTCTTTCAAATTATTTTCACATGCTTACAGGAGGTTACTTAGTAGTATATTGAAATGTTCTTACCATGTGCAAATTTCAGATAGCACAGCTTTTGCTATGAATTTGAAACTAAACTCAAACAAAAATATTTTATATGGGCTTTTGCACGTTTTATAAGTTAAGATTTCTTTAATACAGATCAAAATAAATATTAATAAATTTTACGAAGTCTCTAACTTATTTTTTGAAATTGAATTCTTCTTTACCTTTATTACTCATGTTTCAAGTACAATATGGTCATGCTCAACAGGTTTTCCTTTAAATTTCAGGGTATATTTTAGATGGGTTTCCATCTCTTTCGGAAGAATACATGAGTTTAAAGGATCAACTTGAATTGGTCAGAAACTGGAAAATGAAACCAGACTTTATTATCAACCTTAAAATGCCTGACAAAGATTTAGAGCGGAGACGTTTGGGTCAGCGTGTAGATCCTGTCACAGGGGAAATCTACACGCAGGAAATGTATGCCCCTGACAAACCAAAAGAGGTACAGTTCATTGATAAGGCTTCACTCTTTAACAATAAGAAGGAACTGTATATTTAAGTCCCATGCAAAATTCTGTGAAATAGAAGATGGTCATGGGTATTTTATTATTATTATATGAATATACATATTTTTGGTGACAACTTAGTCTGTGTTTATTTATTCAAATTGCTGTCTCTTTTGCAAGATCATTTTGATTGTGCCATTTTAAATATTTGCTGAAAAGAGAAAATGTGTGAATTAAATGAGCCAATTAATAATTGATGCCCACTGGAATCAACCATGGTTTAGAATGTTTTTTAAGTTAAAATAACAATCATGTCAACTTACAAAACATTAAAATATTAATATTAAAATAATTGCAGGAAAAGAAAGAAGAAGGCGAGGAAGAAGAAGAGGAGGAGGCAGAAGAGGAAGAGGAAGAAACAGCAGAAGGGGTAAGTATATATGCTCTGTTATTTGAATCTAGATTAAAATGTGGTCCCTTACACATTATTTCTGGATAAGTATGAAACATGTATGAGTAATATTATTATTAGAGATAACTTACTAGTTTAGAAAAAATATTTCTATATCCTTTTGCCAATATTGATGTATTTGTTTTAATGTCTTATGCATGGTTTCACAGCTAAACCAAATACTGGTAGACTTGTGTCCTGTTAAACATTTCTCAAATCATTTAAAAGCTTATGGAAGAATATTTGTATGTAAGTAAAAGAAGGCTGGAGCAGTTTGAACCAGAGTTCTGTGGTGGTCCACCCAGTGCATGTTTTTGAAATGGGGTTTTTGTTGGTTTGTTTTGGCAGCCTGTGTACTTTTGTACTTTCCCCCTTTTGCAATTGTAAACCAATACCATTTGTTGGATTTCACTGTTATAACTCATTGCTTGGTATGTCTTCTTTAGAGTATATTTCTCATCTGTTCAAATGTTGCATAAAATATTTGCATTCTTGCATGTTGTGCCCTTTTTTCTGATGTTGTGGCTTTCCCCCCTGAATTATTTAATGACATACCTGTATTTTGAATCAAATGTGTGAAATTATGCTTCCTCACACAGTTGTGAAGCAACTCATTCATGTAAATGCTGCATATTATATTGGCCATATTAAATTTTCAGAATTATAAAACTTGTCATGGGTCTGGTTAGAAATGGGCTTAATATAAATCAGTTGTGGACCCAGGGAGCACAGTGAACCACATGCTTCCTCCACTTCCCTCAGCTTCAGAGCTACTCACTTCACCTACTCTGAAAACAGAATAATGAGTCAAACAAGACACAGCTGGGCAATATACCATCCCTGTGGCCTATATATTACAAAAAAGTACTCATGTTCTTTTACTATTTACCAAGCAGTATCAATGTGCCCCCCTCCTTAGCAAAATCTTGGATCTTCCGGTGCTTATTTGTATGTGCAATTCTACCATAGAAATGCACCAACTTTTTTAAGGCTTGGATACTTATTGCTATGACATACTGATGTGGAATATAACTAACTGAATAAACTTTTGCCAGGGTGAGGAACATGCAGAGGAGCTGCCACCAGAGTTGATAGAGAGACTTATCAAGAGACCTGAAGACATGTCTCCTGCCGTGCAGGAAAATATAAAGAAATATAAGAGTAACATGCTCAGGATATTAGAGGTAAGTAGCTGTTTATGTGTAAAGAGTATCTTCAGGCTCCTGCCTTGTGTCTTTCAAGGAACAGACACTTTTACATTTGAAATATAAAATATTAGTTTGATTATTTGTTGTCCTATGTCATAAGTTCTAAAATATTAACATATGGTTTCACTTACAGCTTTATAACTTAAAGGTTTTGTGCAATTTCACTAACCCCAGTGCATTCCAAATTGACAGCATTGAATCAGTGTTGTTGTTTTATTTTTTTTTCTTTGCACTTTTCTATCATACAGTATAATGATTAGTGTCATTGCAGTTCAATTTAATTATTTCTTCCAGGATTACATGGCAGATCATGACCAACAAAATGTTATAGAACTAGACCCCAACCTCCCAGTCAATATGTTATTCAAACAGCTTATGATGAGGCTCCAGTGTTTCCCCATACGCCCTGCTGCTGTGCCTATACGCCTACAAGACAACGAGGAGGAGGAACTACCTGAGGACATGGAAACTGATGAACTGTTGAGAACATTGGCACCAAAACAGATGGTAGCACCAAGGTTCCGCTGGCGCCGTTCTCGCTGGTTGAGAAATTGTCCTGTGGCCCTCCATGATGGAAACATTGCTGCAGGGAAACCAGAATATGCTGTATCGTAGGTTTCATGATTTTATTCATTATTTTTTAACTTCAGATTTTTTGTTAATACTACCAGATCTACTTGTAGATTTATTTTCAAATTGTTCAACAACTGATGAAGATATCAGATTAACATATAAAGTGAAGAGGCCTTAAAGCTGTAACATAATAAAACTTTCAGTCAACATGATAAGATATAAAGTGCAACAGACAGAAAAGTATAGCAAAATGTGCATTTATTTGTAGTCTAGATGATTAAGTTGCCAAATTATATGCAACAACTTTTTTTCTTTTCTGCAGATTTCTTGACAAGATGTACCTGATGTCATCTTCTGATGCTATGGGGAAATTCCTGAAGAACCCCCGACCCTACCTGCTACCACCTCAGCCCAGACCACCTTGTAAATTCAGTGTAACAGGTCCTCCACTGTCTGGAAAAACAACAATGTGTAACTTACTAGCACAGAAATATGGCGCAAAGGTAAAGCAAATACTAAACTGCTTGTTTTTTATTCATTTTTTTTTAAATTTGATGAGAGGAAATTTTTCCATGATAAAGTAGGGAAATAATTGTATTAATTAATTTTGACACAGTTGGGAGAACCCATTTCTTAGTTGAAATTTTATAACTGCAGTAAATTAACTATTGTGTTTGAAATAAACAAATATTTTTGAAAAGGTTTTTAATGCACTATGTGGTCCTACATCAGGTCTTGAACATAGATGAGCTGATACAGCCAAAAATAGACGAGGAAAAGAAAAAGATTTTAGACCAGGCCAAAGAAGAGGCTCTAGAGAATGCTATATCTGTAGTCAGGAAAAAGCTACAAGATGCACAGGAAGCCTCTACTATCACAACAACAGCAGAAGAATCCAAAGATGAAAAAGAAGAAACAGGTAATTGGAAGTTTGCTTTTGAATATAACATTCGAAAATAATCCTCGGCGGTATGTAATGCTGAAATGTTACTGTTTTCTTATACTTCCTATATCTTTCAGTATGATTATCAAACATTTATATGAGTGAATGAAAATTTTCTGATTTTTGAAAAAAAAAATTGTTCACCAGTTTGAAAATCAAGTTTTTGTGTCTAATTGATTAATTGTTGCTAGCATTTCTGACAAATTAATTTGTTACAGCTGAAACCAAAAAAAAGTGGCATTGATTATTTAGTCACCAGTGATTATGTGTGACAGTGAATATTGAGAAGATTAACTGCAAGTTTACATTCCAAGTTTCAAATAAATTTCAGCTTCAGACAAAGGGGAAGACACTGTTGCTGAGGGAGAAGGAGAGAAGGGAGAAGAAGAAAAGGGAGAAGAAGGAGAAAAAGCTGAGGGTGAAGAGAAAAAGGAAGAAGAAGAGGGAGAAAAGAAAGAGGAAGAAGAAAAGAAAGATGAAGAGGAAAAGAAAGACGGTAATTACAGTTACACAAATTTACTTGTTTTTTTTTTATGTGTAATGTATTCTGTGAAGTAAATTTGCAGTAGAGTGGTTTTTTTCCATTAGTGTGTTGTTTATTTTGTATACATGTTGTATTTTTTCAATTCCACTTATGCCCAATTTTGTGAAATGTTATGAATTGAGTTTGTTGGGATGGTTTATTTTTGAGCGTGAATTTTTTAACCTTGCAGAAGGGGATATGGGTGATAAGGCTGATGACACAGGTAGACCGAGTGACAATAACTGGCACTTTGCAGTTTTGTTTTCTGCACTTTTTAAAATATATATGTTTGTTATTTGATTCTGTTCTACAGAAAAAAAAAAGATTTGTGTTTTTTAAGACACAGAAGTGATAAAAAAATACAAAATAGTTTCCCTTGACTTATTTTTTTATACTGATATGGTAGATGTTACCTGGTGTGTTACTGTTTGAGTACGTGTACTATAGTAACAGCCAGTAAAGTCAAAGAGTGAGTGTATATGAGCGTTTCTTGAATGCCAGTAAATAGCACAGTGTTGAGTGTACTTTGCACAAACAACCTTCTAAAAGTCTTTCCCATTTTGTGAAATGTTTAAAGCAAAAAGTTACATGTGGTCTTATAAATTATCTGACAAAACAATAGCCAATACCTTTAAAATTAATTGAACCTTCTTGAATTCCAGCATAGCCAGCCTGCCTTGATTGCCTCAGCTATACATGTGTAAGCAATAAGAATGACACTCATTCTACTCTCACAATATTTCAGACACAAACACAGAGGGTGGATTAACAGAACAGTTGCCCACTGAGCCAACACCCTCGGTCACTTCAAAGTCCAGCAAGACCCCTCTCCCTCCAATAGAGGTTGACGCCACTCACCCAGAGGTGGTAGAAATGGTGGAAGCAGCATTGAAGGAAGCAGAGAGCCAACCTATTGTGCTGAACCCAGAGGTCTATGTGGAAGTTATAGATGAGGCAATAAGAGAGACTGAGAGGGAGATGTATAAGAATGACCGTGATGGACCACAGTGAGTGTTACTAGTAATAGATTGTTTTACAAAAATATCTATCAAATAATGTTAAAAACTGTGTTACACCATTTTTTGCTGATTTTTTAAATAATGCTTCAAAATGTTACATTTGCAGATGTGTAGTAAATCAAACAAGTCTAAGTAAAATAGGCCTAATACTATGAAGACTATTGATGTCTTGCTATAAATTCATAAGTTGAAAGAAAAAGACTAAATAGTATTTTTAATTTTAGGTATGGTGGGTGGATTTTAGATAACTTTCCACGCTCCCGTGACCAGTGGATGGCCATGATTGACAAGAATATTCTCCCAGATGATGTCATAGCCTTGAAGGACAGCAGTGATAATGGGGACTTCCTCATCCGCAGGTGGTACAAGATGAACAAAGCTCAAGTAGACATGCAAATTGCAGAGAGAAAGGCCAAAGAAAGTGCAGAAAAAGCAAGACAGGCAGAGGAACAAAGGTAAATTAAAACTAAATGTGCATAAAGGGCTAAATTAATTTTTAATCTGAGATATTTAAGTATGCTACACGTATGTCACCCAGCAGTACAGATGTACTGTAATTTTTAATTTACATAAAGTATAAGAATTTTGGTTCCACAATATTGACATTACCATCTCCATCTCTTACTGCTTTAGCACACAAATTTTGCTGTTGCTTATTCAGTTTATTATTCAAACTTATTATATACCTCAATATGCCCTATAGAAAAGCAGTTGAACAAATGCCAGAGTCTCAAAAAAGGAAGTATAATAAGAGGTAACAATTGCATGCATACTTGAGGATTGCTTTCTTTTGAAGAAATAAAAAATTCAACTGAAATTTTTCATTGTGGATTGGGTTTATAAATTTACTTATTTGACTGAAATTAATTGATTTACTGGTTATTGCATGGTATTTTTTTGGATTTATTTAGTGTGAAATGGACCTTTGGTTTATGTTTATCCTTATGCGTTTTTGACTTTGTATAAAAAGCAACCAGATGTCACCAAAGACCTACCAGAATTGCTCGGTTTGCCTTATAGAATGAGATAATTCAAACATGTTCATCAAGATTTTATCATCAGTAATTATAACTGATGTATTAACATAAAAATAAATCAGTTGATATCAAAATAGGTTACTTAAACTTATATTCTTATTTAACTTCTTTGTTTACATTTTTTTTTTTTGAAAGGTAAATGTTTGTTTTGGTCCTGTTGTTGCCTACTATGTGGTGTGTGTTTCTCCTGACAAATTTCTGAGAATGATACTTAAAGACCTACTAGAAGTTCCTTGTTATATTTTTTTCTCTTTTTTGTGAATTTTTATAGGCGTAAGCTTGAAGAAGAGAAGCGTTTAGCTGAGGAGGAAGAAAGGAAACGTAAAGAAGAAGAGCGTAGGAAAAAGATCGAGGCTGGAGAAGAAATCCCAGAAGGTATATATATGTCACTTTGATATTTCTCAGAAAACTGGATAAACATTTGATCTTTCTTTTTTTTATCGCATCTGACATTATGTTCTGTACATATCTCTAATTTCACTACTGCATTTAACAGAAAAATAGGATTCCATGTAGTATAAAATTTAGTAGTATAATTTGACAGTAAGAGGCTTAAATGTCCATTTTTAAAAATTTTTTTACTGATTTGAATATAGAGTCGGAAACAGTAAATGAAACAGACACTGGTGAAATAGCTGGTGAGCCAGCTGAGACAGGTGAATCAGACAGACAGTCTGTTCAAGGTACCTCCTAGTATAGAGGCTAGAGGTCTTCCTATAGAATTAGATATCTGTTGTAGACCAGTCCTATAGGGCTAACATGTCTTTAGTATATAGTTTGTTAATACTGTATATTGTTTACACTTTTGATAAAATATATAGATCATATAACATAAGTAATAATTAACAAATTATTCTCTTATGGAGTTTGCGTTTTCCTTTAGCTGTAAACCATGCTAACTAGTCAGAAGAAACACCTTGTTATATAAGATTATGCACTATGTAGATTTTGCCTGTAATAAGGCTCAATCCCAATGAAACCATCATTCTACGTAGATCGATCCAACTCTGTGGGGACTCTTGCTGAATGCAATCATTAAAAGATAAACACGCCTCCTCTTGTTTCCAACTTGAGGAGGTAAAATCACCAGCTTTTTTGTATTCTGCTTAACTTCAGGAGGTGCGTTAATCTGATTACATTCAGTGAGAGTCTCCATGAAGTTGGATCGATCTGCAAAGAATGATAGTTTCATTGGGAATGAGCCCGTAGAAGCATACTAATAATATTAGTCCAGAGGCAGTTCACTTATATGTATTATCTGACTTTTCAATGATGCTGCAAACAACAGCATACTTACATATTGTGTGGAATATAAATAGATGTTGCAAATTATGCTACTGCTGTAAAAACCCTTCTCTGCTTCTGTGACCTACTAGTTTATTGTAGCCTTACCCACTGCACTTCAATTTAACTGTCTTGTGCATTCATGGCCTGATTTTAGGAGACTAACCTTATGCTTAGATGTAGATTATGTCTCATATGCACAAATGTATGCCTTTGCATATTTTAATATCTTTAATAGATTTTTTAATGCCCATTTAATGAATCTAGTCTTATGCATGTACTTAGAATAAAACTAGCGAATGTTGTAGTCTACCTAGAAGTATTAGGTATGTGTAATTGTTAATGCTTTGGGCTCATGAAATTACAGCTAAGTGCCAGGAAATGTTAGTTTGACCAAAAAAATAATAATAATTGGTTGTCATAATTTATCTTGGTTTGTAAAAAAAATTGTGTTTGGACAGTAAAAAAAGGCTTGAGTGAGCCCAAGATTATTAACATATACTTAGATGTAGTTGCAGTATTTTTGTGTGTACAGTAAAATATTCATTGCTCTTGCAAATAAGAATCATGTGATTGTAAGGCAATACACTTAAATGTCACACCTAGCTAACAGCATAAAAAACACCTGTCAGTTTTCCTTCCCCTGCAATGTTCGCTTAGTCCTGTAAAAATATGCATTGAAATCTGCACACTGAAGGCATTTTGATCCCACGTTTTTCCTTTACTAGTAGTTGTAATATTTGTTTGTTCTCTAATGTTCTGTTCATCATTCAGTTTATAATATTCTTTTTTTTTTCTTTTGTGAATGCATATATTTTATTTATCTTTTTTTTTCAAGATCCAAATCGATTTTATTTTAGTAATTTATTTTTCGGTACTTTTTTTATTTTTTATTTCTTAGATGCTATTTCAACTTTTTTAAAATATTCATTTAAGCATTTTGTTATTTTGTGTTTGTTTGATTAACAGAGGGAGAAAAAGTACCTGAAAGTGAAGGTCAGACTGAAAAGATTGAAGCTGGCGAAGGTCTGGAAAAAATTGAAGAAAGTCAGGAAAAAATTGAAGAGCCAGAAGAGAAAGAAGCTGAGAAGGAGGAGGCAGTAACTGAAAAAGCAGAAACTGTCCCTCCCACCCCCACTATTGATCAGTCTGCAGAAGGTACAGGCACCACCCCTGCCACTCTGCACTGCTATAGTTCCTCAGTGGCAGATCCAGGTTGTGTCACAGTGGATACTGGCCCCTTCTTAAGCTTTGAAGGTGCCCCCTTCCCCCACTTCCTCCTTAGCAAAATCCTGGATCTGCCAGTGTCCATGAAACCACTAGTTACGGAATAAAACCTTAGTAAAGTTAGCAAGACTTCATTGCCANTTTATGTGTAATGTATTCTGTGAAGTAAATTTGCAGTAGAGTGGGTTTTTTCCATTAGTGTGTTGTTTATTTTGTATACATGTTGTATTTTTTCAATTCCACTTATGCCCAATTTTGTGAAATGTTATGAATTGAGTTTGTTGGGATGGTTTATTTTTGAGCGTGAATTTTTTAACCTTGCAGAAGGGGATGTGGGTGATAAGGCTGATGACACAGGTAGACCGAGTGACAATAACTGGCACTTTGCAGTTTTGTTTTCTGCACTTTTTAAAATATATATGTTTGTTATTTGATTCTGTTCTACAGAAAAAAAAGATTTGTGCTTTTTAAGACACAGAAGTGATAAAAAAATACAAAATAGTTTCCCTTGACTTATTTTTTTATACTGATATGGTAGATGCTACCTGGTGTGTTACTGTTTGAGTACGTGTACTATAGTAACAGCCAGTAAAGTCAAAGAGTGAGTGTATATGAGCGTTTCTTGAATGCCAGTAAATAGCACAGTGTTGAGTGGACTTTGCACAAACAACCTTCTAAAAGTCTTTCCCATTTTGTGAAATTCTAAAGTGAAAAGTTGCATATGGTCTAATAAATTATCTGACAAAGCAATAGCCAATACCTTTAAAATGAATTTAACCTTTTTTAATTCCAGCATAGCCAGCCTGCCTTGATTGCTTCAGCTATACATGTGTAAGCAATAAGAATGACACTCATTCTACTCTGACAATATTTCAGACACAAACACAGAGGGTGGATTAACAGAACAGCTGCCCACTGAGCCAACACCCTCGGTCACTTCAAAGTCCAGCAAGACCCCTCTCCCTCCAATAGAGGTTGACGCCACTCACCCAGAGGTGGTAGAAATGGTGGAAGCAGCATTGAAGGAAGCAGAGAGCCAACCTATTGTGCTGAACCCAGAGGTCTATGTGGAAGTTATAGATGAGGCAATAAGAGAGACTGAGAGGGAGATGTACAAGAATGACCGTGATGGACCACAGTGAGTGTTACTAGTAACAGACTTGCTTTACAAACAATAATAAAAACTGTGTTACACCATTTTTTGCAGATTTTAAAATCCAAACAAGTTATATAAATATCTAAGTATAATAGGCATAATATTGTGAAGACTATTGATACAGTCTTGCTATAAATTCATAAATTGATAGAAAAAAACTAAATAGTATTTTTAATTTTAGGTATGGTGGGTGGATTTTAGATAACTTTCCACGCTCCCGTGACCAGTGGATGGCTATGATTGACAAGAATATTCTCCCAGATGATGTCATAGCCTTGAAGGACAGCAGTGACAATGGGGACTTCCTCATCCGCAGGTGGTACAAGATGAACAAAGCTCAAGTAGACATGCAAATTGCAGAGAGAAAGGCCAAAGAAAGTGCAGAAAAAGCAAGACAGGCAGAAGAACAAAGGTAAATTAAAACTAAGTGTGCATAAAGGGCTTAATGAATTCTTAATCTTAGATATTTAAGTATGCTACATGTATGTCACCCAGCAGTACAGATGTACATCTGACTCCTCAAAGCAGATTGTTTAAAGCATAAGAATTTCGGTTCCACAATATTGACATTACCATCCCCATCTCTTACTGCTTTAGCACACAAATTATGCTGTTGTTTATTCAGTTTATTATTCAAACTTATTATATACCTCAATATGCCCTATAGAAAAGCAGTTGAACAAATGCCAGAGTCTCAAAAAAGGAAGTATAATAAGAGGTAACAACTGCATGCATACTTGAGGATTGCCTTCTTTTGAAGAAATAAAGAATTCAACTGAGAATTTTTCATAGTGGATTGCATTTATAAATTAACTTATTTGATTGAAATTAATTGATTTACTGGTTATTGCATGGTATTTGTTTGAATTTATTTAGCGTGAAATGGACCTTTGGTTTATGTTTGTCCTTATGCATTTTTGACTTTGTATAAAAAGCAACCAGATGTCACCAAAGAATTACCAGACTCGCTTGGTTTGCCTTATAGAATGAGATAATTCATACATGTTCATCAAGATTTTATCATCAGTAATTCTAACTGATGTATTAACATAAAAATAAATCAGTTGATATCAAAATAGGTTACTTATATTCTTATTTAACTTCTTTGTTTACATTTTTTTTTGAAGGGTAAATGTTTGTTTTGGTCCTGTTGCTGCCTACTATGTGGTGTGTGTTTCTCCTGTCAAATTTCTCAAAATGACACTTAGAGACCTACTAGAAGTTCCTTGTTACATTTTTTCTCTTTTTTGCGAATTTTTATAGGCGTAAGCTTGAAGAAGAGAAGCGTTTAGCTGAGGAGGAAGAAAGGAAACGTAAAGAAGAAGAGCGTAGGAAAAAGATTGAGGCTGGAGAAGAAATCCCAGAAGGTATAAATATGTCACTTTGATATTTCTCAGAAAAACTGGATAAATATTTGATCATTCTTTTTTTTTCTATCGCGTCTGACATTACGTCCATACATATCTCTAATTTCACTACTGCATTTAACAGAAAAATAGGATTCCATGTACTATAAAATTTAGTATTATAATTTGACAATAAAAGGTTAAAATGTCCATATTTAAAATTTTCTTTACTGATTTGAATATAGAGTTGGAAACAGTTAATGAAACAGACACTGGTGAAATAGCTGGTGAGCCAGCTGAGACAGGTGAATCAGACAGACAGTCTGTTCAAGGTACCTCCTAGTATAGAGGCTAGAGGTCTTCCTATAGAATTAGATATCTGTTGTAGACCAGTCCTATAGGGCTAACATGTCTTTAGTATATAGTTTGTTAATACTGTATATTGTTTAGACTTTTGATAAAATATATAGATCATATAAAATAAGTAATAATTAACAAATTATTCTCTTATGGAGTTTGCGTTTTCCTTTTAGCTGTAAACCATGCTAACTAGTCAGAAGAAACACCTTGTTATATAAGATTATGCACTTTGTAGATTTTGCCTGTAATAAGGCTCAATCCCAATGAAACCATCATTCTACGTAGATTGATCCTCTGTGGGGACTCTTACTGAATGCAATCATTAACAGATAAACATGCCTCCTCTTGTTTCCAACTTACTTGTAAAATCACCAGCTTTTTTGTATTCTGCTTAACTCCAGGAGGTGCGTTAATCTGATTACATTCAGAGAGAGTTTCATTGGGAATGAGCCCGTAGAAGCATACTAATAATACTAGTCTGGAGGCAGTTCACTTATATGTATTATCTGACTTTTCAGTGATGCTGCAAACAACAGCATACTTACATATTGTGTGGAATATAAATAGATGTTGCAAATTATGCTACTGCTGTAAAAACCCTTCTCTGCTTCTGTGACCTACTAGTTTATTGTAGCCTTACCCACTGCACTTCAATTTAACTGTCTTATGCATCCATGGACTGATTTTAGGAGACTAACCTTTTGTTTAGAAGTAGATTATGTCTCATATGCACAAATGTATGCCTTTGCATATTTTAATAACTTTTAGAGATTTTCTTGTAATGCTCATTTAATGAATTTAGTCTTATGCATGTACTTAGAATAAAACTAGCGAATGTTGTAGTCTACCTAGAAGTATTAGGTATGTGTAATTGTTAATGCTCTGGGCTCATGAAATTACAGCTAAGTGCCAGGAAATGTTAATTTGACCAAAAAAATAATAATATAATAATAATTGGTTGTCATAATTTATCTTGGTTTGTAAAAAAAATTGTGTTTGGACAGTAAAAAAAGGCTTGAGTGAGCCCAAGATTATTAACATACTTAGATGTAGTTGCAGTATTTTTGTGTGTACAGTAAAATATTCATTGCTCTTGCAAATAAGAATCATGTGATTGTAAGGCAATACACCTAAATGTCACACCTAGCTAACAGCATATTAAACACCTGTCAGTTTTCCTTCCCCTGCAATGTTCGCTTAGTCCTGTAAAAATATGCATCGAAATCTGCACACTGAAGGCATTTTGATCCCACGTTTTTCCTTTACTAGTAGTTGTAATATTTGTTTGTTCTTTAATGTTCTGTTCATCATTCAGTTTATAATATTCTTTTTTTTCTTTTGTGAATGCATTTATTTTATTTATCTTTTTTTTTCAAGATCCAAATCGATTTTATTTTAGTAATTTATTTTTCGGTACTTTTTTATTTTTTATTTCTTAGATGCTATTTCAGCTTTTTTAAAATATTTATTTAAGCATTTTGTTATTTTGTGTTTGTTTGATTAACAGAGGGAGAAAAAGTACCTGAAAGTGAAGGTCAGACTGAAAAGATTGAAGCTGGCGAAGGTCTGGAAAAAATTGAAGAAAGTCAGGAAAAAATTGAAGAGCCAGAAGAGAAAGAAGCTGAGAAGGAGGAGGCAGTAACTGAAAAAGCAGAAACTGTCCCTCCCACCCCCACTATTGATCAGTCTGCAGAAGGTACAGGCACCACCTCTGCCACTCTGCACTGTTATAGTTCCTCAGTGGCAGATCCAGGTTGTGTCACAGTGGATACTGGCCCCTTCTTAAGCTTTGAAGGTGCCCCCTTCCCCCACTTCCTCCTTAGCAAAACCCTGGATCTGCCAGTGTCCATGAAACCACTAGTTATGGAATAGAACCTTAGTAAAGTTAGCAAGACTTCATTGTCATTTCACCAAATGGAATGCCATAATTTCAAGCATATTTTATATGAAAGATGGGAAATGAATATTTAATGTGTAGTTATCATATCCACTAGGTTCTTTTTTCTTCAGTTTGTTATATTTTTTCTTGTGCAAAGTTGATAAGGGCTTTTAGATCTCCTTTTATATGTGGGTTTATCAGTTGTGTTTATAAGATGTTTTATAACATAGTTTAGAAACAAATTATTGTGGATACTTAGCTTAACTGTTCAACAAATTAATATTTTTATGTGTTTTTCTGTTTCTTACGTATATATATATATATATATATATATATATATATATATATATATATATATATATATATATATATATATATATATATATATATATATATATATATATATATATATATATATAACATTCTTGCCAATGACTAATATGGACTTGTCTCATGACATGCTTTAAATGTTTCAGCAGAAGAAGAGATCAAGGATTATTCAATCATTAATCTGGTGAGTATTGATAAAATGAAATCCACAGCACAATGATGATGTGATTTGTCTCTTTTCACTCCCTTAGTTGACCCAACCTGAAAAATACCGTAGAACATAGATCAAATTTTGATTTATAGTGGACCTTTACAGCCAAAAGGCAGTTCTCTTTTGAGCTTAATTCCCTCCCCCTACCTACTGCCCTTTCTTATGTGAAAATACGGCTTTTAAAACCTGGAAAGTTCTGTGCATTTTTCTGTTTATACTTTACAATTTGATATCTGTTAAAGCATGTTGTTCACTACTGTGATCAACTTTCATAGGAGACCATATTTACTTTTCATTTGTATAAATTTGAAAAAATTTCCTAAAGCTGTTCCAGTATCAAAGTTCCAGTGCTAAATACAGCATGACTTTATGTGATTCCAGGACCCCATGCCACCAGATGGTCCTGAGGTTGATGCTCAAAGAGAGAAACGTAAGGATTTTGACCGTGAGTGGCCTGCCATGTCTGGAATCATCACAGGCAGTACAGCTGTGGAACCAGTTATGGTAGAGATTGAGGTCCGTAAGGAGGAAGAAATCTTTGAAGAAGTATTGAAAAATTTAGAACGTAAGTATTTTACATTTTTACTTTTAGTATATAATTAGAAAGCTGATATTTTAAAGATAAAACTGCCAAAATGTCAAAAAGGGCAACATATAGTTGTTACAAAAAGGCTGAAACAAGTTTTAAAAAGGTTAAAGGTAAAAGCAATAAATTTTACAAGTCTTAAAGCTGAACTATTTAGCAATAGATAATTTTTAATATATGTAAAAAAGTAGGCAGATTTTGCAAAGAAAAAAATGCCATAAAAAGTAACAAAACTATAAGTAATTTTTGTGTTTCTCTATTCAGATCGGTTCAAATACCAGGGCTGGGAATACACTGGAATGGACATAGATGAGGAGGAAGAGGACCTTGAGAATGATACAGGAGATGGTGAGGTGGAGGAAGAGGAGGAAGAGGGAGAGGTGAGTGTCATCTGCTTTGCTGATAACAATTGTCATGTGTTAAAAACTGTTCTCATAACTTATTTTTCCTGGTATATTCAGGGATTTAGAATATGTGATTAGAGCATGCATGTGATTAAAACTGCATCTTACAATAAGACCTCATATTTTGTTGTTTTGTACAATTAATTTAGTGCTTTGAATCTATTTATAACAAGAAAAAAATGATGCAGAGACTTTTAATGTTGAGACAACATTTCAGGGATGACTAATTTTTTTGAGCTTTCTTGTTTATTTTGCATGTTGAAAGTTAGAATTTCCATTTAGCACATAATTGCAATGAAAAGTTCATCAATTTAAATAAAATTTCTGTAGTGCAACATGACTTCCTTTTTTATCACGTTTGTGCTTTCAATCAGTCATCCATAATTGGCAGAGAATCTACTAGGACTGACAAAGAGCCAAACCCATTATTAAAGACAGAGGTATCATATTGTCTGTCCTGGCACATTTCCTTCTGACAGAAACATGATCACCACAGTTTATTTACCAAAAAGCACCAAAATGACAGCATCTTTTGTTTATTTATTTACTCAAATTTTTTGTTACTCAAGCCTGAAAAAGTTTACAGTCTGATGAGTCTTACTCGAAGCACTGACTTCATCACTATATTATTTATGAGAACTATTTTCAGATATACTGTCAAGTTTCCCTCTCATCTCTGATCCCTTTCTTGGTGCAGGTTGCACCTCACATGTTCATTTGATGCTAAAATCCTCCAAACTTGCACAAAACTTAATTTCCATCACTGATCCGTATTCACAACAATTCTGGTGAATTTATACTGAGCAAACTTCCACTATTCACTGGAATGTCTTTCAATTTCTTATAAAATGTACATTGTCCACAGATCAAAATTACCCTTTCCATTTGGTTTTGTAAGATTACCTTGTTCATAAATCAGTGCTATTTTTTTATGAAAAGCACTTCTACCTTTTTTTTTTTTTTTNNNNTTTTTTTTTTTGGGGGGGGGGGGTAAGTATGCTTTGTTGTGCAAATTGGTAACTAATTTTAAATTGATAATGGTTTTTTAGGTTTGTTACAAGCCTTGCCAATTAATAAAAATCTGTCTAGCATTGTAAAAGTCAATCACTTTTTCCTTACAAAACTATATAGGTCGGTTAAGTAACTTTACATTACATAACATTACTAGTATCTGTTTGAATGATATTATAAATGTTTAATTTGTTTTTTGAAAAAAGGAAGAAGATCCCAACCGCAACAAGAAGAAGCCCTTGGGAGACACCAACCACTTCTGTCCTGTCAGTTTGAAAGAGAAGTTTGTGCTGTGGCCAGGTAACCCAGAGTGTGCAGCCAAGTACAGGGAGAAGGTCTACTACCTGGCAAATGATGAGGCCAGAGTCAAGTTTTTGGAGAGTCCCGAGGAATATTTACCCCACCAGAAGCCACTCAATGTAGGTTATCAAAAGTTCTGCTAAAAGTTTTGTTAAACATTTCGTTGGGTTTCTTTTTAGGGTCCTCTTACTGTACTTAAACAATAGATTAGAATGTAAATATAATAACCAATAGAATTAGATTAGGATATGTAAAATCAATGTAAACATCATGTTGCTGTGATACTATATGCACACTTATTTTGTACATTATAAATGAAATTACTCTTGCATGCAAAATGTAAACATTACAACAGTTTTAACTTAGAATTAAATATTCCATTCAACAGCATTCCCCCTCCCCACCCCCAGCACTGATATCTTTATCCTCCATATTTTTTCATATTATATTTTCATATTAATACCCCACCTTCAAAAAAAAAAATAAATAAATAAATAAATAAATAAATAAATAAATAAATAAATAAATAAATAAATAAATAAATAATAAACACAATCAGTTACACTTTATTTTACTTAATACATATCTTATAAACATTATTTTCTAGTCCCCACCTATCCGTCTCTTGATACTGGGACCAAAAGGCGCTGGTAAAAGTCTACATGGGCGCCACCTAGCAAAGAAAATGGGTCTGTTCCACATAGACTTCAAGGAAAGGCTGCAAGAACTGATCATTGCCAAAACAAAGAGAAAGATTGGGCCAGACTATGAGGATGATAAAGAAGAAGAAGAGGAGGAGGAAGAAGAGTAAGTAAAAGAGAACAGGACTAGATCTCTGAATGTGCAATAATTTTGTTTGACTCTAAGTCATATGCTTAACTTATTTATAATTATTAGAGATTCATGTACATTCAATTTGGAATATTTATGTAGTAAGTCACTTTTATATATTCCCCAAAGATTTTTTTAATTCATGCAACACAAAATAACATGATATACTTGAAAATCACAAGCTTTCATACCTAGATGCAGCATAAAAAGCATGCAAGTTTATTGAATTCTGTCCTTGGATTCATTTGTGAGCGAATATGAATTGATTGGTTGATGTGTGTTTCTAGGGAGGAAGAGACAGAGGGCGCTGGAATCACTGCTCCAGATGGAACTGCTGTACCTGTAGAGGAGAAGAAGGAGGAGGAAGCAGGAGAGGAAGCAAAGGTGAGAGGGTTTGTAGTCCTTAATATCTTCATCCCACTCCTAAAAATATTTCTTAAACTCTGCTATTTGGGATAACTAAATACAGTTCCTCCTCAAGTATTCACAATATGTTATGTAAAGATAGGTAAGATATTGGGTATTTTTATAAACAGTTACCATATATTGAATTTTGGGGTCTTTCAAAGAACTTGAACTCTCAGGTAGCACTATCAGAATCCCACTAACGCTAATAGACTGTGAATCCTATGTAAGAATTCAATAATGTGTGTCTTCTTAATGTGTGATAAAGAGCATTGCCCCATACACTACATATACTAATCCTGCATGCTGCCACTTTTTACCTGCTTACTGACACAGGACACCTCAGTTACTGATGAGGTAACAACAGGGTCCAGTGGAGGGGATGAACCACCTGTAGAAAGCTCCACAGATGTGGAGGAATCCTCTCCTGAGGCAGAGGAAGAAACTGAGGTGCCTCACAAGCGTAGAATTCGCTTTCAGCAGCCGTCTGCAAAAACTTTGTTCAAAATAGAGCAGGCAGAAAAAAAGAAGAAGAAAAAGGTCACTGATTTCTTTGGAATGAGACTTTTATTTCAGATTATTTATTTTCTGCATTATATTAAAATTCATTGCAGTGAGGATTCTATTTTTGTCTGTCCTTGACTTTTGCATGGAATGATAAGGCCTTACTTTCTGAGCTGTGAGCCTCTTGCTTTGTCGTTGGTTTGAGCTCGAGTCTAATGAAAAGACTTTCAGTTTGTTTGATTTACTCTAGGACCCAGTATATTGGATCCATGGTATTCAGTTCAAGAGATGGCAGCTGTTGTTATTTATGTTTTTCACTTTCCTTCTCACATGAAATTTTGTGATGGGAGTGACACCAATATTTTTAAATCACATTTCTTTAGTATGCAGTGTATGCTTGGTTTGACAGAGATTGCCTTTCTTCCAATGGAAACTATACATAACAAGATTTTTTTTTCTGAAGCTGTTAACTTTTCATTGCCATTCCCATGTTCTGTGTATAATGTGTAGTAATTGAATCACTGTTGTTACTTTGTTGTGTGTATAAAATTTGTTGCATTATGATGAATGATAAGATTGTTTTGATTGATTTTGCACAATGAAACTCTATATGCTTCTCATTTTATCACACAGGAGGAAGAACAGGAGGTAGAATTCACAGAGGATGAAGAGGCAATCAAAGCCTATTTGGAGAGTGAGGAAAGTCTGCCCTCTGATGTCCTGGAGAAGATTGTACCTGACTGGTGGAACAAAGAACCATTCAAGTAGGTTATAAACTTGAACAGACATCTTTTATTCAAACTAGTTAAACATGGTCAGAACCATTGGGGCACAACATTAACCTGTGGAGCCTGCAATTGTTCTTGTGTATAGTTTCTGACGTCCTTGTAAGATATTTTGATATTTGGACAATATTTTTAAAAAATGCCCTTATGTTAGCATAGAATATTGTCAAATTAACAGGATTTGAACAAACATGAGAACTGTATAACAATGAACATATTGTTGCAATTACTGTCTCATTCAAGAGAGTCAGAAATCAAATCCCAAAGACATCTGCCCTTGTATTAATGTTAATAATACCCATATATTGTATGTTTACAGGAACACAGGTTTCATAATGGAGGGCTTCCCAAGGACAGAGGATGAGGCTCGCTGGCTGGCAGAAATGGGTCTGTTCCCTGATGCAGCAGTCATTCTCCTGGTTGAAGATGGGGATGTTTTTGCCAGGCTGCTACCTCCGAAGCTGGACAAATGGAGAATCAAAAGAGATAAGAGAATAGCAAAGAAGCTGAAGAAGAAAGAGAAAGCCAAAAAGAAAAGGGTGAGTTACATTTGAATGATTTTTTTTTCTGCATCTTTGTACCTTGATTCAGATTTACATGTATGTAACACTTCTTGTACATGTTTGTCCTTCACATGGAATTTAACAGTAAACTTGGAATGGCAGATATTATGAAAAATGAAGTCTCCATTACATTATATATTATGTCTCCTCATTTAATAAAATCTTTGGGTTTAATGTGCTAAATCAGTGTTTCAGTGTTTGTTGCTGTGGGATGTCTTTGGTTGATGTTTAATGCGTTGCTTTTTTTCTAGGAAGCTGAGATTGCAAAGAGGCGAGCAGAGCTAGTGAAGGAGCGTGAGGAGAAAAAGGCAGAGAGAAAGGTATTAATCAGTTTAATCCTGTGTATTAAAGAAAAGCTACTGGTATAATGCCTTTTTAAACTAAGACCATGTGTTTTATTCCAAATATGTTAATGGAAATGAGACAGAGAGAAAGGTATTTATCAGTTTTATCTTGTGTTCTGAATAAGAGCTTTAATGGTTCCTTGCTTTAAAACCATATATGTTATTTTCCAAAATATGTTAAGGGGGAAGGTTTATAAGGTTGCACTGTGGGTGAGTCACACTTTACTGAATATGTATGCACTAACAAACTCTTATTGTTATACTTACCAGGAAACTCTTAAAAGAATATTGAAGGTAGAAGAAAAAAAGTGCATTATTGAGAATTTTTCCTTTTTAGTTATTTATTTCAAAAATTGGTTAGCTGAAAAGTATTTTTTGTGTGTGTGTCAGTAATTGTTTTTGGAAGTATTTATACATTGTTATTAATCTATATTCTGTTTTTCATTTCTGACATTTTACTTCAGACAATGTGTGATGTGCAGTGAAGTGAGGCGAAATGAAGTGTAGTGATCAAAATGAATAAGGTATTTACCCAGTTGATATACAGTATAATTTATTGTGATTGCTTTATTTTTTTCTAGGCCCAGAAAGGTGGTGGTGATACAGATGAGTCTGAGGCTGAGGAGGAGGAAGAAGAAGAGGAGGATGAAGAGGAGGAGGACATTGATGCAATCTTGGCAGAAGAATTTGAGGTGAAGGCAGAGTTAAATCTCTTTTTGGCCATAAAAAGTACAAAGTACCCGTGTCATAACATGAGTGGGCTACCAACATGAGTGGGCTACACATTCACGTTACAGTCACTTGTTAAAGCTGAAACTGAATTTTTTTTAAAGCTAACCCATAGCTGTCCAGATTCTGTGCTGGTTTGTCTCTGTTTTGATCTGTGGAGTAATCCACAACTTATGCAATATTAATACTTTCAGGAAGAGGAGGAGGAGGAGGAAGATGAGGAGGAGCTAGAGGAAGATGCCAGAGATAGAATTAAAAATGAGATGGCAGAAGTGTATGATAATGATGTCAACAGGCTGGAAGCTGCACAGGTAAAAAATTCATTTAATAAGATTTAAAGACCACTTAAAATTTTATAATAAGTTATGAATAGCATTTAAAAGATTATTAAAGAGTGAAGAGATCTTCTCTGTAAGTGCCTTTGATTTTATTTGTTATCATCAATAAGTCCGAGATGAAAAAAAATTCATTCATATGTCTTTATTAGTTTTTTCTTTATAGTCATTTGTTTGTTAATTTGAAAATGTTTCTCAATCATAAAGGCTGCATTGGAGGAAGCCATGATACCACGGTTGGAGATAGAAGGGGGACGTAAGCCACACATAGTGAGATACCTCCTATCCAAGAAGCTGAAGCCCTATGTGACCAGTAGGCATAGCATGTTTGAGCGGTGTTATTCCATCAATGAAAAGTTGGCCATCAAGATGCTAACAATGGGATACAAACACCCAAGTAGATTTGGACGCTGGGATCCAGTGCAGGTAAGAAGGGACTCTGTCCGCCCATGATTCTTTATTTGTAAAGTTCATTTATCATTGTTGTGACAAATAAATCTTAAATGTCTGCACAAAAATCTTTAAACAGTTAAAACATATAACCACCCTCTAGAATATAATTGTGCACTCAATATATACTCTATTGTTTCAGCTGAAGGATGGGGAGTGCATCCAGCCAATGCAGGGACCAGGTTACAACCTATATCCCTGTATCTACAGGCAGCACATCTATTTCTTTGCTGACACAGACAACAGGGATGCCTTCATGCAGGACCCCATGTCCTACCTGTCCCAGCCCTCACCCAAACCTGTGGTGCCTATCAGGATGGCCATCACTGGACCACCCAAGTCTGGGAAAACCACAGGTTAGTTGTGTTAATGTGACAAATAAAAATAAGAATAGAGTGTGTGTGTGTGTGTGTGAGAGAGAGAGAGAGAGAGAGAGAGCATGGATGCCCAGGCCTGTATGTGTGTATGTTGAGAGGTGTCAGGATGACAGTCAGGTTTTAGCAGTGAAATTATTTGCTTGTACCTGACTTTCTAGTAGAAGAGGTAAACCTGTACTTTTTTTAAATCATTATAATTCCTATATTCCAGTGGCTAAGAGGTTTGCTGAGATATATGGCTGTATGAGACTGTCCATTGGAGAGGCTATAAGAAATGTGCTTGACCATCAGCCCAAGAGTGAATTATCACGCAGCATCAAGGCACATCTGACCAAAGGTTTAACTGTCCCAGATGAGCTGGCTGTCCAGGCACTGGACGTCACTCTGCTGGACGTCAGGTGTTCAACCAGAGGGTGAGTTAATTAGGGGGAATTAGTAACATCTCTAACCTGTCATCTGTAAAATCTAACATGGAAAACTGATAATTTTAATATGTATTGAATTTACCAATGTTGATGTTGAAATAAAGCATCTATGATTTGATTATAACCATTTTTCTTTTTCAGTGAAAATGATAAGGTGCATTGTATAACAGCACTTATTTTCTTTTTTTAAGAAGTGATGATATATATTCAATAGAAACTGAGGTTATTGATATATTGATCCTTCTCTTTTTGCAGTTATGTCTTGGATGGCTTCCCTATAACCAAGAAGCAGGTTGACCTAATGACAGAGAGGAATATTATCCCAGTGAGAGTGTTTGAACTGCAGATAGACAGCATGGAGGCTATGGTCAGGGGGACCAAGGACAGGATGTCACCACAAAGGTATATATCTCTTGCATACAAGATTCTATTAAAGAAATAAATGGCAAACACAATGCCAGTATATTGATTGATTAAGATCAGTTAAGGTCAGTTAAGGTTGCTTTCATACATGCTCATCCCAAATGAAATTTTACTATTTTGAATAAATGAACTGATAAGCAATCGAAAAATTAATCCAAATGACTAAGATTATTAAACCATGCTGTGACCATACTTTTATGGTAAACTGTTAAATATAAACAAATTCGGAGGGTTGCCAAATATACAAGTTTTCTCTATTTCCCTCATTTCTGTTCTTCTCATGTGTTTTACATTGTAACTGTTTCCTTTGTTAAATGTGTTGAATTTCAATTTCATTTACATCTAATATCCTTAATAAAGAAAGTAAAAAGCTAGTAGCTGGAACAACTTTCAGAAATCATATGTATCATTTTAAGTGTCTTGAAATGTGATACATGTATTTTACAATGTATTTTATTTCTTTTTCTTCTTCTTTTTAGGACCTTGCCCCTGCACGACAGTGCACAGATCTTAACAATGAAGCTGGGTAACTGGCAGAAAGAGTTCCCAGCAGTGCGGGAATGGTACCAGAAAGAACATAAGAACTGGCTGTGTGTGGAAGGAAACCGGTCCAAGTGGTGGGTGTGGAATAAAGCTCTGGACACTGCCAGGGACAGCATTAAAAAGATACAGACTTATTTGCAGAGGATAACAGATGGTGTGTTCTCAGTTTTATTTCTTTATTGATTTTTTTTATCATTGATATGTTGTAGTTGTCAGTTTTATTGTAATAGTTTTTTGACCACCATTTGGATTTGAAGTTACATTTGGTTCTTTTCAGTCTCTCATTATTATGTTATTTCATACATATTTGTCATTTTATCTGTTCCAAAAATTAATAAATTGCATCTGTTATACATATGTTTCATAAACTCATAACATTTTGACTTTACATTTTTTCATTTGTTTGCAATGCCCTCTATGATAAAGCATCTAATTTTATCCCCCAATAGGTAAAGCTGCAGTAATTGGGGACATGTGTATCACACCCAGTGAGTTCTTGGAGAGGCTAGGTGACTTTGACCAGTACTGCCCAGTCCGGCTGGCTGATGATGGAGAACTGGTGGACTGTACTGATATGGAAACTCTGGAGTTCTCTGCAGAATTCAGAGGTAATCTTCGAGGAATAGATTATAATAATGAGATGGAAAGTGAAGAGGGAAAGTGGGGGACCAAGACACAAAAGCATTTAATTATTTATTTATTTTTTAAAGAAATATATGGCACTGTTGTATTTTGTTTTGCTTTGAATTTTAAGTATATTTCCACCAAAAAAGTGTTCAGAGGAAACAATACTACTTTTGTGAATGAAATGCAATTTAGTTTTTGTTTGTATTATAACTCCATGGTACTATTTCTTTTTGTCTTTATTTTACAGGACACTATTACAAGATGTGTGGCAAAGAAGAATTGGCCAAATTCTTGGCTGAGCCAGAGAGGTATGTGCCTCCCATGGCACCTCGTAAACTGCCTGCAAAGAACATGTTACCTAGGCGTAGAACAGCAGCAGACGTCAAAGCAGCCTTCCCAAAACAGGTGCAGATACAGGGGTACTGTCCTGTCACCTATTTGGATGGGAAGTGCAGGTAAATTTACTAAGATTACCATGTTCTTTTTTGTGATCATTTTAACATATAGATAGTATTTTAATCAACCAAAACTGTAATTTGAGATGTTTTTTTTTTCNGCATGGATGCCCAGGCCTGTATGTGTGTATGTTGAGAGGTGTCAGGATGACAGTCAGGTTTTAGCAGTGAAATTATTTGCTTGTACCTGACTTTCTAGTAGAAGAGGTAAACCTGTACTTTTTTTAAATCATTATAATTCCTATATTCCAGTGGCTAAGAGGTTTGCTGAGATATATGGCTGTATGAGACTGTCCATTGGAGAGGCTATAAGAAATGTGCTTGACCATCAGCCCAAGAGTGAATTGTCACGCAGCATCAAGGCACATCTGACCAAAGGTTTAACTGTCCCAGATGAGCTGGCTGTCCAGGCACTGGACGTCACTCTGCTGGATGTCAGGTGTTCAACCAGAGGGTGAGTTTTGTAATGACTAAAACAAGAGAATAGCCAAATGGGGGGAGTTAGTAACATCTCTAACCTGTCATCTGTAAATTCTCACATGGAAAACTGATAATTTTAATATGTATTGTATTTCCCAATGTTGATGTTGAAATAAAGCATCTATGATTTGATTATAATCATTTTTCTTTTTCAGTGAAAATCATAAGGTGCATTGTATAACAGCATTTATTTTCTTTTTTTAAGAAGTGATGATATATATTCAATAGAAACTGAGGTTATTGCTATATTGATCCTTCTCTTTTTGCAGTTATGTCTTGGATGGCTTCCCTATAACCAAGAAGCAGGTTGACCTAATGACAGAGAGGAATATTATCCCAGTGAGAGTGTTTGAACTGCAGATAGACAGCATGGAGGCTATGGTCAGGGGGACCAAGGACAGGATGTCACCACAAAGGTATATATCTCCTGTATACAAGATTCTATTAAAGAAATAAATGGCAAACACAATACCAGTAAATTGATTGATTAAGATCAGTTAAGGTCAGTTAAGGTTGCTTTCATACATGCTCGCCCCAAATGAAAATTTACTATTTTGAATAAATAAACTGATAAGCAATCGAAAAATTAATCCAAATGACTAAGATTATTAAACCATGCTGTGACCATACTTTTATGGTAAACTGTTAAATATAAACAAATTCGGAGGGTTGCCAAATATACAAGTTTTCTCTTTTTCCCTCATTTCTGTTCTTCTCATGTGTTTTACATTGTAACTGTTTTCTTTGTTAAATGTGTTGAATTTCAATTTCATTTACATCTAATATCCTTAATAAAGAAAGTAAAAAGCTAGTAGCTGGAACAACTTTCAGAAATCATATGTATCATTTTAAGTGTCTTGAAATGTGATACATGTATTTTACAATGTATTTTATTTCTTTTTCTTCTTCTTTTTAGGACCTTGCCCCTGCACGACAGTGCACAAATCTTAACAATGAAGCTGGGTAACTGGCAGAAAGAGTTCCCAGCAGTGCGGGAATGGTACCAGAAAGAACATAAGAACTGGCTGTGTGTGGAAGGAAACCGGTCCAAGTGGTGGGTGTGGAATAAAGCTCTGGACACTGCCAGGGACAGCATTAAAAAGATACAGACTTACTTGCAGAGGATAACAGATGGTGTGTTCTCAGTTTGATTCTTTATTGAATTTTTTTTATCATTGATATGTTGTAGTTGTCAGTTTTATTGTAATAGTTTTTTGACCACCATTTGGATTTGAAGTTACATTTGGTTCTTTTCAGTCTCTCATTATTATGTTATTTCATACATATTTGTCATTTTATCTGTTCCAAAAATTAATAAATTAATAAATTGCATCTCGTATACATATATCTCATAAACTCATAACATTTTGACTTTACATTTGTTTTCATTTGTTTGCAATTCACTCTATGATAAAGCATCTAATTTTATCCCCCAATAGGTAAAGCTGCAGTAATTGGAGACATGTGTATCACACCCAGTGAGTTCTTGGAGAGGCTAGGTGACTTTGACCAGTACTGCCCAGTCCGGTTGGCTGATGATGGAGAACTGGTGGACTGTACTGATATGGACACTCTGGAGTTCTCTGCAGAATTCAGAGGTAAACTTTGAGGAACACATTATAATGAGATGGAAAGTGAAGAGGGAAAGTGGGGGACCAAGATACAAAAGCATTTTATTATTTATTTATTTTTTAATATATATATGGCACTGTTGTATTTTGTTTTGCTCTGAATTTTAAGTATATTTTACACCATAAAGTGTTCAGAGGAAACAATACTACTTTTGTGAATGAAATGCAATTTTTTTGTTTGTATTATAACTCCATGGTACTATTTCTTTTTGTCTTTATTTTACAGGACACTATTACAAGATGTGCGGCAAAGAAGAATTGGCCAAATTCTTGGCTGAGCCAGAGAGGTATGTGCCTCCCATGGCACCTCGTAAACTGCCTGCAAAGAACATGTTACCTAGGCGTAGAACAGCAGCAGACGTCAAAGCAGCCTTCCCAAAACAGGTGCAGATACAGGGGTACTGTCCTGTCACCTATTTGGATGGAAAGTGCAGGTAAATTTACTAAGATTACCATGTTCTTTTTTGTGATCATTTTAACATATAGATAGTATTTTAATCAACCAAAACTGTAATTTGAGATGTTTTTTTTTTTTTTTTCCATAAAAGTGATTGTGCAAAGGTACCAAAATAAAAGATGTGCAACATGCCCTAAGTCATTGCTCTTTATACTTGAGGATTTAATATTAACATATTAATTTGCATTTTAAAAATGTTCTGATAGATATGAAGCCCTTATCCAAGGAAACCCAGAGCTTGTGGTAGAATACAGAGAACAATTTTATTACTTTGAATCAGAAGAGAAACTGGATAAGTTTATGAGGTAGGTTATATATCTTTATAGAAATACATGTAGATGTAATGTACTGGTTTCCTATTCACACAGTTTTTATGCATTATATAATGATATGGTACATGACACAGATGGGTTATACAGATGAAAGTCGAGCACTGTGAATACAATCTATACAATCTCTGTAAACCACACCTAAGATGTGTTATACAAACACCAAACACTTTCTACTTATAACCCTTTCATAATTACAGGTTACCAGAGAAGTACTGGAACCTGACCCTCCCCCACAAGCTTCCACCCCCCAGGACTGCCATGCCTACCCAGGGGCTCCCCATGCTGGGTTACCTGGAGCAGAGTGTGGCCACTGCTATTACCAAGGCTCTCACAGCAGTGGGTTGTTTTAAACCCAAATATCCTTTCCTCAGCCCCACAAGATCAGCACTCATCTATACAGCATATCATCTGAAAGGTAGGCTAATTAAAAATGCCAGCACGTGATATTAAGGTTCATTGTAATGGAATTCGGATAAGGTGCACCACATCAGAGTAGATATACATTAAGTGATGATGATAATTGATGATGATGATTGAAAGGATATGATATTTTAATAAAATCAAAATATATTTGTCAGCATTTAACCTTAGTTCCTCTTAGAATTCATAAATGAAACAAGTTCCTGTTTTCCATAAATACATTTCCATTATAGACTTTTTTAATGCAAATCCGTCTAAAAGTAACAAAAGAAAAATGACTTTACATATTATCTTTTGTTTTATCACAGCATACAACCCAAAAAGCTCAGAATATGTGAGGAAAAAGTACAAGCAGAAACTGATGAAGTTTGAAGAGACTTGTGAAATGATCAAGTACCTAGGAGACACTATGACAGTCAAGTACAAAGAGCCAGAAGCCAGACCCCTGGGCTTTGATCACAGACTTGAACAGTTCTTAGCACTCAAAGGAATTGAGCCTACACCTACCTGGCTTGCCTAAGTACATGTATGTCAGCTAAGGATGAAGGCTACCTTATTACTTGAGGCTTGTTTGCAAATTTTTTTCTTTTTGATTATTGGGACAGTATGTGTATAAAAAAGATAACCTTAAAAAATGGGCTCTCTTGTGAAAGAAGAACTTGCTATGGATTCGGTTTCGTTTACAGCAATACATATGTTTGGTTCTTACAACAGGCTGTTTACAATGGAAACAATATCAAATAATGCTTTTGTCAGTCTGATATGTGTCAGTTTGTTGACATTGTATCAAAACAAATTTTAACCTCAAATAATGTCTATTCCAACCCAAAAGTTCCTTTCCATATCAAGCAATTGAACTGTGATGAAAAATGCATTTTAATACAGGGCCTATTTATGAAATTGTATTTTATTTTGTAAATACGTAAAACTAGCATTCCGTCCTTTTCAATCCGTTCCTTCTTTTTAATGATATTTGTTACAAAGAAAATAGTGTACATTGTGTGTATATATATTTTGTAAAAATAAAGATTTCAATACACTTATAAAATGTGTTGACTTCGTCAATCTAAAAGACATTAAAATGAATCATCACATGAACAGTATGGGGCCATGGCAGTAGTCCGACGGTTTAATAGTCCGAAGGTTCATTGGTTAGAATGTTCACTATAGAACCTACAGATCAACAAACCCTTGATTAAAAAACTGATGAAAATGCTACAATTTTTCGGACCAATGAACCTTAATTCAGACCAATATTGAACCTTCAGACTATCAAGACGTCTCTGAACAGTACATGTAGAAGAAATGCCACGAGAGGCATTTTTTCAGTTTGACAGTTGAGTTTTTTTTTTTTTTTTTAAATATATCTGGTTTTTGAAATATAGTGCTCGCAATAACTAATTTGTGTTATCATAATTCTTTTCTCATCTATTATATAAATATATATATATATATACCTATATATTAATTATATGTATGTGTTTATCATTTTATATAGTTTATTTGCTGAATTACATTCTTCTACATGTGCATATAATATTATTAACAAAATATCATAACTTAATAATGTATGCAAAATGTGTATCTTTTTTCTTATTCCAATACTTTTTGGATCACCCCTGAGCTTCAGAAATAACTTGAAACAAACCTCTACACTTTAGTATACCCTTGCTGTTTAAAGTAACTTGAAATGGCAATTAAGAGTATGCTAATAGCCTATGGTGTAGAGGTTTGTTTTAACAAGTTATCTCTGAAGCTCGGGGTGATATCTACTGAAGTGGGGACTAAAAGTGTGTTGGCTGCGAATTCATTTTATTGCATCTCAACCAATGCAGTCAGCGTGTATTCTGTTCGGCTTGTCTTGGAAATTGTACATTCGCATTTTGCTGATCAGCAAGCCGGCGTAGCGGTCTCAGTTCAATGTCGTGCTCAGATCGCCATAGCATTCTAGCAATGCAGCACTCACGTTACTGCACATAAATTGTTTTTAGTTCGACGTCACGTGAAAAGAAGGATCAGGTTATTGTAGGACTATAAAGTGAAGATAAAAAAGTCAAACTGGATTCACATCAGTTGAAAAGGAAGTTCTGTGCGTGCTGATTATGCACATAATGCGCCTGCGCTGAACAGTTTAGCCACAGAACTTTTAAGTCCCGCTACAGCGGTTTTTTCTGTCCTTTTCATGTGCACGATAAAACTATGGCTTGGGAAAACATAGAAATAATGTACACCGTCCTGGTGTTTCTCTGGGTCGTCTACATATGGGAATCATATCTGGGAGCTAGACAGGTGCGTACTACAGCCTGTAACGTTAAGATTCTTTGACATTGTGTATTAACATATGCCGGTTAATCTGCTAGACCTCCATACATCCAGTTCTCTTCTGCGTCTTACTCCAGTCGAGAGGGGAGACTATATACATCAGTTCATATTGAAACGTCACTTGTATTATTGTATCTTTAAATACGTTTCAGAGAGTAAAATACGAGACAGTAAAAGAAGTGCCACACGAACTGAAGGAAGTGCTTGACCACGAGACATTTGAGAAGGCCAGGCTGTACCAATATGACAAAAGCAAATTTGGATTTTGGTCGGGATTATATTCTCAGTTGGAAACCACTGTTAGTACAGTGCTATTTATATCTATTATATTTCCTCTATGTTATAAACCCATGGCATCCACACGTGTATTTAAAGTATTACAAGTTGTGATAAAGTGAATTTGGGTTTTATTTTTTCTTCTCTTTCTTTATCGCTGAAGTACACCCAGTAGGATGCTAATTGTGAAATTTAAAATGATTTTTTAGACTTTGGAAAATGAGGAATAACATTGTGTTTTGTTTGTGTTAACAGGTTATTCTTCTTTGTGGTGCACTACCAATTGTATGGCATGCCAGTGGCATTTTACTGACAAAGGTTGGCCTGGGAGAAGAATATGAGGTTTGTGTACTTTAATTATCTTAATACTTAAAGATAATAAATTATGTCGTACCAAAAAACACTTCTGTCTTATGATGGTTTTTCAGCCTGAGTGTAGCAGTATCATTTTTAGAATCTAAAATGATATTTTCATTTAAGCTTTTTTCCTTACAAAATTTTGAAAACTGCAACTGATGTAGTTCATTTATGCAAGACTTATAATACATTTTAGTTTGACAATTTGTAAATTTAATTTCAGATTCTGCAATCCATTGTGTTTATGTTCTTGTGTATGATGTGGAGCACCATAACTGGACTGCCGTGGAGTTTGTATGGTACATTTGTTATAGAAGAAAGGCATGGGTTTAATAAGATGGTAAGAATTACTAGACTATAGTTCTGGTATGACACTTTGAGTCTTAGTCATGGTGCGTGCAATATTTTGTGAAAAATTAAAGAAAATAAACATACATTTATATCATAAATTATGCCTAACTGTACCATTTATTGAATCAAAATTTGCAATATGTTACAAGTCTGTGTAATTGTAAATCTGAATTTGATTTATTTTTAAACTACCATTTTTCAGATGACACTTTGCACAGGGTAAATTTCATGTTTGGTTTTATGCTGAGCCAGTTTTTTTTTTTTTCCTGAACAAATATTGTACCAGTTAATTTGATTCTTCTTCATGTTCTTCATTCCAGACCCTGGGGTTCTTCTTTAAAGACACAGCCAAGAAGTTACTGGTCACTTGTCTTATAGCATTCCCTGTCACGGCTCTCCTTATCTACATCATACAGATTGGAGGAGATTACTTCTTCATATATTGCTGGGTTTTCACTTTTGTAGTGTCTTTGGTAATTGCTGAGATTTCATGTTTACTTCTCTTATTTATTTAATTTTTAAAGCCAGTACTGATTGTGTTCTGTTTTTAGTTCAATAATCTTGAGGTGATGTAGACACATGAAACTAGACATAAACATATTTGTTTGTTAAATTGAATTGATAAGAGTATTAGTTGTAAATCTTAATAGTAATCAAAAGTTAATTCAAATTGAAGTATTGTTTTCTCAAAGTTACATTCGTCTACCTTCAGATCTTGGTTACTGTGTATGCAGACTATATAGCCCCACTGTTTGACAAGTTTACTCCACTACCTGATGGTGAACTGAGAACCAAGATTGAAGAGCTGGCAGCAAGCATAGAGTTTCCTCTGTACAAGTTGTTTGTAGTTGAAGGTGATGTATCATTTTCAAAGTAGTTATAAATGTCGCTTGAAGAATTATGAAGAAATGAAAAGTGTGTGTCAAGTTTTCAGTCATTTTAGCTGTTGATGGTTATTGTGAAAGTTTTTTTTAAACATCATGGATCATGTATACTTAATGACATAAAGACTCCCAACTCCAAGCAATATGCAAATTTGCCAAGTCTCCTGCAAACACCTCAGATATATTCAATTTTTTTTTCTTTCTTTTAGGTTCCAAACGCTCATCACACAGTAATGCCTATTTCTATGGCTTTTTCAAGAACAAAAGGATTGTTCTGTTTGACACTTTGCTAGAAGACTATGCTCCTGGGAACAAAAAAGAGGGTGAAGCTCCAGAGACTGCCACACCTGCTGACGGCAGTGGTGGAGAAGGGGATGAAAATAAAGCTGAGGCTGAATCAAAAACTGAGGTAAAATGTTTCAGATGTTTGGCATTCAATGTGCACACTTTTTTTGTGGCAAAACTAGAAAATGATACATTGTCTTTACTGTTAATCACTTCAGTAATGTCAAATGATTCCAAATGATTCCAGTTTTAATATTTAAATCCCGTTATTGATATAGGCAGGTCATAGAACAACTTAAATAAAATAGAATGTGTGAAGATGAATATTCATTAATCAACCCAGAAATTATCTTTAGTTGTCATGGCCATTCATTACATGATTCTTAGTATTATCAGCAATCAGGAGTATGTTGACTAACTTCAGGAAAAGAAGGAGGGAAGCACTGAGGAAAAGAAAGAAAGGAAAACTGGCTGCAACAATGAAGAAGTATTAGCTGTACTAAGTCATGAACTTGGACATTGGAAACTGAACCATGTTTTGAAGAACTTGGTGATAGGCCAGGTAAATATGTTGTTGTTTTTTTTTTAGCAGAGGTGGCGACAATATTCTATTACTTTCAGTGGAGTCATTGAATCTATATAAGTTTGAAAGAAAAGATAATAGATCAGCATTGATAAATCATTTTAAGGTCTTTAAATGGCCTATTATTAATCTTGAGCTTATTTTTCCAGGTCAACACTTTCTTACTTTTCATGGTGTTTGCTTTCCTGATAAACAGGAAGGAACTGTTTACAGGATTTGGATTTGATACCCAGCCAACACTGATAGGGCTACTCATCATATTCCAGTTCATCTTCTCACCGTACAATGAGGTATTTATTATTCATTTATTTATTTATTATTCAGATAATTTCCTTATATTTCATAGCTAAAGAGTTTCATTTTTAACTATATTTACATAAGTCTGGTTAGGTTGTCAGTGGCATTGGTAGCATTTATTGTGGTTAATTGATTTCATTCCATGAAACGTGTCATTTGCAAAATTTTGTCATGATGATAATAATGGTATTATTTTGCAACTCCACTATTAATGTAACGAGTGAAGTTGAAAAATATGGAAGTTATTTTAATTTGGTGTAACATTTCTCTTGGGAATCAGAAAAGGGGCATTTAATGCGAAGTTTTCCTTCCATTTGTTTTTCATTATAACAGATGTATTTGCCATCCTGACCATTGACAAATATACTTCTTGTCTTTTAGCTCTTGTCATTCTTCATGACAGTTCTTAGCAGACGATATGAATTCCAAGCAGATGCCTTTGCTAAGAGCCTTCGCAGAGCTGAGCCTCTCAAGTCAGCCTTAGTGAAGTTGAACAAGGATAATCTAAGCTTTCCAGTGACAGACTGGTTGTACTCAATGTGGCACTATTCTCACCCTCCTCTTATAGAGAGAATGAGGGCTCTGGACAAGACAGAGTAGCTCTGATAGCTTAACTCAGAACAAGACTAAAGACTTGAGAGATATGTGTAGGATTTTATTTGTGAGATGTTGACAAACAATTTGGAAGTGGTCTGCCATGAGGCATATGATGATCAGTAAATAAAATGTCCAGTATGTAAACAACAAAACAAAAGGTATTAGAATAAAGTTCAGTGACGATTTTAGAGACTTGTTGTATATAGCCATAGAAGGCGACTTAGTTTTAGATAAAACGTCTTTTTTGTCAGACACAATCAGTTTTAACACTACTAAAATATATAAAATGATTGAGTTTTTAATCTGTCATGTAAGTTCTTGTAAATATGTTAAATTTGTAAAAATGACTACTGCAGTGCAGAATTCACAATGAACTATACCACTTCTTTGTTTCCAAACGAAACAAAAAAAAATTATGCATGAGATGCTGGATAAAGTTGCATTGAATGCACTTGTAGCTGTCTCTTTTTAACTGTAAATCTAAATCTTTCAATCTGACTACAGACAGTAGTAACTGAAAAGGTGATTGTTCTTATTCATTTGCCAGTTTTTGACAATATACAAAATCAAAATAGAGATTTAAGAGAGGACCATGCATAAAGATCCCACAGCTCCTCTCTCTCTCTCTCTCTCTCTCTCTCTCTCGATAAATTTAGCCAGCAAAAAATAACCACAGGTTTTGCTTCAACTGCCCAAACGAGATAGCAATGTTGATTGCGATAGTTGTTTCTTAGTCTGTGCTAACGCAATCTCGCTGACCTAGTTACCTTGTTGAAATAACTGGGGCACAAATATTCTTGTCATTGCTTATTCAGTGATTCGTTCGTTTTAGACATTTAAAAGATTTTCTTCTGGATTTTGGTAAGTTAGGTAAGTTTGGTAAGTTGTTGTAAATTTTTGATTTCAACAAACTTATGGGCTGTTACGGCAGAGATCACTGTGTAGAGGCAGAGACGCTGTCATCTGTGCTGTGCCTTACCCTTGTTTGAAATTGTAACAATGTTTATCGATAATCATAAAACCTATTTGTTAACGCCATATGGTTGTTTAAATGTGTATAAAATCAAAGTGTTGTTATTGCCTTATGAGGGAGTTTTTAAGCATTAAACAGTGCTAGATACACCCAAGAATTACTTTGATGATACATAACAATATAATTTGACATACACTGATACAGGTATATTAATAATTAATTGTTTGTCATACTTTTCAGAGTTGCAAGTGACATGGCAGTGAATGTATTCCATGTGGAATTTGGTATCAATGAGACTGAACTGACACAGGCACTAGAGCTCCAGCATTACTCTAGGGCAGAACAACTTATCAGAAATACCAGCTCTGCTTCGTACTTGGATGAAGGTAATGATGATAATTTATATTTTGATATGGGGTAGACTTGAACACCTATGAAAAATAATCAATCTCTATTACTCCAAACTTATTGCAGTTTTGTATTTCATTTATCTAGTGCTAGGTGGTTGTGAACTTAGTAAAGCATGAATGGGAATGCAAGAGGCTGATTGCTTGATTTATAGATTTATTTAGATATTTTTAATATGTTTAATTGTGAATTATTTGCAGGTTGCTACCAGAGGATTCCTTTATACATATCTCTGTGTGGTCAGTCTATTGATGGAGTATCCAACATTCCAGTCAATCTCTACATAGCAAAACTACTGATAGAATATGGAGCCAATGTTAATTTAAGAATACCAGAGGTGAGTTAATTTCTGTATTTGAAAAATAATTTTAAAAAATATTATTAAAAAATGGATATATCATAAACAGCAGGCATTAAAAGAGACAAAAAATACACATTTTCTATTTTTGTATGAGTAGGTCACCAGTATAAAGTGTTAAAATTGTCATGGTGATCAATATTTAATTATTTAACCAAAGCTAAATTGTCATGTTTTGGGCGGATAGGGGTTAAAAGTCCAACCTTTTTGTACTGGTATACTGTAGCATAGTGCAATTGTGATATCTGCCTATTTCAGACATATTATGGCTGTGAATACGTAGGTCCAGGGAAGACTGTCCTGGAATTACTGGTGGATATGTACAATGATGTATATAGACACCAGCCTCTGTTAGCATATGGGGACAAATCAAGACTGTAAGAATTAAGTTACGATAAGAGCAATGAATGTGATGATGTCTATTAATGATTGGTTAGCTGTTATTGATTCATTTTAAATCTATAAACTTTTATTGAAGTAAAGAATTGTGAACTATTGGAAAAGATGTACCATTTCAATGTGGAATTTTATTTTATCTCAAGAACATTCTAAAATTAGTTTATTTTTTATCTGTACACTAAACTTATTGTAAGCAGCATTCAGTGTTTTTTTTTTCAGTGGAGTGTTATGGAGCCCTGAAAAAGGACAAAATAACTGGACAACTGTGATAGGAATGACAAATGAGATCCTTACAACAAAAGAACAACTCCAAGATGATATTTTAGACTTGATATTTATTATTCTTTGTAAGTTGATTTGTGTTGATTTGATATGCTGTATTCTTTTTAAGTTGATTTGTGTTATATGTTGGAGTTAGACACAAAACACAAGCACAAATAGCGAGCATTCCCATAAACTGGAGATTCTTGCTAAATTGAATTCAGTGTAATTGGTTTAAATGCCTGGCACACCTACTCAAGCTGCTAGGGGGTATTTAACAATAGTCAATTACCGTACCCCCTAGTTACTCAGGGGGTGTGCCAGTATGGGAATGCAGTCGTAAAGTAATATTATTATTTTGAACCCCCAAATCACCCTGCCAATTGCCAGTTAGATGTGCTCCAAGATACATTTACATTTAAATCATTTCCAAAATATTTCACATTATTTTCCAGCTAATGGAGGAGACCCAAACATCCGTGATATAAACCAAATGACCCCACTTCATAATACTGTGATATTGAGTGACAATGTAGCCTTGGCAAGACTCCTGTGTGAGAGTGGAGCAGATGTTGAGGCTGTGGACATCAGGGACAACACCCCCCTCACTGCCATGTGTGATGCCTTTCCTTTTGGTATAAGAAAATTTGTAGAAAATCACCCCATTGCTGATCCTTACAGCAAAGGGAACAATTTGGAGGACAAGGAAGAATTCTTAGAATATTTACTGTCCAGAGAGGAAAATGCTGTAAGTTATGCATATTTATTAATATTCTAATAGATGCTGTAACAATAACCATAGTCTTTGTCTCTGTATTCATGTCCCTGATGCTGTCAACAACCACAATTCTTGTATATGCAGAATCATTAAAAAACAGTCACTGTTTTGCTTCAGTCTTTGGACCAAAATGCATGTCAAGTTCATAATTTGGCCTTTTGAGAAAAAGCAGTCCTTTTTTATTTTATTTATTTATTTATTTATTTATTTTTGTTTTAATTGTAACTTTGCTACAGAGTTATGTTGAAAACAGAGATTGAACATGATGAGTTAATTCAACTAAAGGTTTCTAGTATTAAGTTTCAGTGTAATGTCACTGAGGATTACTAGTACCTGGTATGCCCTTTATGCTAGTCAAACTCATACAAGATTATGTTTCTTCAACATTTTAAACTAATCTTAGGTGAATGTTCAAGGCTACCAGGGTCGCACTGCATTGTTCAACTGTATGGTTAGAGGAGATATGGAAAGTGTCATAAAGCTTTTGAAGGCTGGAGCAAACCCGTGTATTAAAGGAAAATTGAAGGAGGACAAAGGGACAATCAGGTAAACATGCAAATATACATCTGTCTTCACTGACTTTGAATTATGTTTTCATTCAGTGCTTTTATGTTGTACAATTTTCTTGATAAAGATATTATAAAAGAGGAAATGTTTCATCTAGGATATACTTTCAAGCCCTAGTTTTTTTTTTTGTTTATGTATAGTGAAAAATGGATAAATTGTCACCATGATAATGATAATATAATTTAGAATTTAAGATTTATTTTTCCTCACAATAAGACTCCGTTCACATGAAAAATCTATTTTCTAAAAATCTATTTTCTATTTGCGGTATCTTGTGATCACTCCGAGCGCAGCCAAGAATTAATTACAGCTTTGGAAGTAACTGGCTCACGCTGCCAGTAATTATGCCACGGGGTATTCAGGGCACAGACCGTGATCACAAGATACCGCAAATAGAAAATAGATGTTTAGAAAATAGATTTTTCATGTGAACGAAGCCTAACTGTACCCTTCTGTCTTGAACCAATTTTTATTTATTCCTTTAGGGAAGTGTCTCCACTGTTAGCTGCGCTAGCTTCTCTCAGAGTGGTCAGTTCTCACCTCCTGAAACGTTTGCCACATTTGATTCCAAAGAATCTCCAGTTTTTAGCTCATCTTGTTGATAGTGGTAAGTTTGGGCCATCTCTTAGATTAAGGTTATAAATAATTAGCTATAATAACGAATATAGTGTTCATCCAATTTAAAATATTTTTCAGGTTGTGCTGTGAACAACATATTTAAAAAAGAATAGTGAATTCATTATAACAATAATAATACAGGTAATTTAAATTTAATTTGGTGTTTGGGTCACAAGACCCCTAACCATTTCTTTGGCTCAAAAACTATTTCTTTTGTAGGTTTCTTTTCAAAGAAAGAGATAGCTGATGAGCTGGCGGAATATTTGGATGAACAGACAGATTTATCACATTTAAAAAGATTGGGGATTGAGCTCATTTCCCGCCTGTTTGGAGGTCTATCAGCAACGTTATACCAGCAGTGTAGCCGTGTGATATTCCAGAAAACTGTTTTTGACAAGGACCAGTTCTCCTCAGAGTCCAACCAATATCAATCACAAAACTTACATGAAGATGTCTTTACAGATAACTACATAGAATATTTGACAAGCCAAATCAATTCACAGGTTTTAGAGTCACTTGTGGTCCGAGAGAAGCTACCAAAAGACGTCATTCTCAGTCTTGAAATTGAATTATTCCGCCAGAGATTGTGTGCTAGAGTTGGTACATACAAATGGTTTGAATATTATGATGAAGAGTTGGATGGCTGGTTGGGGTACAGTGACAGTGAAGAGGAGTCTGCAAGTGACGAAGGAGATTCTGATTTGGAATACTGGTGACTTATGCAAAAGTTTCCAAGTGACATGATGTTAGAAAATGTTTTCTAATACAGCTTTAAACAAAGGAACAGCTTAAAGTTTGTGCAACATTCCACTGGCATCCAACAGGCATAAGCACATACATGTAAATGTAGGCTACTTGGTTCTTTTTTAACCTGTGCATTTTTTGACTGGAGGCAACTATGAATACAATCAAGTACGAAAATGCCACAAGTGTATTAAATATAAATAATTTTATTTTTTTGTCATATTTCACTTCATTTTAAGATTTGTTTGCTTCTCATGTCCAATATACTGATATTTGCTGCAGCTTTGAAAATGAAAAAGTTTAGAGTACTTGAAATTTTAAATTGCACCCTTTCAGTGCTGCAAATTGCCATAATTTCTTCATTAGTATGGGGTCTCCCTCAGTCAATTAGAATGCGTTTAACAAAGACTTTATAACAAATGAACATTTGTATCCCATATAAATTCACATTTTTATCTCAAAATTTATAGTGAAACCCATTCAATGAAATCTAATAGGACACTTGTGTTAACTGGTATGAAATAGCTTGCACAACACTGTAAAAATGTACTTCTAGTTTGTATTTTAAGCACCTGAAAATATTTGTCAGGAAAAATGTCTAGATGGTTACTTATGGCTAAGATGTCCTGAATTTTCCAGTGAACCAGTTCTAGTATGTGACTGAGTCACAAACATTTCCCCTGAAAGCATGGAATTCCCTTGATAATGACATCTATGTGCAGTTGAGTAAATAAACCAAGTTTTATTTGGTTTGGACGACTTGTCAAGAGCTGCCGTGAAACATCCCATAAATGAGGTAGAAAAATATTTGCAATAATATTTCCTCTGATGGAATAATGGGCCTTAACTGCAGAAACAAGGCAGACAGAGATCTCCATGTTTTAGATACAAACTGTTAATTCATTTAATGCTACCTAATCACCAAATTTGGTATCACATATATTGCCTCACTGTCACCACCACATATAACGGTATTTGATTCAATGTCCAATGTGTTGATTGGCAAAAAGTTAGAGCCATGCATTAAATTAGTCACTTCTATCCTATGTTTTGAGGCATCAATTGTTAGCCAGGGATTGGAACCTGAAGGCTTGGGTTGTGTTGTGGCTGGGAGATGATGAACTGTTCTTGATTGTACACTACCAGGTGTGCCTGAAAAGATGGTTTTTACTTCTATTAATTTTTACAGACACTTTTAATTTGCTATTCAAATATATGAAACATAAATACTCAATCAGTAAAGGAAGTTTTCTCAAGACAATCTACCTAGGTTAATTTAACTGCATAAAGTAAGAAAAGACGCATCAGAAAAATAATTTTAAACAACTCTATATAACCTAAAACATCCACAATATTATCTGTCCTATTATCATGTCCATACCACCTACCTTGTGACTGTGCTGGAGTCCTGGTATGGCTGACACTGGTCACATCCCAGTGCCAGACTGTGCCATCTTCAGAACAAGTAAATAAATTATCAGGGTATCTTGGGTGAAATTTGACCTCCCACACTAAAATGAAAGATAATTTATTTTTTCATTTATTTATTTTATTTTTTTGTAATTATTATGAATGCTACATTAATTCCATGCTTTACCATAATGATTCTATTTAAAGCAATTTTTAATTCATTATTAATAAAAATTTAACAGTAAATTAATAATTTGAGTAAGGTTACAACACGACAATCTCAAGATCCAATTGTAAGGGCACTCAAAACAAAACATTCTTAAAACTAGACAAAGTAATTCAGCAAACGAATTTGCTAAAAACATACAAAGAAGAGAATAAACTGTGACAAATGTCACCACACATAATTTGCAAGTTACTTAACCACTTTCTCAGGATTTAAAATCTTGACTTCTTTGACTAAGATAACATTAATACCACAAAGACTGCAACCCACTTACTGTCTGCAGCATGTGCATCTAGCAGTGTGACAGGGAATTTCTCCTGTCTCATGTCCCATATACACAGCACCCCGTCCTGCCCCCCGGTGGCCACTATATGAGGCTGACTAGGATGAGTATCCACACAGTGCAATGGTATTCTTTCTCCAGTTCTGTCAGGAAAAAAATTATACATTAACCTCTACATGTGTCATGCTTATAAATCTAATTCAATTACTAATGCCATTTATTATAGCATTGAAGTGGATATGTTTTCATTCATTATGTATTTTTCAATTATACGTGTAAAATTTTGGATGATTTACCCTTAAATTATCCAACCATGATTTCTGTAGTATAAATTGCAGTATGGCACTGATACACACAATCAAACAATGGCAATTATGACAATAAAACAAGTGTTTGGTATTATATTGTAAATTAGATTGATGTTTTATTCTAAAGGCTTACCAAGTAGCTATCTTCATCTTTACATAGAGTAATTCTTTAAGAAACCATTAACATCTGTATAACGGGCAAATTTAACCTTGAGCTAAAACTTCTGTTGTTTACACTTGCATTGCCAATAAAACTATTTTCACTCTCATTATATAATACTCTCTATATATTTCTAACTACATTACTGTATGCTATGCAATTGCCAAAAGGACTTATTTCATTTTCTGGGGTAGCGCTAGCAATTTTTTTCGCTTAGCCAAATCACCATTGTTTGTCAATTTGTTATCAAAATGGTTAATTTGACTAAAACAAATCAAATCAGGCCCTTTTTCTTTAACCAATTTAAGTCAGGTTTAGTATTTGGCTAAATTGGCGAGTGTAAGTGCTACCCCAGGTTTACTTACAAAAGAAAGATTCTGCTAGGTTCATCTTCAGGTTGTCTTAGGTCATAAACTTTGAGCTGCCCACTGGAGTTCACTGTGATCACTTCATAGTGTTTATAGTAGTTCACACCATTGATTGAGCAGCTGTCAGCTTTTTCTGGAAAAAAGTCATATCTAATAAGAACTGCAATGTTAATCAACAAATAATATACAAACCATAAAACTGTCCACAGATTTGAAATGATCCAAATCAGGTTAAATATCAGTACTTTCATAAACACCATTACTTCTTACCTTAGGCAATAGCTGTAGGTACTCAAAACAGACCAAATTGGCCAATAAAGACATAAAAAGACATACACATTTAAACCACACATTACCAACAAACTTGTTCACCTACCAATGGACCTTACAGGTGCCTGTTGACCAATGGCCAGAATATTCAACCTGCCATCCTCCCCTGCAGTGACCACATCCTGTCCTCTACATGCCACACTGGTGCAGGGACAGGGACTCTGCTTGTTCTTGTGGACATGCCAGCTCTGGGCAACACCCAGGGTCTGGAATAATTCAATATCTGATTAAAGCATAACAACTCCTTAAAATATTATAACTGTCTAGTGTATTCTACATCTATGACCAGTGGTCTACTTTCTTAAAATATGATTCATTTTGGGTTAGTAAAAGAAAATGAATAAAAAGTTTTACTCATGTAAAAATTGCACTTCATGAAATGATGAGTTCTCAAATATCATTTTGCTGTTTTCATTTTGTTGATAATAGCATAATTAAGAAAGTTATTAATGTGATAAATGGCCTTACCTGTGAATTTTTAAAATGCTTGTATAAGTTGACTTGTCCTGTTGATGAGGCTACGAGTATATTTTCATGATTAAAAAACTGAAATAAAAATGTAAAATATTTTGTATTACAACAAATATTGCCTTAAATTCAAAATTTTAGGAAACAACAATATTAAGTGTAACCTCTAGTAAGAGGAAATCCCCTTGTAATTTTATATCACACACAGACAACAGCAACAGAGTATGACTAGAAATTCTGATAATATCAATAATGCACAAAAGTTGTATTTGGGTAGAAAACACTCCCATGGGCTTTCCTGAGCAAAAATCCTCTCTTTTTTGTTGTAAGTGTTTCCTGTTCGTGTGTGATAATCCCCAAATCAATAGCTATAAAGGGTAAGTTGGCTTATTCTGACTATTCTGGATTAACTTCAAATTACCTTCCCACCACACCACACACAGCTGATCACAAATCAGTAGACAGTAAAGTGAAATGTTATAACAGAAGCACACCTTCTTCCCCTACCAGGTAAGTAAATATTTTTTAATGTTTTCAACCAGCATTTACAGTTGGATCCTTTAATGACATGGGGATGATATAGTTTGGGTACTTCTTTTTTTCTTAGGGTTGTCCCATGCCTAAAGCTTGGGTTTTAAAGCTTTAAACTCAGTGCCTGTTATCCTATAAAATGCCGTATCTGAGCTTTCGCCTTATCAAAATCTGATGAAATTCATGAACCATCTTTAAAAGCCAAAACCCTTATATGCTGATAGCTTCAGATCGGGTCATTTATAGTATACTTTTGATGTGATGTCACTAAAAGCACAAAAACCTTAATAACCAGGAAAAAAGACCCATGTGTAAAAAAAAAAAAAAAAAAAAAAAATGCCACCCTTTGGGAATGGTATGTTTATATATGCCAATATGGTATGGCAAATATCAATTCAGTTAACACCAAAACATATTGGCTTTTGGTATACATCCTAAGTCTGTTCACATTAACTCTAGGTTACATTCAAAACTACACTGATATGACCCACAGACATGGCAGTGTTTCCACTGAGTCTGCTCAATCTCATTGAAAATGACATCAGTGAGAAGTATCCATCATACCTGTATGTCTGTGACGTCCCCACAGTGAAGTACCTCACACAGCAATCTAGGCCCCGACTCTGGTGGCTGCTGTCTGGACACAGAGAAATTTAACTGTTCCTTTTCTCCTTCTGCTTGGGTCCATAAACACACTTTATTTGCAGCCTAGGTAACAAAATTATTCTTATACAGTGTATATGGTTTGTCTTCAGTTTGAAATAAATTCATGTCAAAACCAGGAACAGCTAACTGAAACTAAACTTTTTTAGAATTTCCAATACAAGATATTATGTGTGAAATGACATGTAGGTATATGGTTATAATTTTAAAACTTTACACAAGGTATTTTTGAATCAGGGTAGATGTTCGTAACCGGTTACGTGTTTATGAGTGGGGTGGTGTTGATTTTGGGGGTGGGGTGGGGGGGAGGCAGTCAAAAAATGCATTATTTTTCTATACTCTAACATAATCTAATGCACTCAAAATTAACTTCCTTTAACCATGCACTTAAAAATGACAATGTTCATACTGTTATTAAATTTCATTTTCTCCTAACAAGGGAACGGTACTGATAATTGTTAACAATGACACCGGTATGACAGGTCCTAATCTAAGACTGAATAGCAATCGGTTATTTTGCGATTACCCCTAGTACGCTTTAACTTACCACAAGTCACTTACCCCATTATCCCAACTACCTGTAACAAATGTATCTGACTGTTCTAAACCTTTCTGTGATGTCGGGCGCCAACGAATTTTACTGATTTTTTGTGAAATGAATTTGGCATTGACCTCCGCCATTTTCAAAGTTGCACATGGCGCGGAACATCCGGGCATTACAATTCTAATATTCCGTACTTTTTATTTAAAAGAATTTTAAGGCAGCTTTAATCGATTTTACTAAACGTTATCCTAAGAGAAAACATGAGTGTGGCACTCCAATGTATCAAATACAGGCTCTGATAAATATGAAACGAATCTTCTTTGGTATCAATATTTGTAATATTGTTCTATGATAGCATTTATTTATTGATCTATTGACCATGTATCGTTAGGTTTTTTTATCCACTCATTTTGCCTTTCACAGACCATCAACAGTGGAAAGTGGTGGATAGCAACGACGCAAGAAAAGGTACGATAATTTCACTTGTAGAGTTGTTATATGATGACCACATTTTAAAGATTGCGGAGAAAACTATGGTGACATAATTTAGTTAAATTAGGATTGTCTAAGTATAACTGTTTTCATGGAAATGTACAGCATTGGCACTTGCCACTTGCCAACACTGGGACTGTTACTGACGTTACTACTGGCACATACACATCATCATACTGTAATCATATATTATTGATAAACGAAGAACACTGATGTAAAACTCCCACAGCAAATATGTGACAAGCTGCGCACCGAAGCATAAGCCTAGGGGTTTAGAATATGAAAAAAATCAGATCTGATGCTTTTAAAACATTTATCAATAGAAGTTACCAATATAACAGTTTGCGCTTCTAAGCTGATTGCGCGTTTGCATGATATGATTACAGTCTAGTCTCTAGGGAATATTGTGACAAAAAAATAAGGGAAAAATCATTATCCTAAAATAATTACTCTTTGACTGGTAGTTTGTTTCACAAGACTGTAAGGTGTTATCCATGGTAAGTTAGTTAGCCTACATGTACATGTACACATAAACCTGCAGCACAGTCAGGAATTCTACCACAAAAAATTTCACATTTTATTTGCTGGTATTTATATTAATGCAGGTATTATAGAGGTATTCTTGTTGCATAGTCATATCTTTTTACGATACACTGGTTTAAAGTAACTGCAGTACTTTGAGTTCTTATCAGTACAGTAGCGCTCCAGAATAAGAATTGACTGAGCTCCATTTAGATTTCTTTCTAGTACCAACGAAATGAAGCAGGATTAACAGAGGAAAGAGTTTGTCAGTTTCACTATTTTTTGTCTATGTGTGAAATATGTCTGTTCAAATAATGGATTCAACTGTAAGTTAAGGTATGAGTACAGTATATACTAGTATTTGACTAATACACCATGGATTTGCCTTGCATTTATATATGTTTATTCCTTCTTTCAGAATCTCCATAGTGTCTCAAGCTGTTTTTGCTCGGTGAAAATTACTCACAAAACTCAGGGGAGACCTCTGACCAACAATCAGTAAATAATGAACTTACAATAATAATAACCAAGGGAATATCCTTTCTACTACTGTGTTACTGTTTTGTGTACAATCAATCAGACAAGATGTCTATATTCATGCAGATTGCTCAAGTCACTGACCATCTCTTTTTGTGCAGCGCCTCTGCGTTGTCAGAGAAACGCATAAAAGAGCGTGGGATCACATGCATCATTAACATCACAATGGAGGTACCAAATCTGAGAATCAAAGGAGTTGAAGCTCTTCAGATTAATGTGGATGATGTTCCACACACCAATTTGGCTGTGTATTTTGACCGCTGTGCTGATAAAATCAAAAGTGTGCAAAGCAAAGGAGGGAAAACTTTGGTCCACTGTATCGCAGGGGTCAGTCGATCGGCCACCATCTGTATTGCCTACATGATGAAACACTATAAGATGTCCCTGAGAGATGCATTCAGCCATGTCAAAGCCAAAAGACCCTTTATTAGACCTAATGTGGGCTTCTGGAAACAGTTGATAGAATATGAGAAGAAATTGAAAGGAAAGAACAGTGTCAAGATGGTGTCGTCTCCCATAGGATGGATACCAGATGTGTATTCAGATGAAGCAAAGAGCATGGTTTGGGAAACAACTTATAACAGCACTTTCGGGAAAAAGAAACGATAAAGTAAATTCAATTTCTGAAGTAACTAGTTGTATCACATTTCCATAGCCTGGAGATATTATTGTGACTCATACTGCATAGTGCTTGTAAGATTTTCATTATATTTCTCAATAGGATACAGGAGCTTTTATAAAAATAGGTATTTGTAATTTATGTTCTTTTGTTCTTACAATGTACTGCAGTACATATTGATAATCACACATTTTATGCACTATGACAGTAATTTACTCAGTAATTTCCATATAAGTCAATGATACAACCAAAGATAATTTTTGATATATATAAAATCAAGAATGTATTACAAAAATGTTCAACCAAAATGTTCAAAATCAGCCTGGAAAATGGGTTATCTCTAGTCAGTTTTTATGAAGATGTTATGGTACCTGTGAAATCCTGAATATTTTAACTTTTTTGTAAATGTATCATTTGATTTCATAAATTGGCATAAAAAGCGATATTTGAAATCTTCTTTGTAATGCATTCTTGGTATAATTTATAACCAATATGATATGCATGTTATATATTTCTTTAAATCATTAAGGTATTATATCTTAGTTATGGTCAAAAAGGTTAATCAGATGTCATTCTTGCCAATATTGAGCTCAAATATCCACTCTTGGTGATTATGTTATGGTTATTTGACTGAAAACTAAAAAAAACCCTGTTTACTACAACATTTGAGTGATCTTATGAATTTGATGTGATACACTAAGTTTACTGCAGCTGTCACATTATGTGAATCTCTGTGTATATTTTTATTATTTCATAATTAGGTTTTATCAGAGTATATCACTGCCATTGGTGCCACAGTTTTGATTGATTTTAAGCATACACTTGTAGGCCATTCTTTTTGTCTCATTTTCTTGTGTCTGCCAGCACATTTATTCATGAAAGGAATAAAATCTAAATTCCATATTATATTTTTGATGCTATTTGCAGATTTTTTCAGTATCCGAAATAGTAGTTAAATAGAAAGCTGATTTCTTATAGCAGTTATTCTACATTGACAGCAACAACCAAGAACTGTGCTGTGCACTTTGTAACTACCTAGATGCTGGTGTTTAAATATTACAATCTGATAGCACCACCACATATAACATTATTGAAAAAGGATGGCTGAAGTAGCAAATGTTACAACTTACCAAGGAGAAATCACCAATTTTTGTTTTATTTTGTTTTATTTACCATCTGCACTGACAAAAGATTTGCCCCAAATCTGCAGATATTTAATTATGAATATGTTTTTAAGTCACAATACAATTAATTTTTCCTCACTTTGCAAGTGTTTTCTTTTTTTTTTTTAATTTAATTATTTATAATTTTTTGTTAACGTTACTATTTATTCAGTGTTGATATGGAGTACACTATGTAAGTCAGTGATTGGGTTGTTATATTGTTATAAAGTCATGTTTCTGTTATGTGTTTATTTATTTGAAGTAAACCTTTCACAATGTATATTGACACTTTTATTCGTTTTATTTTATCTAATTTGATTATGCTTTTAATTTTGTTTATTTACTCTGCAGAAGCAATTGTGGGTTGCAGTTAAAAGTCACATCTATCACATTTTGGTTTTACATATATTCAAACTAAGAGACTGGTCAGAACGAGGCAGGGCACATATGGTTTTATTTAAGCCCCCTTTACACTGGACGGCGTCCTTTCTGCGTCCAGCAGTACGGCCCCATTTGAGAGTTAAAATATTATAATACTTTGCGTGCCGACAACTGGCCGATCATTGAGCATTCATTCTGATACAAAATCAATGCTCGTGTTTCCTTATTTAGACCACAGCGATGCCAACTTTCATGGTCGCAGAAAGGACGCCGTCCAGTGTAAAGGGGGTATTACTATGTGATATACCTTGCTATGCAGGCTCTTTTTCGAAAATTACATCGAAACGATCAGTATAGAATATTTTGTTGCTCGTGAATTGTAACTATTTCGGCAAACGTAAAATAAAAAAAAGCATTACCTCTTATCTCACTTGGACAACTTATTTAACTTATTTCTTATCAAGAAGTTAATTTTCTCGAAGGAAAATATCCTAATTTACCTGGAATTGGTTAAGAAAGGTGAATATTTCGTGTTCCATGGCGGCATAAAAATATTTTCCACGTAAACCCAGGATTATCTGCATATTCTCGACATTTTGCTTGTAGCCATAGCGTCGCTCACACCAGACCCACGCCCGATCAGATTAGATGTCAGTCTGAGTCACGTCATCAGACGAACACGCCCATAATGTGGATTCAGGATTTTATTAATTGGGGTAATGATAAAAAAAGCTATTGCTCCAGGGTTCTGTTTCAGTGAAGTTTTTCAAAGGTCTTTTTACAAGATTTTTCTCACAAACTCACCCCTGTGTCTTTTATTTTATAGTCAAAGTCAAAGCAGCGTTAAAAGCAAAACTTATCTTCTCTACGTAGGGGTTCCTCACGCGTAGGAGCTGTTGTCTAAAGTTGACATGTCGAAAGAGATGCTTGGTTTCAGAAAATGTGAAAAGGATGCAACGACATTCTATAAATCTTTGGCACAGTGGTAAGGATGAAGGGCTAACAGCTGAGAATTTCTAACTTTCGGGGGAAAAAAAGACAGCGTCGGGGTAACGAGTGCACCTTACAGGAAAAAGTAACAAAAACGTTTTTGTATGTCCATTTCTTCTTAGAATGCAAGCTAATTGCGTCTACCTATTTGAACACCTCTTGTAAGTCATTCCATTATTCTTTTACAGTTTCAGACAATACTCGGGAGCCAATAAACTTTCTTCAACCAATGTTCTTCAACCAAGCCTGAACAATTCCAAATTTGTTTTGTCACTGAAAAAAAGCATCTTAAATGATACACCAGATAAATTTAGTTTCGATGCTCAATATCCAAAGATAATTGACAACAAATACCCTGACACTCAGGGTGCCCCTCTTTGATATGAACGACACTTTTCCAATGAAAAACTGCAGATGCCAAAGAAACTCCAACTACTATTTTGGGGGCATTAAACAGAACAAGGAAGGCCTATGTATTTCTACATTTCAAAGACTTGATCATTTCCTCCGAGATAAGATCGCTTAAAACTTGACTTTAACGTGGGAAGTAACAATAAGATTAGAGTGATCATCTGACATGACACATATTTTGTTCCACCTGTGATACGTTGTTTGTCTCTACAGTTCTCTGTTTCCTACTGAATTTAACGTCTAATCATTAAATGATTGTAAAAGTGACAGCTGCTTTATGCACTGTAACGAAAGGTTAAACTGTCGGTGCCACCTGCCTCAAAATCTGTATCAATGTTCTTAGTTTGAGACTTCTTCGCATTTTGTCACCCTATTTTTTATCTTCTTTTTATAACTATGAGTAAGGTTTTCTAACGTGTTTTATTGAATAACGTGCAAATCGCATTACCTTAAGTCCCGCAAGGGAAGGGGCGGGGTAAAATATGTTTTGAATACTTAAACATTGTGCACGGATATCACGGCTTCTTTGCGCTGATAAGTTTTCAGAAATGTGAATTAGAGACCCGCATGCCTACCTTAAAGAAAAAAGAGCAATGAATCAAAGACGAAACATTAACCGGGTTTTAACTTATGTTCCTAAGAAGCTACATATCAAGTGGTGGAAACTGAGAAAAATATGTGTTCACTTTTTGGTGATCTGCCCCTATCAATTATCACTATCTGAAAAGGCTTAAGAAGGAATGGGAGTAATCTGCCCAATAATTTAACACCCATTTAACTGTCATTTGTCGCCCTATGTTCTATGGTGGCAGATTAAATCCCAGTATCATTTTACTAATGACCATCTGCGTTTTTCACCTTCTGTAGTTTAAATGTGTTTTATAATTTCCCCGACTCCTTTCGTCTGTTTTTGAAAAGTCAAAGAATTAACATCTGCATTTCAAACAAAATAGCGCCTAATTCAAATTCGAAGCGTATTCGAGCACTTATTCATTTTGAAACATATGTAGAAAATATGACACCTGGGGGCATGAAACATTGAAAATAAATGTACTTTACATATTGCATGGCGCTGTTTTGCCGCGTCAAATTAGGGGAGTTTTAAAACGACATAGGCCTAATGGAACTATCGAATGGTTGTTACACTGTTACAAATTGTTGTTGGGACGAAAACAAACAGTGCCTTTACTTAAGCAAAACTCTTTCAGATTCGAAAAGAAAAATACATATTCATTTCTTATTTTCGTGTTAGTGTATCACCTTTGCGACGCGGAACCTCTATCTAAAACCTTCATTAATATGTCAATCTAAAACAAGACCCGCAGGTGAGTGTTAGATTTGAATTTTTGAATTTGACAAAATTCCATATCAAAGATGTGTCGCCAGACCAGCGCTTCGCCAGGGTACTTTTCAGTTGACGCTCAAGACAACATGACGTGTGCGATGATCCGGAATGACCTGTATCACTCTGACGGCACCGACTGTATAGACTCAACCGTTATCTTGGGTATTATCTAAATACCAACCAATAAGGTAAGTATTAAAGGTGTAATATTCACCTGAGCGCAGGTATATTAGAGAGCTGATGGAAGTGAAGCGAGCAGAGAAACACACGCCATGCTGAGAGGAGTGAACATCGGCAAACTTTTTCATTTGACGATGCAAGAGCGGCTAATCCGCAGCGGTATTTTCTCACAGTAATTTACCGACATTAAACTTAAATTGGCATACAAAAATTCCTTAGAGGGAAATCTGAATAGCAATATTGTATAAAAACGGCCCTTTGTGAGCTGGGACTGAGAAAAAGGCTGTATATGCGTTGCGAAGCAATCAGTGACTTGACAATTCTTTATGTGGACTTAGAGGGGAAAAAATTAAAAATAAGATTGCAATATTACTTAGAAATTATGACCACGCTCGAGAACAGGGACTCAGATCAAGCTGACCACGGCATTGATTCAAGAGCGTTGCCTGTAGTTGACAGTGCCTATGAAGATGATGCCTGCGAAGACTTAGAAACTGACAATTGTGACATTTCAGATGATGGGCAAAATGATTGTATTACAGACAATTTTACAGCTAAGCGTTCTTCTGTGCCAGGGAAAATTCGACTGAACAGACGACAGGAGAAGCGCTCAAAAGACATTAATTCTGACGAAAGAGATGTGCTTCGTTTGCGAATTAACATGCGAGAACGCCAAAGAATGCATGATATCAATTCAGCGTTGGACGGGCTACGGCAAGTTATGCCATACGGTCATGGACCGTCAGTCAAAAAACTTTCCAAAATGGCCACTCTTCTCTTAGCCAAAAATTACATCATCACGTTGACGCGGTCATTAGAAGAAATGAAGAAATTGGTGTGTGAGATGCAACAGCGCTCGCACTCTTTCCAAAAAATGTCGCCCAGAAGCCCACCAAGTATAGTTTTGATGCCATCAGCAGTGGACTCGGGCAGTCAACCAGTATCTAGGGAATTGTTTCAGCCTCGAGCAACTTTTCCACCAGCTCTTGCAATGAATTTCACCGTTGGTCGCCTGCCTGCGGTCCACATCCCGCCATGTCCGTGTGCCTGCCAGCACTGCACCACTGCTACGGAAACGGCTGGTGACTTGTCCCCGGGAAAACAGCGAAATTAGTTTTGAAAATTAAAAACTTTTTATATGCTAATCTGACGAAAATGTACATAAATAGATGCAAGACAAAAGAGACAGTAAAAAATACTTTCGCATTTTTTGTATTAATACTTAGTTTTCATTTAGTAGTTATAAGCTTGTAATTGATGCATAATTGCTAGTGGGTCTTTTACATAAAGACTCATTTAGAAGAAGAAACCATAATCATTGTGAAAGACTTCAGCTTATGCTTACATAACTGTATATTTTGCCTTCAACGCCGCATTGTCCATCTTAAATGTTCATGCCTTTATTTGCAAAAGTGCAGAAAACAGATCTGTTGATATAACTTCAAATATATCAACAGATCTGTTGATATAACTTCAAATATATCTTGAGCGTAATACTTTTTTGACTGACATTTCAATGCCGTTTCTTTATTTGAAAAACAGGTAAAGATAGTTGCAAATTTTCTCAAAGAATATAAGTTAAACGAGTTTGTTTTCATTCCCGTTGTTATGTTTTATGCTTAACCACTTTTAAGTTTTAGAAACTGACCAATGCCATCACGAGTGTAATGCAGTTTTGAAAAAATGGTTGATATCAATTTACCCACTATGTTGATATTTGATAGAATGTCACTAACATATATCCCAGTCTATAGCATTTTAAAGTGACATGTTAAAGATATAATTTGCTAATATTTAATTGTGGTCATATAAGTTCACTGTCAGTCCAATCACACGGATATTACGGATATTACGTTAAATAATAATCGTTAAATAATCATCAACATCGAAAAGAAAAACATAGATATGTATTTTTGAAATCAATGTCTAAGCTGATTATTCTAAATAAACTATTTATCTGAAACTAGAATGAGTTTTCGAGTTTGCTGGGAAAGAATTATCTCTTTTCCAAAGCCACAGAAGCGAAAAAGTGATGTAAAGACTGTGTAGCCCTTTCCATACATTTTTATGTATATTTCATCATGTGGGATTCTTAGATTCACTTTAGTTTAATTTCATGTGCATAATCACCATTTCATGTATTGAAATTAACCAAGATGATTATTAATCAAGATTAACGGAAATGTGATATTTTTATAAAATGTGAAAAAGTGCCATTTTACGACCACTGTTCAGGACTGCACCATTATTAATTATTATCCAACAGTAGCAATCAGCAATCTAACGTCGCTTAATGTTCAAAAAGATTTTATTTAGCTTTTCGTCACTTGTATAGGCCCTTCTCTCTTTTGAAATGCACTTGCGTTCTAATGCATTTGATCGCAATTTGTAAGTCTTTTTTTATATTGGAATACTCATGATTAAATAATATTAGTAACAATCGTAGATATACTAAAAGCGACTGTGTCGTCAAAGTGTTACACCTATTTATGATTTATATATATTCGCCCTTGTAAGTTTTTTTCTCGCTCAAAATTTGGCAATTTTTAAAAATCTTCTTACTATTGTTATTGAATTCTAACAAAAGTCCTTACTTTAAAAGATTTTCGCAAAAAAGCAATTTGAAATTTAAGATTAAATAAAATTCTGAGCATTTCTACTCAATTTGACATAAAAAACATATTTTTCTGTATTTTCTGTAAAGAACAAAGAAAAAGGTAGGCGCGGTGAAGCTCGCAATGAATCCTCTCCGTTCATTTTAGCATATTCGAATTCGATATCCTCTGCGACCCTCATTCTGTCTCTCTCTTCTTCTCGCAAGCGCGCGTTTTGATTATTCTCTCAAAATAATTGCGTTCTTCGTTTCTCTGAAAAGACGACTGTATCCGTAAGTAATGCTTTGCTCAAAGTTAGCAAGGATTACAAAGATGATCTTAATTTTACCTTACGAATTGTGACAGTATTTGAAATATCTACTTGAACACAACCTTAACATTAAAAACCTATTATGTTTTATAACTGGGTTCGATATCACATATAACACTTTTCAGTAATGGTTCACACCCTTCTCTTTTATTTTCAGGTATTTTTGTTAATCATCAAATGGAATTTACCGAGTAACTAAAGGTGAGTAAGAGATGAAAACATTGATTAGGAAAAAACTCAAAACTTTTTGAACAATTGTTGGCAAATGGAGGTAAAACAAGAACTTTGTTGCAACGATTCTGCTTTTCTTTCACAAAATTATCCATCTCCTCCGGTTGCAGTATAATCTCGGTATTGTTTTCAATCTTTTTAAATCTCAATTCACCTAGGCGTTGCGGGTGTACACTTTAAAGGGCACGATTCTTTAGAATGAAGCCATTTTTGTGTCTCCGCAATACGAAAAATCTGTGAAGTTGGCAGATATACGGACTGATAGTAACACTTGATCTAGTAACAGAAGGTATACTATCAGTTCATAGGATATTTGATCGTTAATTAAAAGCTGGATAGAGCACCATACTGTAGTGTCAGAAGGTTATCAACTAATCGGAAGAGAGTGACTATTTTGAGAGAGATACTGGTATTCTTTATTTCACTGTGCTGTGAACGTTAAATTAAACGGTGGAAATATACACTTGTTGGATTCTAATTAAAATCAGCTGAAACAAGTTAAGTACGAAATGGTGAAACAGAAATAAAGTTTGAGGTAAATGACTGTGTGTGTGTGTGTGTGTGAGAGAGAGAGAGAGAGAGAGAGAGAGAGAGAATGAGCTTCAGCATGAATAGAGAACTATACAGCAAAGCTGAAAAGATGAAAAAAGAAAGAAAGAACAGCCGAAGTAGGTAAAAATGTATTGAACAACACATATCGCGTGATATGTATCAATCGCACCACTCCGCTTAAAAGGTGTGTGATTTGTCTATAATGGGCAAACTCTTTTTCACCAATTTAACAAAAACCACCCGGAGTTCCATAGCATTGAATTGCGATTCGTCTTGCACGACAGAACAGACATAACCAAACGGTATGTGTCCAGGCATACAAGATAAGCTGGTGTGAATAACATTTTGTCAAACGCAGGGTTACTGATATGTCTCCTAAAAAACGAGAAAAAAACAGGTAATTTAGAATTTTCTTACATGGAAAAACAGATCCTTTTTAAAACCATTTACCATGAAAGAACCTGGTGGTTATTTCTACTGACTTTGAATATAAGGGTGATTGTCAAGATTGTCAAATTGATAAATATCTACATACGGCTATCTACGGTTTATTGCACGGCAATAGTATTCTTTTGGGAAAAATTTTTTAAACATTTCATTTTTTTATTTATAGGTATGTGTTGAGGCCGTATAAAGAATAAAGAAGGTCGATCATTACTAAAGTTATTCGCTGATGACATAAATAATTCCTTGCTTTTTAAGACATACTTAATAATGATAGTATGCAGCAAGTTTATCATCAGGAGTGCTTTTGCAATTATTATAGTAGAATGTCTTCTTTGAATGAGATTTTTTAAGCAGCTCAAAGAAATTAGGCATCGATATACGCATTCATAGCTTTTTTGGAAACACTTTATGTGTTGCAAAAAACAATGGTGGCACTGTTGGTTTTTTGTGAAGTAGAAAAAAAAAAAACAGCAAAAAAATCGCAGCTGGGGTATCGTGTCCGTGACTCCTTACAGTGAAGAAGAAAAGATTGTTATTAATTGATTAATAGAACCCCGTGTGATAGGAACGCAGTCGTCCTCCCAGTGTAGTGCTGCCATGGATTTTTGTTATAATGGAATTGATAGTAATTGAAGACAGCAGACGGACGGCACTGGAAAGTATGGCGGGAAAGGATGGCATTCGATCTTCTGCACAAACACAATGCAGTGTCTTAACCTGTTTGTCCAATTAGTATCATTTAATGACAAACATATCAAATAATAGACTGCACAGAAGACGCAGCATCAAGGGTTTAATTAACCAGATGCTCAAAGTAAATATTGGACGATTCTTTTACCGTGTTTACCTTTAGAAAAATTGCGAAAGTAATCTTATTTTCAGCTTAAGACGCACAATGCCTTCTTGCGGTGCCCGTGAACAGTGATGTCAATATGGTATATTCTAGACGGCATCATCTCCCGGCTTAAAGCACCGCGGTGTCTTTCGATGGGGGCTCAGGTTTCCCCTCCTTCCGTCGCTTTGATGGAGAATGATCGATCTCGCGTCGTACGTGTCGCAATACCGGATTAAATATTACGACCAAACGTCCGTTATCAAAATGATCATCTCAATGGGATACAAAGGGCAAACCAAACTCACACCGCAAACAAAACCACCAAACAAGACAACCCTCATATGCTCAAAAGAAGGCTCGCATCATCGTGTACTTTGAGTATTGCTTTATTGCATAACATATAAAAAGATTTGAATTCCAAGAGGTTGCTGAGGCTGCAGTGACCTTTTTTCCCACCGTTGGCCGTTAATTACAGACATATAAGTAAGCTAGAGGCTTTTCTGTATTGTAATTCCATTCTTTTATTCTTAACAACAGTGACTTGTAAAAGTTGAACCATAACAAAATATAAAACAACAAAGACCCGAAATTTATTTTAATATATTAAGAAATTTATTCCACTAAAAACAGGAAAAGTATTTTAGGTCATATGGATATTTATGTATATCTTATTTAAAAAATAAAGTGGGTAAATAAATCATATTTAAAGAGACAACAACCATTCTTAAAAAGCATCATAAAGACATAAAAGGAAAAAAGCATTTGATAAAACTTTACTAAATATTCCCTTTTCCCTTTCTCTCACACGTACACTAAAATAAAGTTGTAGTACAAACCATGGACATAATAATTATGTCCATGTACAAACTTAATTAAAGCAAGGAGTTCTGTTATAACTCCTTGATTAAAGTTGTTCTTCTGTCCAAGACACGTTCAAATTGATTTAATGCTTTACATATGGAAATATTTTAAAAGAATAGGGTGGTCTAATCTAAATGGGCTCGTCATTTAAAGTTTTGAAATTATACTTTTCAAACGAATATTTACTGAGTATGTAAAATAACAGAAATATAACAAAATTTATGATCGATATTAGTATTAATATCGGTGTTTTCATTTTTCCTTTTTTATTTATTTATTTATTATTATTATTTTTGAAAAATATTCATTTCGCTGGCTGCCATCTTAAAACCGCGTGCCAAGACTATCATTGAAGGCGTCGAATGGAGAATGCCACACGCTGTTCTCACCTTCTGGAGGCAAGGTGTTGACAGAGGCTTCATTTTTCTCCCATGTTTGGCCATTGAAAACTAAAGAACATCGCAGGAGGATGTGGTACTCTATCTCCTGAACAAACAACCAGCCTCTCTAATCTTTTTCAACACAATAGCCAAGATAAACAGCCAGCAAATTACTTTCTGAATGGGTAGGGACGAACATTTTGGTAGAACACGGACTCGTCATTAAAGGGTTTTGATACTTTGCTGGTTTTGTAAATCTACCTGCTTAGAGGGCTATAATGAGAATGTAAAGAAGAAATTAGTGACTCATGCCGGTGTGATGACCACATACAGAGGTAGAGGCCCCGGAGACCGACCGCCATGATTTAAAAACTATTTTCCATTTTAGAAAAATTGTCTATTTTGAAATAAAAACTCCATATCAATATGTGAATACCTTCTTGATTTAACTGATGTGCTCTTTCAATATTTTTAAAGAAAATCTTTTCAGACATTTAGTTCATTTTAGTTAGTAGGAATAAAGGACTTTATGTTAGACAACCGAAAGTTAAATTTATTCAAAAATTAAACTGTAGAAGTAGAAATTATCGGTCATTTGATTAAGATAATTACCGTATGATTTATTATTGAAATAGAATTTATCAATTTCACAATTATTTAAATGTACAAGTTAAGTGTTGGAGCCTATTGGAAGCATTTGGACAAAGAGCACGTGCTTGGTACACTGCTGATTATCAAACATCAAAAAGCATTCTGTGTATTGCCAACACTGTGCTTATATAAGTCACGATGCTTTACGGAAATAGAACGCGGCTCACCATTAGAGCACTAACAACTTGAGACGAAACTTTGTGAAATCACATTCAAACAAATACATCATTCTGAAATAAGGTTGGACCAAGGTTTTGAGCGATTTCAAGCTGGTGAATTGGGAGCACATTACATTGATTATTCTTCTTAAAATACGTTTTTCCTAAGTTACTGAGGACAACCAAAACGCAAGCTTATCTTACGTTCTCTCCAAGTATTTGTTGCAGTAGAGAAGATCCGGGCTCACAAAAAGCAATTTGTCGGTTCAGTGGTGAATAAAGTTATTTAAAGTGGAAAAAAAAGAAAGAGAGAAAGAAAAAAAACAAAAGCTATCTTGTTATTACGTCCGTATCCCTCTCAAAATGGAATGATATGAACATTGTTTTTATTATAATTTTTAATGTCAAATTGTAATAAAATTCATTTTCTACCTCAAACAAAGAAAACGCTTAGCAAAAATGTTTTACAAAATAGAATAAACCAGTAATAAAATGAATGATGTACACCATGAGATGTAGTAGTAGGTCGATGTAGTAGTAGGTCGATGTTTAGTAATAATGTTGATGTAATATCAATGCAATAGTGTCGAATTTAGTCGTTTTCAAAGGAGTAGCCGCCCCAAGGAAGGCGTGGCAGAAGTTGTCCCCCTAGGGTTACCTTTTAGTAGCGGACATTGTGGGAGGCAAAAACCACAAAATAATGATACTTTCGAAGTCATTGAACTAAATATCAAAGTAGGTCGGAGTGTAGCTAAATTATGGAGTTAGAATTCAGGAATGTGAATCCATTATGAGCACTCCACAGCCCAGCCTAGCCCCCCTCCCTAGCTCTATCTGGCCTTCTTAACCTGGGACCTAATTAGGTCTTGTTTCACTCTAATCTGCTGTATTCACTATTTACCAGAAGGTTACATTACAAATTGTGCAACTAGCTCTCCGTGCCTTGCCCAAATTCAAATAATAAATGTTGTTGAACAAAATTGCTACATATCAGGATAATGTTTGATGAAATTGAGAATGAACTAATTAGCCCATTTCTATGTGTAAATCATTTTTCTTTTTACTTATTCAACACAGCCCATACTAAATTTTTGACATAACTCGATTTCAGGAAGATTTTCTACATGTATCTATTCAATGAGAAATCCAGAGATAATGATAACTATATCTTGTATGTATACTAAAAACGGATTGTCTGTATTTATTCGCAATTGAGGGAAGGTGTAGATTAGATGATGTGCCGGGAGCGAGGGTGCAGAATCTGCCTATCAGTGATGATACAGATGATAGACCAGGGAACACAGATAGACGGCGGCAAGCGACAGCTGCAAACTTTATCCTCCTCTGCATGCCCTAGTTAGTGAATATCCAAAATTTATTTTCATTTCTTCTTTTTTTTTCCAATGTTTGAATGTTTGTCAACGAAAAACAAGAACGCAACTATTCAAAAATAAAACAAAGTTGTATGGGGAAAACACTTTCGGTTAACTATGTACACTTCAGCGCGTGATCGCCTTGTTGACACACATCTCATTCTGTGCAGAAACTGAATGGTGATATACTCTGCTTGAGCCTTTAAAACCGAACGAGATGCGGAATAGCACATATTTTGGGGAGAGGACGGAGATAATGATACGAGGAATCATTACTGCAATTTTTCCCTCAAGTATGTAATTGCAAAGCAATATCTTGTCTTTGCATTAAACAAAGGATAATTATTCTTAATATTTTTAACATTTTATACCAACAAAGCAAATTTAGAACTTTAAGGGAGAAAACATTTCTTGCAATGATGTCTCTCCCTTAAAAAAACGACCACACTTAATCGTACTCCCTTACAAAAGTAAACAGGTGGACATGTGTATAGTACACAATAGTGCACACGCTGCCGCCGTGCCATATCATTTGTCGTCCGCTTCACCCCCGGCAGCTGCCCTTCTCTGCTCTCGGAGACGCTACTGAACTCTTTAACACAGAGCAGATAGACTGATACAGCGAAAGGACGCAGACGTAGAGGAAGAAGTTTGCAAAGGAACGAACAAGTCGCAGGTGAGTTCTGTTCATTCATAATATTCTGAGAGTATCGGGTTCCGTGGCGTGGTCAGGATATAGTAAGAAAAAAAACGCCGATTATGCTGCACAAGTTTAACAACAACACTGGGGGTTTACACGGGGCATGTCATTATAACACTTCTTATTAATGCGGGTACAAGTCTTTGTTTTAGTCTGTGTGCAACATTCACATTTACAAGATAATACGCTATTCAATGTAAAGAGAGATGGGCATTTGCATGATGACTCCATGTTCTTTTTTATATTTAATATAGAATAACCTGAATATTGAATAATTAGGCATAGAGCAATAGTTCACTATAGCGTCAGGTATAGCTCGGTTAAAGGTATGTTTGACCCCGACGCCGACACTTTTCTGTGTTATAAGTGGAAGATTAACTTCAGCCTACCCGCATCCTGCGGCTCAATTTCCACATCCCCCTGCATCAGACGTGCGCACAGATACAGACGCATTTCTCTTTGTGTGTCCGGACATTTAAATTCTTAACCCGAACATTTTCATTTGCTATTTCTACCATAACACCCAAGTATTTGGATAAAATTCAAATGTCATTATTTAAAAAAGTTTATGGAATATCATCTCAAAGAAACAGACGATGATTTTGTTTCATACTGGATTATATTGAAATATCTCCCCACTGTTAATAATGTTATGTTAGGCGACAGCTGCACGCTATGCATATTATTACGTACTCTGCTCACTTTACCTTGGCGCATTCCAACACTGCCTGGTGTATTGACACAGCCGCGCTTCTATTTAACGGTGTTCCACATTTCTTCTTAGGTTCGATGAACGGTTTTAAATAAGTTTGTGGGCAATTTGCTGCTACGAAAATACAGTAGGCGTGTGTCAACTAGAAGAGTTGTTCAGGCACTTTTGCGTTGGCCTGCAAAATGCTATTCTATTGTTGATTTCTTTGAGATAAATACAACCTATATATGGCCGCTGCAGATTATTAAAGTCTTGGTGGATTAGGCAATTTCCTTACTACGGGCATAAAAGTGTTTCTGAAAATACTGACAATAATGAAAATGTGTGTGGAGAGAGAGAGAGAGAGAGAGAGCGAGAGAGAGAGGGAGGGAGGCCATGCAGAAATGCAAAACCACGTTTATTCATAAATAACAACTCATTCCTAAAATTATGTAACTACTATTTTGATCCCATCGCGACCCCGCTTCTACTTGAAGGTTATGCAGTTTTCATTCATAAAACGGTTAGTAAGTGCAGCTGTCCCAGTGACAGGTGAACCAGCTGCTCGCTCGGCTGCCACCGCTCCTGCCGTCTGACACGCATTGCATTGTCATGGCCTTTAAATCCTCGAGGTTAAGGCCGAATTTATGAAATAATACTATGGAGCCGACCCTCTAAGATAACGGGAGGGAAGTAGTTATTGTCCATATTGGTAGAGCACGCCATATCAGTCAATGTTTAATTTGAACAAGTGACTCAATGATGAGAAAGTTTACATCTGTAGGCGTCCGCGTGTGTTACTACATGGATGTTTTAGTATCACATTCGTTTATTATAAAGGACGTGGGCCGATAAAGCGATTGGTCTCTGTTCAATTTTGAAAACTTGAAATTTTGAAGGAAAATGATCCTTGATGATTTGCTTTGATCCGTTAATCATCAAAACATTTTTTTTAGTGCCGTACAATGTAATGATATGGAATGCATGAAAAGTCTGTTTTTTTTTTACCCGGAGCATGCTTCAGAACTACACAATGCACAAAGGTTCTATTAATTCTTGAAAAAATCCTGTTAGACACTTTTAAATAATCAAATACCACAGCATACAGGAAACGGTTGTTTAGAGAATTCTACTGATTTTAGTCCTTAACTGTGGAGTGCACACAAGTCACAGTTGATTACTATGGTGACGGAGAAGCCTAAGGGTCCTATCTATCGATTTTCAGGTGGGTTCTCTATAAAGCCGCTAATGATGTGTCCGGGTCTCTGTGAATTTCTTTTGTTTAGTAGACACGAGCATATGGTGAAACAAACGCAGGGCAGCTGTCGCGTTAAGCACCACCCCCTTATGCAGGTAGCTTAACACATGTGCCGTGAAAAAGGCGACTTGATTTACTCCGGGTTGGTAAGGAAGTAGTGGGACTTTTTATCAAGATAGTAAAATATTTCAACGTGCCGGAGACACCTGATCCGGATTCTTAAAAAAAAAAAAAGCGACCGAATGCAGACGATCAAGGTATGTTTGTTTGTTGAAAAGAAGGTCTTTGGGGTTCATTTCAATCATTCAAGCTTGGACCGATGGGTCCAAAATTCGAGTTCCTTGTCTAATTATAGTAACTTTTTCGTATATGTCAAGTTTGAAACAGCATATTGAAATATTTTCATGTATATATATCGTTCAAATACATCATGTACATCATGGACTTATCATGTTAGCAAGTTCTCTATGTGGTGTCCCGGAATACTAATAATCTTCGTCCTGAAAATATGAAAATGATTATTAATAGGAAATTTTCTCAGCACGTTAGTCCGGTTTATCTCTAATGTCAGGAAGAAAACGTTGACCTTGCTGGTCTTCTAGTATTAGTTGATTTGTTTTTTATAAAGGATTGTGTTAACGGTGTTAGACTCATACGTATCATTTTCCATACAGAACACCTTAGAAAACCCCGGTACCTGACGCTGCTTCTGATGTAAAATGTGCATTTAAGCTTGATTTTGTTTCTTTTCGATTTCCTTTTGATTTTTTTCCTAACTCTCAAAACCTTATTCGGGCGCAATGCGCGTGCAGGTCACCACGGTGCATCTTTTTTCAACCTCTCTTCACACTCAAATGCCCACTCCCCACTGGTAATCGATTTCCCAGCCGGCGGTGAAGGCAATGTAGAAATGGATATATAATGTTTCTGTTTAAAAAAAAACGATTTGATAAAACAACCAGGAATACTTATTCTAATCTACCAAAGGAATGTAGGAACTTGATAACCACAAACACGCAAAGTTACATATCTGTAACTTGTAGTAAGGAAGTAAACCGTCGCATAATCAGGTTATGAGTTTATATTTCAACAAAATATACATAAAACGATTCTCATTCTAATGATGCGATTACTCGGGTATATAAGAGTGAAAAATTATTCAAGGATGTGCCCCTCATACCCTGAAAATCGCAAGTTCTTCTCACAAGTAAATATTTTGAGTCTATTTTGTCATGTCCGAGTTGAAAATCGGATTTAAAGATTGTTTCGCCCAAGCGTCTGGAGTAAGTCAAGTGGACGCAAGGTGCTGTAAATTCACAAGAGAAATTCTCAGACAAGCCAGTGGGAACATTCGTCCCGGGCTCTATTTCCCACAGGGTTTTATATTCCTTCCAGCTTATACCTGTCCCAAGCTGAGTTACACAGTGTCGTAACTGAAGCACATCAGCTACACTGGAGAGACAGCTACACACCCAACCAGTCACCTCTGTCAACCCTATGGCCGAATCCTCTTTAGATCTCTTGTAGTTGAGGTCATATTTCAGACGAAGTTAGGGTCCCATACAAACACAGATTGAGTTAACAGTGATCTGTGTGAAAGTTCAACTTTTTGACCATCGCCGAGACCCAGAAGTGAAGCGCTTTAGTTAAGGGGGAAAAAACTAACCTATACCATTCTCTCATTATGTTCAGACAATTAAACAAGTTCTATGGGACCCGGGCTAGGGAAATATCATCTCCGCTGACGAACAATGTGTGGGGTTGATAACTTTTTGAGATAAGGCACACATGAGATGGTGAACAAAATACGTGAGCGCCGTACATACGCCTAGCATAATTTGAAATTAATTCTTTTTGACCTAGGCCATTCTTTCATAAACCCTCTCTAAATTGAGGACGTACTGCACGATATTATAGTAAGGCCTTTTATCTACGAGCATCACAGGGAAAAAAGTTTTTAAAAGCTTTTGTTGTTTTCTTGATTAAAGTTGTAGTACATAAGTCAAATTTAGTTAATATTTCCCAAGAGTTGCTGTATAGCCTCAAATAAAAAGTACTTTTGTTGCATAAGAGGACTGGGTACGCTCAAAAGTGGAAATACACAAATTACATCCCTGGATTCAAATATACGTAGGCCCTATTCAATAAACACCCATGATTTTTTCAAAATCAGCGAACTCGATTATTGCCTTTTTCAAGTTTTTGACGTGTTCATTTCTTTTTAGACGAATGAAACAAGCGAAACAAGAGAATATATGAAAATATTCAATGAATAATCTCTGCGAAGCTCCTGAAGAGGGTATTTTCTATATCAGTATAGTTCTAGGAAAATTGGATTTCTGTTATACTTAGAGAAAAGCTCAATTATGTTATAGGGTGCAAACGAATAAGGTCATTATGAAAAAAGTTGCTGCTGGTAAAATAAATTATTTCTTGTTTTTATTTGAGTGAGTTTTATTTACATGCATGTATACTGACCAGCGGTCCTAGTTCACCTATATATTCAATATTGTATGTCACGTTTTATTGATATCTTTAAATGTCTAAATGTGTTTTCATTAGTCAGCTAAAGTATACTGTAATTTTAATTAAAAGCCCACAAAACTGATATGCTTTTTTAGGCAACGATCACTCTATGTAATGACCTAGGTCACTACTGCACAGCACAACATGTAAACCCCATATATGTACCTCTTCACAATCAGACCTCTGATAGGATTTCACACTTTAGAGGAAAGCTGGACCGCTAATTGAATTTCTACCTCAACTCTCTGTATGAAGTGGTGCTGCCCACTTAGGCTCCCCTACAGAGAAGATTGGCCCACTCTCAGAGTCTCCTTCAAACATGCTGCAAAGTCTTCTTTTATGTTGGGGTAAAACTGTCAAAAACCATCCAAGGCTTGCTGAGAACCCCACATCTCAATCTGCTCAGATTACCTTGATATATTCTCTACTTCACTCCCTTTCCACTTTAAGATGCCCATACAATCCAGTTCAGGATACTGCCTTCCAATTTATTCTGGATTTGTGAGAAGAAATTGGGGGTTTTTTTAATCTAGATTGCTTTCATTGGAACGCCAGGCTCTCTGAAGTCCTTTTTTTCTACTTGCTTTTCACAATGAAAGGGTCTGAAAAAGCAGTGGCTTCCACACCAGGTATCTGACTGACAAGAAGATGTTTTTTATTGCAAGAACTTTGTAAGAGTGCATACATGTTTATTATCTGAAATTGTTGACCTTTAATTTATTTGACGTTTTTTAAAATGAGACATATTTAAGAAAAATTAATTCAGTTTACAAATTTATCAAATTATTTTATTCTTTTTAAATTAAAATAAGAAGGTAAAATAAACTCCAAAAGGAACAAACCTAGTGATTCTTTGAAATGCTTTCTGTTCCAGGACACCTGCTGAACATAGAAGATACCCACTTATTTTCTATTTTCAACTTTAATGCTTAGTTTGGATGCATTTAATTATACTTTTGACTTTTTTATTTCAGAATAAAAGTGAAATGCAAAACAATTGTCAACTGCAGCAGGGTCACAATGAAGGTACATCTGGTACACCATCACCCCACTGTACAACCACAGCTAACCAAGAGAGTGAATTCACCTCAACGGCCATATTGGCATCCCATAATTCTTACCTGGCTGGTTACCAAGACTGCATGGAGGAGGCAATGCGATATTTAGCAGAAGTTGAAAATATTCCTCAGACTGATCCCCTGGTGGTAGGGCTTCAACAACATCTTGTAGAGCAAAAAAAGCTGCTGGCAGCAAATATACCATTCTCCCAAAATGTTTTTCATTGGGATGGTGGACACAATTTTTCATTTTACAATAATCCAGAAGCAGTTGATTCCATGGTTGTCCCACAGACTCACAATAATATGAGCTATGGTTTTAATTCAGAGACAAGTGCAATCCAAGAATCCACAGTAATTCCAGATCACGTACAGCCATCCTCGTCCTCAGCATCGTCATCTTCATCACAACAGGAACTTCATTCTAGGATATACGCAGAATTATCAAAACTCTCAGATTTAAGAACAAATGTAAGTGATGATGAAGAAATGAATGGTGATGATGATGATGATGAATACGACAGTTGCTCTGATGAAGAGGATCTTGATAATGGGCAGGATCCTTTCTCTGAATATGCATATCAGCTGGCATTACTTGTACAGAACAATCCCTCAATGGCCGGTTTGACTGAAGAACTTTTGGCACTGTTGGGCAATGTGTCCACAGAACATAAGCTAGAGACAGCAGCAACAACAGAAACACAGACATCTGGAAATGACTGTTATTAAAGAAAACAAAGCACTGAGACAACTCTGTCATTTCAAATTGTTAAAATTTACATTCTAAGAAGTTTTTATCATCATAGCACAAACAAGTCAATTTCATTTTTTTTCTCCCGTTTTTCTCAAACATACTTTTGGATTTAGATTGGAATTACATTTTTCATTGGGATTCCATCTTCTTGAAAGGCATCTTTAAAAATAATAAAAATTACAATGATTCATTGTAACTTCTTGCCAGTTTTGACAAAATGTCTTAAATGTTTCTTTTATCTTTTATGGATCTTATTCAAAGTGCTCAATATATACTGGTTAATATCTTGTAAACTTGTTTTCAAGTTAAATTACTTTTGATTTTTGTTTGATTATCAGCAGCAAACTTCAGGTGAAATGACTCGAGTTTCTGACAATGGTTTTATTAGACCATTAGCTTTTAGGACCTGTTTCCAGTTAAGTTGGCTTGGCCTGACTAAGCACTATCTCAGTTGGCAGGCTGTATACGAATTAAACTAAAAGAAGCCAATATAATCCTCTAGTATCGCCATAGCAATCAAGGCATACACCAGACCATTAGATCGATATCTTTTATGGAAAATAATCATAATCACAGTGCCTGTTGAGATTGCACACAGTTGAATGGATCCAATTTCACTGGAAACTGGTCCAAACTTTTGGCAAGCCTTGGATAACTCCCTATCTGTGCTGTCACACTTAACCTGAAAGTGCTACACTCTACAGATAAGATTATTATATATTGTCCAGTTAGTATTATGCTGTCATTGAGATGCTAAGAAACATGCACAAGTTGATGAATGCTAAAACAGATAGTAAACAAAACTTTTGAAAGTTCTTGAATGTAATAGACAGACCTTTGATAGGACTGAAACTCGGAGTGGTTTGTATGTGTACCTGTGGTATGAATGGATATGCTGTGAGAGTCCAACTATATTCAGTTAATGAATTAAGAAAACGTATTTCATCAAGATGGTTGCAGTCTGGTACTGAACACACATGAAATGTACTTACCTGTATATACCAGTATACCGATGTTACTTTTTGCATACCATGTTATTGCTAGTTTTGATGTTGTCAGTAATGCCAGTTATAGACAAAAATAAATGAAGTTTAAAACATATTAACATGGGTTTGAGTTAATTAAACATTTTTAAAATACAACTAATCAAAAGTTGTTTTTATAAGCAATTAAAATGCATATTAGCTTTTATTCCTAATTTTAACATTCAAAGGTACACTTCATGGGTTTGAAAATCCACCAAATGCTTATTTTTGCCATCTGCAGCTTCTTATAAAACCTTACTGGTACATACACCTTAAAAATGATTTAACCTCTTAAATAAATATTTTGCTGGAGTGAACCTGTTATTGATATTTCCAGAGAAGCTTAGGGAGATTGTCCCTGTTATGATGACTGGCCAATCATTTTTAACTAAATCAACCTTTATGTTCAATTCAAGGTAGAATCAGAGAAGTAGCTATGGTAGAATCCAAGTGAAGAGAGGTATAGATAAATGATTTGTGAAAATGAATGATTGCTTATTTCCTTGGGAAAATCCATTTTGGAAGGTAAATCCCATGGAGTTGACCTTTAATTACTCCCTTACTCGTGATACAAAAAGAAAAAAGCTTTTCATTTACATATTTACTGAATCAAATAAATTATACAGCACTATTAAGTAGGTTGACTTTAAATTTTACATTTAGCACATACAACACAAAATGCTTAACTGTAAAGTTTTTCACTGGTGTACATTTTTTGGAACATTAAAAAGTCTTAGCATCTGTGCTTCAATAATCCTGGTAACTAGTTCATCTTACCCGTACAAACTGCTTATCTATCTTATTTCCAATATTTTACTCTTTTTGCTCTGTTTTACAAATCTTAATCAAATTATTCACACAAACCGATTTTAAAGTCAAACTGACTTCCACAGTTAAAAAATGACTTTTTGTGAAATAAACATATTATGTGTATAATTAAGTACTATATTGGAATACAATAAGTGTACTAAATAAATATATCAGTAATAAACACTTTCATGTCCCACCTCCAAATTCATTTATCACAGTGCTTTTAATGAAACTTTTCATTACTTAAAATCTGAAACTGAAAATACTGAGTCACTGCAGCAAAAGATAGGCATAAATTTGTTTAATGCAATAATTCACTTCTTTATGTACCAAAACAATCAATTCTACCTTTTTTATCATACCTGCTTTTTCTGAAAAAAAAAATACTAAAAAATTAAAAAATAATGGGGACCTAGACAATGTCAGATGTATACTCTTTCAATGAGATGAACTCCTCAATCTGGCCTGAGATGATATAGAGGTTTGAAAATGAAGAAGTTAGCACCCATTGGACCTGAAGCTCAGGGTACATCAACCCTTAAGAGATTTTGAAGTTCTTCTAAAATATAGTTAAGTTTCCAAAATGGTCTGAAAGAGAGATCTTTTCAGTAGAGATACTTTTCCCATCATTAAAGACCTGCAAGGTGTGTTAGATCTTTATACAGAAAAACCTTTCTAGTACTTTCAGTAATTTTCTATTTACCATAAAGGTACACCCTATCTAAAACCACAGAGAAAAATTACAACGTTAACCCATGTTTGAGCTCTTAGTTTGTCATTTCTACCATCACATGAGTTAACTACCAATCCTGATTTACACTACAAAAAAGTCTCGAATATTGAAAACTTAAAACTCACAAAACAGTCTATAAAAAAAAAAAAAAACATTCGTAGTGTTCTAATATTTGTATGGCATTGAGATTTCCATTGCATGTCGACTATAAATTATTTACTATCCTTGAACTGTATAACAATCTAGGCACAAACAATAAATTACAGAGTTTTATCTTGCTCGGTTTTGGCACAATATAATGACATATAAACAATATGATTACATTATCAGGACCTGTTTGAAAATGCTGGCAACAACGCTATCAAAATTTAGAACAATTTAGTTAAGTGATCTGTCACTGAATCTTTAAGTACCAGTGTATGCAGGAAAAATAACTGATTCTTATTTTAATATTTAATAAATTTGGTGATAGTATTTTATCCTCTAATTTGTGGTTGCCAGCCACCCATAAGTTTCTCCACTTCTTGTGCTACAGCTATGGTCAGCCTGTCACTATACAGACTGCCCACCAACTGTATACCCATAGGTAAACCTTCACTATTCAGCCCAACAGGACACTGAGTGACAGGCAAGCCTAACACATTAAACACTCCAGTATAAGCAAAATTGAATGGCATTAACAATGGCTGGTTGTGGTATGGAGCCACTCGGGGTTGTGTGGGATATATCAATACTCCGTTGTCTCCGAGTAACTCCTGGAATTCTTCTTTCAGCTTCTCACATATACTTATAGCCTTTTTCTGTTTCTCTGGAAAAAGCCTCCCCAATTTCTCTGTCATGCCAAGACTAATAGCAGGTAGGGTGTGATTGGAAAGTCCTACCAACCACTTGATGAATTCCAGATAGGGGTTGACTGGCACACCATTCCCCATAAGCTCACAGAATGTTGTACCTCCACAAGTGGACATCTTGGCCTCCCACATCTCAAGAGAATACTTGAGTTTGCTGAGCTGGACAGGTTGAACAGTTACCCCTAGGCTCTCAGTAAGTTTCTTGACAAGCTGTAAAAGAAAAAAATCTATGTAAATAAGCTGAGGATTTGACTGCCAAACAAACAAACAACAACAACAAAAAAATAAATAAATAAAATAAAATGTAGATAACAGACACTCTGAAACTGTTAGTATATTTTTACAAGCTAGGAAAAAGTCATAGATGTAATAAATGTCACAGAAGTAAAAAATGTTCATACATTAAAACTTAGAACTAAAAATCTTTCCTTCTTTTCTGTAAGATAATCTTTTGTATATTTCAAATTCTAAAACAAGGACATATACTAGTGAAATACATCTTTACTGAATTAGGTTATACTAGGACCCATCAAAGTTAGTATTCCAATTCAATGCAACCATTACCTCTCTTTGTGTTGCTCTAATTTCAGAATCCACAGAGTTGACTAACATATCCCCGCCATCATCTTCCATGGTGAAATAGCGCAGCTTTCTTATATCTTCCTGTTGGAAATAATTTCAGTTAGTGAAAAAAATAAATAAAAACCTTTTCAGTGTGGTGTAATTAAAAACAGAATAAAGACTTGACAATGCTTGCACAGGACTCAAATATGTGGTGTGGAAATATAGCATGAACTATTTTAGATACACTCCCTGTTATGGTCAACTCTAATAGATTGTGAAGTCTAAATGCTTTAAGCAGACAATGCTACAGTCAATTCCTAGTTTTTGTTTTCCATATATATGGTAATGACAATCTTTTCAATGGGGGAAATAATAAATTTTACATTTACTGTATTTTTTGTCATAATTTTTTAAAATTAAAACTGTCCTATGTGGTGGTAGCAACAAAATTGAAAAGCAGGCTACCCTATAGTACAATTCTATGCATTAAAGCAACACAAATGCTAGACAGAAATATAATTTTTATGATCCTTAAATTATGTATCTGAAATATTGATAATTTTTGCCCATTGACAAGATCAAGTCATTACATATATATTTTTTTGATGTAAAGCTGTCTGTGCAGTGAACATGCTGACATTTTCCTTTGCTGACTCTACAGTGTTGAAAGATGCCCCCCCCCCCCCAATCAATCAACCAACCAATCAATCAATAAAAGATTGATCATCCATCACTATTTCAATTTTTTACCTCTTGGTCCAGTTTTAATTTTGCTCCCTTGTCACCAGCTAATATCTTTAACATAGGTTTGAGGTCACAAGCATATCTGCACATGGGTCCCGTCACTAGGTAGTCTTTTTCTTTTGCAGTGGCATTAGGATATTGCCCATCATTGTTTACTATACCTAATAAATACCAGAAGTCAATATTTGAAAAATAAATAACATTTCAGCATAAAGTTTTTCACATTGTTTAAAGTTAAAGATTAAGCAGATTTTATAGCAGATTTTAATTTTACACCATTCTCAAAAAACACCATTAAATATAAATGATTAATTCTAATTCTACACATTAGTCATAATTACCAAAGGTAGGCTTGTGCCCAAAGATTCCACAGAACATAGAAGGCAGGCGAATGGAACCACCAATATCTGAACCAACACCTATCACGGAGCCTGCTGCTGACAAGGTGCATGCTTCACCACCTTTAATTAGGAAATAAAAAGATAAGACAGTCCTATTAAATTGCAAATTATTTTATAAGCAAAATTGATGTGTATGAAACTGGCCAAGCAAAGGTTTTCATAGGGCCATTGCAAAAAGACACAGACCTAACTCCAGAGGAGATGGCTGGGAAAGCATGTCTTTTTTTATGTAGAGTGACAGTAGGGTATCTTGAGAAGTCCCTCCCTACAATCTTTCTTTGAACTGACTAGCAATGACTGGGACATACAGGAGTATTTACACATACTGATGATCACAGGCTAGATGATGATAAGTTTTTTAAATAGGTTTGGACTTATTCCACATGAAACAATTGTTCTACGTAGATCGATCCAATTCCACGAGGAGTTTTACTGAAGACAATCAGATTAACAGATTAACATACTTTAAGGAAGTTCACCCTGTCCAGTCATCTCCAGCTGACCAAGAACACTAGCCTGTCCTTACCTGGGTAAAAGACAACTGTTCCCAGTCAGTTGTATAGCCAGAAAAATTCATATAATAGTATGTACTAACTGAAAGATGCTCCAGCAGAAAACGGGCTGAAGGCCCTAAAATGTATATGTATGTGCACATTATGCCAAAGTACAAAAAATCTCATAGGTGGGATGTGCCCACATAAGATGGACATGGAAAAACAGCAGCAAAACTGCAAAATTGTGTGGAAATAGTGATAAAACTGTCTTATTAGTAGTTAGGCAGGCCTGACATACCTGAACTCCCTCCTACGATTCTACTGTTGTTATATGGATTCCCTGTCCTCCCATAGACCGTGTTAGCACTCTCCCACCACATACATAGTTCACTTACATTGGTCACACACAGAGGAATGCCACCAGCTTTTCTGACATTTTTAATCACGGGGGCATCAACATCAGCTATGATGGTAGATCTACTTTTCAACCCTGATGAATTTGATAGACCTAGAAATAAAAGATACAACTGAATCATTTTTAAATAATGAATAATGTTTTTAACAATCAACTATGTGTACTGACAATATGCATTTTGTACTTTTTTAGTTTTTTTTTTTTTTTGCTTTTTTTTATTTATTTTATTATTTCGGGGAGGGGGGGGGGGACATAAGTTCAGTGTTTGGTGGGCAGTCCATACCAAACAGAACCCCAGCTATACCTATCAATGATAATAATGCATTTCTTTTAAAGAAAATACAAATCTAGCAAGTTTACAAAATCTATTTATCATAACATCTAAGATTAGTCACACCCACAATACACATCAATATTAACAAGCAGGGTGATCATGCCCATTGGCCATAAAATCAGCTGCAGGTTTTTTTTACAATACCTTTAACAGCAAATGCCTCTTTAGTTGTAAAAGGAACCCCTAAGAATGGAGCATTCACTTCTGAGTATCTCTCATCCAGTTTTCCAGCACCAATTATGGAGTCTATCTCTCTGGCTTCTGCTAGGGCATCCTCAAATCTTTCTGACACCACTGCATTGACAATGGGGTTAATGACTTTAATGCGGTTAATAAAGGTTTCAACAACTTGTTCTGATGTGACCTAAAAAGAATGATTAAAATTTTTTTTTACTTCACAGTGAGATGATGAATATACAGATACCACAACTGAGGGAATACCTTGTGGGTAATAGCCAGAGGCTGGTTTCACAAAAGAATTTTAGGCCAAAATTTACCTCAATTTCAGTCATTCAATTCAGTATATCTCTGTTATAGTAAACTTAAATAGTGTAACTACTGATCTAACACAGATAATATTCAAATTTAAAAACAGGTGCATAATTTCATTTCTGAATCAGTGGACTATTTTGGAGTAGAAGTTATTTTGTAAGACAAGCCCCAGTCATCATGAATAACAGCAAATGCCACACAATACGTCTCACATCTCACCTCTTATCTTATAATCATGTAAGGCAAGGGAGTAACTCCATGGGTTGAGACCCATGCATCTTGCTCACCTTCTTGAAACCTGGTCCAAAATAAATATGTACATCAATCCATTAACTAACAGTTACTTAAATGGATGATGTACATCTATTTTGGTAAACAGAATTCATACTAACCTCTCTCTTTCTAATCTTTTTAGCCAGTGAAGTGCCACTCTGAAGTAGAATGCTGTCTGTGATGGGAGGGACTTTCCTTGCATGTCTCTCATATATTAATGCAAATATGCAGTTGGTGATAGGCTTCAGTACAAATCCAACCACCCCAAGCACAGCAGAGACAATCCTTTGCCAAGTCTTCATCTCACCATAACCTGCAAAATACATATATGGGCTTTTCAATGGTTATAGTCCACGAAAACTTGATAACATTTTAAGGTGTTCTCCATGCAGCCAAAATGAATTTTCCTGGGATAAAGTCTTTCCTTCTCACAAATCACTGCTTAACCCATCCTTGCACTATAGGGCTTTATCTTATTCCATGTTCAAATTAATTGTTCAGTTCTAAATGACTGGCCAGTCAAATAAAATGATATGTGCCTTGACATGCATTGCCTTGTTTTTACACAAGAAAATGGCAGGGTTTAATGCATTGTGGCCCTGTGTCATGTTATGTATAATACAGATGTTGCAAGGAATGTTTCAGATAAACCTTAATCCAAAGGGTTTTATACATTATCTTCAAGATCTCAACTGGGAAATACAAGAAGTTTAACAGGACATAAATATGACTGTGGCAGATTTTCAAACACGTGCAGATCGAGTCCCTTTAATCAAAGGCAATCATAGACTGTTGGCATTGGCAGAGATCGAACTTACTTTAGTTTGCACTCTTGGGAATTATAAAAGCTCTAAGCTTTATAGACCATTTTACTTACAGGGGTGAGATTGCCATTCAGTGATTAGTGATAAAGTAGAAAAATATGGCATGGGGTTCAAGGGGGGGTTACTGGTAGACCAATGATATTTTTGGCTTCCATAAAGTTGGAAATCTGCCGATATTTGGAAAATTTTGATCCCTGTACTTAAACTATAAGCTACTCTTATAGCATTGGTAGTGAAAACTTGCATATTTCCCTTTCATTATATGCATGGTGTTTTTCTGTATTTGCAGGGTTGTCATGCCACGTACTGTACATGTACATCTGTAACAATAAATGAATTTAGAAAAACACTGTAAATACTGAGTAGAAGACACTTACTTCTGGTGGCATATACCACAAAAAGGGGTCATCCACTTTAGCATCATTTTCAGAAGTCTACAAATAGTACCCTTTTCCAGACCCCCCTTTCTGAGAGTACCCAGTACTAAGTGAAAAGCTAAAATGATGACCTTTGACATATCAATTTGGATCATAATTTTTATTATGTTTCAAAAGTGCTGGCATTAACCCCTTTCTCCCCAGCATGCGATTTGTAGGCTTGTAAAAATGATAAAAAAATAGATGATCATGACCCTTTAGTACCCACTTCCCTTCTTTATGGCGTTCAAGATGTGAGGATCGATCTACATGTATCAGGTAACTTAACATGTTAATTATTCTCTAGCTGAATTTCAAATCTTGACAGAAGACGGCAATACAAATTTAATGATAGAAAAACACAAATTAGAAATATCATTAAAACAAATGCGGTTAAAGACAAAAATCATTAAAATGTTCTTGTGTATTACCTGCTGAAGTCACTGCACTGAGATATTATATCATTTTAGTCGATAGAGGGCACTGAGGGCACATGTGTGGAAGAGTGTGAAAGCGCATGCTCAATGACGAGGGGGAATCCCCTTCCAACTGGAAATTTTGTTGTGTCAGTTCCATCTTCCTTGTGATATGGGCAGGTATCAGAAGAAAATCACGAATTTCTTAATTATTACTTGATGTGAGTAACAATAAGTACGTTTGTAAGTTAATATACATTGTAAAACATCTATCTGGAATCGTTTAAACTGTTATTTTTTGGCGTATTTGTTATTTGTTAAACGTTTAACTTGTTACTCAAATGTATTGTGTCAATTTATTTACTTAAGTGCTGTTTTTAGTAATATCTAAATAGCAACAGTTTTTGTAGAATATCATATATAAATGCTTTTTATTATCTCCAGATTCTCTTGAAGCTTTATGACAGAATACATATAATGCGTCGTATTTTTTGTTGATACGTTTCAGTGTTTAGACGTGGGGTGAGGGATGGGATGTGGGGTCACAGGCACAGTGACTCATAATGTTTACGCTAGACGACGCTTTTTTGTATTGATTTTAATGCGTTTTATGTAATATGATATACGGTTGCTTTGCCCTTCCTTTTAGAAACTTGATAGGCTGGACTTGCAAAAACTTACCAATGAGTAAATATGTTCTATTTTCAGGTGTTGGGTTTTCCCAGTGTAGAATGAACTATATTTAGGGAATGTCATAAAGTTTTTAAAGATAGCCAACGAACGTCTGCGACAACAAAAAAGGTAACTCTTAAGCAATTTCTGTTAAAAATTCAAGAATGCTTTTCATGTTAATATTTCATTATTTCAAAAGTATTCAGAATATCACAGAAAACAGTTTATTATCACATAATATTCTCTTTCCATTGAGTTGGCAGTTATATATGCGAATTGATTTTTTCACTTTCAGTTTCTGTTGCAAGCGTAATTTAGGCTATTTAAACTTTTCAGTTGAATGTGGATACCTTTCACTTGTGAGGAACAACGTGAAAGTGAAACAAGCGCAAAGTAGAATCAGATCGTGATGATAAATGTGCTATTATGCTGAATGTATTATGCTATGTCTTAAAAGCTCGACAGTAAAGATTGCCTGGGGCAAGTACACATTAATTTCGGGGAAGTCCGCTGAATCGGCAGGTGATAAAATAAAGCAAAAAGACAGAGATTTTAACACAAATCTCCATGAATTTTGATTTAAAACTTCACTTTCTATTTGTGTATGGCCCTGGCCATCTTTGAGCATCTTCCTTTGCTTGATTTCATTTGATTGACAGTGCTTTATTACCTCCGTCAAGGAGATTATGTTTTCACCCCTGTTTGTTTGTTTGTCATCAACATAACTCAAAAACTTATGGATGAATTTTAATGGAATTTTCAGGGTAGGTTAGAAACGGGTTAACTTAGAAGTTATCAATAATCAATCAATAATCAAAAACAAAAAAAACTAAGTTATGGACCGATTTTGATGAAATTTTTGGCCAAGGAACAGATGATAAGTTTTTGGTCGGATCAATTTTCAATCCAGATCAATAATCAATCAATAATCAATAATCAAAAAACTAAATCATTATAGAATGAAAATTTAGGGGTGAAACGGCATTGGGTGGAGACTGCTGCTTTGGCGGAATTCTGCACTCTCATTTACCAGTAAACTGGCCAGGAGCATTTGTTCTAACACAACTCTGCAAGGGTATTTGAATTGCACTGCCATGCAACATTGATCTATTCTAGCAAATTTAAGATCATGCAATATTCAGATCATGTCTTTGTCAAAATTTGACTTTCGCTTCACTTATCTCCATCTTCCCTGCTTGGAAATAGGGCTGGGACATGGTGATCTATTCTGTGCAGTCTTTTGCTGCTTTATGCCAGGTTGAACCCATCACCTGGAACTCGCTCTGGACTGTTCCTCTACAAGTTGTTTTAGGTTGCCCGGGCTTATGCCTCCTGACAGGGGTCCACTTGCACTGGATCAATGTTTGGGTGATTCTCTCCTGTACCACCCTGAAGACATGGTAGAGATGTAGATGATCACTCCTTGAGGAGAGGACTGCCGGGTCATCGGCAAAGTCTATATCCTCAAGGTGTGAGAAAAGGGCCTCTGGCCTTGTCTGATTTTTTCTGTCACATTATCCAATAGATGGTTACAAGGAATAATATTGGGGAGAGGATATATTTTTGATGGACACAAGAGTTCACTGGAAATAGTTCTAAAATGGTGCTGTTGTCAGTAATAACGCTGCACTCAGAATTATGATAAAACAGTTTGATAAGTGTGATAATCTTGCCAGGGATCCCATATGACTTCCAAAGAGTCTCCCTGTGTACACTATCAAATGCTTTGCTAAAGTTTGGCTTTACTCTACCTAAAAAGAGTGATATGGAAGAATTAAGGAAAGGGAAGTGGGCATTAGTACTATAGTACTACTATACAAAGAAAAAAGATAAAAATATACATTGAGAAACAATATGGTAAGTAAATTGGTGGAATAGAAGAATATTAACACAAACACCAAAATAAAATGTACAAATATTCAACATAAATGATTGAAATGAAAAAAAATAGTGGGTACCGTTTTGTTAATCTTTTGATCAATAAAATATGGGCAAGTGAATTTCCAGCTCAGGCAAGTACATTTCGCCAGTCACTTTCCCACAGTGTCAAGTGGCTGAAAGAGTTAACGTTGAGCCCTGGTTTACTGAGGTTAATAGTTTCATAATTTTTTTCTAGAAACATACTAAAAGAAGATAACAACAAAATAAAACGAAAAGAACATCAGGATGGAAAATAAGAAAAGGGTGCCCAGTCCTCAACCATCACTCTCCAGTGTTAATCCAGAGAAAATGAAAATAGTATGGAACAAGGTCCAAAATGATGTTGTTGTTCCACAGAATCCACCTAAAATTCCATTTTTCAACCTGATGTCTTGGTTTACAATAATGCTGCCACCACTAGAAATGTATCCAGCTGACTTTGCAGGCTTCTTGAAGAATTTTTTGCTAGATAAGGGGATGCAAGACGCATTGGAAAAGGCTAAGATTCTGAACTGGTGTCGTACTTGCAAGCCATTGTATGCTGTTTCTACAACAGGTTGGTAGATATATGATGTGTTTACTTAACAGATTTTTCAACTTATATGTAATAAAAGTATGTAGATTTGCTTGATGCATGTTATCAGCAAATATAACAATTCTGGGAGGACATAGGGAATCCATAATTGTCAAAAAAAGGATTCTGGTAAACTGATAAATTTCTGTGCCTTAACTTGATCAGTAATTATGAGCCCCTGGTATTACAGTAGTGCCATAATGATAAGTTGTGACTTTGAACAAATGTCTGCATATATCATGTGTAAAAAGTTTTCCTTATGGATACTTATCAAGTGATTGGTTATCAAGTTAGTGTCAGCGAAAAGAGTATAGCTAAGGCAAGCATACTTAGCTTTATAATCATAATTATCACAGTCACCACTGTTCCAGCTTCCCCCTTGAGTATGCAAAGCCAAAGCTTTTAATCCTTCAGTATATGGGGCCATTCAGAATAAAAGATTCGAGTATCAACTGGTCCAAGGATCAAATATAGTGGACCCTACATGAAAGGAAGACCATTTAATTCTGTAATGGTCTCTACCATTAAATCTCGGCGCCAATTGACCAGACGCGTGGGGAGGCGTGGTGAAGTTGGAGAGACCATTTAATGATTAAGCGGTCTTCCTTTCATGTAGGGTCTGCCATGTTTTATCCTTGGACCATTTGATACTTGGATCTTCTATTCTGAATGGCCCCTGTAGTATATGACATTTTACATAAAAAAACCTGAATGATATTTCAGGTGATGGGAACTGCCTGCTTCATGCAGTGTCTCTTGGTATGTGGGGAGTTCAGGATGAGACATTGTTCTTGAGACGGTTAATATACGTCACTTTAGTAGATGATGAAGGTACAGGGAAGTTCAAGCAAAGATGGATGAGGGAAAGAGCTGCACAGAACGAGGACATACCAGGAAATTTCAGATATAACACTGGGGTAAATATAAGTCAGACGAACTTCCATTAATTTAGATAAGTGAACATTTTTACAGTTATTGGTTTTCATTTTTTCATAATTATACAATAGTTTAATGTTATCATCTTTGTATCAGTAGACAAAGTTTTGCAGTTTTAATGAAAATAAATTAAAAGCTTTGTCAATTCATTTATGTTTAAGAAAAAGTAAAATTGTTTCCTTGTCATTACAGGAGTGGGAGAGAGAATGGGACACAGTTGTACGTATTGCAAAAGATGTAAAAAAACCAAACAGGTGTGCTGATGAACTGCCTTATGAATCACTAGAAGAAGCCCATATCTTTGTTCTTGCAAATATTCTCCGGCGGCCAATTATTATTTTATGTGACTCTGTTATCAGAAATATCCAAGAGGTTACTGTAGGCCCCAACTATTTTGGGGGAATATATTTACCTCTGTTATGGAAGCCTCAAGATTGTGAAAAATCTCCCATAGTGCTTGCTTTTGATGGTTATCATTTTACACCTCTAGCCAGTGCTGAAAATGCCCCTCATGAAGATGCAAAAGCTTTAAGTTCATTGCATGCTGTTCCATTAGTTACTCATGAGTATGAACCCCTGACTGTACACTTTTTGCTCCAAGAAGAAGAAAGAAAGGTGTATGAGATAATGCAAGACTACATGAAAGTCATAGAGGTGCCATATACCACAGCTACTGGAACAAACATTGTTCTGTCTGCAAAGCTGCAACCAAAGCAATTGGACGATGATGCTAATCTCATCCCTGACTTTATCAGAGCTTGTGAAAGTAAGTTTCAAAAATCTAAAGAAGAAGCATTGTTTGAACAGAGAAAAAGTGTCACCAAACAGCCACATCAACCAAACCAACCGGCTAGGTTCACAAGCCCTGGCTATGACTTCAAAACAGAAGACACTGTATTGATGAGACCTTATTATGATGACATCAGACCATCAGCCCCCATTTTTGAGGCAAGAGAGGAGGAGCCAGAAGATCTTTACTCTGCCAGCCCAGAGGTGGTCCCAATCAGTAGTATGGAGCCACCAAAATCCTATATTCCTTCTGTGACAGGAGACCATTGCCAGACACCAGGCTGTGCATACATGGCATCAGTGAAGACTCATCCATATTGCAGAGAGTGTGCAGAAAAGATACAGAAGCAGAGGAAGGGTTCAGATAGTACAGGAGAGCAGTCAAGAACTGCTTCTAAAGATGGGAAGAAATGTATCCAACCAGGATGCCAACTTTATGGCTGTCTTGAACAGAGGCAGATGTGCTCCAAGCATTTCGAAGAAGATGAGACCCACTTGAGACATCTACATGAATCTGTAACGAAGAAGAGTGCTTCATCCACTATGTATTCTGGAGGTGCTTATGAAGACCCACATCATGAATATACTGGACAAGCTACTGGAACACCCTCTCCAGCCACGACCTCACTTTGTAAAACACCTGGGTGCAGGAACCCTGGAGATACCATTCACTATGATGGTCTTTGCACAGGATGTTTTGTAAAATATGTTGGTACACCAAAACAAAGTGCCACCAAGGGTAGCAGCATTGCAGAAAACCCATTACCAGTCACCACTGGATTATGCAAGACACCGGGATGTCTATTTACTGGAAGCAGCCAGTACAATGGTTATTGCTCCCAGTGTTTCAAAGATGCTGTTCCACAGAAGTCTCCCTTTAAGGGAACAGGTAAAATGCAAGCACCAGCCAATGTGAAAAGTTACGTCGGGTATGTGCCTTACTCCAGGTTGTCAGTTTAATGGGAGCTATCATTTTGAGGGCCTGTGCTCTCAATGTCACAAGAAGAAGGTTGAGGCACAAAACAAGCAAGTTTCTTATCCAGTTGTAGAAAAATCGGGCTCTGCCAACAAAGGTTTCGATGATCAGTCTGTTAAACAGCAGTATCCACAGTCCATGCTTAATGAGGTTCAGCAGTGTAGAACCATTGGGTGTGAGTATGGAGGCAATCCCCAGACGAAAGGCTATTGCTCCCAGTGTTATGTAAACCATGGGGCCAGGGAATATGTTGCATCGCAGGCAGAAGGTAATGAAGATGATGATGATGAAGAAGACTTGACTTCCATGCAGATCCTTGCCAAGTTGCCAGCGTCAAATCCTGAGGAAAGGTCCAAAGCCCGCAGGTATTACAAATGTGTCACATCAGATTGTAATAAAATTGGCCATGAATCAACTAGTGGGTTATGCACAGAATGCTATGTCAGATTCTACCGTTTGACTCATGGATCTAAGAAAACACAACAACAACCCCCTCAACACAAACCTGATTCCCTTAAAGGACAAGACTCCACTCAGAGAGATGTGTGTGCCACCCAAGGCTGTTGTGGAGTACGCCTTCGTGAAACCATCTACTGCTTCAGTTGCTCTAAAGATAAAAAGCACGGGAAACAGCCATTTATTGAAGCCTCAGCCCAGGATCAGCGCCCACGAATTTCACAAATGAAGTTCTCCAAAGAACCTGCAGTCCACAGTTCCCCTCTGTCAGACTATGAGCAGCCACAGTTCACCTCACTGACATCTAAAGTGATACCCAATGGACATGAGATGTCCCAACAGAAGTGCACCACTGAGAAATGCAGCAACTTTGGTTATGATAACACCAATGGACTGTGCCAGGACTGCTTCAATAGAATTTGCATGGCAGAGGCTTATCGTCTACAATCGGGAGAAATCCATATTCCAGAAGAAAGCAGAGGTATTTCAATTAAGATCTCTTTTAATTGCTGACTAATATTATAAATTTTGCTTTTGATTTTTTTTTTCTGGTAGGTTATTGCCTGTAGAAAAGTTAACTCCCAGAAAACAGTATCAATATGACCTAGTTTGTCAATCTGGTAAAGGGTTTTAAAGATTAAATGAATTAATATGTTTTGGGGAAACTGGTTGAATGCCTGTAAACAAATTATTTTAACATTTTCATTTCAATTTTGAATGTTGATCTGCCTAAAGTATTGTTTTTTTCTGTTCAGCTCCAGATTATGAAGCTCTACATTTGAAGTGTATTACTCCAGGCTGTAACTTCTTTGGTACTCCTAATCAAAATGGATATTGCCACAAATGCCTAATGGAGAAGATTGCTAGAGATGAAGGTATGCATTAATACAAGTCTATTTGACCCATGTCTCTGTAGTTAGAAACAGTTCACAGAACTTTCATTGTCTTAAAACGCCTGTCTTCTGTTTAGATTGCATGTGTTAATATTCTTGAGGGATTTTATTTGTATAAAGTATCAGTTCATTGGTTTGATGATTAATTAGAATTTGTCAAATTGTTCTTGAAGGTAATGACAGCTGTGTCTCTGACTGCACCATGGTATACATCTATATTAACTTGGGGGGAAAAGCTGTTGCTTTTATTCAATCCAAGTGCATGATTGTGTCATTTTAAAATTAGAACCCATTTGCTTAAGAAAGGGGATCTCCACTGTAGCTGCATTAAATTATATGTAAATTATCATTTATGGAGAGTTTTCTTTTGTTGTTTCACTTAGTTGAAATACCCACTGTACCAGCTACTAGACCACCTGTTCCGAGTGCAGCTAAACATTGCAACGTTCAATATTGTGACCGATTTGGTGATCCAGCAGAAGAGGGTTATTGTCATGAGCACTACATGCTCACTCGTCGCTCGTTTGATGTGTTTCCATCTTCATTATATCCTGAAGAGAGAGCCAATTCGTTACCCTCCTATAACACATATGAGGTGGAGTATCTGCGCCAGCCAAAAGTGATGCCAAGAAGATCGACATCTCAGATCTGCAGAGAAAACTCCATATCAAGGCAACCTGTGGGTCAGATGACCTTTGAAGATGATATGCTGCGCCATGCCACTGCCATTCGCTCATCGACAGGGGAATGCAAAGGTGCAGGGTGCAGTAACTATGGGAATTCTAGGAATAGGGGGTATTGTAATAGTTGTTTTCCTGTTTATAATCGTTATTGAGAAGTTGGATAGGGGCCGTAGCAATAGGTTCATTGGTCTGAATGTTCACTATAGAACCTTCGGACTAACGATACCTTGATTAAAAAACTGATGTAAATGCTACGATTTTTCGGACCAATGAACCTTCAGACTATCAAGAAGCCCCCATCTGGTAAACATGGAAACATTTAGCTTTCACATTTTATGCAGCAAACGTTCAATCAACAGAAAAAATCGAAAGAGGTGAAAAAATCGAAAGAGGAGAATATATGAATATGCATGTTAGGCATATCAAATTATTGCCACCTTATTTAAATTTCTGGTTGCAAACCTGACTTGCGTATTTATCTCTCTAGTTCGTAAATTTGAAGAAGGTGCAGTTTTAAAGCTCTTTTATGGTCGATTGAGTGATTTATTTGGTTAATGCCGTGGCATGTTGACTTTAGTCAAGAAATATTAGAAGTGTTGCAAATGCTCTACTCAAAGAGGGGAAAGATATATTCATTATAGTAGGGTAAATCTGAAAAATTTTCCATAATGTGTGATTTCTGAGGGAAATTTGATCTTGAACACAAATCTGACAACCATTTATTGCTACAATTATTAATATCAGTAAGATGATAATTTTCAAAATGGCAGCCAAAACAGCCTTGAGCTGCATCAACAACAATTTAAGGCACTATAATGTGCCATATGATTTTTTTTCAATGTTTTAAGGGTTTAGAATTCATTTTTGATGTTAAACCTGTGATAGGTACATTTTAGAATGAATCCAATCACCATGTGGACTGGTTTACTGTCCAACTAGATGGAAGGGCCAGAAACTTTGATGATGGTGACAGTCAAAATGAGGATTGATAAAATCTTCCAACATCTGTATATTATAATCTGTATATTATATCATAAGGAAAAATCAATAATCATAACAAAAAAAGTGAATGTTTTTAAAATTATTAATATGGGATAGGTGATATGCCTTTGTTTTACTAGTATATGTACATGTTTGAAGCTGCAAAAATATCACTTTCAAAAGCTGAAGTCAACAAAGAAGTTGCTAAGGGAATCTCTAATGCTGGAATCTCCAAAGAATGCTTTTCCATTTTTTTAGGGGAAAACATTTCCAAGAGAATAATGTTTGATTATAATATATTCAGGGAACTTATAAAGCAGTACCTGTCTGTGAATGCAAGAATAAAAAGTGGTAGATAATTAATGAAGGGGAAGGAGTCCAGTTTAAAGAAGAATGTTTATGATATAAGCTTCATCATAAGCACTATGCTTATAAAATGTAACCACAATGTGACAAAAAAAACAAAAAACTTGTAAGCCATGTAACTTATATCATAATCATTCTTTGTCATGTTAAGATCGAAATCCTTCATTGTCATATACGTGTTCCATCCATCCTTCACCATTCATGTATTTCACTCTGCAGCACAGGTTCATTTTTCCCCTGAATGTATTATTATACATTATTCTGTTTCAAATGAAAGATATTTTTGGAGATCCAGACATTGGACATTTCCTTGGCAACTTCTTTGCTGGTCTCAGTGTATGACAGTGAATTGTTTCCTGCTTCATACATGTTGAACAAAGATTTCTCATCCATCCTTTTTTTATAATTTAAAGATATTCACCTTGTGGTTGCTTGAGGTTAGGATAATTCTGATTTTTCCTTGTAATTCACATCCAGGAGAACTTAGGAGATCTTACCACTCCTCATTTGACTGATTTACATTCTGGATCTTTCATTAAGCTTGACAGTGATCTATCAGCACACAGATAAGGTAATCATTTTCCATTTAAAATGTGAAAATGACAGTGCTAACCTCAGAAAAATACATTTTATGGTCTTGAAAACATAAGAAAAGACATTAAACAAACTATGGGTCTTTTAATTGCCTATGTCCAAACTCTTGTTAGGGCATTTTGTCTGCCATTTAAAAAAAAAGTCAATTTACAAACCTAGATTGTTGTTATGAAAAAAAAGGTGTCAGATGTATGTTTATCATCAATTTCTGCAAACACCTGTCATTTAAAACATTTGAGATTCGCCCAACCCTATTCTATATAGGTACATACATGTATATAGTTACAATTGCTGTTGTATGCGTTTCCATGAACGGTGAAATTACCGAACTAAATAATACTCGTAGCCTAAATTTCTCATTGGATTTTTGATCCATTTTCCTCTAAAAACACCTGTTCCTCTAGAGTTTTCCAAAAAAAAATGTTATTATTTACCCTACCCTAGTTATAGGGAATCCATGTTCCATTCTAATGTACATTATTATATTTAAAAAGACAAAATACTTTGGGCATATAGAGGAAGACAAACTAAATGCTTAATGTCAGTAATCCTGAGCAGTTATGAAAGATTTTGCTAAGATTTTGATTTATGTATATTTTCCTGTTGTTGTTATGGCTTTGTATATATTCAAAAGCAAGCAGTTTATTTGAGATTTCCAATTTCAAAACTTTCTTTGTATCCAAAAATAATTAATCAGTGCAACATTAAGCAAATTATGTTATCTAAGAAAAGGCTGTTCTTATTGTAATTAGCTTAGTCGTGTAGAGTATTCAATGACATTAACTGATCTTAACTTTTTGAAAGTTAATTAAAAAGACTTATCTTTTGGTCACTTTATTAGTTCATTGATTAATTGCTGATTTAAGAGAAGATAACGAGATTTATTTGTGATCTTATGGATGATTGTTTAGTGACCTTATTAATATTGTACAAATTACTGTGATGTAGTGAGCTTGAGGGGGCGTCTCGATAGTCCAAAGGTTCATTGGTCCGAAGGTTCATTGGTCCGAAAAGTGGTAACATTTTCATCGATTTTTTAATCAAGGGTTCATTGGTCTGAAGGTTCTGTAGTGAACATTCGGACTAATGAACCTTCGGACTATTGCTACGGCCCCCGAGCTTGATATGAAATAAAATGTTTAAAAACAAGGCATTCTCAGATGCAATACTCCTTTGTCTCTCTGAGCACCAGTTTGAGTCAACACCCCCAGCCCCCAATGGAAAAGGAACAAGGTCTGATTAAAAAGTATCCTCACAATTTATTAACTAAGTAAAGCAGAAAAGAACATTGCTTCTGTCAAATCACAAATACTTTGCCTTTATTTAGTATACAAATAAATACAGTAAAACCAAACTACTTTGCAAAAACTAGTTAAGATCTTTCCTTTAAAAACTTTTATGTATATCTAAATCTTTTTCTTCAAGTATCACTTTACTATGGAACTGACCAAGTTTTTATTCTAATTANGTTGAGGGATTTTATTTGTATAAAGTATCAGTTCATTGGTTTGATGATTAATTAGAATTTGTCAAATTGTTCTTGAAGGCAATGACAGCTGTGTCTCTGACTGCACCATGGTATACATCTATATTAACTTGGGGGGAAAAGCTGTTGCTTTTATTCAATCCAAGTGCATGATTGTGTCATTTTAAAATTAGAACCCATTTGCTTAAGAAAAGGGGATCTCCACTGTAGCTGCATTAAATTATATGTAAATTATCATTTATGGAGAGTTTTCTTTTGTTGTTTCACTTAGTTGAAATACCCACTGTACCAGCTACTAGATCACCTGTTCCGAGTGCAGCTAAACATTGCAACGTTCAATATTGTGACCGATTTGGTGATCCAGCAGAAGAGGGTTATTGTCATGAGCACTACATGCTCACTCGTCGCTCGTTTGATGTGTTTCCATCTTCATTATATCCTGAAGAGAGAGCCAATTCGTTACCCTCCTATAACACATATGAGATGGAGTATCTGCGCCAGCCAAAAGTGAGGCCAAGAAAATCGACATCTCAGGTCTGCAGAGAAAACTCCATATCAAGGCAACCTGTGGGTCAGATGACCTTTGAAGATGATATGCTGCGCCATGCCACTGCCATTCGCTCATCGACAGGGGAATGCAAAGGTGCAGGGTGCAGTAACTATGGGAATTCTAGGAATAGGGGGTACTGTAATAGTTGTTTTCCTGTTTATAATTGTTATTGAGAAGTTGGATAGGGGCCATAGCAATAGGTTCATTGGTCTGAATGTTCACTATAGAACCTTTGGACTAACGAAACCTTGATTAAAAAACTGATGTAAATGCTACGATTTTTCGGACCAATGAACCTTCAGGCTATCAAGACGCCCCCATCTGGTACACGTGGAAACATTTAGCTTTCACATTTTATGCAGCAAACGTTCAATCAACAGAAAAAATGGAAAGAGGTGAAAAAATCGAAAGAGGAGAATATATGAATATGCATGTTAGGCATATCAAATTATTGCCACCTTATTTAAATTTCTGGTTGCAAACCTGACTTGTGTATTTATCTCTCTAGTTTGTAAATTTGAAGAAGGTGCAGTTTTAAAGCTCTTTTATGGTCGATTGAGTGATTTATTTGGTTAATGCCGTGGCATGTTAACTTTATTTGAGTCAAGAAATAGTAGAAGTGTTGCAAATGCTCTACTCAAAGAGGGGAAAGATATATTCATTATAGTAGAGTAGGGTAAATCTGAAAAATTTTCCATAATGGGTGATTTCTGAGGGAAATTTGATCTTGAACAAAAATCTGACAACCATTTATTGCTACAATTATTAATATCAGTAAGATGATAATCTTCAAAATGGCAGCCAAAACAGCCTTGAGCTGCATCAACAACAATTTAAGGCACTATAATGTGCCATATGTTTTTTTTTCAATGTTTTAAGGGTTAAGAATTCATTTTTGATGTTAAACCTGTGATAGGTACATTTTAGAATGAATCCAATCACCATGTGGACTGGTTTACTGTCCAACTAGATGGAAGGGCCAGAAACTTTGATGATGGTGACAGTCAAAATGAGGATTGATAAAATCTTCCAACATTTGTATATTATAATCTGTATATTATATCATAAGGAAAAATCAATAATCATAACAAAAAAGTGAATGTTTTTAAAATTATTAATATAAGATAGGTGATATGCCTTTGTTTTACTAGTATATGTACATGTTTGAAGCTGCAAAAATATCACTTTCAAAAGCTGAAGTCAACAAAGAAGTTGCTAAGGGAATCTCTAATGCTGGAATCTCCAAAGAATGCTTTTCCATTTTTTAGGGGAAAACATTTCCAAGAGAATAATGTTTGATTATAATATATTCAGGGAACTTATAAAGCAGTACCTGTCTGTGAATGCAAGAATAAAAAGTGGTAGATAATTAATGAAGGGGAAGGAGTCCAGTTTAAAGAAGAATGTTTATGATATAAGCCTCATCATAAGCACTATGCTTATAAAATGTAACCACAATATGACAAAAAAAAAACTTGTAAGCCATGTAACTTATATCATAATCATTCTTTGTCATGTTAAGATCGAAATCCTTCATTGTCATATACGTGTTCCATCCATCCTTCACCATTCATGTATTTCACTCTGCAGCACAGGTTCATTTTTCCCCTGAATGTATTATTATACATTATTCTGTTTCAAATGAAAGATATTTTTGGAGATCCAGACATTGGACATTTCCTTGGCAACTTCTTTGCTGGTCTCAGTGTATGACAGTGAATTGTTTCCTGCTTCATACATGTTGAACAAAGATTTCTCATCCATCCTTTTTTTATAATTTAAAGATATTCACCTTGTGGTTGCTTGAGGTTAGGATAATTCTGATTTTTCCTTGTAATTCACATCCAGGAGAACTTAAGAGATCTTACCACTCCTCATTTGACCGATTTACATTCTGGATCTTTCATTAAGCTTGACAGTGATCTATCAGCCTTACACAAGGTAAGGTAATCATTTTCCATTTAAAATGTGAAAATGACAGTGCTAACCTAAGAAAAATACATTTTATGGTCCTGAAAACATAAGAAAAGACATATTAAACAAACTATGGGTCCTTTAATTGCCTATGTCCAAAATCTTGCCAGGGCATTCTGTCTGCCATTTAAAAAATAGTCATTTTACAAACCTAGATTGTTGTTATGAAAAAAAGGTGTCAGATGTATGTTTATCATCAATTTCTGCAAACACCTGTCATTTAAAACATTTGAGATTCACCCAACCCTATTCTATATAGGTATATACATGTATATAGTTACAATTGCTTTTGTATGCGTTTCCATGAATGGTGAAATTACCAAACTAAATAATACTCGTAGCCTAAATTTCTCATTGGATTTTTTTATCCATTTTCCTCTAAAAACACCTGTTCCTCTAGAGTTTTCCAAAAAAAAAAGTTATTATTTACCCTACCCTAGTTATAGGGAATCCATGTTCCATTCTAATGTACATTATTATATTTACAAGACAAAATACTTTGGGCATATAGAGGAAGACAAACTAAATGCTTAATGTCAGTAATCCTGAGCAGTTATGAAAGATTTTGCTAAGATTTTGATTTATGTATATTTTCCTGTTGTTGTTGTTGTTATGGCTTTGTATATATTCAAAAGCAAGCAGTTTATTTGAGATTTCCAATTTCAAAACTTTCTTTGTATCCAAAAATAATTAATCAGTGCAACATTAAGCAAATTATGTTATCTAAGAAAAGGCTGTTCTTATTGTAATTAGCTTAGTCGTGTAGAGTATTCAATGACATTAACTGATCTTAACTTTTTGAAAGTTAATTAAAAAGACTTATCTTTTGGTCACTTTATTAGTTCATTGATTAATTGCTGATTTAAGAGAAGATAACGAGATTTATTTGTGATCTTATGGATGATTGTTTAGTGACCTTATTAATATTGTACAAATTACTGTGATGTAGTGAGCTTGAGGGGGCGTCTCGATAGTCCAAAGGTTCATTGTCCGAAGGTTCATTGGTCCGAAAAGTGGTAACATTTTCATCGATTTTTTAATCAAGGGTTCATTGGTCTGAAGGTTCTGTAGTGAACATTCGGACTAATGAACCTTCGGACTATTGAACCTTCGGACTATTGCTACGGCCCCCGAGCTTGATATGAAATAAAATGTTTAAAAACAAGGCATTCTCAGATGCAATACTCCTTTGTCTCTCCGAGCATCAGTTTGAGTCAACACCCCCAGCCCCCAATGGAAAAGGAACAAGGTCTGATTAAACAAGTATCCTCACAATTTATTAACTAAGTAAAGCAGAAAAGAACATTGCTTCTGTCAAATCACAAATACTTTGCCTTTATTTAGTATAAACATAAATACAGTAAAACCAAACTACTTTGCAAAAACTAGTTAAGATCTTTCCTTTAAAAACTTTTATGTATATCTAAATCTTTTTCTTCAAGTATCACTTTACTATGGAACTGACCAAGTTTTTATTCTAACTAAACCATCTTGAAACTGTATATTCCAAAATAAAAACACTGCGGAAATTTCTAAACCAGGAGAACATTTTTAAGAAGCTATTTTGTTCACAAAGTTGAAGTCCGGGTCAGGAATAGACCATGTGACAGCAACTTTCAAGTTGACCCAAGTCATGGAGCTGAGACCATGTGCATATTGAAGAAAATACTAAAAGACAATTTAACCTCTACAACTGCTTTAAATAAGTATTTATTTTCTAAAATACAAGACTTGCCCTTGATGTTAGCATGTGCACCCACAGAAATAAAAAATCGCTGTCTTTAAGAAATCCTCAACAATGTAACAATGGTATTTTAAAACATTTTATAAATTCTAAATCAGTTTACCTATTACCTCCATTCAATGTATCAGTTTTACTGATCTCATTTATTCTTTAACATCTATGAAAGCTTATTTCTCAAGCCAAATCCTTTAATACCTGCCTATTATTGTTAAGTCATAACATTGCATCTTCAAATGTAATAATTACATTGGTCATCTGACTAAAAATAACAATCAAAAGCAATAAAAGCCTCACAAATTGATAATTTTTATCATACTACACTGAAATCTACATATCCTTAAATTTGCCCAAACTACTTTTAATTCGAAATATAAAATTTGTTTAAGTGTTGAGAAAAAACTACACCAGGATCATAGGATGGTAAAACTAGTGAAACATGAAAGCAATACCACAAAACAGAAATGAAAATTGATGCATAAAAATGAATGTACGTAATTTCCAAGTGAAACTTGTCTTGTTACCATTCACTGGTCAATTACAATTATAAATCATAGATGTGTAATATGCTATATAGCAGATGAATATACATCAATAACAGTCTATAAATCATCCCAAGTCAATAAACTCTCAAAACAATTTTTAACAAAAGTTTAAATATACACATATGCCTTGTCCCATAAAAGTTAACCTTATAATAAACCCTTTTACCTATACAATCAAGATCTGCTATTCAGACCAAGCCAATACGTATGTGACACATACCTGTCATTTCACAAAATACAATGTGCTAATAATCCTGTAAGAATATAGACCCATTTATACCACATAATATAAGCTGCAAAAATTTACCATTAAAAAATGAGCATGGTGATACAATAGTCTGTATTTGTTGGTTTGGGCATTGTTCAATTTATAGCAAAACCTGTATAATTATTACATTTCATAAAATAAAAATTGCTTCTCAAATAAATGATAAAATATGTCAACTCAGGCTCAATTAACTTTCAGTTCTACTTCATTGTAGCAACTACCTGAGCTTTGCAAATACTATGGCCAGGATGTCAGCATTGACTATTATTTACCAAAAGCATAAATTCAGCTTTGATTGAAGTATGATCTGAGGGGAAAACAGCACTGGGTATACGGCTTTCAATGTTTGCTTCTTTGATTACTCCTAATAGTGTAAGTTGATCGTTAAAGCTGCCCCAAATATAGTCGTAGCAGTTTTTGAAGGTTGTCCTCGTTGGTTCTTTATTCTAATTTGATTAAAAATAACACCATCACAGAAGAGTTAGACAGAAACAAAAATATTCTAACAATGAACTTCGTAAACCCTGAAAGTGAAAAACATAAAAAACAATGATAGTGATCATGCATTGCTGTAAGCTGGAGTGTAATGAAGTGATATTTGTATCAGCATCTTATCTGTTGTGTTCAGGACTAACAAGGCCCTACTGTTTTCGCCCAGAAGTCAACTGCTCTAGAATTTTTTTCTAAAAAATGAAAATAAGTAAATAGAAATCCAACTGCATACTTTTTAGTTCCACATTTTCTCTCTATATTACATCTACTTCGAAACAAAATAATTTTCCAAGTGACTCAATTTTTGTACATCCCTATAAAATCATTTTACAAGTGTAAAAACTGATGGGGAAGCACCAAGTCCTATACATTACAAATGCATTATTTACAATGCAAAATACCCACAAACAGGTAATTTATCATCAATATTTTAAAGCAGTGTATGTTTATATAATGAAAAATAGGACATCAACAAAAAAATAACTTCCTAGAAAAACATCTATCACCTTTTAAAAACAGTTAAGAGGAATAATTCACAGGGAAATTTTTTTTCAATGTTATCCAACCAAAGAACCATCTATGATGCCACTGTTAACCTTGTATTGGTATCTTTTTAAGTAGGCTGTAAGTTCATTTGTCAATTTCAGCCACGTAACTTAAGCAAATGCAAACTCAGTTTGGAGAGAAATGTGATCTGATGGAAAGATGACTGTTGGTATGTGGTGGTCAATCTTTGCCACTTCGGTCACACCTGTCAGTTTCAGTTGGTCATTCACACTCCCCCATATATAATCCACACAGAGGGTGAATAGGTTGTTTGAGCTGGACAATAAGGGCTCTTGTCCCTAGATTAATAGAAAAGAATTACATAGCAGTACTAGGGTGGAGCTGAAGTATACCTAAGAGGTATATTAAATAGAAAAGCAAAAACCAAGTGTTTTCTCAACTATTGTTTTATTTTTTCTGAATCAGTGGACATCACTGGAGGTCACCAATGGTTATTTCCTGCAATAAAAAGCCTAACATAACTCTAGAACATCTGTTAAAGTTTATCTATAAAGATCAATGCATTCTTTGCTTCATTTAGTCTACACATTATTTCAAAAGTGTGCTTTTCTTTTTATCTGAGAAAGGGAAGATCTAAATTTCTAACTTATACCAGTGTGAAAATTACCCTAACTAAACAAATTCTTTGCATCACAAATCAATTTAACACAGAGTAATTTGCTAACAGACTCTAACTAGAGAAAGCCATATCCAGTATGAATGTATGATTGCATTATATTTTTCAGGAAAAAAAGAGAAGAAAACATACCATTACAAGAAACAAAATTCAGCCTTAATAGACATGTGATCTGAGGGGAGAATTTTGGTTGGATAAGGGGCATTGGTGTGGTTGAGCACCTCTAGGATGCCCGTGGTCTGCAAGCTGGTGCTGTACCAAAAGTAGTCAGAATGATAATGTTGACGCATTGAAGCACTGCAGCGGGAAATTGGCTCTTTCCCCTAAAAGGATAATAAAATTGCCCAGTTGGTGCAAATTATGCAAGCAAACTCCTTTCTATCTAAGCATCTAAAAGAGAAGAGAAAGGGAGGAAAGAGTTTTATTGCTTAAGCATTCCGAGATTCCAGCTCCATATTCAGTTGCTCGTATTAGACATACAATTTAGATGGCACATGAAGCTCCTAAAACATGAAAACATTTCAAACTGCAAACAACATAAAACATTGCCAAAAATCTCATTTCCTTAACTCTCCCCATAAAACATAGTCTATGTGCAGGCCCAACAACCACACGTGAGGCAAGATAGCTATAGGTAAGTGAAAGATATTCTTCATTTAAATTAATATTTTTAAGTGACAAGTGACAAACGGTTATGGTGATTAAGCACCAGAAATTCACCAGGAACTTATTTGTGTGTAAAAGAAAAAGAATGAAAAGACACAATGAAGTACATGAGTGAAAACACAATTAAGGTAATATAACATCATACTTTGATCTCTATCTAAAAGAGGATGACATAATGCAAAGCAAAGCTAATACTGGGTATTCAGAAAACATTTCTTCCAGAAGCAAATTTTAAGTTAACAAAAGGAGTATTAAATCACCAAAGACAATCACTAAAAATTTGTAACAGAGTTAAAATAATCATGCACATTTAATCATTTGCTTAACAGATATGTACACTTTCAGATATTCTTACATTTTCACAATTCTAATTCCTAATATTCATTAAAATTGATAGACAAAGTAAGTTCTTTAGTTTAAGATCAATCACTTTAAATATATTTAAATGATGAAGAATCGATGCCAGTTACCTGTACAGTAGCATATGCACTCTTCAAATGGGGAGAAGTGTGTTGGAATCCTTTCCAAAGCAAATTCACTAAAGCAGCTTTCTGAAATACAAACATTATCAATTCACATCACTTTAGAGAGAAGGAAGTATACAACTAAAAATCTGTGCATCCAAGGGTCATCCAGGATATGTTTTTTAAATTCTTTAAAAGAAAAAATTATTTTAATATTCATATTCCAACTAGAAGTGGTGTCCAGCTATCTGGATGCACTCGATGAGAAGACATTGAATTATCTCATTTATAACCATGATACAGCATATCAAAACCAAACATTCTATACATAAACACCTACACTGTTGTCAGACAGCTCCACATTGGTCACCTCTTGCAGCTGATTGATGGAATTGTCACTTAGGTAACCATCCTGGAGGAGTTGGTAAGCACAAGAATCTGGGAAAGAGTTAAAATCCCCACAGACAATGTGAGGATTGTGAGCACCGCCAGCCTTATTCACAACTTCTCTCACTGCTGCAGCAGCCTAAAAAAACAATAAATAAAGAATAAATCAAAAGTCTGAACAAAAAAAAAAGAAGATGGAAAGTGTTTAAGTGATGATTCAGTGTCCTGAGATAAGTGCCTGTACATGAAAATTGTAGAAATTCCTATTAACTACAAGACTGCTCACTGAAAGAGTTAAAAAGAGAAAATTATCTTCCGAAGTACCTGCATACACTGTATGTCAGTCAGTTTAAGTTTGCCCCATATCACATGGACATTGCCAACAGTGAGCACTGTTCCAGTGGTGCAACACCTTAGCCTGGTGATCAGCATTACAATGGGACCCTCCAGGTACTTTCTTATAGCTGCCTTGTCTGCATCAGACTGCTCAAGGGCATCCACATCCTAAAACAATAAAGTCAAGGTTTTAAAAACATTTCTTTCAAAGAGTTCCCAATCATGTGAAACATGCTTGTAACTTGGCAATTTTTTTTAACAAAAACTGCTTATCATGAAATTCAGTTGTGTCATTCAAATTTAAACACAATATGTAAGAATCAAAGCAGGTCATTTAGCACCTCCATAATTAACATATTCAATTACCAATACAAGTTTATACTTAATTAAACATTAACAGCAAATAGGGTCACCTTGTGTAGGATGTCCTGAAGCAACAGAGGCGTGTTATCCACCAAGGTAAAACGACTTGTTCTCCAAAATGTTGCTTCACCCTCATTATAATGGGGACTATTTCTCTTCTTAAAGACACCTTCATAGCCTAAGCTGCAAATACATTAAAAAAAACACTTTATCAGATAACAATTGTTTTTCTGGATAATTATGACAAGAGAACGAAAATAGACTTTATACAGTGTGCTCACAACATATTTTAAACTGTTCTTATTACTAAAATTATAATCTTTTATCATTCTCATTGAGTTGTTACATAACCACCCTATTAAAAAAATCTAGCTAAAAATGTTGGTTTCTTCTAATGAAGTGGCCAACTCAAAATAATAATCAACTAATCCAAATATATGCAATTCAGTTTACCTGCGTAACTCTTTACTTAAAATATCTCTGTAGTAATCAGGGTCCACCTCCTGAAGGCACAACACATCTCCATCCAAATATTTCAATTCTTCCATCATCCTCTTGTGTCGGTAACTGATGTCTAAGTACTCCTCTGGGGTGAAGCTGTAATCTCCCCTTTTCCTATGACACTCGGCTAGTATGTTGTATGACACAATAGAAAACTTCTTGGAAGAATCCACTGGCCCCTGTAAATGTGGGTTTGGTATGAAGTTCCTATTCAAGAGTGGGTCAACCGTACTTTCATTACTGTTATTTCCATTTATCATCGCTGGCTGGGACAAAGGTTGTTTTTGGACAGTTTGGTTCACAGGTGGTAACACAACTGAAGCACTGGCACCCTGGGAAGAGGTAAAATTGACCGGTGCTTCTTCCGTTTCCATGGACTCCACACCAGGTTGAGACAGTTTGGGGACTGCTGCTGCCACCTCTTGGCTATCTGCAGCTGGCACATCAGACATCTGGATCACCTCATATTCTCCAAGCTCATTATCTGCAGACTTGTCTGCATGTTCTGCAGCTTGCACAGCACTTGCTGTCACTGGGACTGAGCTTTCATCTGCAACTTCTCTCCTCTTCTTTGGTGGACTCATCCCAAGATCATCTTCTGGATATGACCACTTTCTCTTGTGCCCTGATGGGGATAAGGCTGATAGGGGGGCAGCAGAAGCACCTGACTGGTCCTTCTGAACTGGTGGCTGTTTATCCACCTTCACCACTGGAGGTTCTTGCTCCACTGATTTGACCTTTGTTTCATCTCTTGTCATCTCAACATCAGTGCTTACAACTGTAGCTTCTGCAGCGGACGTCTTTTTTGGTGTCATTTTTCCTTTTGTTGGAGCATCAGTCTTAGCTAGTTTTGGTTCAACAGGTACCTCCTCCTGAATGGGTTCCTGTTCTGGTTCCTGGTGTTCAGGTGTAGCACCCTTGCCACGAGTCCTAGACCTTGTAGGACTTTTTAATGTCTCTTTGGGAGACTGCTTTGGGGTATGGGCTTTCTTCTGTCTACCCCTGGGACTAGATTCAATGGGTTCAGCCTGAAGTGCTTCCTGTTCTTGTTGATTCTGTGTGCTCTGTCTGGCTTTTGATCTTGACTTAACCTTTAAAAAAACGATGTTCATCTAAACCAAAAGAATATTAATTGGCAGTTTTGCAAGGATTAAAAATGTAAGACAATCTAATTGTAAAGCTGTCAACACTGTCAAAATAATAATATAAATTAAAAAGGAAATAAATATATACCAGTCATGACAAGATATTGTTGGGGACTGATAGTGTACCATGAATGATGCAGCGAATCTGAAGGAATCAGTCTCTTCTCAAAACTTACTTCAGTTTTAGCTGGAGAGGGGGCAGTGTTGGTGACTGCTTTTCTTCCCCTTGTTCCTCTTCCTGATGGTGATTCTACCTTCGTTGTATCTGCAGCATCTCCAGATTCCACAACTTCCTCTGGAAGACCATTTAACAAAGCACAAATAACTCATGAATGCTACCTGACATTCAAATTCAGTGGCAAACAATGTTAACTCCTGACATCTACATACTTAAAAATAAGCTATTCACTTAGGCAATAATAGTGAATAAAAAATAATAATTTAAATGATTGATTGATGAAGAATATATTTCATCTACCCTCATCTCTACATCAAAACTTAAAACTGCTATTAAAGTCTTCAGGTGTAATTTCCAAGGAGAACTTAACCTTAATATTTGTCTATACCTGGTTCTGTTGCTTTGCCTCTACGTCCTCTGCCTCCTCTTGCAGGAGCTTCTGCTGGTGGAGGAGTTTCCTTGCTGGCACCCCTCCTACCCCTGGCAGGAAGTTCTTTAGGAATCTCTTCTTCTTTGGGTGCATCGACATTACCTGCTGACCTGCCCCTAACCCTTCTGGAAAATAACCAACAAATATGTTTATATATAACTGCAGATGTTGAGAGCAAAAGTGCCTGGGTCTTTTCTTTTTCAAATCTGCTATGTTTCAAATTATATACACCTTTTGATAGCAAGTATGTGTGATATCTACTCGTGCTTCGCACTCAGTAACTCTTGGTGTATTAATAACATTCCTTATTTTTAGAAATAAAATACTGCAGCAAGAGGGTTAACTTCACGATGGTCCTTTCATTTGAAAATACACAATTAAGTTGTTTACTTTCAATGTAAAGAAGTCACCTTTTGTTTATCAATAAATCTTAATTGTATTATTTGTTTCCAGATCATTTTCATACCCTTTTTGTGTTTGACCCTTTGTAGGTTCTTCCTGACTTGGTTTCTTGGTTGTACTTTTTGCAGAATCTGCTGCTGATTCTGCTGCACGTAGTGCACTTCGTGTTGCTCGGGGCATGTTGTGTTGTTTATATAAGGCCTCCAAAAGTTGATAGCTTTAAATTTGTCACTGAAATAAAGACAATAAAATGTAGAAGATATCCAGTAGCATTTTTCAATGACTTTTTAAGATTTTGAAATTTAATTGATCCATGAGTAATTAGTGATAGGTCTGATTTTTTTTTTCTTTTTTTTCTGCATGCAGTGAGGCAAAAACTTATAACTATCATGACAATGTTTGGTTCATGGGCTGACATGAAAATTAAAAAAAAAAAATGAAAAAAAAAAATAGTGAACATTCAAGAAACTAGGATAATTGTGTTCAACTTTAAACTTGAGATGATAAGATTTTTAGTTCCAAAACCAAAATTTGCTAAGATCCAATAACCTGATAACTGACGATGCTGGCCACCAGTTAAACTCATATCCATTTAAATGATAATTCATACAAACACAACGTGAGTAAAACCTCAACGGGACTCCTACTGCATGTACAGTGAAGACCCTACGCTGCAGTTGTGCAAGTTAAACTTTGCAAGTTCCAAGGCAAGATGCCGGTAATGAAATAATTGGGAAGTATGCTTATCAATTTTCATTGCAAAAGGTGGTATTCACAATTAATATAATGCTAACTCAATCATAAGCTTATAATCCAAAGACAACCCAAATGATAAATGCATTTATAGGAAAAAATATCCTGAAACACTCACTTCGTCTACCATCGAGATTTGTACTATGAGCATGCGCAGTCACGACACTCCAAAAGGAGTCTCGTTTTCGGCGGCAAATGGTACTTCTCTTTCTCATCATTTGCTAATTTTGGTGCGATTATGTTCACAATCGGGAGTCGTCATATTCTAGCTGCGGTTTTGACGATACGAAAACACATAATCATTAAAGGTGGGGAAAGTAAAGCGTATATTTTTCGTTGCAAGATGCGGCGTTTCATACTCTCTCCAGAACGTGAAGGGATGTCATTTAACAAGAACTGACTACTGTAAATAGCCCAGTGCCCGTTTTTGTATGAATCACGTGTAACTGGGCAAAAATGATGTTGAATGTATACTTCAAAATAATAATTAATAAAATATATTTAGGTCTAATGAAATGAAAAAATAAAAAGTCCATTTGCTTTTTAGAGAATTTATTCATAATTTTCAAATGAGATCTTCATGTGGGAAAAAAGGGAAAATAGGCTGTTTAATGCATTTTTAAAAACAATTTTTCTTCGTGAATTCAGTGCAATATTTAAAACAGTATTAAGATCTATTAACTGTAGATAACTGCTGCACTTTACCTTTCAATATATCTCTGCATGTAGCCCACTGAAGGGTGCATGTACTGGGGTATAGTACTAGAACACATGATTTAGATTCCTTAATTGGAACTTTCTTTTAAATCAGTTGGTATTAAAAGATGCTTGAGCACTAATCAAGATTTTTAATGTCCCATAAGCAGCTTCAGTTCATGTGAAATGTCTGAAAATAACTACAGAAAAATGACAAAAAAAGGTTTTATTTTTAATTATCTTTCAGGATCAATTTGACTATTTGTGCTTTTCCTTTGTCTTTTTAGATATTGCAACTTTCCCCATAATGCATGGCACATGGAGACTAGTATTTTATCTCTTCTACCCATGGTGATTGCAAACTGGTACTGAACCCTGAAAAAAATTAAGATCAGCTTTAAAAACACATTTCAGATAGTGTTACAGAATGCCAAATTACCATACAACATTAAGTCAAGAAATCATTAAATAAACTTGGTTTGATAAATGTTTGTATACAAATAAATAAAAATGGCTGGCTACTTTTTAAAGCAATGAAAAATTTAAAAATAAAACTTTTACATTAAATTATCCAATCATTTTATAATTACTGTCTGAAGATATGCTATTCAGTTCATGTTGAAAGAGAAAAGTTACAAGCTTTTGCTATGAATTACTGCAAATCCAACAGCCTCTTCTCAATAAAATCGTGTTAAATGTACCTTATAATTTTCTTGGCCAATTTCCAATGTCCTTGCTGGACTAAACTCTGTGCATAGAAAACTTTACATTTAGCTATAGAAATTGGATCTCCAACTTTCAAGGCTACTTTTAACTGCTTCATGGATACATTTCCAGCTTGCTGTGCCTAAAAAAAAGTGATGTAAAAATTATCAAAGGTGATGGTGAAAATCAAGCATCCAGAGAAATTCTGCTTCTTTTATATAATTTTGAATATTTTAAAATAATATTAATCTGAAATTACAATAATTTATAACTTACTGATATTCAGCACCCCACTAATTTCTTTATTTTGTTATTCATGCTTCACTTGATGCAGTGTACATACATGAAACTGAAAGTATTCTCCAAGTGCAGAATATGCTCCACCAAGTGTAGATAGCCACGCCATAGCTTCATCTAAAATTAACCTTTGAACCACCATGTCTGTTACTCTATAGCACCTAATGTAAATATAAGAAAAGTACATTTAAATCAAAGGTTTAATTACCAAATATTTATGTAAATTAAAACATCTTATTATTTCAAGAACCTAAATATACCTAACATAAAAATGCATACATTTAATTTCACAATACCAATTTTGAACTTTGGATACATTTTTACAAATCAAAAAAGGTTTTGAGAAATGTCATTTACCATGCAAAGTCTATAGGAATTTTTTCTGGCCACTGCAACTGCATTTCCAAGATCAAACAGTCATTCTTTGTTTTTCTTAACTTTTCTAATCTTAGAATCTTTCTTCTTGTATATCTTATAAACCCAGAACAAAAGACTGAAGACAATTTTAATGTCTGTATCAAACATGCTGCTACTATGGCATTTACAGACATGTCATAAAATTCACTAATGGACGGTGTGTTTTTTACTCGAGACAATATCCTGTTGTGCAATTGAGGTAATGTAGCAGTATTCATTCGGTTGCTGGAAACACAAGTTTGGTCCTCGTCCTCATCGTCATAACAGTTTTGCAATGTTAAATGTGACAGACTATTTGATCCTTCTTGAACATTTTCTATATTTTCCTGATCACAGATATTTTGATTGTATGGGTTAAAGAGGGAGTTTTCATGCTGGCAGCTCTGCAGTTGGCAGTATAAGTCTTCTGCTGAAACCACTCTATAATAGGAGTCTATCAGCCATATATCACAGATGGTCTTAGATCCATTTTCCACAAAGGAAACACTGGCTATCATTTTTAGTCCATTTCCCAGTTTCTTCTTTGGCAATGTCATGCTTAACTGTTAATCAATGTGATCCCACATAAAAGATCACCTAAAAGAAATAATGATGTATGTATATCTGAATGAGAAAAATATAATTTTTTATTGAAAACTTAAAATGATCAAAATTTATAGCAATTAATTTATAGTACCAGTAAACTGGGTACTATACATATTACTGGAATAACTACTACCAAACTATTTTTTGAAGATTGTTATATATGCCAGTTAATTAGTGTGGCAATTAAATGTCACACAAAAGAAATAAATACCTTGAGTAGGTTGTTAAAATATAAGATAGATTTCATTGTTTGAAAGGGTCCGTTCGAAGTAATAATTTAATCAAAATGAAATAAATAGAAAGAAAGTGAAAATGCAAACACCCACCCCCCACCCCCCCAAACAAAATAACACAAAAATCTTCTAGAGTCAAGGCTCCTTTGTTGTCACTGGACACTGTGGTTGGGTGTTCTGCATATAGTTATTTAATCTACATTTACATTGCCATAGGTGCAGCATCTACACAACCGGCCTACACAACACATCAGCACTCAGTTCAGAATGGCAGTACTAGTAGCACTGAACTGAAGCAAAACTTTGCGAAACATTGGGACCATATTTAAGTTCAAGAAATTGATAATGATAATTAAATAGCGTGCTTCAAGATCCCAAATTAATTCCTACGTTAAAAGAATTAGCCTGTTGAGACCCCGTGCAAGTTTTGTCAATCGCCTCTTCATTAAGCTGAAGCCTCGTTGTGAAACACCAGTTCAATTAATCCAGGGCAAAGTGAATACGAGTGTAAAAGGCGGAGATTTTAGACTGTCGTCGATCAGTTCAAAAATTATGAATTGAATTTAATATTAATGATTTTCTCTGACTTTTTCAATTCATTCGAAAGCATTATAAAATAAATTTTGCCATAGAATTGTTAATAGAGTCTTTCTCGAAAAATCTCGTTCGGTAGCAATTCAAGTTTGTTTGAAAATGGCGGCACGCACAAAACTTCCGGATACAGATGAATGAGAGGACTCGTTGTACTGATTGCAATTCTTGTTGTTAAACAATTTTAAATAAACTAAGACAATTCTTTAAATTACAAAAGGTAAGTCAACTATATATACATAATGGAATTTATAATTAAATTACTTAATGGAAATGCTGATGTGTAAGGCAAAATACTTCACACTAAACAGTTTCATTCTGACATCACTGACAAGAGAAAAGCTAATTCTCGAGTAACTCCGTAAAATCGTACTCCTTATGTGGAATTAAACTAGGAATAGCCTTGAATTTCTGCCCGTGAATGGGGAAAAGAACATCTGCATGCTTCCCCAAGCTTTCTTTTTTTTTCACTGCCCCCTTGTCACAAGCTGCATACTGGTACTCTTGAAAATGAAATGAAACCAAACAAATGCTCATATTATTTGCCAGTGAAAGAATCCAAGATTTGGGAAAGAATGAGAATATGATTTAACTTTTGAACTTGTGAAGTTCACATGTTAAGTTTTTACTCTGTTCAGTATTTCATTGTACAGTATGTTTGATGTTTTGTTTTGACTACAACATGAAGTCAGGATTTCAGTGAACCCTAATTGCCCTTATATTTTTGTTACATGTTTCCATGTATGCTAAAGGTGCATCAGACCATACAAGAAATCTGATATTGGTGTTTGTTGTGGTTGTTGTTGTGGTGTAAGTTAACACATTCTCTTTTTAAAGAAAATAAGACATACTAGTAACTACAAGTTTTTTTTAAGAATGTTTTATCAGAAATTATAATATTTTTCTGTTTTATGTTGTATTATTTACATTTCAGAATGGACAACACAAGGAATGAGCAACACCATTTGAAGGAAAACATCCCCCAAGATGGATGGAGTTCCAGAGCAGGTGTTGTCTTGGGTTATAACCCAAACTCCAGCTTTATGTCACTTCAACAACGCATGGCACAGACAGCCCCACTCTCTGAGCAAAACCATAATGGAAAAAACTTTGATCCACTCCAGGTACAGCAGTTTAATGGAAGGGCACTCCTTCAGTCTGTAGATGGTTCAGGCAAAGACAGATTGGTATCAAGTGATCCCATGGGTCAGGGTGACTTCAGAAATGTTTCTTCCTTTAATCCACTTTTGCATACCAAGTCTGCTGAACTTAAAGGGTCTGGGTCTGGTGCAATGCACATACAGGATCCAATGATGCAAACTCAAATGATAAACGGCCAGAGTTTAAGGCAAGGATCAGGGCATGGATTTGGATCTGGATATTTACATCCTGGGTTTGGAACTGGGTCTGGTCAAAGCTTTGGCAGTGGATCTGGTAGTGGACCAGGGTACATGGACCCCTTGCTGCAAACTCAGCTCATGCATTCCCAGTTAATGAATGCTGGTTACCTACAGTCTGGGTCTGGTTTGTTGTCAAGATCTTTTATTGGCTCTGGTTCTGGAGTTGGAACAGGGTCCCCTTCCCACAACCTGACAGGTTCTGGAGATATGTTAAGTCCAGGAGTGACATTGAATCCCATGCTGAATTTGGACCTTCCAGTTAATAATTTCATGAAGGCTGTGAACTTTGATGCTATGATTCAAGGAACTGATATGATGGAAGAGGGAAAGGAGAACCTTAATGATAGTCAAGGTAAACTTTTTTCACGAATGGTGGAGGATAACGATAATATAAGCATATTTTCTGATAGAAAATAGTACAGGTTTCAGTTACCAACAAAAAAAAAAAAAAATACTTTTCAAGCCTTGTACAAAAGCTCACTGGACATTGTTGGATATAATTGGATATCATTAAAAAAATTTTTTTTTGTTTTGCATATAGTTGCGTTCATAATAATAATAATAGTTTGACTTAACCCCCACAGTGTCAGACCTGTATGAGCAGCAACAGGCAGTGGAGCAAGCCCAGCTACTTCAGCGTTTTAAGCAACTCAGACAGATGCAACTACAACAGCAAGATATTCTTATGCAGCAGCAGCAACAGCAACTTCAGAGCCTGAAAGAGGAGCAGGGTAGGATCCAAAATATGATAGCTAGGCAGAGAGAACAACAGTGGGGAGGTATGGTAACCATTCTGAAAATGATTGTGTGAATATATTTGTGTTATTGAATTGATAATGCATTGATGGGGATGCTTTCAAAAGATGTATGTTTAGAAGGTTCTTAATTTTATTTAAAAGTGATTTGTTTGTTCAACACATTAGTAATGTAATTGAAAAAACGATGATTAAGTTGATTTACAGTCAACATGACATAAAAAGTAACAAGTATATAAACTAGCAGATCATCATCATCATCAGTGCTGATGGAAAAAGATTTTTTAAAGTTATTGTACAGTTCCTTTTTTCTGCAATCTCAACAGGTGGTAGCCCTAAGAAATTTAGGCCAGCTAGCTCTACCCCATTTTCCACCCCACCAAGGAGTGATAAGCGTCCCCAGGGTAGAACAGTGCCTCAAGCCCTGGCCAGTGGCTTCATGGCTGTGTCCAGATCTCCACAATATCAGGTTAGTCACCATGTTTATGACTATGAATATGTCCTTTTTCAGTTTCAGAATGAATCTGGTTTTGAGTTTAATTTCTGGGAAAGATCTTGCAGTATATTAAATATTTATATTTTATCTCATGATTGAGAGTTGCTACTGGCTCGTGTTGAAGTTATTTTGAAATTGGAATTAAATTATAAAAATAGCCATTTTGTCATTGTGAGTTTATACAAGTATCAGGTATTTAAAAAAAAACTTTCACAATGGTTATGAAATCATGTTTTCTTGGTGGGTATTGTAGGATGATCCTGAAATGAAAGCATTGCCAGAACCAGAATTCCATAGTGATACAGAGTCCAATGCTGACACTTTTGGTACAGAGGGAGTGTACCCACTTCCTGACACAGCCTCTGAAATGAGTGAGGCACCTCAAGAGTTGTCACCACCATCACAAGCATTACCAGCAGTGGAAGAACAACCTTCAGTAGAGGATATGGATGTAAGATTGGATGAAAGATCTTCAGAAATGATGCAACAACCTCATGTGCAGCAGTCAGTGAATAAGCACACAAACAAGCTAGAATCTGAGAAAAAGAGGCCTGAGAAAGCAGATGAAAATTCACAGGTATGTGCATCTTAAAAGTGTGCATTTTAAGATATATTTCCATTTCTTTCTTATGTTTTTGAATAGATGATAACATTGTTTTTTTCTGGTTTCTGGTTAATTTATTTTCTGTTGACAGGGACTGAAAAATGTACTTACCTTGTGATTAAAGAGACAGTAATTTATCTTATAACTTAAATTGAATTTTAAGACATAATCCATTGATAGAATATTTGTTTTGAAATGACTGATTAATTGAAGGGTTTTAAAATATGTATATCAACTAACTTTTTGTTTTCTTCACAGCCTCCAGATGATGATGATAGACCAATAAAACCAGGATTATCTAGTAAGTGGAAATAAGTTTAAAGGGATAATAACTCTTCGATTCGGCCAAAAAATGAATTTTCCTGGAGTAAACAACAATTTTCCCATACTTACCAATGGTTAATGAATCCATTTTTACATTCAAAGTTAGTCCCTGGTTTTTTTCTAAAAAGTTTGTTTTTTTTTGTTAAAATCTCTTAAGAGATTTTAGCAGAGTATAGCCATCAATGGAGGTCACATGATCTAAAGAAAAGCTCAGATATCAAAATAAAAGCTATAACTGCTGTTTTTGTGGTAAAACAGAATACATTATATTTCTATGAGTTATTCACAATGTTTTTATTGTGAAATATAGATTTCATATGAAGAGTTATTATCCCTTTAAGTTACCCACCCAGAATAATGTGTTTGATGTACATACATGTGTTGGAATAGATATTGGTATTGGGACAAAGAAGGATTTCTTTATTTAGAATATTATAATTATGATGTGCTTGTTTAATCACAAACATGGTTAAGAAATAATGAAGCACTGGATAAAATAAACTTTTTTGTAATCAAGAAATTTTAAACATAACCATCTTTTTCTTTTAGATAGAACAAGAACTTTTGAAGAACTTTTGGAGCAACAGCTGCAGCAAGAAAAACAGGTACACATGTATGCTAACTGTAAGTTGTATTAAAAGATATACCTTCGAGACAGAAATCACCAGAGCTGGTCTTCATTAAGAATAGATTTTATGGCAGTCAGTCAAACAATTGACAAATAATTGTCTTATCTCCCTTAAAGTTTCATATATAATGTTAATTTTTTTAATACAAACATATTCACTACAGAAAGAAGACGTCCAGAAGCAGGCAAATAAGACAACCAAAAATGTGGTGAAATCTTTTCTGAAGAGAGGACAGGGTTTGACAAGATTTGGTCTGAGTTCAGAAAATAGGCAGAAGATGACTCAAAAAAGTTCCTCAAAGAATGAATCTCACAGCCCTAAAGCAACCCAACATATTGAAGAGAACAGGGTATGAAAGATTTAGAAGATAAGATTATGTCTTTCATACCAGTCCACACTTATCTTTCGGGAAAGAAATGTATTTTTCTTCTTGTTAAATACTCATTGCTGAAAAGAGTTTTAGAATACTTGTCAAAATGTACTTTTAATCAATAAGACATTCAGATTTTCAGGGTTTCTATGTAAATGTTTTAAGTTCAATGTAATAGCAATATGTTTTTTTAAAGCAATTGAACTTTATGTGATTATATTCTATAGGTTACTCCACCCAGAAAAATTGCCTCAAAAACACCATCATCACCTCATCATCCTATACCAAGTCTGCAGCTGAAGCCATCTCCTAAAATGTATAATCCTTCTCCTGTGTCCAAGAGTATGCCAGTAGGAAAGCCATTTAGGTTTGTTTGTAGTTGATAATGACATGGAATGGTTGCACTATGAGATATTTTATTATATTGTTTCTTCCCCTTTTATGCAGGTGAAAAAATTTGTCTGGCTATATGTTGTAACAAGACAAAAAAATTAGAATTCATGTTTGATGGTCATTCAGTTTGTTTTTAAGCACCGAAGAAGAGTTGTACATGATAAGCATTATATTGTAAATTAAAATTTTATTTCACATCAAATTAATTGACTTCAGTTTGGAGAAGATGGGTGATAATGCTGGAATGACTTCATCTATTGATGCGTCTTTTCTGTCTGCTGTTAAAAAAAGGGCTGAAAGTGAAAAGGTAAACCTATAAATAATGCTTATTTTGATTAATATCTAAACGTGAACATCTTCGTGACCAGTATGCTAAGAGAAATTTTTTTCATCTACTTTTTAAATTTAAAAATAGTTTGTGTTTGTTTCCAAGAAATGCAATAAAATACTTCAAATTAGTGTTTTAGTTCTTTTTCTCTAACCATCTCATCTATTCGCTTTTAGATAGAGACAGAAGAACTCGAGGAGTTTGAACTTCTAGAACAGTATGCTGATGATAATATCTCTTTCTCCAGTAATTCTTCCTTAGTGGTAAAATTGATAGACAGGGACAAGGCCAAGAAAGGACAAGTAAGTCAACACTATAGCTATTTATAAAATCAGTAGTTTTACGTCAACTGAAATACTTGCTTTTCTCTCAATGATTGTGTTTTGTGTGAGTGTCTTTAGTATTTGTCACTACTTATGAGGCTAATAAGAAAGGAAAAGCGAATACTTCCAAGACCCTGATTTTTTTTTTTTTTTGAAGTTTAATTTTGTTATGTATAAGTAAATATCTTTATTGTGCTTGATCTTTTATGTTAATTTTCACATATTTTCATTTCTTTCTATTTCGGTGCTTCAAGGTTAACCACCAGATGTCTCCATTATCCAAACACATCAAGGCAGCCAAGATGAAACACCATCTGCATCAAAGCCCACAGGATACCAGGCTAGAGAAAACAGTGGAGGAAAGGTAGGCCTTCTACAGCCTATGACATTGACACTTGTCCCGCGCAGAATACCCTTAAAATTGAGTCAAGCCAGTGAAATTGTGTAGCTTTCAGTTTTTCTGGCCACTATTTCTGTGAATAGGTTCTTAGACTCTGGTATCCTGCTTGTAGAAAAACAATTTCACAAAATTCCATTGTCTTTTAACCTTGACTCATTGCTTTCATCAGATGTGAACATCTGTTATTTAGAGTTTTGTAGATATCAATATCCTGTCCTCCACTTTGAGATCACAATAGAAACGGCTTGAATTTCACAGTTGTCACAAGTTCACTTTGAGATCCAGTAAAGGTAAATTGCCTAAAAGTAAACCAGTGCACACTATCTTAATCTCATAATGTTAAATTTTACAGTGAGAATGAAGAGTCTTCTGATAGCAGTGATAGTAGCAGCAGTATATCAGAGGAGGACACTGACTTGGAGAATGAATTGGAAAATAACAAAACATTGGTAGACCAGGAGGAACACAACCTGGATGAGGAATTTGACACTAATGTTGTTAAAGTAGTTCACAGAAAGATAGCTACAAGGCATTCAAATGATGAATTCCAAGAGAAGAATCAAGGACAGTTAAATGGCCTTGGAGCTGAGGAGAATATAGAAGAAGAGGAGAAGTTGGAAAATAAGGTTGAAGTACCTCATTATGGAGCAGAAGTGAGCTCTGAATCTGAAATATATGAGAAGAATGTGATTAGTTCAACAGAGGGTGTATTTGGGAAGGTGAAAGGCAGTGCACAGGAAGAAAACATAGAAGAAGAACATGCTGTATCCAAAACTAACCAGCAAGAGGAATCTGAGGCAGAAAGCTCTGATGAGGAAGACGAGGAAGAGGATGAAGACAGTGACAACCTAGGGAAAATTGAAGAACAAAATAATGCTGTCAGCAAAGGCTATTATCATCTTCCACATGAAGAGAAAATGGCATCCCCCAGGCCGCTAACACAGCAAGTGGTACCACCCCTGTCTCGGTCCATTGAATTTGATGACACAGAAAGTTGGGGTGTTACAAACCAAGATGAGGCGGGGAATGCACATGGCAGTAGTAGTGCAGGACAAGTGAATGGTGCTGAGACTCCCCCAACATCCAAGCTTGTCACTAAGCTCTTCCCACAGTTGAAGCCACAAAAGAAAGCTGTTAGCCCACAGATACAGGTATGTAGAAATCTATTAAAAATTAAAAATTTTATATATTTGGTAGCAATTTTTTACTAGCATAACAAGTTTTTTTTTTTTTTTTTTTTTTTTTTTGTATTTTTCATTCTGAATTCAGTTTACATCAGTTTGGTCATTTATTTAGGCTTAAAATGTATATTATTAATACAGAAAATATTGTGCTTAATCAAAAGTTAAAATGTTTCTGCTCATGTGTGTGCAAACAGATCACAATTGAGATAGGTATCGCAATGAAATATTGTTTAATTACTCCAAATTTTCCTATAATACATTTAAGGAGTTGGTGTTGTATGCATAACTGGAAGACATCCCCTGCCCTATAAAATATCTGGTTCTGCAATATTTTTTTCTTAGATATTTTGCCTACATATGTGGAATTCAACCCAGTAATACAGGTACTATACCAGCTATAAAATGACCACATGTTATGTTTGGAAGAACATGAATTAAAAACCATGTGTTAAAGGGTTAATTACTCTATTTTGATATTGTTTTAAAGCCAAACCAGCAGCAGATGGTCCAGATCCGTCAGGCAGAGGTGGGCAGTGGGGTACAGTCCAAGGTCCTCAGAGACAAACTGATGGAACTGGAGACAGAAATTGAGAGATTCAGGCAAGAGAATGCTGCCCTAGCAAAACTGAGAAAAGAGAGGGAGGAGGTTAGTAATGACATTGTTATTTATTCTTATTAATTTATTTCACTGTTTAATTTCCAATGATCAAATGTATTTTAGAAAGAGCAAACATTGCAACTTTTATTACTTAGAATCAAATAAAGTTAACCTATGTTTTTAAAGCAAGTTGGTCATGTTTGCCAATAATTAACTTGTAGAAGAGGGTATCATTCCTCAGACTGAGTACAATTATTCTCTGAGGTGTCAAATGCTATTTGAGGTTATCTTCACCAGCATTCACAAAACTTTAGAATCTATTTCATTATCATACTTCTAATAAAGGGACTGGAAAAACTGAAGAAAGAGATGGCTGAATTTGAAAAGCAAAAGGCTGAAGAGCTTGAAAGGCTGCAGGAATTTAAAAAGCAAGAAATGAAAAAGTTGAAGTGAGCCTGTTATTTTTTTATTTGCCAATGATCTGAGTAGTTTTCATAACTATATCATGCAATATTTTAGTAGAATAATAGTTACAAGGGGTTATATTTGTATTTATCAGACCAAGGTGATAGCATTTTCTTTTCAATTTTATGAAAATGGTTTGTATTTTCACCTTTTCTTTCAGAAAATGAAATGTATGGATATTTTTTTTTCATATTTCTAGGCATGAGAAAAAGGTATTTGAGCAGTACCAGAAAACTGCCAGGGCACTTCCAGACAAGAAAGAGAGAGAAGAAATAGAGATGTTGAAGAATCAGGTATATAAACAGATTTTTAAGGAAGATTAAATTTTCGGTGTTTTCTTTTACTCAAATCCAAACCAGACAGAGAGAGTGACATGTTGAAGAATTAGGAATATTGACAAATATTTCGAAATCTCTTAGAAAGATTGAATTTACAGAGTTTTTAGGAATATTGACAAACATTTCGAAATCTCCTAGAAAGATTGAATTTTCAGAGTTTTTTTTTTTTTTTTTTTTTTTTTTTTTTTTGTTATCTTAAATACAATGTGGTATTAAAACTTCTTTGTTTCTACTCATACATGATTATTATTCTATAGTATGAAGTATTTACATTTAACTGAAGATTTTTTAAAGATGATAAATGTGCATTGAAATTGTAATATTTGTTTTTTTACCTTGGTAGCTATCAGAATTACAAGAAGAACTGAAAAGAAAAGAGTCGCGTTGGACAGCCAGCACCACTAGACTGCGTGACAGGATACAAGCTGTGGAAGTGGAGAATTTTGAACTGAAGGAAGAGGTGAAGATTTTAGAAAGAAGAAGACTGGACAACTGGCAGAAAGATCAAGTAAATAAGGTACTGTATATATCGTATCACCCTTGCCAAGTCATAGTATGGTTTTAATCTGATATACGTAATCTTGGCCTTAAAATTAGATTTTTTACACATGGTTAGTGCTGGGAACACCAGACTAAAACCCACATGATATAGACTCATTATGTTTAGACAGAATAATTTTATTAGATAGTTGATGGAATAATTTTGTTAAATCTTTAACAAGTTTCCATTATATTCCAAACACTGCACTCACATGACTGAAAATGCCAAAAAACTGTAATAAATATACTTTCAAGATACTTTGGAACATTTGTACTGTACAAGATATTTAATTAAAACTGCACTTATTATTTCTGCTTTCCTCAAATCTATATTTTCCATTGGATTTTCAAAGCCCATATTAATACAAGATAGAAAGTGTTGCATTGAAGGTCAAAAACATTTAACAATTTGTTTTCAGAAGGAATCGAGTTTTTCTCAGCCATTTAAGAAGCCTGCAATTGTGCAACAGAAATTGGAGGATCAAGTGAAACCTGACTTGAAAGAGGAGACCACAGGTAAAAATGTCAAACTTTAAATGGATAATAATATTATGACACTTCTATCCTTGTATTTATTTATTTATTTATTTATTTATTTATTTATTTATTTATTTATTTATTTATTACAATGTTTTTAGCAAATTTTTTTTTAAAAAGTGTTCAAGTGTAATTTACAACTTTTTCTTAATACAAACACCTAGGTATTTGTTAGAAGTATTTTTATCAATGTTTATTCTAAGTGACAAATCCTACAATTTAGTTGTATTTATTTGTGTTTCAAGTAGAGAAGAGCATGCCCCCTCCTGTCAAAGTTCCCCAGAAGAAAATGGCTACTAGCCAAGTTGGTCAGGTATTGATAGCTGAGGACACCCCACGTAGACAACCCACAGCTGTACAGCAAAGGTTACTTTTGACAATTTTAATATTCTTTTTTCGATTTAATGTTAATAATTTGAGAATGAAGTGACATGAAGTATCTAATCATTGACTTTACCTTGGAGTTTTCCTTTGAATATATATTTTTCTTGAGCTTGATGTGATTTTTTTTTTTTTTTTTTGGTGGGGAGGGGGGCAGACATGTTTACAATATATTCTAAATTATTTATTTTGTAATCATAATCAATAATTTTAAGCCACAGTAGAAGAGCTTCTTCCATATTTTCATCTGGTTATTGGGCTTTGTATGTTTATTGAGTAATTATGTTTTCTCTTAGTGATGACCTGCACTCGGATACAAGCTCAGAGGTGGATGCCCAGGAGGACAAGAAGTCAGTCCCCAGGAAAAGAGTCCTGCTGAACACTAAACATATAGACAAGGGGAGTGAGGACTATGAAGAGATTCAGCATCCTGATGGAAAGGTAGAATGAGTTAGCATACCATACTAGGCATTAGGTTCATTATATGTAATTTAAATCAATTTTAAACAATTAAACTAGAATTGGAAGGAAACGAACTCAAAATGATGTTACTATTTTCACTGACCAAACTATTAAGAAGAGGTATATATAAATTGGACGTGCACTGAGAGATTTTTCTTTTGTTACTAAAAACAGTAAAGACACCTTCACGTAATTCCAAAATGTACTCAGTAATGGTTATCTCCACAAATTAACTGTCATTTATATCATGTAGCTTGAGAGAATCTACAGCAATGGTGCCAGAGAAATCCTGTTTGCCAATGGAACAAGGAAAGAGATCTCAGCAGAGGGACAGTATATCATTGTGTCATTTTTCAATGGAGATGTCAAACAAATATTGCCAGATCAGAGAGTGGTATGTTTATTGAAGGAAGCAGTGGATTCTGCAGCTTTTTTATTTATTTCAAGAAAATTTTGTACGATTCATTTACAATGCAATGAATTCTCCTGACATTTCACATAGGAAAAAAAGCTAATAGTCTCTATGCACTTCACTTTTTTTTTATTTCATTACCAAAAACCTCTGTAACTGCCCTAGTGTTAAATGGTGTCCCATTACTGACAGCAGTATATTCTTCCACACTTAGGTTTACTATTATGCAGATGCCCAGACCACCCACACTACATACCCAGATGGCTTGGAGATTTTACAGTTTCCTAAGTAAGACATCTTCTCTGTGCACTGTAAACTTTTTATTGACCGTTAATTTTACTTGCTTAGTTTATCTGATGGTGGATTTACTAGGACTTTTATCTGTCAGCTGGTGGATGACAAATGACACAGCTGCTTGGAAATGAATTGGACCAAACACACTCCTTACACTTACACTCTTTGAACTTAATAGACTTAAACGTTTTTTGTAAGTCTTGTATATTTTGAATTATAAGGTATTTTTCTAATCACTTTGGAATTGCTTTTGTTGGCTTAACTTGCATGAGTATGCTTAGAGATCACCATTTATCCACAATTACAAGATTTCATATTTATCAGTCTGTCAACTTCCATTGTAGTAACCAAATGGAAAAACACTACCCTGATGGCACCAGGGAGATAACATTTCCAGACCAGACCATCAAGTACCTGTTTCTCAATGGGACAGAGGAAAGCATCTTCCCTGATGGTACGGTAATCAGGGTAGACAAGAATGGGGATAAAACTATGGAGTTTCCCAATGGACAGAGAGAGATACACACACAGCAATACAAGGTATGTTGTTTATCAGTTTGTCTAGTGATTTGGGATTTGTGTTAAAGCTGAGGGAATTCAGTATTAAAGGAGCAATTAACTAAAATTAATATGGTGAATTGATTACATATTTATGTAAGAGATTTAAGTTTCATTTCATTAAAGATTTTATGTAGTAACTGATAGATAAAAATAGTGTTATAGGACAAATACTTATTTCATATTATATAATTAGCTCAATTGTTGTGCTTCCAAATCTTAGAAAAGAGAATACCCAGATGGAACAGCTAAGATAGTTTACCCTGATGGGAGACAGGAGACAAGATATGCCAATGGCAGGGTGCGCATCAAGGACAAAGATGGGAACATTGTCATGGACAGGAGGTGACACACAGCTATAGGAATGCAATCTTTTTTTCATTTTCCGTCCATGATATTTTTATATAAAATCATGTTGGAATTACCTTTTTTTGACTGAAGGATTTACTCAACATACACTGGAAAGGAGTTTTCAACTTGAATTCCACATTTCTGTTAATTGGCATAACTTCAGTAGGACAACACAATACTTCAATTCATGTCAGCCATTAAAAATTTAGTATTAGTCACCTGCACCTATTTATATATATTAAGAAGTTTAATTTACGTTGGCAGCTTTTATCACAAAAGTGATGTGCTTCCACAACAAAGTGTTGGACAAATTCATGCTGTGATAACATTTGTGGGTTTAATAGGTAAAACTTAGTATACAGACTTCAACTGCTTATTTTTTATGCATGTAGATTTATTTATAAGTTCCAAGTTTATGCATTGCCCACTTTTGATTTGTGATGTATACTGGCATACGTGTATGTTATGGACTTATGAAATAGATGTATGCGTATAAATGTGAGGTTTGTAATAAGGCTGTCAAAGTCAAGATAAGGGTTGCAATGTTTATGAACCAAAGTATTGTATATTATGTAATAATGTTTAATAATAAAACATGCATTACCATCACACACACTTCAAACTTTTTTAGTTTTCTTTCAAAGAAAAGAGACAAAAATTTGATTAAAAGCATTTTATGGCAAACATATAACTTTATAAACATGTCCAGTGTGATAATACAATTCCATCATATTGGCACAACGGTTACAATTTGAAAAGGAAAGAAATGTATACACAGAACCAAGATTTTTCTACTTATCTATCTCTAGACCTGTACAAACTACTAATTACTATATATTACTACCTGTGCAGTCAGCAAACTAATCTAGTATTTACTAAGTTAACCATAATACTTTATAGTTAAGGTTCTTCATTTACATGAATGAATAATTTTGTTTGAATGCATTACTTTTAAAACTTGGAACATGAAAATATAACAACAAAAATTACTCATAAAGATAAACTCCAGCCAAATGGTCCATTTGGCACACACCATAATAAAGACGAATGATAGTTTTGGAACACATTGATTTATGGTGTTCATTTTGCCTAGTTTTAGTAGTACGAACAATCACAGTAATTTCAATTTATTTATTCTTACAACTGCTTTGTCTATTCAAAATAATCATGATCACCAGTTGTATTAAAAAGGTATCATGTTCAACCACTCTCTAATCAATTTTGATGAAATGCTGACTGCAGGCAACAAACTGCCAGATTCACAAGGTGTGGTATCATTAACTTCATGTATTTTACTCCCATCTCAAAAGACAATTTCCTCCTAACTCTACTAATCAATACTGCATTTATTTTATCTTAATAAGTCCAACTTGACCTTCCTATGTGGTGAAACATAACTCCCAATCAATACCATATACAATACTGTACATCTCTATGTGATCACGTGTAAGGTTGTCAAAGCATTTCTGTGTTATGTGAATGAGGTCTTGATTTAGTAATGATCTTTCTCTGTATCTACTTCAATTGTAAGTTTGGTAACTCTGCATACAAAATTGCAACCAAACTGACCTGATAAAATTTTATGCAAATACAGGCAGTTTGGGTTGGCTCATAAAATTGAGTTACATATAAACTGGATACAGTAGTTGAGCATGCATCACAAAAGAAATATACATAAAAACCAATGAGCAAAATGAAGCACCTGAAAAGTCGTAAATTAATTAATAAAAATCTTAAGTAACAGACTTCATTTTAACAAATATGTGACAACATACACATGTACATCTCTCTTGTGTATTTAGTCTTGTCTTCACTACATGTAAAAATCTATCTACACAGTTTGACTGTTTAACTAAATTAATCGACAACAAAGTTTTTTTTTAACAAGTAGTGCAAGTATTTTCAGTGCATTTTTAACTGGATTTTTCTACAAAAAATATTTTCTTGATATTTAAAAATTATTAACAGAATAGGAATAAAATGGTTTTGAATACAAATGTATCAAGATGATCATAGAATTAAACATGAATGAACCCAATTACTTTGGAATTCATTCTTTTTGCACAATTTCAGAAAGGCAAAATACATTTTGGAAATTTTAATTTTTTTATAAACTAATTTATCGGCAAAAGTACCGTAGAAATTAATTACAGTGCTTATCTTTTGTTGATAAGATAACATAAGATCTGTGTGTATGCTGCAGCAATACTCTTACTAGCTCTGAACAGAAGCTGAGCATGCTTTACAATATACAATCCAAAGGCTGCTAAAAATAGACTCAAATAATCAATGCATAGGATCAGGCTGTTTGGGGCTGGGGGGAGGAAATAGACTATGACTTGTACTAAATCTTTGACATGCTTCATGAAAAATCTATTGCAACCAACCGGTGCATGCAAAATTAATTTTTAGTAAAGTATATGAAAAGATTTAATTCTATTAATTAAGATTTTGGACAAGTCTTTTATGGGTTTCTTTGGTATATATGATAATTTGTATTAAAACAAAAGAGGTGTAAAACATTTAGGCCAATTTTACTGTTAATGGTTCAAGTCTTAGTATTGGACTAATTTTAGGGTGGAAATATATCAAACATCTGACATACAGCACTCAAAAAGAAAATTTAAGACAAAGAGTGATATATATCTTTAAAATGCTTGCTGATTTTACACATTTTCTCCATTGTCCAATACCAAGACTGCACCATCTAACTCAAACACTTTATCTCATTTCCCCCCACTTATACATGCCATGTGCCATCCTGACAAGGTCCATGCAGTAGGATGAAATTGAGATAAAGCTGATGAATGTTTGTTTTAGTTACTTGCATGTTCACCAGTCCAGGAAATCATTCTGTGAGAGACACAATGTAGGGATTTTCAAAACGTTTCTTCAAACAGGACTGCCACATACATGATCAATATTTCATATTGTGATTTTCCAGTATCAAGTTCTTTTCTATGCCACTAACATTACACATACCAAAAGGATTCACTGAATGACAATATAAACCCAGAATAAAGCTAAACACTATAAATGGTTATCATGCCTGTATAACAATCTATTTCTTTACTTAACTTACAGCATATAAGAGAACTTGGATTGTAATTTGCACTGTTACAGAACATCTTAAAACACCAAAATAACAGGTACTGAAAAATCTTGAATGAATCTTTTTCCCGTGGAATTCAAAATTCTGGCAGATAAGCTTTCCTTATAATAAAAGTGCTAGGTTAATGTTGATGCATGTGCTAAAAGAGGAGGACAAACAAGATTTTTCAATATTAATGCAAATTTTTCAATATCAAAATGAGAACTGTTATTTAGTGACTGTATTATAAACAGTCACAGTGTCCTTGGGGTTTCAAAGCAAATTGAAACTTCCTTGTTTTTCATCCATCTTTTTCGAATCTGATAAACTATCCCATGCTGCAAAATACACATTGTACAGTAACAGTAGCTGAGAGGCCAGCTACCCTAAGCCTGAAAGCATCACAGACAGAAACCTTGGGGTTAATCCTTGTAGATCAACTTCTTACAAAACCTTGGTGTGCAGGAAGCAGGTACACAAAACCAGAAGTGAACTCCATACTGTCAATCCACCAATTCTCTGGGAGGATCCTGTGGGACCATCTGTCACCGATCCAGCTATAAAATAAAATCATGTATTTATCGTGATTGTTCCACTTTTACATTACTGTTACATGGAATAATTGTGAGTAGTTAATTAATGTTACCATGCACAAAAGCTGCATAATTTTGCTTTACTGTTAAAATTGATGCATACTTTTAAAGAAGGCATTCCAAAGAAGGATAGATACATTTTATTTGTTAAGCTCTAAACAGTTTTCATTACTGCATGACATGTTTAATATGTAAATACTTCAAAATTCATATTGAAGACACATCTACAGTTTTAAAATGCTTCCACAACCATCACTAAACAGCTAGGTTAGTAAATTACCTAATTCAGAAAAATGCGGCATTTAAAATATTTTGCTAGTAAGAACAGGATATAAAGTTAGCTCCAGAAGACAAAAAAGAGACCTGTTAGGTATTTAACTGAAATGGAATTGTTTTAATGGGCCAACATGAAAATTGGCTTTGCAGCCAGACTTAAAGCAAGCCTTGAGGTGGACAATATCCAAATATGCCTCTCTATAGGTTTCTGCCTCTTTAAAATGTAAAGCAACTACATTTTAAGTATTGTTTAAGTAACAGTGCACATTACTACACTATAAATGAAAGTGCACACAGAAAAGAGACAAATGAAGTAGACTAATCATGATGAAAAATACCAAGTTTAGCAACAAAATATATCTACAACTTTCAATACAGCACTATAGGGGGGGGAGTTGAGCAGCAGCCAACCTGTGGAAAACCCTGTTCCCTTTGACCCAAAGGCATATGATGGTGGGGTGATGGTGATATTATCTGCAGGAAACAAGACAACAGTTTAAGACAAGTCAAATCAACAGTATATATATATAGTATGAATACCAATCAGCAGCCTACCACTGCCCTGCCACTGTCTTACTGCCTTACATATAAATAAAACATAACATTCCAGTGATAAACATGCACTTCCTTGTTGTTTTTTTTTTCTCATTGTCTTTAGGCCTTTATCTGTACAACTTAAATATTACTTTGAGTTTGGTCCAAGTCAATAAAAAATTTAGGTATTTTTAAGTATTCCAAAGCCATCATGACCATAAATTTCTATTTAAGGTGAATATATTCTACTCGTACTGTGCTCATGTAAGGATAAGGTTATGTTCTAGAATTTCCATAATAAGCAGTGAGACAATAGTGACAGGTGCAGTTACCACTGCAACATTCTTTTGTACTCAAGCCACCATGCCTAGATGAGTGGAGAGCATGCACGTTAATTTGTTCCAAAATGGTCCATGTAACCATATCTTGTTAACCAGTGTAACATGCAATAAATATGTATATGTAATGTGCCACAAAAACACTGCATCATAGAAAAATAGTTTTTCATGATTTTTGAAATTGCTTCATCTTTTAATTTTCCTTTTCCATTAATGATAATCACTTATAGTTATGTAATATAAAAATATATAAAATTTCAGCAAATATGTTTAGCATAACAAAATCTCTTCAGATATTTCTATGATGTAGAGTTTTTTCATAGTAAAGCATGCAAACTGCAAACATTTCTTCCAATGACCTGAGTGTTATCAACATAGCATGCATCTGAAAAAGTTAGCCCATGTCCCACAAGATGCAGAACTCTTGTCTGTTTGAATAACATGCAAGGGGAGATACAGAATACTGCAGCTGCAAACCATCAAAATACACTTCATATGGTCTACCTTCATTTTGTTCTCTAGGTGCGGGAACAGTGCTAGTTAGACCTACATCTAACACTGCAGAAGGTTTAGAGGAGGTTTTATTTTGGACAGGGATAATCTTCTCCACAACAACTGGCAGTTGTGTTGTTGTTGTTGTGCTACTAGACGTTGTAGATGATGATGATGATGTTGACATTGTTGTCGTTGTAGTACTCCTTGTTGTTGTAGTTGGCTCTGCAACAAAAGGTTGTTTTCTTTTTGTTGGATGTAACTGGGGAGTTGTAGACCCCAAATAAAACACATGCTACAGTATGTACTAGCTACAAATGCTTCTAATTCCCTTCATGTAATTACTGTAAATATGCAATAAAATAAAGTGAAATGATACTATACTAAAAATCTGTGCTCTGTGTGTGTTTGTGTGCATGTGTGTGTACACATCTGTTAATTTTAAGTATGATACAAAAGTAATTGAACATTCTTATAATGTGCATTGATGGCATCTATACTATATAATGTACATATTGTTATGTCCAGAAATCTATGTGCATTCACTTAAAATGACTAAAATATTTAAACATTGCTTAATTTTTAAAAATAATGCCTTTTAAAGCCAATATTAATTTTTTATAAACATTATGCCTTTTTAACTCAAGGTACAATGTCTTCCTTGTTTTAAGCTATCATTCTGCTCCCCCAAAATATTCAATCCTATAAAAATAATGAACAATGTACACATATTGATTTTACATCTACATTCAATTTGAAAATAAAATGTTAAATGCCATGCTTTGGAAGGTCAAATAATTTTCAGAGTCCAGATAAGCTGTAAAACTGCAAATAGAATGCAGCACAAAACATTCCCTTTGACAAAAACTTGAAAATGGAAAAGCAATAAGAAATGGAAATAATTAATAAATGATAAATAAATAAATAAAATTCTAAAAAAAAAGAAAACAGCTAAAGCTATTAAGGGGGAATGGTACACTTTCCATGTTTGAGGCTTTATAATAATTCAAATTTAAAGGGGTTTAATTCTTTGTAATTACAAAATGAAACAAAATACGCCACAAATGTTATACTTATACCTTCTTATTAGGGCAAGATATTTGAAATTATGCAGTATATCTTCCATGGAATGTCAGACCAAAGAACAAAAGTCTGTTTTTTAAATCACATTAAATTTTTTTCTGAAATTTAGACCAATTGTTTTGGATCACAAGGGCCATATAAACTGTACAAGATATATTTATATTTAAACAAGATATTGGATTATTTGAAAGAATTGTGCAGGAAACTCTTAAAAAATATAGGGGACACAAAATATTGAAAAAAGTAAACCTTTTATGTGAAAACATATTATAATATCTTATGTACAAAATATCTTTTCAGGGTTGGTTGCCACAGCAATGCATGCTGTTAAATTCAAAACAAACCACTATGCTGTGTGAATGTGCTGAATCTTATTTTTCAACATTGTTACTTATTTCAAAGAGACCAAGATGAACTAGTTTTTTTAATTCTAATGTTTACTGTGTTTACCACTTACTTTTGGACAAGGAGACAGTGGCTTCATCTTGTCCTTCTTCGTTGGCAACTACAAGGCGGTAGTCTCTGAAGTGTTCCTCACTCACATCATGGATGATCAATTTGACAGTGTAGTTAAAATTGCTCACCTGCAAAGTAATATTGTTCAAAACATTACATCTTCATAAAAATATATGAGAACATTATGCAAGCCTTTTCCCTAGCTTCTTTAACAAATGAAACACTGTGACACTGGCTTTCTGTCTTTACAACAAATGGTGAGTTCACACAGGCAATAATATAAACCACTTTGACATTTTCAGTCTACTGCATTTATCAGCCATGTACCAAGTAAGCAGTATATTTTTAAATGGGTGTTGCTGTGTAAGAGTGCTTTTCCTCATTTCTGAAGATGTAAACCCACTTTAAGTGTATCATCTGGTTTCAAGTTTATGTATAAAATGTGTTCACAATACAATACAATACAATACAATACAATACAATACTCACAGTAGACATGCTGCTATATGCCCCTAGTGTTTGGTCTCCTGTGAGGTTGATGATGCTGCTGTCAGATTTTGAAAAGGACCAAGTGATACTATCAGCAACTGGGTTAGATAGCACATGACACACAATGCTGAACGTCTCCTCACCAACGGAGGCTTCCACTACATCCGCACACTTAACTTTAGGCTTAGCTGAAAGCATAATCATTTCATTAATTTCCTATCATAAAATCCTGAAATCACTCATTTATTATTGATAATTCATCCCATTACCATCTGCATCTATTTTACCCTAAATATGGTGATGTAAAAGGACATTCTAAATGACACAATAATTGTAATTGAATATTTCACATTTCTATTTTTACAGCCCTTCATAAAAGATACAGTGTATATACTGTACGTGGTGTGAGAATTATATTTTTGGCAAAATCATTCTTCACAAGCTTTTCAGGTACTTTTATTTTCAGAGAATTCTTTGCATAGAATTTTCAAAAGATAATTTCATAAATTTTAGTTTAGTGTCATGCATTATCAATTAGACATCACCTACCAGTATGTATACTGAATATTCATATTATTACACTACAATTTGAATGGATCTGTAAACCAATTGTTCCAAAAAGGTTTTAGATATGTGACATTACAGAAATTGAAACACATGAAACACATCCACAATGACATCAACCCTAACCTTTCATTCCAATTATGACATTGGATTCCATGTCCAGGTAGTTAGGAGCAGAGGCAACACACCTCAGCTTTTGATTATTGTCCGATGGGCTCAGCCGCAACACACTGGTGCTAAGAGTGACCGTCTTACTCTGGATAACCAGACCTGCATTGTCTTTTTCAGTTGCTGAAAAAGTCATCAATTTTTCAGAGGTAAAGATTTAGTTTTAAATCCTGATGACATCAATAAATGAGATAAGCCAGCTTTTCATTTTACAAATGTGTGGAATACTTCAGTCTTAATGGATACCTTGCTGCTGATGTAAAATTGGAAGGAAGGACCAAAACTTTTGCTTCACCAAATTTATGAAGTAAAACATTCATGATTTCTCAAAGGCATTTACTCACAGACTTCTTGAAGATTGTAAGACCTGGTCACTTCCATGTCCCCTATCATGACCTTGACCTTTGGTGAGGTTCCAATGGCCTTTACCTCACACTCCAGACCATCATTGTCTCCAAACATTACATACTGGCCATTTGCCAGAGGAAAGGACTGTCCACTTATGGTGGTTCTGACCAGTTTGACATATTTAATAGGACCTAAAGTGAAATTATAAACAGTATTAGTTGATTGTTGCAAATACAAGCACATGTACATGTTTACATGCAAGTCCTGCAAAAGCTTGATTTTTGCTTATTCTTGAACCTACATCTATGGACTAGAAAGGTTGAGGTTCTAAGTCACAAATTGAAAATGCCAATATGTAAAAAATTAAAATTTCATAAAAAACTGTATAACTTCCAGAAAATTCAACCAATCAGACTTGTTTTCCAACTAAGGCTGAATTTAAGTCCTGTTTTTTCCTGTAACTTTGAGAACAGTTAGTGATATGGTTTTCCTTTAATGGTCACTATGGTGGTATTGCCCAAAATAGGATTTCTTTAATTATGATGCAATATTACATAATGCTTTAACTAACAGCATAATCACCGCCAATCTTTAATAATGCACTGCAGGTAACATGGATATTTAGAAAATGTGTCTAGCAAAGGTCTTCAGTGTCTGTACATAATAAAATATTCATTAAATCGAGGTTGAATATATAATAATTACAAAAATATGCATAAGTACCAAAAACTTTCAGCTCTCCCAAAACCATCTGGCTGTTAACTCTGCAGCCAATTGCCCCTGCATCTTCAGGCTGAACAGCTGGAAAATTGTGGTGAAATAAACATCAGAATTACAAAGGTCAACAACGAAGAATTGTTTCATGTGCCTGTGCAATTAAGCAATTAATTTTTCTTTGGGATGATGTTAAATTCTACATTTTTGTTAAAATTCAAGGAAAGCATATCATTGCATGGATATAGCAGAAATATATGACAATAATTGAATATGACAAGTAATTTCATTGTAATAATAGTCGAAGAAATTGAATATCTGAAAAGTGACAGAATATGTGTGAATAACATGATCAGTGATCTTCAAATGATACCTGTTATATTAAGATATGATGTGATGTCCTGAAACTGTCCTCTGCTGTTGACATTATTTTTTACATTATATCTCTCTGTTAGCATAAATGGATGCTGAATCATGCCATCATAAATTCTGTATGAGTTTGTATTCACCTGTAAATAATTATAGTCTATATTTGATAGAAAAATAAAAGTGAATGTATCTAATTCTTTTGTCAAATTAATTTCAAAACACAATGTGAATGAAACATCTTAAAATGTAGACATATTTGCAAAATATAAAACATGGTAAGCTATATGTTTGTTATCATATATTGCAACAGAACTGGAAAATATACAAATAACATCAATTTCTACATGTATTGAAATTCGTGAACACAGTACTGAATCTAAATTATGTCCCAGTATGTTATTACACCTCTACTGTTTTAAGCGCTACAGTCATTTTTTTTTCTTACAGGGTTTTGACTGAAAGTCTTTCATCATAAATCTTGTTACATTAGAAACACTTCAGGAAAACTAAAAAACAGACCCTTGCTGGAGGTGAAATCTAGGCAAAAACATGAAGCTGCAAACTCTGTATTGCAATCTTTAAATTTAAGCATTTTAAACCATGTGAAAATATGCTCCACCTGCCCTTCATTGCAGCCCAAAGATGGGTTTATGGCCGTGGCTACTTCAAGCCCTTCACATGTGTGGTCATTTAGTCAGACTGTCACCTGCACTAATCATGACTCATATCAAGAATGCTCATGTGTATAAATATATAAATGATTTTTCACTTTTCATTTAACATCTTTGACCTTTTGAAAGATAATTTTTTACTATCTTACACAAATAAATGTACCCATCAACAATTTCCAAAAATACAAAACCTTTTCTGTACATAATGGTGCAAATCCTGAAAAAGTTCATGAAAAAGATACTGGCCATGATTCAGGTTGTACCAGCGGAAAAAAGTGCACATACAACTACATGGTGCATTTAATCAGTAGCAGACCCACCCAGCTACAGAGAAGTAAAGGGCAGAGTAATTTGAGCCAGAAACAAACTAAAAACCTCCAGGAATCTTCTGTTGTCAAATCAGCTGGAGGCTTTACAAACACTGATGAAAGGAATAACTCTACCTATAAGAATTGTGCAAGGTTAAATGCCAAGTTAAATTGAGTCCAATCAAGTGGTGTGCCAATAATTTCCCTTTGTCAAATTGATTTCTATGACATGATCTTCAAGTAGGTTAAAGAAAAGTTACTAAATTTCTAATATCATACAAAAACATAGGCAAACCATGTGGTCAGCTTTGATAAGACTACTACTGCAGAAGTATTAATAATTATTTTCATTTAACATGAACAATTCGTAAGCTGAAAAATTGTAAACCATCCTATGGCAAAGAAAAGCTTTTTTTTAGTAGGATGCATTTGATCCTTTTTATTTTCCATCCACTCAAGACACTGCACACAAACAATCTTTAAAGTTTGGTTTTCATGTTCCCAAAAGTTCCAAACCATCAAAATTCTTTGGCATCTCAAGCCATTATAACATTAGAATGATTTGTGCTTAATTTCTGATTTATTATTTTTTAATTTAATTAATTTATTTTTTTGCTTTTATGTGTTAGTCATCCACCTTCTTGTTCTGTTTTAACAATAACAAGCCATAAGACCTTGACAAAAATAACTGTATAATCATTTATTAAGCCAGTATTTTAACCCTATTCAAGTAAGGCATCCTAAGAACATAAGGAAATTATATCTAACTGTTACTTGCAGCACCTGTTAATTATATCCACTTCTGAGGACTGGTATGATGTGAATTGTGATGCAAGCCCAAAGATCTGAGTGACTAAGGTGCCCAGCATGAGGTGTGGAGGCAGGCCAAAATGTTCCTGCCAGACTGAGAATATAAAGTCCATAAAGGAATTGGGTAACAACTTTTCTTACCAAGAACCAAATTGCGGTGTACACAATTTGCCACATTCAGTTATTTCTAATATCTTAAAAATAGGATTTTTTATAAAAAGTCAAGAAAGCTCTTTCTCTCTTGCATGCATGCATGTGCATACATGTATGTGTTTCCAAATACTGTAAGTCACCTTTACCGTATGTCCCTTCTTAACTTCTTATTCATTTGAAATATCCTTTTCATGTTTCTCACTGCTTTTAGACACAAATTTTACAAGGTATGGTGCAAAAAGGAAAAAAAGTTTTTGCACTGCAAGTGCAGACTGCCAAGTTATCATAGATGAACACATCACATCTCTAAATGCATGCTAGAAGCTGATTTTATAGTGCTGGTATTACATGAACAGAAATTTATTTCTTTACTTATTTATTTTTTGTCCAATGGTTAGGGAGTTGATAATTAGAAAATATGTTGCTATTTTGCCTTCACTTTAGACCTGTAATTTTATGTTATATTTACAAAACAGCATTGTATGGTGGTAATCACTTCTGTCAGCCAAGAAATGTAAATAATAAGTGGAGATCCCAGTATTAATAGTAGATATCTTTAGATAATGAAGTCCAGATCTCAAGATGATTAGTAATCAATAACTAGATTTTCTTTAAACTTTACAAACAACTTGTTTGTGAAAATTAATGAATAACTTTTCACATTGGAATGACACCAGGGGTTTCCTCAGAATTTGGGGTACAGGGAGTCCAAAATGTGAATCTGTTATTTGGTCACTGATTTACAGGGAGACCATTCCAGGCAAGCCCAACCAAACAAACCAAAATTTTTGTGAACTGTCTAGCCATATATATATATATATCTTTTTAGGCTAATGGCCATCCACATGATGACTGGAGCAATCTCTGGGGAAAGCCTTAGGAGTGACCCAAAAATTACCACACAATCATATTATCTTTGGATTAATTTTTATGCAATAAATGACGAAAGCATTATTCTTGTTTAATTGATATCATATCAATTGTTATTTTTCTCCCAAAATTTTAATTCATTTATCTTAAATAGCCAGATATGGTTCAAAAATAAATTAAAAAGACTGTCACCAATTCTTGTACATTGATGCTTGCTATTATGTTCTTACTTTTTTCACCCATTGTACTCTGTCGGTAAATCTGATATCTTTGGCTTCACAGACAAATGAAACATCAGTATTTGGCCGGACTTGGTATGTACTGTTCTTCAAATCCAAAGTGAAACAATGGCACACTGAAAACAAAATTAATAACATATGCATTAACATTTTAAATACTTTCATATTTTGCTTATTCTACATAAAATGGAAAATTCTAAAGGCGAAGTACAACAGTTGGCCACAGAATGGAAAATTTTGTGTCAGGCCTACACTGTAGACTTCACCTACATGAATTTATCAAGACACTTTAGCTGAAGCGCACAGCTCAGCAAGAAATCAATAAAACGCAGTGGATATAATGGAAGATCACTCTACAAAGCTAACACAGTTGCTATTTCTGCTACCATCCAGGTTTTCCTTACATATAAACCTCTGTCAAAACATCAATTTCCCATCAGAAAGTTCCATTCATTAATCATTTTTTTGCCCATAATTTGAGTCAAATTGACATGCACATGATATTTATCATGGTTTCTGCTGTATCTTTATTATGTTTGCATGTCTGATTATTTGTCTAATACCTATCGGGTGCTCAACGTGTATCCAGCTAATTGGAAATCAAAAGATTGTGGTAGCGTGTGAAGCTTTAGCATTAGAATCACACTGTATACATGATGTGAATAATGCATTAATGATTCCAAGAATCATAATCACACAAATATTTTGAACAGATATGGCAGTGCCTGCCTTAACCCGAAAAACAAACATTTTAAACAGAAGCAACAAATCTAAGTAACTGAATTAAAACATCATGAATTCTGACATTTACTTCTTATTAGCACAGCTCAGGTCCCAAAGCTTACTGTATATCCTGTACTTTCAATATGAACAGCACCACTGCATGTTCATGTACAAGTTCACCTTCCACACTAGTAAATTAAATTTTTACGTTACAATGAATAATTCATCCAATTCCTTCCTGTTTTATCATGATTTGGATTCTTTCCTGTATATGATGGTTTGGGAAAAATCAAATGCCACATAACCATCTTTCACATTTCACCCCCATAAAAATAGCAAGATCCCATAAAGCCCCAGCCATATTAATCAAAAGTCCAGGCTTTCCCTCACACATACCAGATAACTACTTCAACATCATGAAATTAGGATCATTCTAGGGATAATTTCTGCAATATCTGTCATGAAAATCCAATAGCAGGGTTAGAGATCAGCTAAAAATTGATGGAAACCGTATGCTCAGTAGTCAGATGTGCATTTAGTGTATTACCTGAATTCAATAAAATAAAAAGCTAAATTTTATAAAATAAATCTTGGAAGTGTAAAATCATGTGTTGATACTTGCATTGGAATATATTTTTTAAATCAAAACATTCTAATTTTGCCTACTAGTAGTGGATATGCAATGACATATTGTGTGAACTTGTATCACCTGATATACTAAATATAAATTTTAAAAATATGATTAAGAGAAATTTTGCCATATGAAAAATATGGGCTTTTGAGTTTTCCAAGCAATGTATTAGTATTGATTGACATATTCACACCATTAAAAAGATTAATTCTGAGAGAGCATAATAACTAAAAGATTTATAGCTATCACATTTATCAAAACAAAGTCAGAAAAAATGTGTCAATCATGCAGTGAGATACACATAATATATTTTATTCCCTGTGGAGCTTAATTATCATTTAATAGTTATAGACACTTAACAGGAATTACCAAGCTAGATAACAACCTAAAGTTACGTATATTATAATACAAATGAAAATGAAATGACACCATGCGGGAACCATTCACTATCAGACATCTATAGTAACGTTGTTTTATTAGCAACAATGTTTCTTTTTAAGCCTATGATACCATATATATCACATACAAATTGTGTCAAGAGAGGCAGTTAAGGAGGGCCCTGCATGCTATATGTTCTTGCATCCTTCCTGTAATCTACCAAAATGGCATAATATAAATAGAGTTTATTTATAAAAGAGCTGCATTAGAAACATATTTTTAGACAAACAATGCACAATATTTTTCATGTTTAGAGAACTCCTTACATAAAGCATTGTTAATTCTATAACCAAACTGATATACATGTTTAATCATATAAACTAGAGGTGAAGATAAAATTGTCACTTTCATTCTATAGTTTTAAACATGTTCTTGTTCTCCAAATAAGGAAGATGTATTTCTCCATCAGTACCCTCTTCTGTTATTCTAGCACAATATGGAGTTAACTAGACAATTGAATTAGCAGCTAAGAGAACAGCTCTCCCAGAATTGATTTGTCCATTTCACCCATCTGTCATATTGTGTGAAGGTATTGAGCTTCAAATCTTCCATACCACATGGGGACTCCAGAAGAAAAGACAATACGTTATGATATATTGCTGTATTCTACAATATGCTCAGTTGACCTGGGACACACCAAAGAAAAATTAAAAATTACAAAAAATACAAAAATATATATAAATAAAGAAAAAAAGAAATTGTTTGGTGGGCCCTAGGCATAACCACATACAAATATTTGTAATAGGTCATCAGTTCAATAAAATGTTGGGTTTTAGTTCATTGCCAAGTAACATGAAAATCAAATTCTTCAGAAACATTTAAATGAATTTAAGTAAATTGTAATGATCCATTTAAATGATCTAAGTAAAGCGTAATGTTCCATATGACAATATCAATCAATTTGCTTCTCTGACATTGCTCGAGAAAACATACTATATATTTCACAATATATTTAACCAACCCACATCAGTATTAACCTTAATGGGCAGAAATCACCTATAAAAGCTACCATTTGTTTTGATACTTATCCCCCAGGGAAGTCTACTGGAGATAGAAGATAAACAGCATCAAAGTTAAAAAGTCGAAAGCACCATGCACACTTGAAAGGTTACAGACCATTAAACATTTCCACTGCAATTAACATAAGTATAATGAGAACTGTGATCTACCTTGATAATATATTGATCAGTTCTACAATGACCCATCTGTCACAATGACCTGGACACATGATGGGAGTTTAAGCAGCTTGTGGACATGTTGGAATACCATTTGCTATCAATATTTCAATGGCAATAATGATGATGGATAAACTAGACAGTGCATTGCTTGCCACAATAAATATAACATGGTCATGGTAATATTACATGTATGACCAAAAGTCAATCTGACAAGTGGAGAGAGACTTTGGTTTCTTGTCTGTATTGGGAGCTAGGTGATGGGAATAATTTCTCTCTTTCTCAACATGTGTGTGTGTGTGTGTGTGCGCGTGTGTGTGCATGCACCATACACCTTCTAAACATTTAATATAACATTTATCAAGTCTCAATGCTAACACAAACACATACAACATAATCTGAATGGTGATAATATAAGCAACAATCTTGCTGAAAAACAAAAGTAAATAAATTCCTTCTGCAAAACACTTTGTATTGTTGTAATCAAATATCTATAACACCAAGTCAAACATTATCTTCTCCACCTCCGAAGGAAAAAAAGTGAGAGCCTCTGACTAATGTGTACTGATGTTTTATGAGAATTTTTACTTAGGTCAGAAGCAACATGATGCCTTCGACCTTTTTTATCTCCCTTTTTTCTAGTCTTTAATCTTCCTTTTCCCAGACATTGTTTGTGATGGATGAAAGTTAACTGTCAATAAATGATAGGAAAGTACCAAACCTCTGATAAACTGAACTCTTGCCCAATCTTCAAAACAGACTGGTTATCTCCCTATGCTTTTTTGCTGTGAGAGGAATTCTAGAAATGATATCAGTCTCTAAATTGGACTGAACAAACATTGCCATCACCATATAATAACAATTAAAAAGCTATGATAACTTCAACAACCCCTATCAGTACTAATTCATTCCATGAAAAAAAAGACCCTTGAATTCTTACTAGTACATGACAAATACCCATATTTCACTTCATTTCCTCTTTCAAATTGTTGATTGATATGTTTTTACACATTTTCCATGTCAGATATTGAACAATGATGCAGGTTATTTTATTTGAGCTTCCCCACTTCCTATCATTTCTCAGTAATAGTCATTATCGTGAGTTGTCTAGGATCAATGACAAATAAAATCATGCTTTATGATACACTAACATGTAATATATTTGTAACATAAACACACTTGATGAAAGATATCTAATTGACTGCTGGCATACAAGTGAAATTATACCTTGTTTGAAGTTATAACCTAGGATGCAGTTGCCAAATTAAACAAGAAAACTATTTTGCCAGGCATTCCCTATGAATCAGAAGCAGAAGGTGTGCAGTTGCCTTTGGGCTGCTAATTCAGGTGCCTACTATGACCATGTATAACCAAAGGTGCAATGGTTCATTAGGTGTCTGCCAGTGATTCACCCTTTCATTTAAGTTTAGGGGGTGTTATCAGTGAATAGTTAGGATTCAGTAAATGGGAGTATATTTTGTGGAAGGTAATTGCTAATACTCTATTTATAAATCATTTTTCTAAAATGACTTACAGCCATTTTCTGCCATAAATTTGTGAAGCTGAAGTTTGATCTCCCGACAGTGGTTCATATTTGTTAACTCTTTTATGAAGTCAGCAAAAGCAAAAATATATCAATAACTCCAATAAAAGATACCTCTGGAGTGAGATTTCAGGATTTGTTTTAGGAGTAAATTCAAAGATGGCTTTATGTTGCTTTTGAAATATTTATTGAATATATTTTTGTTTTTTGGGGTAAAGAAACTGATCCTAATTCAATGACCCCAGCAGTGCCGGGAATTTGGCCAATGCAACGATAAAAGAAGGATTACAAAACTAAGAGCAAATTAATCAATTCGGTAACAAAACAAAAAGGAGAAAAGAAAAGGCAAAATATAAAGTCAACGATACCATTACCGAGCTATTCACAGGATATGTATTCAGTGAGGGTACATAGCCCTGAAGCAAAAGCAATGAAAAGTGACATTCATTATCTATTCTCATGAGACTACTGAAGAAGACATAATAAATCCAATGTAATATATTGATCCCTTGCCCTAGTTTTTCCTCAGCCAGCTTACACAGCTATTCTTACTATAGGAAATTCTAAGAAATCTAGCCAAATATATCAATACCTAAGGATTCAATGAATTATACCTCCCACAGTTAAAGATTAGCATGAAAACGTCAAGAATATTTATATTTCACAGTAATTGCTAATGTGCATCCACAGGGGGAACTTCAGTATGGCCACTCTTAGCATCACCTGAAGCATAGAATCTCCAGGTGAATAGCCTGATCAAGCACCTGGGAAGCTACTTCTGGTGTTTGTTTTATGTATCTCGTGTTTTCTCCAAGTTGATAAAACCCAAGCTGTTTGCCTACTAGATGAACACAAACATACCTGACTATTTATCACCATTTTCCAATCATCCTGGTACATAAATTACATATATCACAGTTAAACAATACTGGTTATAATAGCTATAATGTATATTGTTCAAACAGAACAAATGATTTCCTCTAACTAAGGAAGTAAATATGTTTTTAACACACTGTGGGTGGTCTGTTTGATTGATACATTTGATATTTTAAGTTCAAGGAATATTTTTTGTTATACAATGTATATTTTTATATCAATAAAAAAAATTCTATTGCAGAATACAGAATGTGACTACACTGAAATTGTTGCAAAATTACATATATTTGATTTTGAAAGGATTCGTCAGTTATGTACTGTAATTTCAGTATTACTATTTAATTTCTTTAAATCTTTATTTTTGGGCAATGGATATGGCATCAAGTGGCATTAATTATTCTTGCAACAGCAGACCATCTACTTAGCAGTCAAATCAAGAACCTTCAGCTCAAGTCCTACTGATCAATGATCTATTTACAACAGCCGGCAGTTATATATTAGCAAGCTGGGTAGCTGTAACACATTAAATGTACAGAGTACAGCTTCAGTCCAGACATATAAGAGGAAAACTAACATTAAGGAACCTCTGGTCTTTTTTTACGGGGAACTATTAGTCAAGCAGTGGGCTCAAAGTAATATAACACACCCAAGATAGCTAGCACGTTTTCCTGCCTACATATACTCCTATATGGACCTCGGTTCAATTATAACCAGTTAGTTGGAGTCTAACATTACATTCAGATTTACAACTGACGTTTAGTCTTTGCAATAACAATACGACAGAGGGGAAATAAACAAAACGCCTTGGCTTTAAATGTTTTCAACAGGCAGTGAAATTCTAGTATGTACACATACATGAATTGCTTTTGTTAATCAAATTAATGTGTAAAACAGTATGAAATTCGCTGTACAGTACGCAACGTATGGCGATACTGTATGGCAGGTAATGAAAATTTTGTAAGTAATTTCAAAACTTTCCGGCTTTTCCCAACGCTTTTGGCCCCCACGCTACCGTATAACATGATCTGCTATAGCTTACTTCAACTCGTTTGATCAATGAAAACCCTGATATTATACCAAGCGGGCGGCAAAAACAAATCGGTCTCACGTCCACCTTATCAGTAACACCGCAAATGTTTAAACGCTTTAAAATATCGCCCCAAAGACCACCGACCTTCCACGTGTCTAAACTATAACTTACCTGTGATAACTGTAGTAAGAAAGACTAAAACCTCCAGGAAATTACTCCTAGAACAGCTTTCCGATCCTGCCATGGCTCTTTGCTCTCGTCTGCCTGCTGCGCTTCTAGTGTTTTGACACATTGCCAAGGTCATTCCGAGAGACGAGCGAGACGGGCGGATATCATTGCTGTAGATGAGAGATATCAGAATTAATGTTTTTTTTCTAAGCAATGCCCACAATGGTTTCAACAATAGCAATAAAATTCGACCATAGAGTTATTATTCATAAACTTTGGGGGGGGGGGGGGACTTAACGATATGCTATTTCTTGCCTTTATAATACGCTGATAGAATGCGTCAACATTCTCGTCAGATAAAATTAAAGGGATAACTATTGTTGTATTGGTAAACTGCGACTTTCCATGCTTACCATTGAGCTTGGACAAAATAACGAATATTATGTCTAAGTATTGAGTAATGAATCCATTCCATCAAGTTAGGCTGGGTTCCCATACCTAGATCGATCTAATAAGATCGATCTATCTCCTTGGGTTTCTCGCTAAATTGCTTTTAGCTTAAGCGGCTTAGAGGGCTGGCACGCCTACTGAAGCTGCTAAACGATAGTTAATTAACCCCAAGCAGCTTCAGTAGGCGTGACAGACATCTAAGTTACTACTAAGCTGCTTTAGTTGATTGCAATTTTGCTAGAATCCCCTCGGAGATAGATCGATCCACAGTTAGTGCGATAGTGTCTGGGAATGGTCCCTTAGTCCATTAAAAAAAACAATCTATTAGAATATTATTACGGAGGTATAGCCATCTATGAAGGTCCATATGGTGTGGGGACAAGCACAGATTCCAGAAAAATTGCGACAATCGCTGTTTTTGGTGGTCAAACGGAGTTTATTATATTTCTATCATAGAATCTATGGGTTGTTTACCATGTTTTTATTGTGAAATATGAAACTCAAATGAACAGTTGTCATCTCTTTAATCTTCACTTCGGTCGCCTGCGTTCAGCTGTCACCTTATTTGTGTTGTAAGCAAATGACTTACACTTCACTTACCTCACTATAACATTTGGTTAATGAATTTTAAAATTTGCCCAAATTGGCATAAGAATACTACCCTAGTATACACTCAAGGAATTTTTTTAACGAATTTATATAATCGCCATTTACACGCCACACTACCTAATTAGTAAATATTGCGGGTTTTTTTCCATTACGGATGTCTACAGATAGTATGATATCCCAAAGTCATTTTATTAGTCATTTCATGTAGTTTCTAGATTCATTGAGCAATCGAGGTGACGGCCGAGTGTGCATCCATATATTTATAAAAAGTACAGAAAAAAGGTTATCAGAATTAGGCAGTGAATGAAATAAATACCTGGTTATGTCAATACAAAACACATGATTTATACTAGGGTGCTTATTGCGTATTAAAAAAAGACAAAATCCAGAGGTACCTGTAGATCTCAATTAAGAGGTAAAAAAGGATTTTTTCCCCAATCTAAAATCGCTCTCTTCTTCACTGAATGAAAAGCATTTCTTTCATTTTATTTCGCGTAATTTCTCAGCAGGAGTTTCAATTTCATTATCCCAAAGGTTTTTAACGTGATTTCAGGATAGACTGGCAGGCTGCATACAGGAAAATCTAGTAGTGACTGCAGATAAGACAACTAAACTTTAATATAGCCTACAAAGGACAAAGGCCGATCTGTGATCTTTTTAGCAATTATTGTCGCAGCAAACACAATCTTATCGGTTCAGCACTCAAACACAGCTGCTGGCACAATCTTTTAATAGAGTGATTGTGTCACTAGTTGGTGTAAAAAAATGGAGATCCGTTTCACACTAATAACAGTTCCACCCTCCATAAAATTCGTACAGGCACGGAAATAAATCTACGATATATTTCGATGGTACAGGTAAGGGTTAACATGACACATGTTGGTCTAATTCAAGGGTATTACTACTTCAAAGAGTACTAGATGTAAATTTTCCAATGGATGTTTTACTGTTCGTGCACCCTGTGTCCCAGTTAACTCGTACATGATCCCGGGCACGAATGTGATAGTGACGCTCAGAAGTCCATGAACAAGCACGCAAAATCGTAATTTTGTCCGTGTGATTTAATATTAGCCAAAGTGAAATTGAAGTCGTTAAAATACCTTTTAAAAATTTATAAATTGGGAGAATTCAGATTAAAGAAGTATCAATGATTTCAGTAAAATAAAATAATACATGCAACTCAAAAGTCTTTAGTATATATTGAAAAAAAAACAACTATTTCAAAGGAAATGTTTTATTACAATTCTAAAAAGAAAGTAGTTGCATTGCTTGAGGCAACAACTGTATTGCTTCATAAACAAAATTCACAACTAAAGTTAAGATTATTGGCACAATGTTAGAGGAAAGAATGCTCAACATCTAGTTCACATATCACCAATTGGTTCATCAAAACAAGAAAAAACTTTCCCAAAGTTGCTATTTGTGCATTTTTTATTACAAGTATACTTTCTAATAAATTCCAAATATTAGAATTCCAAGAAATTCAAATCAAAACATACAGATTTTACCGTTCACATCATAACCCTACTGAGTCAAATTCCATACACGTATGAACTCAAAAATGGGTGGATTGTAAAAATGAAATTCTATAATGGGATAATTATAATTGGTGAGAATGAGACACTTTATGATAAGTTTGAAAAAACTGTGAGACTCAAAATATTAATGGCAGATAAAATGTGAAGGATATAAATATCTAGTCAATGCTGATAGAGTAAGAATCTTTTAATGAGATGTTTTGATTTTAAAAAATGACTTTTATCACTTAAAAAACAGTTCTACATTTGAAATTAAAAACATAAACAAAATACATACAGTGTCCATCAAAAGCACAAACTATGCACAAGAGTTTAAAGCACTTTGTACACTTTGCTTGAAAATTATTCTTGTTTCTCCTGCTTAAAATCTTTTGTAAAATTAATTTTAAAGCACTTCTTTATAAATATGAAAAGTGTTTATGCATACAAGAAGGCTCTCAAACAGCTAATCAAAAAATTACAGCTAAAAATTACACGATTAATTACTTCAAGATTCTCCTTAAAGATCGATTCTCAGAAAAAATAATCTTCAAGTATTTTTGAAAAGTATTACAGACATGTTAAGTGGGATATTATATTTTTAAAAAAGTACAGTAAAGGATATATTAAAGTTACAAGTTAAATGCCATACATACTACATATTTAATATTATATTTATATATTGTTTGAACCTATCCTCATCCAGGTAACAACACCCACCTCATTCAAATGGATTGCAATTAATACTTCAACACACTGGTAACATATACCACAGTCTTTGTAACATCAAATTATGCACATAATCAAAATTCAATTCTGAAAACATCCAAATTTGTATAAATCCTTCTCTTTTGTGCAGTTTGTCTTTGAAAACATGGTCAACATTCATTTCCTCAACAGGCAAATTCAATAGTTTCCACCATGTGTATTACATTCAATTGGATTATTTGTAGAAAAGTTTACTGTGAATATTTAAATCTGTGACTGGCATCAGTGTCTCCTAACATCTCTTTGTTTTCACAGCTTTTGCCTGGCACCTGTCGCCTCCCTGGGCCACATCTCTCCGCTTGGTTTTTACGCCATTAACACACTCACTAAACTCTCCCCAAGGACCATACATGCAGGCTTCTGTAAAAACAAAATTTTAATAACATTATGAAAATTTAGACTCTTAGAGGAAGTTTGTTCTGATTCCTGTACAAGGTGGACTTTGAAAGTATTAGTAAGTAAGCTGAAAAATTTCAGCACTTTAACAGACACATGGTGAAAGTAAAAAGAAAATAAGGGGGCAACTCTGAAGCAATGAGGGACACACATCTGCCACTCCTATCTTGATCAGCAACAGATCTGCCAGGCAGTTTCATGCCAAACTTACCTAGATTACATTAATAAGTTTCCTGTTATTTTGTATACATACCAATGAAAGTTATTTCTGCGCTTCAAATTGATCTAAATTGCTACACTGTACAAATTTGATAATACGAGTTGCAAGAACTACAGTTATATAAATGATTCTTATGAATTCATCTCTTACCCTGTCCTCTCTTATTTACACATGATTTCTGTTCTTGCTTTGTCTGAGCACAGTCATTAGGGTTGCCCATGACTAGAGTCATGGTACGGGTCCTCAAGTTGTGGTCATCACACTGAGCGTCCCAAGTCCAGGTGTACTTGCACTCTGTTAGAATGGAGTTAAAAGGTGAACATGTTCAGGGAAAGGATATCTTTGGTCTTGATAAATATCAGATAATTTTTTATGGTAAAAAGTATTAAATCTAGGTGTTGTTTATTTATAATAGATAAGTGATTAATTTTTTTAAAGAATACAATAAAAGAGGTGTTAACACAAAAATAGGCCTCATATTCTAGATAGGATGAATGTATTAAGGAATGAATTTTGTGATTTGCTCATGAAAGAGGAAAAGACCAGAATATGATGAACATATTGAAAAAATTTGAGACTACATACAGGAGAAGTGTATTATGCTGCGTTATGTCATAATAGCTTGGCTTTACTTACTACACTTCTTTGTTTTGGTTCTAGTTGCTGGGCATTCAGGGTTATTGTTGTTTCTTGGCTTGAGCTGGTCAGTCCTGGTGGTCATTCCATCCTCGCAGTCTGACCATTCTCCCTTCATGTACTTGCAACCTGAAAAAGAGAACACAAATTCAAACACTAAAGCAAGTGGAATTCATATTGTGAAAATATGCTGACCAGGATACAATATATTATTTATAATAAATTTATAATAAAAATTTCCTAAACAAATTTCTCAATGAAGCTCAATTTTTGACACCACTTCCTTCATTAATGCCATAGTTATTCCATTAAATTTTCAACTTGATACAGATGTTATCATGAAGATTTCTAAACATTATAATGAATAGTTTGGGAGAAATTAAAACTTGGAGTTTATGATGTTTCTTTAAGGTGTAATCATTTGATAAAAGAAACAGAAAAAATTTCCATTATTCCAACATATTTAAGTATTGGAATAATGTATAGGTGTTACTTTTCATGACTTTTTGTTAGCTGTTACATATTAACCCTAGTCACCCATATAAACCAAATTGCTTGTTGTTGCTAAATATGTTTGACAGTTATTATATGGGTTACAGTGTTACTGTAATGCTAGAAAGCATATTTACATGAAATAAATATGGTGCTATAAATCTTGCTAAAATGTGTAAAGCATGTCATTACGTGTACTAAAAATGTACAACACTGCTAAATGAAAACTATGAAAAAATGCTAGCAGACAATATAACACATTAATCCTTTTCATCTAACACAGAAGAAAGTTTGTCACCTCTTTGTTGGTCTTCTTTACGTTGTTTCTTTTGCTCCTGCCTTAGTCTTTTTCTTTCCTTTTTTAGTTTCTTTTTTTCCTGCTTCTGCTTTTTTCTTTCTTGGCGCTGAAGTTTTCTCTCTTGCCTCTGGCTTTTTTTATTTTCTCTGCTACTTCTGCACTTGCTGCTGACTTCTTTTCTTTCTTCGCATTCTGCAGAGCTCCCTTCCTTTAGTACCAAAACCCGGGTACGTCTGTTGGTCATAGTATCACACTCACTCCATTCCTGACGGAGGTATTTGCAATTCTTCTTTTCTGTGAAAGCATCATTTAAAGCAGCAAAATAAAGAGCTACATGTATCTATGAAAAAATAAAAACTACTACATGTAGAACTTAAATCATGCAAAGATACCCCTGAGCTAAGTGCTGTTAAATGAGATGTACCTTTTCAAGCCCTCCAGATTGCATTGGCTTTAATTCTTTTTACTACTGACAGCATCAGCACTGAGAAAACCTTTACAGAATTCATAAATACTTCTGTCTCAGTTTCACTGTCCTGAATCAAGCCTCATAAAGGATTTTTGCCATATTCTAACATGAGTCTCAGATTTTGGAGGACAAATGCACAAATTAATAACTCTAGCCAAAAATTATATACCCCAATGTAGAAATACTTGCCACATGCTTTACATTTCATTACACAAACAATTTTGCCAGCTTCCATCTAGGTCTCTATCTGGCTGTATACATAAGCCCCCTATGGGTTCTCTTTATACAGCAACAATGCATTCTCAACAATCTTCAGCTCATAAGGAACGTACAGAATGAGCAGATGAGCAGATAATATTAAATGATTTGTGTAATGAAATGTTGTGCTTTTGGCAAGTAATTTTATGTTGGGGTGGTTTATTTGTGGTTGTAGCTGTTAATTTGGGCATTTGTACTCACTGATCTGAGGCTCAAGTTAGAAAATGTCGAGTCCATTTATTAGGCCTGTGAATGACTGTAATGTCTACACTTAAAAAAATTTAAAAGGAGGCACATAGTACCAGTAGATATAGCAATGCCAATTTTGCAAATATTCAGATTTTTTTCCATAGCTCCCGTCCTTTTTTGAGTGCAGTCAGTTCACACAGGCAGCAAACACTAATCAGACCCCAAAACTTTTCCCAGAGCTCTGTTTTAGGACAGTAAGTTCAAGAGAAATGCCTCACCTCCCATAAACAGACATGGTACCTGGATTGTAACATAATCACCACATGAAAACTTTTTTGAGTGTGGTTCTAGTCATAACCTGCACTTACTTTTTTATTGCTTGTTGTTTTTGATTTGACAAGTAAATGGGGTGTTACATGGAACACAGAACAGGCAACAGAAATAAAACAGAGCTGTAGGACCTACTGACATACGAGACAAGCCATGGCACACCTAAAAGCCAACTACATCATTACAGTACACTGAACAGTAAATCAAGCAAAATTAACAGAGATATACAAATATACAACTTGATGTGATGGATACAAAGGTAACTTGGCAGTTTGTTATCTGTTTATTATGTCTACATGCATTTAAATATGTATTTTCTTACATATCTATAGGAAAATTAATTAATTAAAAGCTAATACATGTATATGCTATAAATAAATATGTCTTGTACATTAACAGCTTTTTAAATCAATAAAATTTAATGTAAAAAAGGAAGAATGTCAAATTAGACTTGAGATTTCGAAAATGTTAATTAGATTTCTAGTGTCTTGTAGAAGTTCAAGAAATTGTTTCCAAATTAGTCACCTGTCAAATGACCATGCACCACACAAAATGACTGCATACAGGCATCTGGACTTCAGTGGTCAGAAATTTTGTTTTCACATTTTTTTCATAAAGCAAGTTAACTAACTGATAAGCAAAAAGCTAGTAGATGTGGATTTAGTGGAACCCATCTTTTTGACAGTTAAAAGGAGTCCTATTTTTCACATTTTTTAAAAATTTTTCTTAAATTTTGTATAAAAATGCATGTTAAATATTTTAATTAATAATCTAAAATGTTAAAATTTATTTGATGATATACTTTATAAAAAAAATTAAACAGTAAATAAACATTCATAATGATTGTTTCATTATGCTGGTTTACAAAACACAAACATCGATTTCCCAGTAAACAAATAGCAAGCATATATGGCCAGAGAGAAAAAATTATTTTATCAGTAAAATGAATCTGAAACTTCCTGCAGCTAACAAATTATTCCAGATGCTCTGCCAAAGCTTAAAGTGTGCTGAACCCTTAAATATGTGTAAATCATATGAGTTGGCCTTAAAACAGATTTTCATAGAAGTTAAATGTGTCTTAAGTTTGCCAGTATGAAAATATTATATACTTCACTGCCTACTGAATACCAAAAAAAATTGCCAGAATTATATGTTAAAAATAGGTTTCAGAAATATTTCAAATGATATCTTTTGAGGAAAGAAAAAGGACATTTTATTGGAAATTCTCTGGTTATTGCAATGACACAATGAAAATGTCTAATCAGGGGTTTGGTGAAAAGACAGTTTTGGGAAAAATGATGAAATGTATTATCTAGCACTTTGATGATATGTGAAATTTACTTTTATGCAGGTGAATTAGCTATATTTTTATCATCCCCTGCTCCTTTTTCATTCATCTTTCACATTAAACCATAATTTATTACAAATTCATAGTCATCTGGTTTGGCTAAAAAAAAAAGTGCAAAGCAATAAATCAGTCCCCCAGTCACTACACTAAGCAGATGCCTGACTAGCAAAGTATTTTGGTTTTACTTTCAAGGAGTCTGCTGGCACAGGTTCTCAGCCATTTATCATACTGTCATGACAAAGTCCTCCAGACATCACAGGCCAAAAATATAACATGGCTTGAATTAGTACTTTACAACAATGGCCTTTTTCACATTGTGCGTGCGTGCGTGCGTGTGTGCAGTATACTTGTCTGGAATGCCTTAAACTTATCTGTATTACAATATGTGTTTTTGGTCCTTTTCACAAGTTCATTTTCAAATGTTTCAACAAATCAAAATTAATTTATTTAACTTGTTGAGGGGAGGGGGGCTCCATTTCAATGACTTTTTTTACATAACAGCTAGTTTAATGAGTTGTCAGTCTCTTAAAACATTGTGACGCATATAAGTGTACCACACAATGTGAAAAGGGACAACATCTTTCAACATATTTATGTATTTTTTGTACTGCAAACAGAGTACTTAAATGTTGTAAGGGCAGTGAATGAATTCAGTTTTTTTTTCTATGAAAAATCAGAAGTGTTCAGCAAGTACATGTTGTAGCTAAGTTTATTTCATGGCAAGTTAAGTGTATAAGATTCTTAATTCAGAACATTATTTCCAAATACATAAATGTGACTAGGGCTAAATTAAGCATTTGGCTAAATTATTTTCATGTAAAAGCATTTGTTACTCAATGACTACAAACTAAAGGTTATATTAATTATTGCTAAGTATTTATTTACACTTACCCATTTTGTTTTTCTTGCAAGGTTTAGTTTGGGTGATGGTGGCATTGCACCTGGTACTGTTTCCTTTCTTGAGCTGTTTAACCCTTGTCATCATGTTAGTGGCAGGATCACAATTGCCCCACTCCCCCTTGGTGTACTTGCACTCTGTAAAGAGAAGGATAATACTTCATTATTGGTCTGAGTATAAGAATGAAATTTTTTTTCCAGTCATCAGCTAATATTGGAGTTTTTTACCTCCAATATTTCGATGTCTAGCAGAACATCTTCACCGGGCAAAGTTGCTGATCTGGAAAGTTTTTCCTCAGATGAATTACAGGCAGCTGTATAAAACATTCCCTGATGAAGATGCTCTGCTCAATATTAGCTGTTGACTGAAAAAAATTACTTCATTCTTATGATATAACACAGCTGATTAAATTCTTCTCTGGTCTGAGCATGAGGTGCAACTAATCTGAATTTATTCAGAATTTTTTTATTCAGGTATTTTCCATTCTGTTTGAAGTGGAGTGTCAAAATGAGAAGAAAAAATTAATTTACCTCTTTATTCATGGACCATTACTGTTACCGGCAATGTCAACAAATTGTAAATATTCCACTTGTTTATCAAAATTTGATTGTATACCACTCAAAAATCATATCAAAATTTTCCAACCATGCAAAATACATTTTCAAGGTCAAAATTTGATATTCAGTCAGCTTGACCAAATTTTAAAAAAATATATATCTTCAAATTCGTGATATTCTAATTACTTTATGACAAGAATGTATGAATCATTTTCTTCCATATCAGAAAAATTCCACAATGGGTACCTATAACAAAACACATGGTATTTTTTGCCTAAGAATAGTGTGAAAAAGTAAGTTACTGCTTTGAAGGGCTACAGAAAAGTGGTCATGACTATTAGTCCCCAATTAAATTCCCATTACAAATCTGCATGAATGTATGTACTATAAAGCTTTAATCTTACAGTGCATTACTGGAAGCACCTAAATGTCAATAAATGATATGTTTTCAAATATCTTTGAGACACCTAATATGAACTTTTGTTGTTCCTGAAGCTCAAACTTCTTTCTAGCAGATGGAGGATGGAAATCCTAGAAGGCAATCTTCTGCATGGGTTCCTTCCATCTGCATGACTGAATACTGCTCTTTCATAAACTGACTGATAAAATCCCACAAAAGTCAATCACAGTGGACCTTAATACTCAATACTTAATACCTTTTTACTCACAATTATTTGGCCTATCCCAAATGACAAAGAAAGAATATACATTTAAGACACAAACATGTGTTCATGTTTATCTGTTAACACATGCATGTGACATGTATATTATCAGTGGAGAGCATGTGTGTGTTGTTCTACAAACATAAACACTTCTTAACTTATATCATAAAGTATACATGTGTCAGCAATTTTACACCACCATCCTTAAACTGGAAACCTGCCCAAAATGAAGAAAATAAATACCACTCCCAGACATTAATCACTACTGAGTTGGGTGTCACGTCATCTCTTAAATTCATTTCAGAAATACTTTAATCCAAGTTGCTGATCTGGAAAATTGTTCCTCAGATGAATTACAGGCAGCTGTATAAAATATTGATTTTACCATTNCTACACTGTACAAATTTGATAATACGAGTTGCAAGAACTACAGTTATATAAATGATTCTTATGAATCTACACTGTACAAATTTGATAATACGAGTTGCAAGAACTACAGTTATATAAATGATTCTTATGAATTCATCTCTTACCCTGTCCTCTCTTATTTACACATGATTTCTGTTCTTGCTTTGTCTGAGCACAGTCATTAGGGTTGCCCATGACTAGAGTCATGGTACGAGTCCTCAAGTTGTGGTCATCACACTGGGCATCCCAAGTCCAGGTGTACTTGCACTCTGTTAGAATGGAGTTAAAAGGTGAACATGTTCAGGGAAAGGATATCTTTGGTCTTGATAAATATCAGATAATTTTTTATGGTAAAAAGTATTAAATCTAGGTGTTGTTTATTTATAATAGATAAGTGATTAATTTTTTTAAAGAATACAATTTAAAAGGGGTGTTAACACAAAAATAGGCCTCAAATTCTAGATAGGATGAATGTATTAAGGAATGAATTTTGTGATTTGTTCATGAAAGAGGAAAAAACCAGAATATGATACACATTGAAAAATTTTGAGACTACATACAGGAGAAGTGTATTATGCTGCATTATGTCATAATGGCTTGGCTTTACTTACTACACTTCTTTGTTTTGGTTCTAGTAGCTGGGCATTCAGGGTTATTGTTGTTTCTTGGCTTGAGCTGGTCAGTCCTGGTGGTCATTCCGTCCTCGCAGTCTGACCATTCTCCCTTCATGTACTTGCAACCTGAAAAAGAGAACACAAATTCAAACACTAAAGCAAGTGGAATTCATATTGTGAAGATATGCTGACCAGGATGCAATATATTATTTATAATAAAAATTTCCTAAACAAATTTCTCAACGAAGCTCAATTTTTGACACCACTTCCTTCATTAATGCCATAGGTATTCCATTAAAATTTCAACTTGATACAGATGTTATCAAGAAGATTTCTAAACATTATAATGAACAGTTTGGGAGAAATAAAAACTTGGAGTTTATGATGTTTCTTTAAGGTGTAATCATTTGATAAAAGAAACAGAAAAAAATTCCATTATTCCAACATATTTAAGTATTGGAATAATGTATAGGTGTTACTTTTCATGACTTTTTGTTAGCTGTTACATATTAACCCTAGTCACCCATATAAACCAAATTGCTTGTTGTTGCTAAATATGTTTGACAGTTATTATATGGGTTACAGTGTTACTGTAATGCTAGTACAATGAAAGCATATTTACATGAAATAAATATGGTGCTATAAATCTTGCTAAAATGTGTAAAGCATGTCATTACGTGTACTAAAAATGTACAACACTGCTAAATGAAAACTATGAAAAAATGCTAGCAGACAATATAACACATTAATCCTTTTCATCTAACACAGAAGAAAGTTTGTCACCTCTTTGTTGGTCTTCTTTACGTTGTTTCTTTTGTTCCTGCCTTAGTCTTTTTCTTTCCTTTTTTTGTTTCTTTCTTTCCTGCTTCTGCTTTTTTCTTTCTTGGCGCTGAAGTTTTCTCTCTTGCCTCTGGCTTTTTTTATTTTCTCTGCTACTTCTGCACTTGCTGCTGACTTCTTTTCTTTCTTCACATTCTGCAGAGCTCCCTTCCTTTAGTACCAAAACCCGGGTACGTCTGTTGGTCATAGTGTCACACTCACTCCATTCCTGACGGAGGTATTTGCAATTCTTCTTTTCTGTGAAAGCATCATTTAAAGCAGCAAAATAAAGAGCTACATGTATCTATGAAAAAATAAAAACTACTACATGTAGAACTTAAATCATGCAAAGATACCCCTGAGCTAAATGCTGTTAATTGAGATGGAACTTTTCAAGTTCTCCAGATTGCATTGGCTTTAATTCTTTTTACTACTGGCAGCATCAGCACTGAGAAAACCTTTACAGAATTTATAAATACTTGTGTCTCAGTTTCACTGTCCTGAATCAAGCCTCACAAAAGATATTTGCCATTTTCTAACATAAGTCTCAGATTTGGGAGCAGAAATACACAAATTAACAACTCCAGCCAAAAATTAACTACCCTAGTGTAAAAATACTTGCCACAAGATTAGCATTTCACAATTTTGCTAGCTTCCATCTAGGTCTCTGGCTGTATACTTAGGCCCCCTATGGGTTCTCTTTATACAACAACAATGCATTCTCGACAATCTTCAGCTCATAAGGAACACACAGAATGGGCAGATGAGCAGATAATATTAAATGATTTGTGTAATGAAATGTTGTGCTTTTGGCAAGTAATTTTATGTTGGGGTGGTTTTGTGGTTGTAGCCATTAATTTGGGCATTTGTACTCACTGATCTGAGGCTCAAGTTAGAAAATGTCGAGTCCATTTATTAGGCCTGTGTATGACTGTAATGTCTACACTTAAAAAAATTTTAAAGGAGGCACATAGTACCAGTAGATATAGCAATGCCAAATTTGCAAACAAAAATCTTAAGCAAATATTCTGATTTTTTTTCCATACCCCCATCCTTTTTTGAGTGCAGTCAGTTCACACAGGCAGCAAACACTAATCAGACCCCAAAACTTTTCCCAGAGCTCTGTTTTAGGACAGTAAGTTCAAGAGAAGTGCCTCACCTCCCATAAACAGACATGGTACCTGGATTGTAACATAATCACCACATGAAAACTTTTTTGAGTGTGGTTCTAGTCATAACCTGCACTTACTTTTTTATTGCTTGTTGTTTTTGATTTGACAAGTAAATGGGGTGTTACATGGAACACAGAACAGGCAACAGAAATAAAACAGAGCTCTAGGACCTACTGACATACGAGACAAGCCATGGCACACCTAAAAGCCAACTACATCATTACAGTACACTGAACAGTAAATCAAGCAAATATACAGAGATGTACAAATATAAAACTTGATGTGATGGATACAATGGTAACCTGGCAGTTTGTTATCTGTTTATTATGTCTACATGCATTTAAATATGTATTTTCTTACATATCTATAGGAAAATTAATTAATTAAAAGCTAATACATGTATATGCTATAAATAAATATATCTTGTACATTAACAGCTTTTTAAATCAATGGAATTTAATGTAAAAAAGGAAGACTGTCAAATTAGACTTGAGATTTAGAAAATGTTAATTAGATTTCTAGTGTCTTGTAGAAGAAGATGCCCACTATTTAAAGTTCAAGAAATTGTTTCCAAATTAGTCACCTGTCAAATGACCATGCACCACACATAATGACTACATACAGGCATCTGGACTTCAGTGGTCAGAAATTTCGTTTTCACATTTTTTTCATAAAGCAAGTTAACTAACTGATAAGCAAAAAGCTAATAGATGTAGGTTTAGTGGAACCCATCTTTTTGACAGTTAAAAGGAGTCTTATTTTTCACATTTTTTTTCAATTTTTCTTAAATTTTGTATAAAAATGCATGTTAAATAAATTAATCTAAAATGTTAAATTTTATTTGATAATATACTTTATAAAAAAAATTAAACAGTAAATAAACATTCATAATGATTGTTTCATTATGCTGGCTTACAAAACACAAACAACGATTTCATAGTAAATAAATAGCAAGCATAAATGGCCAGAGAGAAAAAATTATTTTATCAGTAAAATGAATCTGAAACTTCCTGCAGCTTACAAATTATTCCAGATGCTATGCCAAAGCTTAAAATGTGCTGAACCCTTAAATATGTGTAAATCATATGAGTTGGCCTTAAAACAGATTTTCATAGAAGTTAAATGTGTCTTAAGTTTGCCAGTATGAAATATTGTATACTTTACTGCCTACTGAATACCAAAACAACTGCCAGAATTATATGCTAAAAATAGGTTTCAGAAGTATTTCAAATGATATCTGTTGAGGAAAGAAAAAGGTCATTTTATTGGGAATTCTCTGGTTATTGCAATGACACAATGAAAATGTATGATCAGGGGTTTGGTGAAAAGACAGTTTTGGGAAAAATGATGATATGTATTATCTAGCACGTAGATGATATCTGAAATTTACTTTTATACAGGTGAATTTGCTATATTTTTATCATCCCCTGCTCCTTTTTAATTCATCTTTCAAATTAAACCATAATTTATTACAAATTCATAGTCATCTGGTTTAGCTAAAAAAAAAAGTGCAAAGCAATAAATCAGTCCCCCAGTCACCACACTAAGCAGATGCCTGACTAGCAAAGTATTTTGGTTTTACTTTCAAGGAGTCTGCTGGCACAGGTTCTCAGCCATTTATCATTCTGTCATGACAAAGTCCTCCAGACATCACAGGCCAAAAATATAACATGGCTTGAATTAGTACTTTACAACAATGGCCTTTTTCACATCGTGCGTGCGTGCGTGCGTGCGTGTGTGCAGTATACTTGTCTGGAATGCCTTTAACTTATCTGTATTACAATATGTGTTTTTGGTCCTTTTCACAAGTTCATTTTCAAATGTTTCAACAAATCAAAATTAATTTATTTAACTTGTTGAGGGGAGGGGGGCTCCATTTCAATGACTTTTTGTACATAACAGCTAGTTTAATGAGTTGTCAGTCTCTTAAAACATTGTGACGCATATAAGTGTACCACACAATGTGAAAAGGGACAACATATTTCAACATATTTATGTACTTTTTGTACTGCAAACAGAGTACTTAAATGTTGTAAGGGCAGTGAATGAATTCAGTTTTTTTCTATGAAAAATCAGAAGTGTTCAGAAAGTACGTGTTGTAGCTAAGTTTATTTCATGGCAAGTTAAGGCTGCGTTCACATGAAATATCTATTTTCTAAAAATCTATTTGCGGTACGTATCTTGTGATCACTGTCTGTGCCCTGAATACCCCACGGTGTAATTACGGGCAGCGCGAGTCAGTTACTTCCAAAACTGTAATTAATTCTTGGCGCTGCCAGTAATTACACCGTGGGGTATTCAGGGCACAGACCATGATCACAAGATACCGCAAATAGATTTTTAGATTTATAGAAAATAGATTTTCATGTGAACGCAGCCTAAGTGTATAAGATTCTTAATTCAGAACATTATTTCCAAATACATAAATGTGACTAGGGCTAAATTAAGCATTTGGCTAAATAATTTTCATGTAAAAGCATTTGTTACTCAACGACTACAAACTAAAGGTTATATTAATTACTGTTAAGTATTTATTTACACTTACCCATTTTGTTTTTCTTGCAAGGTTTAGTTTGGGTGATGGTGGCATTGCACCTGGTACTGTTCCCTTTCTTGAGCTGTTTAACCCTTGTCATCAAGTTAGTGGCAGGATCACAATTGCCCCACTCCCCCTTGGTATACTTGCACTCTGTAAAGAGAAGGATAATACTTCATTATTGGTCTGAGTATAAGAATGAAATAATTTTTTTTCCAGTCATCAGCTAATATTGAGATAGATTTTTACCTCCAATATTTCGACGTCTAGCAGAACATCTTCATCGGGCAAAGTTGCTGATCTGGAAAATTTTTCCTCAGATGAATTACAGGCAGCTGTATAAAACATTCCCTGATGAAGATGTTCTGCTCAATATTAGCTGTTGACTGAAAAAAAAATTACTTTATTCTTATAACATAACACAGCTGATTAAATTCTTCTCTGGTCTGAGCATGAGGTGCAACTAAGGCTTCGTTCACATGGAATGTCTATTTTCTAAAAATCTATTTTCTATTCGCGCTATCTTATGATCACGGTCTGTGCCCTGAATATCCCGCCGCGTAATTACTGGCAGCGCGAGCCAGTTACTTATAGTAACTTATAGTAACTGGCTCGCGCTGCCAGTAATTACGCCGCGGGATATTCAGGGCACAGACCGTGATCATAAGACATACCGCGAATAGAAAACATTATTTAGAAAATAGACATTGCATGTGAATGAAGCCTAATCTGAATTTATTCAGAATTTTTTTATTTAGGTATTTCCATTCTATTTGAAGTGGAGCGTCAAAATGAGAAGAAAAAATTAATTTACCTCTTTATTCATGGACCATTAATTACTGTTACAGGCAATGTAGACAAATTATAAATATTCCAATTGTTTATCAACATTTGAGCTATTTCACTCAAAAATCACATCAAAATTTTCCAACCATGCAAGATAAGTTTTCAAGGTCAAAACTTGATATTCAGTCAGCTTGACCAAATTTTAAAAAAATATATATCTTCAAATTCGTGATATTCTAATTACTTTATGACATTAATGTATTAATCATTTTCTTCCATATCAGAACACTTCCACAATGGGTAAATGTAACAAAACACATGGTATTTTTTTCCTGAGAATAGTGTGAAAAAGTAAGTTACTGCTTTGAAGGGACTACAGAAAAGTGGCCATGACTATTAGTCCCCATTCAAATTCCCATTACAAATCTGCATGAATGTATGTGCTATAAAGCTTTAATCTTACAGTGCATTACTGGAAGCACCTAACTGTCAATAAATGATATGTTTTCAAATATCTTTGAGACACCTAATATGAACTTTTGTTGTTCCTGAAGCTCAAACTTCTTTCTAGCAGATGGAGGGTGGAAATCCTAGAAGGCAATCTTCTGCATGGGTTCCTTCCATCTGCGTGACTGAATGCTGCTCTTTCATAAACTGACTGATAAAATCCCACAAAAGTCAATCACAGTGGACCTTAATACTCAATACTTAATACCTTTTTACTCAACAATTATTTAGCCTATCCCAAATGACAAAGAAAGAATATACATTTAAGACACAAACATGTGTTCATGTTTATCTGTTAACACATGCATGTGACGTGTATATTATCAGTGGAGAGCATGTGTGTGTTGTTCTACAAACATAAACACTTCTTAACTTATATCATAAAGTATAAATGTGTCAGCAATTTTACACCACCATCCTTAAACTGGAAACCTGCCCAAAATGAAGAAAATAAATACCACTCCCAGACATTAATCACTACTGAGTTGGGTGTCACGTCATCTCTTAAATTCATTTCAGAAATACTTTAATCCAAGTTGCTGATCTGGAAAATTGTTCCTCAGATGAATTACAGGCAGCTGTATAAAATATTGATTTTACCACTATATTCAGTTCACTTTTTGGCAAAATGAGGTAACTGTTCTATATCCTAAGCAAAATAATTCAATTTCAATTAGCACATAAATCCAATTATTTTATCAGAAAATTAATTTTGCTATGAAATCTTGTAAAGTTAGGAAGATGAAGACGGCAGGATGGGATAACAATATACAAACCTTTTTTACACTTTTTCTGCTCAAGTTTGACCTGGTCACAACCTGCTTTACTCTTCTTCAGGGTGAGAGTCCTGTTCTGCATGTTGTTACTGGTGTTGCAATCACTCCAAGGGCCCTTCATGTAACGACATTCTGTAATAACAATAACATGTAAATACATAATAAAAATATCAATAAATTACATGATAAATGAATAAGATATATTTCTAAAGAGTGTTTACATTTTGATTGCATGAGAATTGTTTTATATTTCTTCGTAAATGGATTTCAGAGTCAAAAAACAGGGCCATATTGTTCACAAAAATGTTTGGCATCCTTACAAAAATTAGACACATTTTTCATAATAATTTTCCAGAGGAGGGGGGTATCAATTTTGACAGATTTACATTTTTTACAAGCACTAATAGATATTGATTTCACCACAAGAAAGAAGGGAAATGGACTTGAATTAGTTCACTAATAGAGTCTGCAGGTTTATCCAGTGACTTGATATGACAATATCTGTTTTAAACATGTTTCAGGTCATTTAAGATATCACAACAACTTTTGATCAAAGCACACATGGAACACTCACATGGGCCCACTGTACAGAAACATTCATCCATGTCACTTATCATATTTCAGTGCACGCTGAAACACTTATGAACTTTTAAGCTGCAGCACATGGTGCATCCTCTTGTTATCAAGCAGAGACAGAAAGTCCAACTTAGTATAATACAAGAGGAAAATATCATTATTTAATGTCATTAACATCAAAAGCAACCATTAAATATATTTAATCTCACAAAACATACCTGGTTGGGTTGTACCTGACCTAAATATAAAAGGGTACCAAGACTGACAAAATGCTACATTGCAACATGCTTTCCACTAAGAGTTAAATATCAGTAAATGCAGTTTTATGCCAACTTGCACAACTACATACTTTTAGAGAAAGAGGCAATTTGTTCCTCAGTCTCTTATTCAGAAACTTCTGGTATGCAAAAGAGTAGGCACAGACATACAGCATATGAAGCATGTTATAAAAAAAAAGACCAGCTAGGAAGAAATGGGGATATATATATATATATATATCCCCATTTCTTCCTAGCTGGTCTATATATATATATATATGAAGGTTGTCCCTTGAAGGTATCTCTCTGCTCAGTTTCAAGAAATGAGCTTGTGTGGATAACTTGTCCAAGTTTTGTTAAACAAAAGTTATAAAAGTTAAAACGTTTATTCAACAAGTCTTCTGCCTTGTAAATTGGGCACATTGGGCACAGTTGAAAATGTTCTATATGTCAGTTCAAAATGGATCTCCTGCCTTTTCAATAGGAAAAGGTTCAGACTGTCCTATACTCCTATACTCAGCATACTTACTCCCTTGAGGTTCCACTGTTTCTGGCTCTCCAGGACATGGTATCCTACAGCTGAATGTCTTCTGCTTCACACGGCACCCCTCTCCAGATTTGGTGCCAATCCTGGTTCCTTGGCCACAGTTTCCATTTTCTGGCACACAGTCACCAAATGTCCATGTGCATGCCTTGGCTGAAAGTAATTTTTCATAAAAGTTTAAAGTTTGGAATATAACACGAAATGATCATTGATTGGAACAGGAAAGTTTTAAAAGAGGAGAACCCCTCTTCCTTCCCTTAATTTCCCACTGTATAAAATTTTCATTCTAAACTCTCTTTCATTATAAAAAGGAGAAAAGCTGTCAAAAGGGGAAGAAATCCAATCTCTGTCTATCATCATGATTTTAATACTTATTAGATAATAACAGTTAAAAAACAATAAATCATGTTTGAGAAAAAAATTATCTTTGTAGTTTTTTTTTATAAGTAATACAAATTGGTATATGCCAAACAGTTTTATGACATAAAATGTTATTATTATTATCCTTAACTGAATTAGCAAGAAAATTATTGACATTTTAAATGTTCCTCAATCATATACTTTTGTGACAACTATCAATGCTGCTAGAATAGTTGGTACACATTTGTTCTCTTCTGTTTGTTATTGCTTGCTAATTTGATCACTCAACCAAATATGCAAAAGTGCATGCAGTTTTCAATTCCTAAGAGACTCAATATCAGCCTTATTTTGAATACAGGAAGGCATAAATAAGTTCATTTGTCCCACCAATAGCTTTTTGGTTGGGCACTTTCTCAGTAAGTTAATAATACGGATCATTTGTGTGAAGGGTTGATTTTTAAGCGTCTTTTTCCATTGATTTTAACTATCAGCCACTCTGTGCTGCTTCAAAAGACAAAGCCCCACCAATGTGAATAAATAACACTATGGGGCATTGTTCCATAACTAATATGGCCATTAGTTGCATTTTGTGCTGTTTTCCCCTATGACATCCCCATGGAATATGAATGACTTAATATTGTGCAAATTAACAATTGATGCATCAAGTCCCATTAAAGGCTGGCTGAAAAAGTCAATGGTGTGATGTCAATTTACTTACTGAATTGATCTTACCCATATGCTATATGACCTGAAACTAATATTTTCCCCAAAAAAAGCCTACAGTATAGTAATTTCTAGGCATCATTATAATAACCATGTCAAGATAAATATATTTTCATTGGATTTGTTTTATCAGTATGACTGAATGATTCTACCCAAGTTAATAAAATGCATAAAACAAAAGCTAAAATGAATATGTGCGCTGTATACACGAGAGTTGATAATAAGCTATGAAAGTTTGAAACCCAGGGTGTCTGATTCAGTATCTCCCTAGAGAAGGTTTCCCAGGGGGCACTTGTTCTTTTTTCATTATGGGGCTGGAATATATATACATATATAAACAACCTAATCTATGTGTTCCAAGTTTTTTAATTAAAACTAAAAATTATCTCTCAAATTTGATTGCACCTGTCTTTAAAAATGATTTGAATTATGGGGCAGCTTGATGAAATGTGAATGTTTACTAATCTTTCGAATATTTCTTATACAAGATTCCTTTTTTAAATGATTGATTTTCTTCAAGATGCAAACTTGGGGCTTAGTCAGGCAAGCACTGATAATCTCTAGTGCATAAAACATTCCAACCCAGCACTATCTATTTGGGTATGATGTACCAAATACTCCTCTTTCAAATCTCTGCCCATTAGATGACGGTGTTTTCATGCTTGACAGTGTGTGGAAGAAAAGATGTGATCACCCCTGACTCCATAATGGAGCAATGACAGAGCAAAGGTCTGCCTTTTCCTTTACGCTCCCTCGAATCACCATTCACAGCGAACCCCATCAGAGAACTTGACTCCAGTATCAACTGTGCCTTCCTATTCTGTTCCTTTCAGCCACCTACCCACTAAAGGCCTGCTCCCCTTGTGCCTTTTTCATCAAGTATATTTGGGTGTGTAAAAATATACCAATGTGTATTGTCCTGGCTTTGAGAATGACAACTGTCCCCTTGGTACACCAGGTCACACAGAGATAAAGTTACTTGGCTTCCTCTTTGGTTTGACACACAATCTTCACAGATGAATCAGGGCATTTTTTTATGGATTAGCACTGTTGTGTCTGGAAATTCAGATTTTTGCCAAAATCTGTCTACTTGTCCATCATTGAAATTTGCTGTCATTGTGGATGTTTTTCTCATAATGTTATTGAAAGGGATAATAACTCTTTGTATGAGATCTATATTTCACAATAAAAACATTGTGAATAACTCATAGAAATATAATATATTCTGTTTTACCACAAAAACGGCAGTTATAGCTATTATTCTGATATCTGAGCTTGTCTTTAGACCACGTGACCTCCATTGATGGCTATAGTCTGTTAAAATCTCTTAAGAGATTTTAACAAAAAAACCAAACTTTTTAGAAAAAAAACCAGGGACTAACTTTGAATGTAAAAATGGATTTATTAACCATTGGTTAGTATGGGAAAATTGTTGTTTACTCCAGGAAAATTCATTTTTTGGCCGAAACAAAGAGTTATTATACCTTTAAGTCACTAACAGTTTCAATGCATGCTTGTACATGGATTCGTGATTGTGTGCGTATGTGTTGTCATTTTTAGCATGTGTTTACTGTATTACAACCTAATTATTTTTACTTCAAACTTTCTACAGAATTCTTCAGGAATATAAAACATTACCATTTAGAAAATCAGCTTAGCTAAATTTAATTCAGCATGTAGTAAAAGCCCTCATTTTCTTTGCAAGATTCATCAACATTAAGCTTATAAACATGAAAAATGAAAAACTAATACCATTACCTGTTATCTATGTATTCTTAATTGAGACTGCTCTGCATGTTTGACCATTTTAGCTGCCTAGTTTATTATACTACTTGGTTAAAGGTATCTTACCTGGGATTTCCTCCTTAATCAAATTTTCCTTGAAAAAATTTTCTTGCTCGCAAATTATTGCTCAACCCAATCCTGCACTTGGATTCAACATTTTATACCATTTAAATTAAATGATACAGGTCTCATTTGATTTAGACTGCCATGTCCTCCTGAATATTTCAAAAGGTTATAGCCACATCAGCTTCTTTTATTTCAGTGGTTTTATCATTTTTAAGGCCTAAATTGGGAAAGGTAGGTAGCTTTGCTGGAATATGTAGACATTTGGGACTGTTCATAAATGTAGATATTGTACCTGCAATTTCCTGATAATTAAGTTTTGACTTTTTCATATAAATATCAATTGCCCCACTTATATGTTTCCACAAAAATTATGTATGGCAATACTTAACTTAAAAAATGTCTGAAATATCAGCAGAAATTGTCTTCTGTTTGGAAACCACTACTAAAATTCCAAAGGAATGATAGTTGCAACTAATAGGAATACCATCGTGGTTTGAAGTAAGCTTTTATCATATTAAAGGATTTGACAATGCTGTGCACATCATTGCTTGCAACTGTCACAAGTGATTCCACTTTTAATGGAAATGTTCATCATTTTCTCATCCTGTCATCCAACAGAAATAAGTTGATTAAGACACTGTCTATCAATTTTCCCAACACTTGAAAAAAAGCATAAAAAGACAAAGTTATTTGTTGAAACCCTATCCTGAATGCTTGAACAGCAAGTGCAACAGACTCCATTTATGGTGGAGTTTAGCAAGTAACATAATTCATTTGTCTTCAGTTCAGATGGCAAATCAACCCCCATTTCCATGAGTTCCAACAACTGATCATTGAGGGAAACACATCAGGGAAAATATTGCTCTTACACATATAAACAAACATGGTACAAACTTGGATCAGCTCATTTTAGACTCATTACTAGGTTATACTTGGTATCCCTGATGGAAGAAGGATGGACACCAGCAAATGTCAATGGGATTATAATAATAACACATAGCTTATTGTATATGCCCCTCAGGAGTGATCAAAAGTGTATGAGAGTGAAGCTCTAAGGGAGTACAAAATTACTTGGAGCAAGAACTCCAAGCCTGCATCCCTTTAGTATGGGCATCACCAGCCTAATCAAATTTTCATCAAATATATTGAACACTCTTTTCCATTTCCGTACCACCTTTTTGGCAACATGGTGTAGGAGAAATTCTTTTCCTCATAAAACAATTTGGCAACAATGTTGATACATTATTCTTATGAAGTCATAATGAGATATCCATATACCACTGCTCTAGCTAAATACTGGTTAAAATCATGCCACAAAGTTGTGCCAAAAGTTTTATTGTTACTAGTTCTCAGTAAATGGAATTTATGAATAAGAACACTGCAGAAACAATAATTTATGTACCTAGGCATAGGTGGGCTAGAGTGGGGGGGGGGGGGGGGGGCTCAGCCTCTTCCCCCTTTTTTATCCACATTAGTCATAAATGTTAAAAGTGAGGGAGGCTAAGGTGCCTCTTCCATTTCTTTAAACACAATTGTATACATAATTAAGTCATTGTACATAAAAACACACACAAATGCTCACCTTTTCTCCCAGCACCTCTCTCCTGACGCTCCAACACAGGGGAACCCTGGACGACAACAAGGCACACCAGTAGCAAACCTACAACCACTCTCTCCATCTTCAAAGTAGTCTGAAATGTTTTTTTCATAATACAGTGATTAGTTAATTTTTTTTATTCTGAGCTTATTCTCTAGCAGTAGCATACACACTAACTGGTGGCCTAGGCCATTGCAGTTGCAGCAAAAATATGAGTGAATTACAACTTTCATTGAGAGCATAAAGGAAACCAGTTCTGAGTAAGAAAAAAGATAAACATTCATTTTTATACACAAGCTGTCTTTGCTTCCTTTCATACACAAGCCTTCACTAATGATGACATTTAATCAGGATATACCTTTAAATTGATAAGCCCTAAACCAGTTAATGTATGCAAAGATTGATACTTCTTTATGCTATTTTAATGCAACTGCCGTCTTCAGAAATTATCAAGGGATTTACTGTAGACAAGACAAAATCAACTAATTAAAGTTCTGATTTATAATAATAGGAAAACAAAATTTAGGGACTAGTTTGAAATAAGAATGGCAATTCATTATGATTAAGGTATTACTTTCAAGTCATCATTCTATGGAAACTAATATTTCCCCATCTTTCTTCAGCATATCAGTCAGTCTGTTTGTCCATCTTTTCTTTCTTTCTCTTGTATTTTCTTTTCACCTCCATCTATCATAACTTCTTTATTTTCCTTCTTGATACCTTTTTTCATTCTTTTCATTTTATTCTCTCTTATTTAGAAAGTTTCAGGCAATAATCACAGGTCCTTAGATATCAGTATATTTTCAATATCCCTTCCTATAGAGAACAGGATGAATGATTGTGTCATAAACATCAAAGGAAGAGGATTACTCACAGGTACTCCTGGAGATATCTTTATGAGATAAATGAAGGTTTGTCATCATTTCTTCCAACAGCTTAATACAACTCTGAAGACAATGTATATATTTTGATTTACTCTCTGCATCAGATATATATAGATCTGTATATTTGGTTAGTCTCCAAACCAAGGAGCTTATGTCATACGTAATTAAAAAAAGAATCAGTGATTAAGTTAATGCCACATAGATTCCTTTTTTTTTAATAAAGACATGTTTGTAATTTACTTGAAAATTGCATTCTTTTAGCCATCAAATCAAAAAGTCAATTAGTAATAAACAATTGAGTAAAAAGCCTACCACATAAAAAATCTGCATGAAAACATATTTTTCTACATGACACCCAAAATAAAATTTAAAATTCTCATCAACACCTCTTGGGTTCTCTTCTGGACTAAAATACAAGTGAAAAACATTTTTTACTCCTCCAACCAATGCATTTTCTTAAAATGTACCAACAACCAGAGTACGTTTCATTGGTGTCATGTTATTTTGGACAGCTGTCAGACTACCATCCAGCTCTTGACTATATCAGTTTATTTCTTCTTTCTACACTTACTAAAAAAAATTCTTTTTGTGAATGCTGACACTGATTTGTATCTGCATGTCACTCTGCTTTTAAACCATATACCAGAGAGAGAGAGAGAAACACACACAGTTAAAAGGGATTCAACCCCAGACCAAAGCACCTTTCAACATCAGCAGATAATGAACTCTGTATGTGCACCACTGCACTGATATTTTGCAAGGGAAATCAGTCAGCCATTTCCATTTCAGATTGGATTAATAACTTCTTACTTCCCCTGAATAATATTCTGATTTTGCTTCATCCAGAATAAAATGGTTTCACTGGGATGTGAGCTGCATGTAGTAATTTCAAAACTAGCTGGTTGATGTCAAACAAAAGGGGTGTGCAGACTACAGGAGTTTTGTACAATGTAGAATTGATTTTTTTCAGATGCACTAAACTTGTCAGTTATTTTTATTACTTTCAATATTATTACAGACATCAATACTGGTTTATAATGCTAATAAAATAAGTCCTGAAATTCTTCTATATTTCTTCAGTTGTTTTATCAAAACTATTTAGTGTTACTACTTTCCCAAACAAAATTATAACAGATATATTTCATATTTACAACCTAAAACTTATACTGATAAATATACCAATTTTAAGAAAGTACAAGATATTTTAATGATCTTTAGTTAATCTGGTGGCTTTCAGCGAGAGTCCCTGTGGAGTTGGATCGATCTACAAAGAGCGATGATTGTCTATGGGAATAGGCCTTAAACTCTCATTTCATATGCAGTGCCATATGACAGCCAGCTTTTGCTAAGGCTAATGACTGAGGCTGATTTAATCCTGTTCCTGAGAATAATTAGTGATCAGGCCCCATGGGTGATAGATTAAACAACTTTCTCTTCCTAATCACACTGATTATTTTCAAATCATTTCACATATGATGAGACCCAGACATCAATACAACTGACTTTTATCAAAATCAATACTTAAAATTCATCCATATGTATATCCTCTATTGGCCTGTAATAGTTATAATGAATGAGTTTTGTTTGGGTGAACTTTAAAACCAACAAATGACTATTAGATGGCATGGGACATTACTCAGACAAAAACATTTCTTGGTTTGGACAGTGTCAGACCCACTCCATCTGTCTGACTTAAAAATGTACAACCTCTATGTATGTGAGCAAATTGGCCCCAAAAGCTGTTTTTCTCAGCAGACTCACCGTGTGAGGGCACTTTTTTACTTCAAGGAACCAATTAGTACCAATATTGCCAATTTGCAATTACAGCCATAGAGCCAATGCTTAAATTGATATTAGCTCAACATTTGTTGTGTCTACCTAGTCTACCTAGCCAATCCTGAAGGTAAAATATTATTAAAACACATGATCTTGAATATTTCAACTCTGAAAGGATATGACTGTTGCTTGATTACATTCAGTAGCTTGTCTGCAAATTACTGCTTGAACATTTTCTCCAGCATTCTTAATAATTATTTCAGTACTTACTGACCCCCTTTAATGGATTAGAACTCAAAAATGTTCTTACACAATTTCTTTCTTTGCTTAATTTCTCTTTGCAACGAAATGCAGTTTTTGAGCAGGCAAATTAGTTTTGTTGTAATTTGAATAGCATGTAGCATTTTTTTCATCATAGAAGCCAAGAAAATGTAAAAGACTGCAAAATACAACTCTTTGTCCCTTTGAACTTACTGCATATAACTAACTACTCAGACAAAGGAGGCCCCTTCTGATTAGTCTGAATACTAAGGTTGTATGTTCCTAAGTAACTGAATCATGAAAGCAAATTATTCTAACCCTCTACCTGTTCAAGTGTATTAATGGTGCCTATCACCTTAACAAGGCAAACAAGCAGCTTACAAAATCAACCAAAAAACTTCTAAACCACCCGCAAGAATATTGCTTTAAACTACATACAGAGCAGTCCAAGGAGGAAGGCAACAAAAATTGTTTATTTAAAATATTGGGAGACCAGAATTTTGTTGAATTTGTAATCACTTTTCTCCCTCCTATACAACTGTCTACTTTGAAAATCTCCTCAATATTTGTGAAGAACATCTTTCAGATATCTTGTTCACTAACAAACAGACATACCTACGCCTAGGAAAACATAACCCCCTTCCTTGGCAGAGTAACAATGTACACACACCTACCCTATTTAGCTTCTGCCCCACTCTATCCCGGCTCATTTTCCTCAATCTCCACTTCAGACCTGACTCTTAAACGTTATGTTGTGACTAATGGTAGCACTGATGGCATGGGAAGGCTTTGTATTGGTGAACTCATGTGGGAGAGCTTATCCAATCTCTTTAGATTAAGTTGGTGATAAGGAGGCTCTACACTGTGCTGGGACATATATGAGACTTGTGTGATAATTATAGCCTTTTGTTTTTTTCCATTTCACTTGTGCAAAGCTATATTTAGCTTTTATTTTGTTTGCAGGTACATATTAAAATGCATTAAATGAGTGCATATATTGTAATAACAAATGACAAGTCTTGAGCACCTTTAATTTTTGCTATGCATTACTGTAGTACACTTTCTAGCAGTAATTTTATGTCCTCAATCATTTTACTTAAATGTTAATCAATTTTACACTTAATGCCAGCTAAAAAGAAATCAAAAGGTAAATATATGTAATACATTCTCATTAATTTTATTAAAATTTTGCCTATGTTTAAGGAAATTTTAAAAGTGAAATTATTTTTAAAAAAGCATCAACCTGAACTCAGACACACCTTTTCACCACGTAGTAGTATTACGTTTGTAGTATTACGTAGCCATTAGCACAAAACGCCACTGTAGCAGTACAGCTAAATCATCAATCATCCCTTTGGCCAATAATGTGACTTTGCAGTCAAAGTCGACATATCAAGCACAGCAAGCCATGAGCAATACACATATATATGATATTACAGAGACACAAAGGAAATGTAACTACTAGAATAGCCACAGTTATCTTTTGCCATCTTAATTACCCAGCTAAGGGTCAATATTGTGTCATGTTCAAGCCACAACTTCACACATCATCCTGAGCATGAGAGCATCACTATAATGACTTAGGCCGTTTTTATGTTGACGGGAACACTTATCTCTTTTGCACCATTTTGACTTATCCCAAGACTATGGGAGGTTTTACTTCATTTTTACATCATGCAATACACTTTTCTGTTTCTCACCATTTTGAGAGATTCAAAATGTTAAAGTCTGACTATTACATCAAAATGGACTCCCCCCCCCCCCAATACTTCACCCTTCTGCACTCCCCACAGTCCAGATTTTCAACCCATCATTACATATGATGAGCCCAACACCAGATTCATTTTGATTAGTCTAAACAGTGAGGGCAAACTTGTGAAAATGAGCAAACCCTCTGTACCATAATCAAATGTTAAGACTAGAAAAAAATATTGCAACACAGATAAGTACATCCTCCCCCCAACTGTGTGAAAAAAGGACCTACTGGTAAAACTTTAACAAACACAAATCAGTCTGCCAAGTGAACTTTTCTAGATTCCAAAGGTACACATGACCAATGAATCACAAGCTCAGTTGTTGGTATTAACCTGTGGGTGTTGGGAGCATGGATGTTATAAGTGTTACAAAATAAATATGGTTTAACCACAAAGTAATCAAACATTCCTGTCACCCCAGATCGACTTCTAATCCAGACAAAGCCAGATGCGGGCAAACCAAAATAACTGTGAAATAATACTGCTACTTGTATAACTGTGTGTGACTGCTCTTTCTTCTGAGTGAATAACTTAGCTGCAATTGTGCAAATTTCAACACAAATTCAATTCACTTCAACAACATTAGAGAGACTTTAAGAAATGAGGAGAATGAATGTTCAGTCAATTATTAACATATTTTTTATGTTTTATAAATAATTTTACATATAATAGAAACAGTCAAGCATATTTATAAGACTCAGACAATGGTCATACATTTCATTCCTAAAATCATCTACAATATTTCAAATATAAACCCATCAATTTTCATTCAAACATCTCTTTTACACTTTATACCTTTGTTGTCAGTGTACTGATTTCTGAAATCATTCTGTGCCCACAATGTATTTATAATTCTACATCTTATCCATTGCAAATTACAGGAAATATTGATTAAGCATCACACATATTTTCCAAATTTTCAAGCATATCAATGGAGATACTATTTCGATGTTAACTATCTGGATTAAGAGTAGAGATGACGGCTTTGATTGAAATGGGATGTATAGAAGGGAAAGTTCATTTTTGCTTAATTCTAAAGATCTGCAAATATAGTGCAGTGATAGTTTAAAACTATTCTTTATTTGGTAAAAAAGGTACGAAGCTAAACATAATGTTTTAGTTTGACTGCATAACACTGAGGGGAAGGGGGAAATGATGCAATAACGTGTATATTTTCAAATTAATAATAATAACAACCTCTTACCTTGTTCAAACAAGCAGGAATCCAAGAGAACAAGTTAAATTATTGCATAAACAATATCATACCCTAGCAGTTACAAGATTCAACTGAGAGTGCAAAAAATCAATTACCTGTTCAGCTTTCATCATTCTGAAAACCCTCATCATAATACAAAAAACCTGGGGGTAAAAGTTTTGACTTTGACCACTGATGCATATAATTGGAAATAAAACTTTTGCTGATTTGACCAAACAATTGGATGAGATTCAGAAAAAAATATTCCATTGATCTGATGAAAAATAAGAGAAAAAACAAGTAATTCATTAAAGCCAAAACCATGCTACCCTGACCCCTGCTAGTGCTCCACTGATCTTACACAGGATAAAAAAATGGTGTTATTAAACAAGTGAAGCAATAATAGTAATTTGTGAACCAAAATGAAACAAGCAGACAGTGAATGATTTCATGACCATGCCTTACAATCCTAGAGTCAATACAATGCAATACAGACTTTTTCAAAAACTCAATTATTTACAAACCACAGGCCCACCTGATAACACACGTAATCATGTACCCTGTGAAACATGGCAAGAAAGTAACGACTATTGGAATGAATTTCACTTATGCAATTATGAAATTTACATAAAGCACTTTTTAACTCTGAATTTCAGGGTACAATTAATTCTGTGTTAATATACATGTACATGTGTGAGAACATGTGTATGGAGGAGACTTTATAAAATTATGTAATAAATAATGTGATCTTCCCCTTTTCCCCCTTTAATGCTATTCTATACTGCCTGTAGAGACAGTGATAAAAAAATCCAATGCAAAAATTCTTGCTGGACAGTGGAAAAATTGTCTTATCTCAAATCTTTACAACAACCAGTAAGATTTATGAGACATGAAGCCTCCTTCTCTTAAATTTCTTTGCATAACTCATCACCATCACCTGACAAGAAGGTATGGAAACTGAAACATAACATCCATTATCAAGTGAACTCAGGGTGTAAAGTAACATATGTTCTCTATGCTCCAGGTTGAAGTTTCATACTTCAGAAATTCATTAGTTCCAGCAGGGGGTCTGTGACATCATATTTCCCATGTGCAATACACCATCTAAACTGTCAATTCAAAAGGTACAGCACAAATAAATGACTGTCAAAGGATCAGTTCCTGTATTAAATTTCATATAAACAGTAGTCAAGACACATAAATTAAAAACCCAGAACTGTATGGTTTTGTAATAGATGATAGATGAACATAAGTCAGTATCAATACTACCCATCCTTCAGATCTTGCCAACAAACAAACAAATCAGTACTACTGTGCTTAGCTTACACTTGGCTTCCAAGCCTATGATCAAATCCACATCTTTTGCCTAAATTATCAGATACAAACAAAAACATGCTTCATTTATAACTCCAGTTGCTTAATGATACATCCCTCATTTTTTCACAACTTGATTTTCAACACTTACCAAAATCGATATATCCTCCCACTTGGAAGAGGAAAATCTGTATATCTTTTCCTCAACTGTATATGTACTTGTTTATTCAGCTCCTAGATGCACTGCTGCAACAAAAATGCCCAATGAGTGATTGGTTTGCTGAAAATATCCTGGCTGGACTCCTAATATACACAAAGGTCAAATATCAAATATGTCTGTTTATATACCTAAAATTCTGAAACGAAAAAAACATTTGTAGCTATGAAAATCTACCAAAATGTTTTGATAACAACCATCCTCCCTGACAGTTACGCTATCTCCAAAACAGTTGCTACATTCGTATCTACCAAACTGCTGAACAACAATCTTCTTATATCTGTTAAGAAGGTTTTTTGTTCACCACTCCTGCCAATCACTTTCTCTACATGTAATGCATATATATGTATCCTAGAGCAGCAAGACAGCCGACTAGTCTACCAACTTTCCCTTGCTCCAATATCTCCATACCTCCCAAGTATGCTAGGCGTGTTGTCTTATAGGCTTACATCGGTATGCAGTGCGTTTTAAACGAACAAGGTATACGGAGAAAAACTATATGGTTTTGTTTTCCTAAGGACTTAAGTTAACGTAAGTTAATCAGTTGGTCTCCCTTCTCATTTCCTAATCAAATTCTGCAACTCTAGCCGGAGATATTTTTGCCTTTTGTTTGAAATTGAATTTAGATCTTATCTCTGGAGGCTCTCGTTAATCCCATAGGAACGACCTCACCTGTTCTTTACTATCTGCTACATTATTTTCTCACTCTAATAAAGTAAACGGGTGTAAATAAGAAATATTAGACCGAATTTTCACTGTGTACGCAGTTTTCCCCCATAATGTATTTACAGAGCGTGACTAGCGTAACGCGTGCGTAACACGGTCAGTAAATATATTTTATTTCAATTCAAGGCTTGCGGAGAGACAGAAAATTCGGTCTACTATACCTGATAACTGTAAGAGTAATTCCCTGCCCTTCCTTCCCTTCTCCAGTCCTAGAGCGTACTACACTGCTTGGCAATAGACTTTGCTCGTATCAAATTTAAGTTCAATCCTAACACAATCAGACAGGCGTACATTACAAGGACCGGAGTCCCTCGCACATCCGACCTGAAAAGCATACCTAACGCACTAACATTTAAAACCCAAATGCGGGAGCTTTTTCCTTTATTTATTTTTCTATAATAATAAACCGTGGGACGTTTTTATGCACACCGTGGAAAAGACGAAGTGGAACAGAGCCAACAGTATTGATTTGAAATTTATTTGTATTTCAAAACTTTATTTGAATTAGAATAATTGAAAAAAAAAGTTGAATAATTGCAGATCAGTCTTTATGCAAGTCGATCAAGTATAGGCACCTAATAGAAAGAGCCCACACTCCACACGACATGGGCCAATTTTGATAAATTTATATCACTTTGTCTCTTTTAATGCAAAAACCCCTCCATCTCCAGGGGAACGGCAAATGGGAGCTGGGTTTATTCTAGTCGAGCAAAATATACTTTATTTTGACTGAAGACATAAACTGGGGATAATTTCAACAGTGTGTCGGTTAATATTATGTTCTAAACTCTCAGCCAAATCCATAACAACATAATTTATCAAAGGCTAATCTGTGTTATTGAAATCGGAGAGTAATGCCTCCTCTGTGCCGCTGTGCCTGGTTGAGGCAGCAGTAAGTTAGAGAAAACCAGAGCCCTCTATATGCATAAACAGTTACTAAAATACTGTCGAGCGAGTCTACAAACGTGATTGTGGTACCGTCTGCTTAGTTCTGTGTTTGGGTGTGTGAATAAACGAATATGTGGTCATAGTATTTTAGTCTGCTGAAAAGCCTAAAAGCTGTAATATTATTTTGATTTTATTTGAAAAACTAACAGATGATGAAGTACACAGACGCAAAATAGAATATCTTGATAGGACTTTTTTTAGTCGAGTTGAATATAATAATGCACGTTTATCTGAAATCATGACTTCAATTAAAAATATGAATTCAATTTATATTGTACATCTAATGTCACGTTTACACAAAACAATCAATCAAGAAAAAGGTTATTATGTTTTACATCCCAAAACGATTCCCGCGTGGAGGGAGTTGTTTTCAATGGAGCCGACTTTGAACGAAATCGAAATTTCTTACGTCTCTCAATATCGGATGAAGAAGACAAGGCAAACGCTGACTTCGCACGCGGTGCTTTAAAAGAACTTGTTTGTAGTCTGTCGTCTATAGTTTGCAATTTTTTGTCTGACACAGTCTTGAAATGAGAAAGTTTGTTTCGAATGATCAGTTCATGATGTTTTTCCTCTTCCTTCTGGAGGAATTTACGTAATCGCCCTACGGGAACGATCTGATCGAATCTGGGAACGGGTGTTCGTGGTCTTCTGCCACGAGGGTTGTTCTTAAAGTCTAGAACGGTTCCATCGTAATCCGCAAACATTTCCAACTTTGTCACAAGTTTTCTCTGCCCCTGTGCACCCGGGTGTAAGCCATAACCATGTCCGTAGCTGTAAATTCCCATGCCGGCTAACTTCGGTAATAACTCATCGAGAGATTTGTCATTATTGTTCAGTGGTTCTGTAGATTTAGCGTTTGGATCTGCAGCGGGTATGTTTTCCTGTCTTGCGCTGGTAACGCCCACACTGGTAGGCCTACCTGTTGCGTTGGATTCGGACTCCGATGTGCCTTCACATGATGTGTTTATGTTGGAAGATTGGCCCGTTGACATGTCACTGGTTTTTGAACCAAGAGGGTTTAATCCGACGTATTTATGGACATTTTGTCCAGATAAATTGTCTTTGATCCGACTACCACTGTTAGAATTTTCGGGGTTTAATTCTATTTCAGCACCGCTAGGCACTCCCGCTTTTTGTGCCTTTTTGTCCGTTTGACTATTCCTTGGTACTTCCGAATGAATGTTTTGAGTTAATGTATTTTTATTTTTGTCAGGGTATTTGATTTTATCGTTTTTTTCTGTGCCAGTAAGCACCTGGGTATCTATGTCAGGCTGTTGAACGGGTAATTTTCCAGAAAATTTTGATTTTGGATATGGTTTATCGACGTCAAATGAAGAATTTTCAGACTTGGAACATTTAAATTTTCGTCTCGTCTCTGTTACAGGATTTCTGGGACTCACATTTCCCACTTGACTTTTATCAAAACTTTGGACTGTTTCAGAAGTTTTGGCTCCGACATTATCCAGCGGGATTTGTTCGCTGTCTTCTGGCGTACCATGAGCACCTTTTTCGACTTTCTCTATCGCGGTTTCCAAGTTAGCGACCATTAAATGTTTCTCGGCCTCTTTACTGCGATCAGTATTCGCAATACGCTCAGCAAGAAGAACAAGTCTTCGTTTATTCTTCCACAAATTACGCTGTTTTTGGTCCCACTCGGACATTATGATATGTTGCTCCTGGGTAAGTTTCTCCCAGCGAGAATGAATTTCTCGCAGGTAAGATCTCACCAGTCTTGCCTCTGTGTTGGCCAACTTCTGTGTTCGTCTTTGTCCTAGTTCGTGGGCTGTTTGGTGAAAATAAGTAGATTTTGATACTTTTATGATAAAATTCTAATTGCTTTAACTTCTGTATTATAATTACTGAAATGTGTTATATCGAATATATATATGGTGAACAAAAAACATTTAATTTTATCATGTAAAACCCAGCCAAGAGAGCATACTCAAATTTGACAAAAGTTTTATGGACTATAGTGGGTCAGTTGTAGCATATGGAATCACATTTTACACGTAACATGTACAGCCAACGGCATTAATACAGTTTCTGTACAAACTTCAATACAAGTGGCATGACTAATTATTTGATTTTGGTACAATTCCATTCTTCAATTCAGGTAATAAGAATTATTTACATGAAAAGTAAATAGGCATAGGCCTACTGCTTACCGGAGTTGCGTCGTGCAGTTTGTGACTCTGCCATTTTGAATCTTTGAAATAATCTTCTAATACTTCATCTGATGCCTTTTCCACATAATTTGTTTAATTGAGCACCGCTCATTGTCCGAGAGACGAAATACGTGGCTTACCAAGTGGTCGACCCGGGTAGGACAGAATTAAATAACACGAAACGCGCTACTTTAAATCTCAATTACCTGCGCACACAAAGACCACTTTAATTTTGACATTGCCTCTAGACGTATTTGGGAACGCAAATACTACGTGTCCACAATGGAATCTCTCTCGAGCAGCTCATTTGGATATATTACGCACTCTTGATTGTCATGTGTGGCAAAACACACATTCAACTAAGGCGGCCCAAGCTAATGGAAACGGCTCTTTGACTCATGGTCTGATAGTATAAGTGAATCTGGGATTTACTATTGAAAACCCCTAAATATTGAATGTAAACATTTACAGAATAGAAAGGACTCAAGGACATGGCAACTACATAAGATGGGGCGTGTGATTGTGACAAACATATAGGCTGATTTTAATTTTCACTCAACCCTAAGTAACATTTTGACCGTTATTACGTATAAAATATTCATGGTATTGTATCTGTTGCAAAATTGCAACCTGATAGTATTACTAAAAACATATTAGTTTTCTAATGAAAATATTTAGATTTTTCACTTCGTGAGTCTAGAATTGTAAGGGCGGAAAATTAAGGGTGTAGGTCGTGGCGGAAAAAGTCGCTGGGTCGCGACATAAGAAATCAATGGAATATTGAAACCGTGAAAGATTAGTTTAAACTGTTATTTTTGGAAGTCTAGAATGCAGTTCATAAAAATTAAAAACAAGTCCAATAATATTACGATTTATTGAAAGATCAAAAGGATATTCTGCTGCACCGCATTAATTTTTCAAAGAATTACCATGCACATGGCGTGCTTTGTATAAAAGAAAATAAACACGTATCAGCACGAAGGGTCGCTGCCAGTAACTTTCTGGTTATGATAATAACCTTCCAATATGGCATTGAATATTGCACAATTCACAATCCTGTTTTTACGATCTAGAGTTTAATTGAAATGCAGTCGATATCGTAAACATTTATTTGTTCCCGCGCTGTGGTTTCGTCCGATCCAAGTCTCTGTGAACAACCTGAGATAAACGTTAACCTGTCATTACACATTGCTACCAAGTCTTACATTTTTTCACATATGCCTTATGATTATTTACCCTCTGTTTTTTCCAATAGACAAATGTGTTATTACAACGAATTAAGAGGAACCTATGCAAAGATTTCCATTACACAAACCGTTGGTGATATACGTTAGTTACATGTAACGTGCACATACAATATGTATAGTAAAACCCCTTTTTTTCCAGCATCCGCCCAGCAACAAGTGTATCTTACTTATTTCTTTATAATGCTACACAACATTACACGAAAACTATGCACTGCACTCTTTGACACCTGAAGAGAGCAAGGTGTAAGCAATGCGTATGATCTTTTTGTATTTGCTTTCATTTCTTTCAAAGCTTTTTTCATCCTAGGGTGTTAGTTTGTGTTTTTTCAAGAGAATGGAATAATTTTATTTTCGCCCAATATACATGCACTTGAACCTATTCTCAAGAACCTTTTCTGACCTAAATGTTGCTGAAAAAAATGCCTGAAATCTTGAGGAGTAAATGTGTAAATATCGCTATTTACTTTTATACTTTTTAAAAGTTTGTTTTCCACTTAACGATATTGTAGTTTCTCTTTTCTCTTTTGTGAGGACCATATTGAAATATCAACCTGAGAATAAATGATATTAAATGAGCGTGAAAATGAAGGAGGTTTATAGAAACAAAATGTTCTTTTAATGTTCTTTAACAATCAACATCTATAGAAAATTATCAAACAGGTCGACGTCTTTTTTCAGCTTTTCACTGATAAGTCATCGCCCTCAAAACTTTGCGGACTACTACAGTTGCTATGATAACCGAAAAGAGAGGAAGTAAACGATCCATCGGAGCTGTCGTCCGAGTCTGTTGTTGCCCAGTTGTAGTTAGAGCTGTCATGATGAAGCGTTTGAGATTCTAATTCGCATGACATGTTTTCCGTCCCCATGCTGGATTGCAGTAGAGGCGACGCATTGCCGCAGGATTGTGTCGTTGCAATATCTTGCAGTTTGTCGCTTGAATTCGAAATTCCCTGTTCCTGGACTTCAAAATCATTATGTGGATCCTGTGTTGCTACAAAATCTGAAATATTTTCATTTTTCTTTTGGGCAATTGATGAAGCTATTTTCTGAGAACAATTTGTTTGATTCCTGGTAGTCTTCCCGTTCTTAGACCCGTCTCGATCAAGATGTTGACTTTCAAAAATATGCTTTGGAATTACTGGCATCTTTAGTTTTATATAATTATAGTTTCCATTTTTCTTTTTTCTCTTCTTAGTCTTTTTCTTAGTTTTGCTATACATATGGACGGGTGGTAAGGTTGCACATTGATATAGAGGGTTCCCGACATTTTTACGCTTTCGTCCGGTTTTGGAATATTCTTCTAAATATTCATCATATTTAGAATGAGCAGAGGATAGGCGAGAAGCCAAATCTAAATCCCTTTGCGTATTCATAAGCTGACTAGAGCAACTTTCCTTACATTTGGACATCCTTTTAGAAGATTTTAGCCAGTCGGTTACTTTACGTGCGCTTGGCCCAATGGGCGGCAGACTCAAATTATCTCGTGGACTTGAACTCTGAATTGCATATTTAGATTTTCTTTCCTCTTTTTGAACAGGTTTTCCTCTTTGTAACCACGGTGACAAATCCCACTGATCAACGTAATCCAAATTATCATCTTTAAGCAATGGAAAAGAGATGGAAGTTTCTACCTTTACATTTCTGCTGGTATCGAGCAACCCCTCTACGTTTGGCCTAAAGACTTGAGGAAAATCATTTTCTAAGATTTCTCGAGTCGCTTCTCTATGATCGGTGGACTGATTCCGTGATTGCCTTTCGTATGCGTCATTCTCTAGCACTGTGTCATTTTTAATCCTGTTTTCTAGGTTCAGTTTTACGATATTTGGATCAGAATTAGCATCTTGCACAAGCCTAATGTTAAATGTATCTGAATCGATATCTGCATCAGTTGTATCTTCTTTAAAACCTTGAATCGTTATTTTTTCTTGATTCTGCATTTTGTACTTCGTCAAGCCTCCTTTGATTGGCAGGTGCGGAAAGTGACGAAAAGCCATCGCTGGTCCTATCCAGTCTCTAAGCATCTCTCGTCAGTCCTGCATTTCTTCGTTGTAGGATGTACAACAACGGGATGCTGTTTCATACTCTGTCGAGGTTAAATGCACAATTTTCTATGCTACCACGCCTGATATAAGTAACCCAGTGGCACAATAATTTGCCAGGAGTCTTTTGTCAAGTCAAACTGTATTTACCATGTCATCCTAAATCTCTCCCTCGCCGACATTAAGCTTGAAATTAAATTGAGCAGTGGTAGTGTAGCAAATTATAGGGGATTTGTCTGATTCAAGCACCATTATAAAGTAACTCTGTTTTGACATCCTCGACATGTATATGAACAGTGTGTTGACATACCTTTTTTCGAGGGTTTACACCCTGGTAACCCGGCCGTGAGTGTTTCTGGCAAACATTGCGGAGTCGTTAATAGAGTAACGTGGAGTAGGTGCAAATCCTACTGCGCAAATAGTATAACTGTCCCCGTTAATGGACTATTTGTTTTTATGTGGTCATCTTGAACAGGCACGAGCTTAACCCATCTTATGTGTGTTTCCGGAATATAATGTAGGCCATTCCCTTTCACTTACTAATCAAGTGATTGCAATTACAGGTAGATGTTTCTGAAATATTAAAATCATCCAGAGTAAGATCAATTTGTTTATTGTTGTAACCCCTTTGATCTTTTTGCCTTACTTATCAATGATCTTTTTTTCGATTTTTACTCGCGTTTCCCTTTGTTAACAATCAATTATCAAAAAATGCTCTTATCAGTTCTGACTCTCATTGCTGCGTCGTGAATTGTCATCGTTGTTTTCAAATGAATGCTTTGGTGGGCTTTTTATATGTATTATTTTTATCTTAATTTTGTCTGCGTGCTCTACATTAGAACTTTTTATCCGTCAAAACATTTCGCTTGAGTCCCGTTGATACTCAAGTTTGTCTATGTGTTCATCGATTAAAGAGCAATCCCGTGAGTGTAAGCTGCTACTTTGCTCTCTTCATCAGTTTTATGATAAGATAACAAAAGCGCAAATAAACTACGCACAGTGACTGAGATATGTGGTATGTAAAGATATGAAACTGCATTAATAAGCAGGCACATCCAGAGGGCCCCTTCTGGCTCACAGCGTCCCTCCGGACGGACCCGTTGGCCCGCAGACGGCCCTTCCTGGCTCATGGAGCCCCTCCGGCGGAACGTGAATATCAACATCTTTGGATAACACCTTTACTAGCTGATAATAGCTTAATAATAATAATAATAATAATTTTAAAAAAGAAAAGAAAAATTACTGTTTTTGGTATCCAAGGACGTTACCACTAGGCCAACAAAACCTGTTATCTGATATATAGAGTTATTGACAATATATGATACCTATCACACATACCGAGGCTTTACGGAGATTTCCGAAGGCTTGATGCCTTCAAAATATACTTTTAACAGTTATAATCAAATTCAAACTACAGCCACCATCTTTCCACTCCCCTAAGGTATTACTAGCATCTGTCAGTTGTCGACAGCTTGTTGTAATTTGGGAGAAAAACGTGAATAGGAGACTTCGGCTGATCTGATATTACTTTATAGATATACGAAACGAAAACGAATTTAATCCAATAAATCATTTTATTGACCTTCATTCAAGAATAATGGCCACGATAAATTTACTTCCATGATTAACTTTGAAGTTGAAGCACATTTCATCGTCTTAACTTTATTTTTAGTTTACTCGAGGGACGTATTAAACCTAAAGTAACCCTTTCTTGTCCGTACACTACCCAGTAGGTACGATCCTTATATCGCAAAAACTATAGTTATGTGTTGACAATACGTACTTATACAGGTGACGGGCACCTACAATACGTTTGACTTTTTAGTCATATTAATTATACGATTCTTTTTGAAACTAACGATAAATATGTCAAAAAAATTCTGGATTTACACTCGTGTATAAATGTCACTTTTTAAATAGGGTCGTCGCAGTTTCTTTTAATTGTGTCCGAATTGTGTCTTCACTCCGTTTTCTAGCGGCTTGCTTCGAAGATTTACAGGGCGCGAAAATTTGATATAACTGATGTCGTTGTAGAATAAGCGTCCAGCGGGCCGCGCTAGACTGCAAGACTCGCAGTCGTAGCTCCAGTTATCTTGAAGGTCTATAGAGACGAGCGGTGGCCCACTTGGGAGTGACTTTAAATACTCATTTTCTGACTTCTTTTTTCGCTGACAGAATTGACATGCTGAACAATCATTGCATGCAATAACAGAAGAGATATTGTCTTTGTTTTGTGAAATCGCATCGGACTTATTGTCGTCGCTGAATGAGACTGTTTTCTGCGTTGCTTGCGGTCTACCGGCATCAACACAACTGTCCCATGACGGCTCGGCGTTGACTTTCTTTTCTTTTACTTCTGTTTTGTCATCTTTAGAAATGTCAAAATCGTTGTCTTCTAGTTCGCATCTTCTCATCTCTTCTTCAATCAATCTCCTTTTCATGGATTTCGGTCTTTTTCGCGGCGATGAAGCTCGTGGTGACTGTGGCGAAAGAGGTCGAGATTTGACGGAGGGAAGTTGAAGTGTTTCAGTGGTATCGCGCAACAGCGCGCTCGTCAGCCGTGACGATGGTCGCTGAAAAACTGCAGTCGGATCGCTGTCCTGCTGTTTCTGTACTTCTGTCCCTTCCTTCTCTTGCGATAGCGAGATCTTTGGTAAAGACGATCTTGCCCATTTATCATAATCTGATTTTTTAGTCGGCTGAAATCCCCGTCTCTTCATTATCTGAGAAACCGTGGTTTTGCGATTGCCTGGAAAGGCACGGGAGCCAAAGTTAGTTACTGATTGTGTCATGTCGTGTCTTGGTCGCGGGGAATAACCATCAAATGTTTTTGTCTCTCTCGTCGTTATCACGTACGGCCTTTGTTCGACCTTTTCGTTATTATTTCTTGTAAGCCTTCTTTGGTTTGACGCTCTCCAACTATTGTGCATCTTGATGATATATTAGAATACAAGTATATGGCTCGATAGAAATGAATACGACCGTCCATCTATGACAGCGACATCCGAGAGAAACTTCAAGGGGGCGTCGACGTCCACGCAAAAGAATCAAACATACGCAGTAGGAATTGTTTTACCAAATCTACATACATGCCAGTCCCTGACTAATTGGATAAACTGGTACAATTAAGAGAGACAGAAATCCTTTCCTGAGCCGGAATGATTACGTTTTCATAGCGTGACTGCTAAGCCCGTTCAAAATGAACCCAATCAGTTTTCTCCTGTCACAAGATGATCAATAATGCAGTGAAGACGTTATTAAGTTCAACAATATAGAGGTAAAGGTATTGTATGACGGTTATAAATTTCAGCTTCTTGTCGCAGACAAGAAATAATCGCGTATCAACGGTAACCAAAACAGTACAATAAGATAAACAAGGTTTACGGGGTGTTAGAAAGGACGCATATGTAGTTTATAATACCCTCATAAAATTTTTATTTGACTGGTGCAATTTAACTTGAGATAAAGTGCATGTGGTTATATATAAAACAAAAAGGGAGGTCAAAGGATCCATATTTGGAAAAAAAAAGGAAGGAAAAAGAAGATGAAATTCAACATCGTTTCGATTATATTCTAGTACTCGAATATTGGTCATTATCATCTGTAATAACGAAGGGTGGGGATACACACCCACTTAATGTAAAATTAAATGATAGTTGAAAATAGGAAAGATTGATCACCCATAAATGTTATATATGTATATATCCAACAAAAATCGATAGTTTATTGTGTAAAATTATGGAAAAAGAATTATTAATTCCACTGATACTCTTGTTTTCGATGAGAGATGTCGCAACTTTGTTTTTCATAATCTGTATATTGGAATTTTCATTTTCTAAAGTCTGTTGTGTGCGTACGTAATGACAGTGTACATTTGAATCTAGGCCTTATACAACTATAACTATACATTATACATGATGGCATCTGGCACAGGACGTCCAAGTGTCAAAAGAAAGTCAGTGGTATAAACTCCTCTTGATGGTTTTACTCTGAACAATAAAGTGTGGTTTTTGTCTGACACTTTGCTTGGTATACAAGCTTTTTTTAAAAGTAGAAAAAATAAGATAAATCTGAAAAGGAAAATCACTTGAAAAAGAGGACATCCTTTGTGAAGTTCGTCCACTTTTTTTACATGATCTAGTCGTCACAAAAATTTTTAATTTAATTTAACTTAAAAGTTAACATGTGTAGTACTATATAGGGCCTAGTATGTAACCCGTTGGTCCCTACATCAGAATAGGCTACTTACCGTCGTGAATCAATATTTTAATATTGAAATATGTGACAGGCGTCAGTGTGAATGATTGTTCTGTTAAGTCCAGTGCTGTTCAACATTACAATTATTGTCATTGTTATTGTCATTTTTCATACCACGAGGAAGTAAGATCGATAAAAAATAATAGATCTGTCATGCTGAGATGGTAAAACTTGCTATTGCTGTGACTTCATGATTTAGCCTTAAGTCCTCTGGCTGCTGAGACTGCCAAACTGTGTCTATTATTAAAAGAAATTCTCCAAGTTTCACTTAGAACAAAAGTAAGCGCTATTATATATAATATATAAATTGTAAGTTTCTTTTGTCACAGATGCGTTTGATTTATTCGTCCGAACAATTTTAACCTTAAGTAAAATATTTAAAAATAAAGCCTCGTTTCATGGAAAAATAGGCCTACTGATATTTGAAGTTACCATAATAACAGTTGACCTAAGAATTCGGAGTTGTGTATTTCAAAGACCTCTCTCATACTAAACACATGTGTCAGTTTTCGGGGGATGAACGTGCGATAAATATACATTGTCTTGATGTTTGATAGACACTGCTTCGTTTGGATTTCGTCGCACTAGAAGGGTAATATTAATATCTGGCATGCTTCCAACCTTTAGCATACAAAAATTCATAACGGCCTAGCTATTTTTAGACTTCATCGAAGAATATAAGAGGCTAGGCTAGGACTGTTATTTAGAAATTTAACCATTAAACACTATTTTACACGTCCTCTGACGTAAGCATCTGTGTGAACACACGTGACAAAACTTCAACAATTCTGTACAGTTGTATGTGATTTATTATTCAAATGCGGGCTTTCCTAACAGGAAAGACGTGACGAAATCAGCAAACTTACACAAAAAATTATTTAGAACTACGAAATCTTTGCAAATTGATCTTCCATTAAACCAAGATGTGACGCGTCATTGCGTGTCGCTTTGATTTGCGACGGTGACCGTGATGTGACCTGTAAGTCTCATCGTTCGATAAAACGTCATTAAATGTACACGAATGCCATCACGTTTTCTGGGATAGACTTAAATTTGTTACGATGCACTTCACGAACTGCGAGTCAGTTGAGAAAAAAACAAACAAAAGGAAAGAAAAACGAAGTGACGTTGTGCTCTGTAAAATTAAATGACAGTTGACAACGTGGAACGCAATGTGACTTGAAACTATCTCCAAGTCGTGTGATCACCTATTATCCATCTAATAGCACCAATCTGTTTTCTCAGTTACTTACAAAAGAAGAAAATCTTTACGAGGTCTTTTTCTTTGACGATTTCTTAAATAACGTAGATACGGTGGCCATTTTTTGGCTGTCCACTGGCATAAGTCTATCATAAACGGGTCTCATTTCTTGGACGGCTTGTCCAAGATGTGACTTCTTTGGCTTACTTTTCCGAGCAAATTTACTGTACGATTTGTCATCTATAAGACTAAAAGCACTTACTCCCCCAGGATTTGGTTTCCCCGCCCTTACAGCTTCTAGACTCGGGAGTGTCACGTAGGGCAAGTGCACGGCTTCCTGGGTGGTATGGCAAGGCATTTCTTCTGACTGATCCATTTTTGTTTTTGCTCTCTTTTTTGATTTCGAACGTTTTATGTTTGGCAACTTCTCAGCTGTATGCGGGGATTTTAATGAGGGCTCCACCGTGTCCCCTTTCTCTGTGTTTAATTTGTCACTCGATCTTTGCTCCTGTGCTTGGGGAACGATTTCCGTCTCCGTGTTCATTCCTTTCTTTGAATCGTGAAGGGCATGCGACTTGAGACTATCTGGAGATGTTTCTGGCACTGTTGTATTGAGCAAACTTTTATCCACGTCACTGTCAAAACCACTGTCTGCACTGTCATGAACGCTCTTTTTCGGCGGTGTTTTGGCACTTGCAGTTGCAGTATTAGTTCTAACTGAAGCCGCAGATCTCAAATTGGAATATTTCCTATCTACTCCTTGCATCAGTTCGTAAACTCTTTTCATCTTCTCTACTTTATCTCTATAGTCCCCATTTTCTAGGTAGAGACTGTGGTCGTAAGACATAACAGTAGGTATAGTATTTCTGTTGTCGCTAATGGAAACGTTCATACCAGCTGGATGTTTGCAGCGAAAGTTCCTCTGTGGCGTTATAGGAAGCATATCTCGGGAAAATCTTCCTCTGTTCCTTGCCTGATAGTCAAAAAGCTCCTTCCTATACTGTATTCCTTCATCTCTAGGGCTGTCGATAAGGACACAGCCGCCTGCCTTGTTTGTTCGGTGACGTCGCTGTTTGTCCCTAGAATCGCTTATTTTACTTCCAAACTTTCCCTGTTCCTTTCCGTGGAGATGCTCGTTGTTTTTCTTGTAACCGTGGTATTGCTGTTGGTTTCCTGGGGGATATTTCGTCTGTTCTTGGGTGGGGGTAACCACCATACCCCCCGGAACTATCGGAGATACAGGAGCTGGCGGCTCATGCACATTCTGCAACGAAAAAGTCATAGTCTACTTGTGAGCTGTTTAATAGACCAAAGCAAAGTAAAAACACATGTGTGTTTTATTTTTCATCGTCTAAAGTTCACATAACATCAAATTTATAGCAGCCTTAACCGCAATATTGCGTGCTTTAATGTAAGTAGAATTTAGGGGTTGGCCGTGGCGGTGATAAAAAAAGGCGTAAACTTATTTGCTCAATAATTCTACGGTAGAAGAAGTCAATCGTGTCCATAACAACAATAAATGATTCACAGCCAGCATGTGTTATGAAATATGTTTTGTTTCTTTGAATGTGAAATTACAAGCAGCAGCCCTTTGTTTTAACACTTCAATCAAGGATGGATTACCCTCCACGGTTACTTAATCGGGGTGGCTAAGAATGTGGTTTATATACTTTTTAGACGCTGAGAGTGTGTATTTATAACACACGTTTATCTGGTTTGATTTAATGTCAAGCGCACCTCTGGAATATAAAAAAAAATTAAGTCACCAAGGGTGAGCCTGTATTTCTGCCTAAAGGGTAGACGTAACACAATTCAAATAAGAGGCGCAAAGCACATTGCAAGGCTTAATGAATAACACTTCCAATAAGTCAAAATAATCGAAAAAGAGAAATACAAATATCTCAACGCCTTTGGGGATGGATGGCTGTAAACGATGTAATTAAATGCCGCGCTCCCACTGCGAGTTGAAAAGAAAAGGACAATTCTCAGTGCCCGACTCTCGATGTTACATGACCCAAAACACACAACTTCGTATAAATATCGTCGTATTGTCTGAACATAAAGGCATTGTTTTCTTTTCTTTTCTATGATGAGCATTGGCATAAGTTTCAATATTTCCCGAAATATAAACATCCAAAATACCTCTTCTCCAACTATATACAGAAACCGTTTTAAGTCTAACTTCAGAAAACATTTCTCTTTATAGTTGGACACCTTTGGGAGCCCACTTTATTTCTCAATACTTATACACGTAGCCGCTCTCAATACTTGTACACGTAGCCGCTCTTAGGACCAAAATTCGTTTCCCAAAGAGACAGGCCTTAAACAAAGGGTTGTCTACTTTTTTGCAGCTAGTAGTAAAATATTTTTTAACTTGAGTATAATTTACAATAAATTATCATGAGTTCCGTTGATTGCTTGGATTTTATTTTTACTTATGCCTAAGTTATTTACTATTTGCATCATTCCGAGCCTTGTTACGTCCGCCAACAATTGGCGCTGATTTGTGGACAGGACGTCTCAAAAAGTTCCTCACAAAAGTTGATAAAATGTTCAGGATAGTCAGTTATTTAGAAGAGAAAGAAGTGATTGCAATTATAAATAAGTCTAGGCTTCCTTCTTATTTTTGAAGAAGAATCTAACGAAGATCTGCCCTCTTGGAGCGCTCTTCAATTTATCTATATATTTCTATATGTCAGTGAGATCTATAATGATCATATACATGACATACCTTCCACTCCCAAAGTGTCAGCATCATGGTGACTCTAGCTATCTACTTCTTGTCTTCTTTTTGTCCCTCTCGTTTTCATGGCACCCGATGTCGCCCGTCAGGCTAGACGAGCTGAAAAATCAATAGACAAACAATAGAAAAAAACTAGAACAGTAAAAATTGATAATGAAGCTTAAACTCGTAGTAAAACCGATAGTTGGCTGCAAGGCTGCCAGTCTTTGGTGTGCACGGAGCGGGGAAGAGACGAATCCACTTCGGCGCAAACTGATACGTATGCTGCAAAGTCGATAAAACTGACAGATCACTCAGTTATTTCGAACTTCCTAACAAACCTTAGATTTACTTGACCTACCCGTATCTTGACTTGACTCAACGTGAGTAGGTTTTGCTGCTTTTCTCATTTCACTGTCCTCTCTGTCAAGGCATCGATAAAACTTAAAATGCAAAACCAATAATATTCATGGCAACGATGACAGTTTGAAGACAACACAGGTACCAAAGCACTACTATACATTAACTGAAACACAACACCATGAGATTCGCTGTCTCATAAATTATCTTTTCTTATCTAGAAATCCAATAAAATCTGTGTGTGGATGGCAGATAAAATGCCAAGGCACCTCCTTGTGCTGAATAAAAATAATTTGAATCGAGCAATTCCTTCAGACGCCAACAGCTGAAATTCCTATACCTGTACCTATATATGAAAGGACCATTTTCCACATGGCTCCACTAAATGTCCTAACAACATGTCTCTGTTACACCTGCGATGCACAATATGTATATCAGCTGTGTTCTAGAAACCTACGATAGGTCTAGATATCCAGTATCGAAAGATTGATATACTTTAACAATAATCTTATATCTGAGGATTTCTAACCCATCGCCACAGCCTACCTGTCGCGCGGTTAATCACAGTCTAGTGAGTGATTACAGAATAATCCACAAGTTATGGTCGATTTGGTCCGCACGACACACTTCACTTTATTTAATTTTACAGGGGTATTCAATATTGTCCGAATATAAATATTGATGTTCTCTTGTGACAACCTGGAATTTTTACAATTTCTAAATTTGAATTGCAAAGTGTTAATCTAAAATATTTATGGTTATTTTTTATTGTGTTACGGCAATAAAGCAAGGTAGATAATTTTCTTACCTAGGCACCTCAAAAATACAAAAATGAAAAAAATATCATCTACGGTACCATTCAACTGCCATGTGCCTTTAATTTTTTGATACTCTGTATGATGACTTTCTCGATCCCTTAATCAAGTTCCATCCAGCTTAACTAAATATGTCGATATTCAATGTCAATTCATCATTTTTGCAATCCAGTTCCGGACACATTTTGCCAATTAACAAGTCGAATCTTTGATCTACGGAAAGCTCCTTAATGTTAATTTAACGGTGAATTTAACAAGGAGATTTTCTCTTCGAAGCGTAATTACGCTGATGCTCCTGCAAGTCCCAGGGCCACTACAAAAGCCACAGGCTAAGTCAGGAATAGAAGCATAGGGCCCCCGGTCAAACTACTTTTGATTTGATTTTTTCAAAAGCGTAGATAGAGTGCAAATGAACTGAAACACGCCCGGCTTTTAACACTACACCTAAAACAGGAGTCTGGATGAGCCATTCTTTTAAAAGCATGAAGGAGGAGGTCGAAAAGAAGGTGTGTTGTCAGAAGCAAAAGTCTTGACGTGACGTGAGAAAATGTCAGCATTTAGCACTTATCATATTACCCAAAGTCTATGTAAGCTAAAATCTCCACTATTTTAAGTGCGACTTCATAGGTCTACTAGTGCAAAACATGTCGATCTAGCTGCTAAATGTCTTACTTTAAGGCTGTGAATACCTTTTGACGGATCTAAGCTACTTGTAAGACAAGGGCAGAAGTTACACATTGCAAAACACATTAATACCCATGCAACAGCAAATGTTTAGATTGTGTTGTGTTTTCTTACGCTTTTTTGCCTATGCAATTAAAATGTTTAACCCAAATCGATTCTGTACAGTCACCATTTTTATTCTGACACATACCTGTTTTACACGTCCATAGTTCCCGTTAATCCGGCATATTTCCTACTAGATTCCTTCGTGTAAGGTGGTAGGTTAAGTTAGCGCTGAGTAGGTCTTCCCAGTAAACTAACAATAAACATAAAGTGTTGGTTTAATCTCAGACCCATGTATATGTCCTACATAGAGAGTCCTAGCCCCCGTCAATACCCGTAAAACGATTCAGTAACAATTCGGTATTTGTTCAGTTAATCATGCACAAGGTACTTTTAAAAGTTTACATTCAACCGTCACTTCCCTTACATCTCAGCCTTTCACCCATTTCCATTACATAACAAAAGATTTCATGAAAAATTAACTTCGTGTCAATAAACAATATAAAACCAAAGAAAAGGCGCTATAGCCAATGCGTGACCTGGTTTGCCTTTGCTATTGTGATTTTTACGTTTTCTATTGTATGTTGCTATCGACGACATTAATATGGGACAACCCTTGCTATTCATGCAGCAATATTTATAACATGGACGATAAACAAGTGCGGTAGTTGTTCTTGGGCCACAGCAAAGCAAAGAACAAATAAACATATTTTAAGAAATTAGTTCAGTTGTAAAATATTTCCACCCAGGTGTATCAGTATGTAAAATCATTTAATGTTAAGCACATTTGAAATAAAGCCGCGTTTAATTGAGTTTAGAACGTCCAATTTACATTTTTCATTAAATCATTCCAGTTCAGTAACTGGTAGCTAGGAGATGGCCTTTGGTGATGTTTTACCCTGTAATGCGCAGGAAACTTTATCTTTGAGAAAATAAAAATGAGAACGTGCTGAAACTTCTCGTTATCTTAAATAAATGGGCATTGCATAATACCAGTTCAGACATCGAGACATATAAATCGGAAAGCCATGTCATAATAGGTCATTAAAGATAGATTTTGGTTAGAAACAAAGACCAATCGCAGTGAAAAATCACTTAATATAAATTCTTAAGTAACATTAGCATTTTCTGGTATATTTTCATAAAGAATCAAATTTGGATAGCAACACGGCTTATAGTAAATTGTTCCAATATTAAAATCACACAGTGGGCGTTAAACCTTTTATAACATACTCATATTTTGCAAATAATAATAATAATAATAAATAATGATAATAAAATAACACTTCACTCCAGCCCTTCCATGATTCACCCATTTTCTGTACCATATCCAAGTGTCCCTCTGTGAAATGTTACCGAAACAAATTTTAAAAATTTGAATCTCAAATAACGAATGTGACAGGCGACAAATACATGTATAATCAGAGTTGTCTTCAACAGAACCATTACTTCTATTGCGTTTGTTGTCCAAAAAGAGACATATGTGTTGTCGCCGCTACCGCAATTATTAAACAAACACTGCTCCGTTCACCCAGTACTGGCAGTGTTACGCGTGTTATTGTTGCTCTTCAACTACTGTGAGCAGGGCATTCCGTGACAACACAGGCATGAGGTAGAAGCCCGTCGACGAACGCGAGCGGCGAAGAATTTATAGCAAATTGGTTTCAATGCAGCTCAAATTTTCATGTATAAAATACAAGATCAATGGCAACTTTATTAAGCCCAAGATCCGCGTCTGCGGAATTTGAGGCTGTTTTAGAAGAAATGAAAGCCGCTGAGAGAAAACTGAAAGAAGAAACAGAGAAGAAGAAAGGTGATACAAACAAAGGGGAAAGTGAAATCCGTCAGATATCCCGCCAGTTAAACCGTAGGGTATCCTTCAATGATGAAGTCACCAGTTATCCCTATGAGGACTTGTTAACTACGTATGAGCGCGAAATCCTAGAAAATGGGACGAATACCACTAAAAAAGACGTGGTCGATGAGAAAGAAACGCAGAGAGTTCAGTCCGCTCCATTACCTGGCCGTGTCACGGTGATGCCACCGGTGCGAGAGATAGTAGATGTCAATAAGATAGAATCTCAGTTAAGAGCCCAAAAATCCAGACAGGAGGAACTTGTGATACGGAATACTGCCAGAAGAGTCAAGGAGAACTCAGAGAGAAGAAAGCAGATGATTGAGGACAAATTTCGGTACACCGTTCCAGACGGCGTGCGTTGTGCCTACACGGTAACAAATCAGCCGTCAAATGCAGCAAAGCAGACGAGAAGCAAAAGTGCTGACGTTCGCCGTCGAAGCAGTGATGCGCCCGTCTATTGTAGACGGTATATCACTCTCAGTCTTCCTGCTGATATGAGGAAAAAGTGGCGTAGGGAATCAGAAGACAAAGGAGAAAAAGTAAAACATGACTCTGACAGCGATAATTCGGATAAAGACGATTTCGCCAGCAGACGACAAGGTTTCAGACCTCGGAAAAAACAAGTAGCCGTAAGAAAGGTCCAGTCCGCTTCAATCACAAAAATCAACATTGGGAGCGATGTAATCAAGCAGAACGTTCCGAAGGAATATGGTCAAAATAGAAAATTGCGGCGGCCAAGAACAGTGTGCTACTAAAAATATATATTAACATTCCATGATAAAGATAATATACCGGTACAGTCAAAGCATTCTGTGATATAGTTATTTATGACGATTCATATTTAAAAAAAAAGAAGGTACATTTTGCAGTGCGCGTTGACAGCATTAAACGTTACTGTATACTTATAGAAGTAGTTATTTCACTGAATGATCCAAATTATTTGGGTTGTTGAACAGTCAAAGAGGCAGTGAGGAAAAAATAATCCTGAGGAAGACCTTTGGCCCAAATGTTTAAATCAACGTTCTTTTTACATTACAAAAAATATCATCCTCTCATCAATTCTTAAATGACAGAGTGGATGCTTGAAGAGTATTTTAATTAAATGTAGTGTGAATTATTTATTTCCAAGTTCAGAGTTCTAATAAAGTGAGAGTGAATTGTTGCGAAGGAAACCAATGCTGAAACGTCTGTTAGAACCACTGCCAGTTTAAAAGTGAAGATGAATTATGCTGTTGCCATTAAATTTTATTAATTCATTTTCAGACTCAACCTTGAATAATGTGCAAAACCTTGATCCCATTGAAATAATTATCATAACATGCCTTTAAGATGTAATGGGATCTGGATCTTATCAGTCAGAAAATCATTTGTACAGTTTGACGAACAGCTCGTCTTCATACCTTGGTCTAGAACGTAATCAGTCCCCCGCGGGTTGGCGTAATCTAACAGAAAAAGAAAATCAATAGCAATCCCATAACAAAATATTTGCTCAGAGAAATACGCATTATAATGTAGCTTCAATATACATGCCTACCGAGGAATTGGAGTCTATTAGATGCATGGGATTCTAGGACCTGCAGTAAGCAATTTGAAAAAACAACAATGCATGCTTGATAGGAGAGCCTCAGCCGTGTTTACCTTCATGTTTATTTCCCTGCCAGGAAAATCAATACCTTAGCTTAGGCTACAGGAGACACAATACAAATTAAGAATAAAATTCGAGACACAATGCAAATTAAGAAAAAATTCGAATGAAAAAATAATTATTTATGTATGCGAGTCAATAGCCGACAGGGTGACGTCCCATTCTGTACTGTATTCGACTTTAAAAAAATCAATATTTTGTTAGCGATGAGAAAACCACATTATATCAATGGAACATTTTAATAAGTGAAAAGATAGTTTGTCAATATCGTTAACATTTCATTATGCAATTATAATACAATCCAACTCTGGCCATTTTGCAATTACTCCTGGGAAATAGGCTGGATAACCACCGCATTCGTGCATGCTTCCTTTAACTTGCTTTACACCCCGTGTTATAAGCTTGATTTCAACTGCCCGGTGAGCTATTATAGTAAGATTAAAATCTGTCTGGGAAGAACAAAGAAAACGCGAGATATTGACTTGAGATGATCAATTGGTGACGTGGACGTACTTATATCACTGCTAAATCAACAAGTTTAACGTTTGAAGTCGCCGCCATAATCTGAGAAAAAGGAAGAGTTTTCGAGCCAGATCGAATCGGTTTGATCAGGATGAACTTTGCCCCTTACTATGTCTTGGAGACGTACCAAAAAGTACTATGATGTAGATCTGCATCTGATATAGAATAAGTTCACACGCCCTTAGAAAACCATCATTATTGTGTTTTTAAAATCATTTATTTATTGTCAAAGCAATGGCAGATTTATCCCGTGCAATGAATAAAAAATTGCAATAAGTATGAGCTAATATAAAAAACGAAAACCCTTTCACGTTTACCCTCTTTAAAGGATAAGATGCAAACTTTAAGATCCTCTTAGAACCAAATCATAAAACCACCGTATTCGATAAGATTGGAAAGAGCATTATCAAAATGAATTAAAAGCATGTTCTTGAGAATACAGTTCTACAAAAATTATAATACGGAACTCATGATATTATGGTCAATTACAACAAGACTCCGCTTGCGTTACCTTCTAAATACAGGTGTGTGATTATTTCGGAGATGATTAAAGGGCTTACGGCTGAAGCAAATAAGACTGGTTAAATAACGCCTGGGTCTACCACAACGGGTCGCTCGCGGCAGAGAAAAATCAAGTATTTATTTTGTATTTTAGCTCAGTTCTTAGTGCTAATATTGGGGTACGGTATCAATACCGGCTAATAACTAACAATACAAATGTATGCTTTGTCACACGAGAACAACCAGATCTCAATTTCTCTTATTGTCACAATGCAAACCAACATGTCATAACCCGAACCGTATTTGTTGTTCTTCCACCGGTTTGAGCTTCCAGTAAAAACACGGACGCATTACACGACCATGGTCGGTAAACCTCTTCGCTGAAAAAACAGCTATGCTGCAAACAGCATGTCTTTATGCCGGAAAGACCTCTATTAATCTCTGCTTTTCAGAACTTAATGACCCAATGGTTTCATGTTTGAGACGGTCAAAGTTATTAAAACCAAACGTTTGACAAATAAATCCTGCTTATGATAAGGTGCCTAGTTGTTGAAGTTATTCACCTGAACTGGTTGTGTTGGCCAATTGAGGGGTCATCTCGCGGTTAAATATAGCATATTCTACCAAATAAATGACTATTTGCTTCATTATGCGCAGGTGTGACAATATTGGAAAAGGATAAAGACGCAAATTTAATGCAATCCTCTCTTCTGGCTTTATACACGCTATGATTATATGGGGTTCTAATACAGACCTCTTGGGTGTGGAATTGGACGTTTTGATACAGAACGGTCACGTTAATTATTCTCAAAAACTGTTTAAAAATTCAATTCAAGCATTGTTTATATGCCGTATCTACTTTTGTCTTCCGACAACAAACATTAAAAATAAAATAAAATAAAAAATACCGCATTTGTCTACCCTTTAAAAGAAAAAGAAGCAAGCAACAGTTATATACATATTTTTATTTTTTATCTTTAACAAGCAGTGAAAGTCCACAAGGATTCGTGTACTCCACTGCAAAAATTATACCATAATGTAGCAAAATACAAAGTTACTATTTTTTTAATTTGAAATTATCATACAGAAATACTCTTTTAAGAATAGATAAATAAAATAGAGTTCACATAAATAAACTCACAACAATGTAAATTCAAGTCTCTCTGTACAATATTTATCACAGATGTCGCTAACAGTTGTTAAATTATAACACGGCAAATATTGGTTAAAATAGACCATATATTGAACTTTTATAATATTGCTCTTCACGAAACTATAAGGACGTGCCAATAAACAAAACGTGGACGGAATCTATCAAAAGTTCACATTACTTTTGTAAAACAAATATATATTTTGGCAATGAAATAAAATTTAAAATCTTTTATGAAAAAATACCTGGACGGTTTTTTAAACAAATCTATTTTGCAATAAGTTATATTTGGACGGTTTTATAGAAAGAAAGAATCCCAGTTCGTTACAATCACAGTTCGTTATTCTGAGTCTGAGTATGTTTCTGCTTTTTTTATTAAACAGGGCTATGACAGTTTAATTCTGCTGCCGCTAATGGTCTACTTTCCCACTTTCAAAATGGCATTAGGGATATTCTCTGAAGCAACTGAGAAATTCTTGAGAAAGAATGCTTCCTCCGTTTTCTGTTTTTCACTCTGAATTTGTGAAGGAATGTTCCATTTTCTACAGAAATGTAATCTGAATTCAGCAAAGTACGTCCCATTTTCTGTATTAATCTAATCTGTGTTGAGAGACAGTGCCACACCCTGTAGAACCCAGTGACTAATGTGCTCTGTGGTGAAGAGATCAGCTTCAAATACAAGACCCACTCCCATGGCATTACGGCGCTCTGATGTCACGTAGACAGGAGTACGCAGGGTGTTCTGGAAGGATAAAACACACGTTAAATAAAAAATTTTACAGAAAAAACACCTCCTCACAAAGTAATATTTATGGTGAAATATGCAATGGTAGCATCATTGCCCAGCAAGTTTATTCATCAGGTCTTAGCATGGTGAACGGTCACAATTTTGTCACAGAAATTTAGCACCGTGCTACACTGCAGGAGGTCGAGTCATGATATTTTAGTATTTTATTTCACTGTTTGTACACACCACAGCAAAAGCTTTGATATAAGAAGATTACTCTAATGTGATATATAATCCTAATCCTATAAGAACATTTTTGTCATTCCACTTCAATAATTTTTTTAAAAAAAGAAGGAAAAAATGTTTTGTGAAGGTACAAACAACTTTCACTTACAGAAAGACACAACACCCTTCTCTAATTCACCAACCAAAACTTTTCTTTTTTTTTTAAGGTCAAAATTTTAAACAAACAAACTCCAGGTAAACTCACCTGTAACTTGAGTCTATGAGCCTCAATGGGGATTACTTTAAGTACTGGTAACTCCTGGATCAGTTCCTTTGGTTTCTGTCTGATAATACATCCCTTCTCTATGTCCCAGCCAGCACCCTCCAAGTACAGACCATGTACAAAACAACCTGTCAAAGACAAATAGGAGATTTTTGAAAAGATGAACTTCAAAATAATTTTTATTGGTGTCAAAATTCCAAATCTTCCAATGTTTATAATACCAACTAGTTCATATAAAGATAGGAAAAATGTTTAAGATGAGATAATTCTGCAAATATGTTGTATTATTTAAAAAATAATTCCAAGAAAGATAAGAAAAAAAAAAAAAGAAGTTTTAAATTTTGAATCTTTAAATATCTAAGAAAAACCACATGTCACATCATGCGTCGTGATGACAACCACCGTTGTCCCCCAGTGTCCCCCCTCACCTTGATGAGCTCTTTCTGTGACGTCTTCAGGGTTCTGGTAGCTGGTGACAGAGGTGTACAGGGTGGACTTATCCAGGGGCCAGCCATTCTTACGACAGGTGGCCTGCACCAGGGCCGTCAGGTAAGATTCTGGGATATGGAGCCCTGACAGCCACATCACATTAGGCTCATCTTCCTCTATCTGTGATGAAAAGAATGCAATTTATATATTTCAATTCATTTTCTTTATAATTTCTTTTTTTTTTGTTGTTGTTCTGTATATATCTGCAGGAACAGATTGCAATGTACAACCATTAAATGGGTTACAAAAGAGATGATGACATTAATTTGACTTACAAACATACCATATGACATAAGCTACAAAGAATCAGGAAACAGTCAACATCTGAGAAAAATTTGCACAAAACTTTGCTTTCTCAATACGCAGAAAACAACAGATGTAATAAGCATATGTTGATTTATGATTTTTAATTAATGGGAAACTCCAGCTGTTAGACCTTTTGTAAAATGGTTAACTAACATTTGGTCAAAATGTTTCCACCAATTGTTGACAAATAGATCAATTAGATTTTTTTTTTTCATTTTACTTTCATGAGATGTCGGAGAGCTTTGACAAGCTTTAATACCCAATGCATTTTCTCCCTAACAGATCTAGTAATCCCTATTGTAATCAGTTTCTGTAATCATCCTTTACTACAGCTGTACAATTACCAGATATCTGTCATGGCCCATTTAATATATTTCAAGTATTTAAACTACTACTACTGAATCCTGTCTTAACACCCACTTAGACCTTCAACCACTAAATCCACCTGTCTATATCACGTCTTAGGGCAATGTGTACAAAGGTGATCATACAATGATAACATGGGAATACAATGGTTTTCTACATGTGAAGTGGGCTTGCGTTGATGAATCAATAATAATTATGGATAATTGAGCTGCTTTGAAAAAAAGCATTATACTTCAAGAATAAATTAACTTGAGAATCTTTCAAATGATGTCAACCCCCATATTCCAAACAATATAATAACAAAATCAAAATTTAAAATATTTATAACCACAAATAGAAATTGATTATTTTATAGGACACTTACCCATACTGTGTACTGAGAATTTCTCTTCTGGAAATGGGTCATCCAGTTGCCCAGTGACTTCAGAGTGGCTGGTGCCAGACGCCTCCAGATTCCAGGCAACTGACCATTAAACAGAGACTTGGCCACATCATCCAGCTCATTGCTCATACCAACTTCACCTGCCAAGGCCTGGAAATATCAGTGCAATGATATAATGTAACACGATATATTTAGTTATTTTCTTTGTTTAGTATATTAAAGATTTCATATCTCTAGTAGGTCTGTTTGACAAAATAAAAGTCTACTGAATTGCAGAAACTACAGTACTAAACTAGAACACCACTTTTTCGTATTTCTTTAACAAAGAAGTAGAAAGGAGAAAAAAGTGTGTGAGTGCCTGCATTCCTCATGGGTCTAATTCCTACAATTTCTAATATGTTTCAATCAACCTACCCTCTTCAAAGTGGACAAGGAGACCCTCATTCTCTTAATGAGAATATTAAATCTCTCCAGCTCCTGCAGCAGTACCACAGTGGTGGGGGTGATCTCAATGCCCAGCTTCTTACGGATCTTATCCATGTCATACTCTGGTGGCAGCTTGGCCAGAACATCAGAGGCAATCTTGTCAATAAAGTCCTCACGACTGATTCCAGAGCCAGTCTCGCCTAGAAATATGTACATTAAATATCTCAAATGAAAAATTAAAGCAATCACTGCTGTATATTTTGAAATATAAAGAGAACCCAGGAGCTGTCCGAGACTGCTTTTTTGCAAACTAATAAAATTCATTTATGTGTGTGACTAGTTCAGAAAAAACCTTGATCACAGCATAATTTATTACTCTTATCAATCATTCAGATCATTGTTTTGATTGTCTTCTCAATTATTTAATATACAGAGGCCACCACACCTGTCTGGGGCTGTAACTCCACTAAGTTACTCCACATTTCCCTGGCAGCAGAGGTGTAGTAACCAATCTCAGCATTGGGGTGTAACCCAAACACTTCAGGGGTATTGGTCAGTGGGAGAGTCTCAATGTAATCTGGAAATATTGTCAATTCAATATCAATTATGGCTGACCTAAAGAAATGTTTTTCAATAAACAAGACAAAACTTAAATTGACTTTTTCTTATAATGCTATAAAATGAAACTACCCACGCCCAATCATCTTCTTAGACATATACAAAAATTGCACCAGCATGCATGTGCATTTCTCAAGAAAATACATGTAAACATGACTTTTGCACTTACACCATAATATCTTAACACAAATAATAATTAAAATAACACTTCACCACTTCACCTCACTGACTTAGTACAAGTAAAAAAACATATTTTATGTTATTCAATATTTTAATAAGACATTTGAGACTCCAGAATTTGAACATGTACATAAAAGACCTGCAGTTGTAGAAGGTTTAGTATAAGCAACATATATGACATAACTAACATTTACCGTTCAAATTACAGTTTGAGCATTTAGTCTTTAAATGGTTAGATGTTATTTATTAGACCCTTATCCCATTTCAGTAAAATATCACAAATATATCAAAACAAAGGGTACATATAATTTTCTACCTATAATAAGGATTTTGTGTAACTTACAAAAATTCAATATGTTTATATAAACAAATAGATATTTGCCATTTTCTTATAACCTACAGCACCACCTTATTCCTATCTAAAAGTTTATACAGTACAAGACACTGTTTAAATGTAAAACACATTTCCAATTGTCATTAAGTAATCACATTACTACCTATGACGAGGTGGAAATAACATGATTTGTCCGTTTTCTGGCAGCCTGTACACTTTTGTGACCAATTTTATGTATATTTACCTAAGGCTTGTTGGTTAAATGATCAATCATATATCTAATACATATATCTAATATGTGAATAACAGACTTTTAAAAAAAATATCATGTTTTTGTGAACTTATGATTCCCAAAGTCCCACTGTGAGTTGGTCAATTTGTTATCCACATTAATGAAATCAAAGATTGCATGCAGTTTATACCAGAACACCAGATGTACCTACCAGTATACCCCTTGTATAACTCTTTGAGTTAGGAATAAAAGAAAGAACAAGTTTAGCATTCACAATTATAAAAACATCATGAAAATAGTACTCTTATCTAATACAACACTGATATCTTCAAATGCATCAGGCAATCAAATGCTAAAAAAGGTATATATCATTTACTATTATGTGACATAAATATTCTTGGTAAGTAGATATATGTATCTTTTCCAATTCAACATGCACATTTAACTGCAATAAAACACCATTTGAACACTCAGCCTAGCACAGTGAAACACCAATGCAGTAAAATAAATTGAAGCATAATAAACTATAAATCACATATACTGCTCTGTTCAAGTAAATTGGCAAATGAAACAAAATAGCAACAGAAAAAATTGGCATATTGGCAAATATGTAAAACAAAGGTTTGCAACTGTGAACTTTAAGACATTAATCTTAGGGTATCTATTGTAATTACCATATACACATTAAAGTTTAGGGGAGGACAGATGGGTGGTTTTAATTCTAAATTGATTTTTAAAATGAGAAAAATTGCACTGGCATAAAACAATCTCCTGCGGACAAGGTAAAATATAAAATGGACAAACACTGGTTTTCATCATTTATGCTATAAACTAAAATGTGCAAGGGGAGGGGGTAGCCTTACCATAGGAGACTGGGTCAAAGTCAGAGCCTGTACTGCAAACTTCTGGGTCTGTGCCCAGGGAAAGATATAAATTTAATACAGTTAGATCCACAGTCAATCAATCAAACTATAGAGTATAAGCATAAGTCAATTGTATCAATACCAATAAATAGGAGAAATAATAAATAAAGGACAATGTCATGCACTCAGCCAACACCATGCATTGTTGAAAAAAAAAACCAAACTACCTTCAGCCCAAGCAATTGGGTTAAGTTTTGCTGAAGAAGGCTTTTTCTTGGGTCTAGTTTCTTATAGGAAAGAACAGAATAAGTCAATACCCTTCTCTTACAATAGCATTTCCACAACATACCACTACATACTTTTACAATTACTGATGAGAACTGAACATGACGCAGCATGACATATGACATGACAAGAAATGTATGACACACGACATATAACTGTCAAACTAGCTGTCCCTAATGTATGACCTTATCAACACATGTATGTTACCAAGTTGGTATAGTCTGCTCTTAGAGGCACACTGCAGTATTTCAAACCTGTTGCTATTACTGGCAAGTATACAATTCAATCTTTATATCCTAAAATGGCCTAACATCAATTAAACAAATTATGTCTATGTACTGATTTCCCTGTAAAAAAAACCAACAGTCACTGTATAATAAAATACAAATGAGCAATGCAAATCCTTATCAAAACCAGCCCAGTGTGACATTTACCTGTGTAGACATCTCTCATGCCAGTTTCAGGGATTTTGTAGTCAACTTCTTCATTCACATAGAAATGGAAAGGCTGGAAGGTGTCAAAGATGAAGTCACCCATGTATTCATCCATGTAGGTGTTCAGGATGCGACGATCAAAGTTATCAATAGCACGGCCTCCGTACATGACCTATAGAGACAGATATCATAATTTGTTTATGCTATTGGAATAACTAATTAATTAAATAAATAATATAATTAATAAAAAATAAGAAGAAAAATAATGGCAACATTAATTTCTGAATTATCACTTATTACATGTTATTTTAATTTTTCTTTCCTGAATCACTTACAGTAAAACAAACAATCAGAGCAAAAATATGTAAAACATCATAGGGCAAAAGCAAAATAAATTGAAATATCCAATCAGACACTCTCTCATTTTGTTAAAAAAAGGTTTCAGTAATGGGATAACATCAGATTTTTTCAGTGATATTGAAAGAAATTGGTTAGCATTACCTCTCCAATCAAGTACTTCAAGCTGTTCCATGGTATCTTAGTCTCATTGTTCTCATGAGCCTTGGTCAGGTAGGTATTCAAGATCTGCATGCACACCTGGAAGTCTGACTCATTGAAATCATAAGGCACATTCCATCCTATCTTTCCATACTTCCTCCTCTCTTGGACCACAGCGTGGAAGAAGGCCAGCACAAAGACCAGGGAGGGGAAGGCAGGGTGTGGGCACTCCACTAGAGCTGTGGCTGGGATCTTGAAGTAAGTACTGCGCAGGTTCAGCTTCAGACCATTGGGAGGTTCTGTGACAACCTGAAATGGAAAAGACACATGTTGTTTTTTAAAGAAAGATTTTCAGAATAAGTTACTTGAAGAAGTTAATGGTTTACTGTCTAGTGTACATCTTTTCTTTCTTAATTTCTTTCTTTCATTTTCTTTATTATTATTATTTTTTTTTTCTTTGCATTCATTGGACCAAATATATGAAAATACAAAATATATATTAAATAGTTTATGAATCTTTAGAGTTACTGAGGTTAAATTCTTTTGTAAAGAAACAAAGTAAAAATAACCCCTTCAACTTACTTTAAGTGACCTCTGCAGGATACCAATGGGGAAAGCTGAGGTTGGCTCAGTGGTCAGCCAGAGGCGGAAGTCTGGATGAGGCTTTGCCAGTTTCTCTATCTCCTTCTCCAAGTCACGCAACCATCTCACCAGTAGATGGCAGTTCTGCAACATGAGCCACTGACCTCTAGCCACAGCTGTTTCCAGGAACTGCATGGCAATCTGAAAAAGGTTGAACATGGTGCTAATAATACATCTCTTAATATTAATTAAATATTGATTAAAATAGAAATATTTAATTTCATTCACCAAGAATAAATCCAGCTATTGCTGGAGTGCTTGGAATACGCAGCATGTATTTTTATATCATACAAAATAACTGACAACCACAAAAAAAAAGGAACCCAACTTATCATCAATATAAGTTTACCTTCTCCTGTCCCTGTCCCATGGACAAGAACTTGAGTTTGTTGGTTCCAAATCCAGTCCTCTCAGCCAGCTTCATCAGATCACTGGCAGGGTCAGATCCTGGGCTCAGGATAAACACGATGGGAGAGGTGGGCGTACTCTGCTCAAAGATGGCCTCAAAACTGATGATAGGTGGAGTGACATACTTCTCACCCATAACTTTGGTGATGTAGTCTGTGATGGCTCTGTAGATACGATCCACTCTCCAGCAGCGGAGAAGCATCAGGCGTTGGAAGTCAGAGAGGCTGTCTTCATATTTCAGTGGGAAAGGCTGAGATTCTGGTGAATCATGGTCAAACCACTGGAAAAGTAAAGAGTGGATGGAATAAAAGTGAAGAAGGTTGGGCTGACTCAGCTTTAGCATTCATCTGTTTATTCTAAAAGGATTATGTGGTCATTCATGGGATACAGAATAAAACAATGGGTTACTTTAAAAATGAGACTTGAGACAATGAACACACACAAACTATCCAATCCAAAACAGAACATCATATCAAAATACCTGTTTCCACTCCTTCTCATTCTTCTCTACATCTTCCAGTATGGTTCCAAAAGCACCTTTTTCTATCTCTGCCAATCTAATCATGTCCTCCCAGCCCTGTTCTGGGACCCATTTAAATGGACGGCCTCGCTTGCTCTTCTCCAGTGCTATGCTACCCTGGAACACAGAAGGAATATCATATGTTAGCGCGCTAGGTGAGACTACAAGAAACAGTACTCATATACTGTGAAATACAACAGAAAATGCTACCCTTTGACAACATGTACACTGATGCTGTATAATATGTCTGTCACATCTGCTCACTGATATTAAATTGCAAGTGCCTACACATGTATGCTTATAGACTTAAACACAAAGATTTGTTGAGCTTGACTTCTTTGTGCCGGAAGAGATAGTGACATTTATCTGCTGAACAATCTGCTTTTCTCATGCATAACCTCATAATCCATGAAATAACATGCTCCCTACATAATATAGATGTAAACTGTTGCTAGAAATAGACAAAAGTTGGCAATAATTAAATCAAAACATTCTGTAATCTATTAACACCAATCAAAATGACTGTGACTTCTATATTAAACATAAACTTATAGTTTATGTGTTTCAACTGTAAAATAAAATGGATTAAGGGGTCTAATGTGCGTCATAAAAATAACATACAGTGAAGATGGCATGCTGCAATATGTGTGGTATCTGAATGGTAAGAAAAATGTATGTGCCTGAAAGGTGGTTGTGCAGTGAGGATGTTGGGGAATGGGACTCACCTTTACAATTTGTGTTTCCTTTTGACAGTCCAGATGTAAAGAATGCCAGTTTAACAAATTTTACAACTTATATGTTTCTTAAATAATGTTATTGGCATCTGAAAAGGTATCTTAGTACTAAAACATTTTGTCACGTGTGTATGTATGTTCATAATGATAGGTATGTATTATAATATGTGATTCACAGAAAAATTGAGTTTCAAGATAAGTTAGTAGCAGGCCTTATGCATAACACAATAACACACCCAACTGCATGTTATTAGAAAAGGGGAAGCTGTAGTTATTTTGGATATGATAATCTGAAAATGTTACTACATTATCTATTCATGTGCGGTACCTTGATAAAGAAGTCCAGTTCCTCTTGTCTGATCCTTTGCTCATCCATCTCCAACTTCACTGTGATTTGGAAGGAGAATAACAGCTTGTGTTTCTCAAAGATACCTGGAAGTCAAATAACATTGTAAACATGTTTAAAAAGACAAAGACAGCATCAGAAATAATTAATGAGTATGTAGAAAATTCCTAAACATTACCTTAGGACGAGAGCCAATTTTAAAGAGTCAGTTATTGTACAAAAAGGAAATAACATGCATCCTAATTTTTTTTTCATCCTCAAAGCAAATATTTTAAGAAAAAGATATCGGAAATATTATGCTATCTATTTTACTCATTTTTGAAGAACATTTCTTACCTGTGCAACCATAGTTGTAGACATTGTGTGTCAAAGTATCCATGATATTCCTCAACCTCTTCTGCAGTATAGTATCTGGCAAGCTCTTCTTCAGAGAGAACTGGAACACATCCAGGTAAGCCGCCAAGGAATACTGATACATAGTATTAATACTGGCCATCTCAGCAAGGATGAAAAACAAAATGGCACCACGCTTGGCTGCAGGACGGTACCCATCACGAAGCTTGTCAATATCAATGGCAGTCTTGGCTCCAAGCTTCAACTTTTCTGCCACCTCAGATGCTTTGGCTTTTGTTTCTTCAAGGGTCTGGATGAGATCTGTGTTGTCCAACATGTTGCCTGTAGAAGTAGCCAGTTCTCTCAGCAGGGCATCCTCCAGGTCCTTCAGCAAGCTCTTGTTGGCACTGAATATGAATGAAGGGGTTGATGAATACGAGTACACTGCATATAAATGACCTTTTGTCCCAGTCCATTAACTGTATAAAAATTAAGACAAAAACCTGACTGAATGAGACACATCTCAACCTATATCTTCTAATACTAATTCAAAGAAAATAAGAAAACTTGTCACATACCTTGTTTCCTGGATCAATCTTTCTCTCTGCTCTTCCAGCTCTTTCCTCTCTGACTTCACAATCACACTCAGCAACTGGTCTTCCAGACCCTGTAGAAAATGATGACATCAGGTCATTCACTTGTGTATTTATTTGTACAGACAATAAAAAATGACTGGGTTGTGTTTTCATTCACAAATAGCATTATTAAAATAATCTGTCTAATGTCTGGTAAAAGATTTTCTATACATTCTAAATACAAATATACATACAAGTTTACTAAATCAATACACTGTAATAAAACTACAAATTTCCACTTTTTAAATTAAAATTCAATAATTAGACATAAATGTGAATATTTTAGAATGCCTTTGTTGTGCACTGAAAATGGGATATCTTATATTTTACCTTGAGAGTGACAGTGTAGTTGATGACCATAGACTTGCCAAAGTGAGCAGGGGTANTCATCTAATTCTTAAATGCCTTCCTCCGTGGATCCATATTTAGAATAATTTTGTTCCAGAGAATATGAAAAAGAGGCTTTGTGATACTATCTTCGCTGAATTTATTTGACAATGTTTCATCGTGCGGGGCCAATTTTATAAGCATCGCAAAGTGTCGTTGTTATAATGTTTAGATCCAATTTTATTTCGGTTACACAACGTTCCAATCTCCGTCTTAACGACAATATAATTTAATATCAAACGATATCCTAAACAGTCAAACAGGTATACTTGTGAGTCTTTTGAACTGCAGTTCGGGCGGTAGTTACACGATATACATGTAGATAGGGTTTTGTCTCATTTGCCACCAAACCGAGGACCGAGGAGTTATTTTGAAGCACACTTCAAAGCAAATCCCCAAGGCTTTACTTTCTCGTTTTAGGGCAAAGCAGAGTAGACATACATTTAAGTTAGAGCATATCATTCGAGTCACTAATAACCATCAACTTAATCCGAAATTACAGCTCAAATTCCTTTTTCCTAGTACACTTCTGTGTTGCTTTATCCCGGTGTCATTTGATCTTCAAGTCGGAATGATGGCACTGAGGGTTGACGAGGATAAATGTGTGCATTATTCCTTCTATTTTTCCTCCATGTAACAGGCATTCCGTGTCACTAGATCTCATTGCAATAATTCACCGCAGTTCATCGCTGGCAGGTTGCCTTGTGTATTCATAGTTGGCATGAAAATTGGACTGACAGAAAGCCTTACGAAAAACTAAGTAATTTTTGTTAATAAGAAATCAATCTTAAAAATAAACTTCACGCCAATTAGTGATTCCTTATTTCTCAAATTTCTCTTCTCGTGGAAACCACACATGTCCAAAGTCGCAAGGTAATTTCGTCTTGTTTAAGTTCCATGTTAATTAAGAGATAAACAAGAAGAAGAGACTTGATATCGGATGTGCATTTTGATTATTTGAAAATCCGACATTGGATCGTGTCAAGGAAACAAGTATAGCTGACGAAATACGAAATATGATAAACATAACTGTCGTTGGCGGTCGCTGATAATCTGTCAGTTTCCATTAAGTCGCGGGTTATAGAAATCAGATAATGTGCTAGGCCAGCAACCAAAGTAATTGTACAGTAATACGTATGAGCCTTAACTAAGAAAGACGGATGCCTATCCAATCAGGGCTATTTTTCATCTGTTATTCCAATATAAACCCGACGAGATTACATCTGCGAATAAACGGCTGCGGGGAGATATTTAGAAGCACTTACTTCAGAGCGAAAGAGAGAGACAGCGTTCGGCAGAGAAAACGCGATGCTTGTCGCGCCACCATGCGGCCAACTTGTAGTCATCACATGTTGACGGTCGGGGTCGCAATTTAACTTAATTGCGTGCAGATTGAAGTTGCGACAGTAATTTTCACGACCCGTGCGCGCTGTGATTTGGGATTTCAAAGAGCACGGAGACCAGCGGCGCGGGATGCAGAGAACCTACTGCTTTCAGATTGATGGCACTCACGTTGGTTAACCTCGCAGCATTGATTTTTTTAAATGCCAATTTAAGGCGATAATTCGATCGTTTATGACACCCTCTTCGTCAAGATCCTATTATTTTAAAGGTTTGTTTTTGTCGATTTACTCAAAAATACTTCGGGTTCATATGAGATCTTAGATGGAAGAGGTTCACTCGAGAAAAAGCGACAGTGAACGAAGCTCAGGAAGCTAGCGGTATGCTGACTGCTTGGTGACATTTTTTCAACATCAAAAAGAAACCGCCGAGCTGCCTTCAAACTGTTACCAACGAGTTCATTCTGTCTGAATTTGGAGTGTTGAGAGAAGCAGCAGTGTTCAAAGAATAAGCCTATTATATTTGAAGTCTTCACGGAGCTAACAACCATCTGCTTAAAAAGATGGCAGGTAATGTTATGTTTACATCAAGTATCCATTTTTTTTTCAGAATCTGTTGTAATGACCTATTTTGATTTTAACAAAGAAGTAAGCTAGTTAAAATAAAGCATTTTCTTCGTCACCAGCATCTTGACATATCGTAATAAGATTAGGGACCGACTATTTTTATTTCTTTGTTTATTTATTTATTGATTTATGTATCGTAACATATCGTCTTCGCTTGGTGAACCTATTTCGCCATATGCATGTTTTACTTCCGATATGTAATTACCACATAGAACATATGACGACCACGAACGTGACAAGAATCGAAATTTCGTGATGTGATTTATAAATAATTCCACTGTTTTTAGGTCACAGTGGCGTATCCTGTGACAAAACTGCACTCATATTCTTCATTTATTGATTAGACGCTGAAAGCCTTTGAGTTAGCTTCGCTTTGTTTTATTAGATCGGGGATTATACCTAAAGCATGCTTTGCATGTGATTCAGTTAGGGTTTAGAAATTTGCTTTCATTTTAATCAACACACATTGAATGCTCTGCGTGGGGTTCAACAACACATTTCTATCAGCAGCAATCAAGTGTGGGACTTCCAATCTTAAATATTTCATAGCCAATTGATCTCTTAAGTCTGTTCTATATTATCAAAGCGAATTTGTGTAGGTGCTCTTTAGTTTACCACTATTGTCTAGACCTTTAAAGTTAACTGTAGTCATTTATTATAAGTATTTAGAGCTTTGCCCGATAAACGATAAACACATTTATTGCTCGGCTCAAGACATTTTTCTAAAACTAAAAAAGATGTACATGTAGTAGGAAATTTTGCTTTACGGCATATTAAAAATTATTCAAAACTCTATTGGGAAGTGTCACCAATGCATTCCTTAAATAAAAAAAGCATGGATGTTTCATTTATCCATTTACGCATTCTATTATATATTTTTTGTGTTTTTTATAAGTACATGTTAGAATCTGAAATAGAAATGGCCACCGCGACTTGGAAATTTTCACGGACTTGCATGTGACAGGTTTGGTCTGAGGATAAATCTCCATATAAATGAACGTCGGGGAGGGGGTAACGTATTCGTTACTAAAATAATATCAAACAATATGTTAAAAAATGCTTTTTGTTGCATCAATCATGATTTATGCAGATGTCACGGTGAAGATAAATAAAAGCATTTGTGCCATTATCAATAGCGACTTCCATTAAAATGCTTTCAAAACAATATTTTGGAAAATATGAATCTCCCCCCCCCCCCATTAGGAAAATGATAAAAGCAAATAAACATTTGCTTTTATCAAGTGTTTAAACCACATGTCTGTCTCTATTACTCCTGATTCATTCATCAAAAACAACAAGCTGAGATCTGCTAAGCGTAAACGTTCTCAAGCCTCATTTAACAATCAATGCAATTTTTCCTGCACTGGTGCATTCTTTTAAATAATCTTGTACATTGTCATGTGATATAGTTAATAAATTGCACATTATACAAAAGTAAATCCCTCTATAATAACTATTGTGGCTATTTAAAGATTGGCAATAAGAATGGTGTAGGGAACAACAACAGCCACTTTAATAATAATAATAATAACCATAGTAATAATAGTAATAATCATAATAATCTTACGGTATGAAATTAAAAGCGTCATTCATAGATCTGTACCATTTTTACCGCTTAAAAGCAATAATAACATAAACAGACTTTAAATAATGAAAACAACATGCATCGACCCTGATGATATGCAATCTACATGTATGATAAATCTGTATGTTAGCTACTGAAAAATACATGCCACACGGTGTGCACGCTATCATATTTTAATAGGACTTTCTTTTTAGCTGACATTTAGTTCAAAATCTGTTAAGAACCTCGCGTAGTTTTGACGTGGGAGAAAAACACGCCAAGCATTGGACCGTACGTCAATGGGATAGTTCCAATATCCAATGAGCTTTGTGAAATTCAGCTTTAGGTGTGTAAGGCCTTGAACACCTACATGTACATTTACAGATGTATATCTTTTTGTGGAATTAATACGAACGAGCTTCTCACTCTCTCTCTCACTCTCTCTCTCCAAGTTGTACTTGTCCTTATTTTTTTTGTTTTACAGGGATGTTTTCTCTCTGTGAGAGCGCCGTTCTAGATTGTGCGTATTCATATTATCTTCTCATTAAATATGGGCTTTCTTTTAATTTTGTGTCACTGTGACATGCACTTACGTGTATCTAAATGAAGCCCTGAGCCGATTGTATTTCGCTAAGTGTGAGAAAATTAAGCAAAACTATATTTTAACTCATGCATACTAGTTGTGTAGGGGTTGCCAAGAGTATTGCACCATGTTGCTTTAAGGCGAATGAGAGTTGAATCTGTTAGGGTTTTCGTGTATTTTATTAACATTGTGGTATGTTAGGTGAACTACTTTACTGCAGGTTTACAGACTATTGCTTTACTCTTACAAGAATTAAGTTATTATGTCAGTATTTGTATTTTCAAGAAGGATATTTTGTAAGATAAGCACGTGGCCTCAAAATGGCCGTCGACTTTCTGGGCATGGACTTACGGGTGGAGTTATATTCAGGGGTCTATGCTGGCCCAGGCTCTAAAGACACTTTGGATAAGAGCGTTTCTGGAAAATAGGAGATTTGTCACTTGATTTCCGATTTCCGACTTAAACCTCAGGTTTTCAATGGGGTTTTTGTCTGATGATTGCGCATGCCTGTGTACCCTGTTGGTGCCCTGTTGATGATGCCACACTTTGTTTGTGAGTGTACAAGATATGATATGTGTTTTTCTATAATCAAGATGTGCGTTGGGTTGGTATTCTGGAAAATAAACTGGTAATTCCTTCCCTAAAGATTTTTAGATGTTGGTCCAGGATTCCAATGTAGAGCCCGTGGATGAGATTTATTCAGCCGTTCATTTAACCAGTGCCAGTTCACCAATGCCGTAGCTCCGCAAACCCCTAATTGAATGGGACTGTCTTGTGAGGATATTCCTAGCAAATTGATAGGTAGACAGTTGCTGATGTTCTTCATACCCTCACTTGTCCATTTACGTTGTTAAGGGAGAGTATGGACTTTTCAGGAAACACAAAATGGCGTCACTATTGGCTTGCGGTCCTTGAAAGTTCCACCAGCCTACGCATCTCTTCTCCCCATCTTTACAAAAGTGATAAGTGGTTTTCTCGTGGCAACCCTGCTGTAAATTCCTAAAGTACGGAGCCTGCTTTGGGTTGTTTATTTTCCAACACCAACAGCTGCAAGTTACGAAATGCCAACCAATCTTCGTAGCATTGATAACTAAAAAAGGACGTCTGACGTGTCACCTTCGCTTGTCCACCTCGTGGTAACTTTTAGGCATCGCCAGTATCTTTCATCCTTTTTTGCAAGACCTACGTACAGCTTGAAGCCGCCATATCTGATAACTATCTATGGGAGACTAGCCCTCCTTCCTAAGAAAAGAAATCTTTTGGCATTGCCATTTTTGGGCTCCGGCACCTTCACCACGGTAGCAACTTGACAGCCAGAAGGACGTTACATATTCGATTACAACCTTTGTAGATCACATGAAAAAATCACATTATTTGTTACGTGGCAGATAAACCAAAAAACAGCTCATACATATGGTGCAGTATTTATGCCGCTCCCCTGTACATATTCTATTCAGTTAGATTTCGCGGTTTGGAAATGATCGAAACCAAGGCATATTAAGATAAATAAAATGCGGGGAAAAAACTCAGCTATGCAGTCATTAGTTCATGCACTTAGATAATTATCATCTAAATCTAGGCACATGACCAAATTAACGTCTAATGGTGGTGATGGGCTGCTGATTTTGGTAATTTTCACCAGGTTTCCGGGATGGAAGAGTATGAAGGTACAGAACAATGTAACGCTAACGTCTCAATGTCTTCCGTTGATTAAAATCTTATTCTTTATCAGCATGGCAATATGGGAATCCGTTTGATGATGGTTTGTGGTTAGATGGATTCCAATCAGACATCTGTATTGAGATTAATAGGCTTTGTTCGTTGAAGGCAAAACGTTGCATTGCAGTCGTGAACCGCATCTCAGACACTGAATAAAAGGTTTCTCATAATATTGCGTCTATGTAGTCGTCTCTATGAAAAGGGGGTTGAAGCACACGACGAGAGCTTACGTATAGGATGACAAGAAAAGCTGAAAGTGCAGAAAATAACTCTAAGCGGTGGCCTTTCACAAGAGTACCATGATTATGCACTGCATAACCGCAGCGAAATGTAGGACACAACATGCATTATTATTACCTGTATATACCAAAGAACAGAATGGTATATAATGTAAGTGCCTTGCCTTCAAAGCAGCCATGCAATAATAAATTATGGTCCATTTTCCAACAAGGAGGACGCATTATTTGCCAGAAAGCAAAAACACAGCTTAAAGTGGTGATGTCAGTGTATTTGTATTTATTATAGAAAACGACGCCGTATCTGACGGGGTAAGTGAATCGTGTAAGTTTTTGTTGCACGTGAACTGATAAATTTATGGATTTTTTTTTTTTTTTTTTTTGTAAACAATCAATCTCCACATTTTAGACGCAAAACGCCGCGCACTGCCAAATTAAATGTAGTTACAGTGAGTGTCCTCGGAGCTTTCTGACTCATAAGAGTTAGAGAAGGCGCGCGAAAGAGGTAACACACAAAAACAAATATTTTTGGTTATGCTATTTACCCTTGTCATTCTAACTGAATAATTGCATTTGCATTTTGGGTCATTTTTGCCATGAAAGCTGACCATATCCCATCACATAGTTTCAGAAAGTACAACCTAGAGAAATGCCAAATGTCATCGTTGCATAATACCCGAAAAATGATATTTGAACGGATTTTTCTGCTTGCTTTCTATGCATAAACATAACAAGGACATATAAGTTGGTCATATATGAAGGTCAAATTACGACCGAAAATTTAAAGAAGGTGCAGTTAAGAGCCCTTTTATGACTGATGGCTGATGCATGAATGACCAAAGATATTATGCTGGCGTTGACAATGATATCTAATAATATTTTCACAAGACTTGATATGTAATAGCACCTATTTTGTACAATATATTCATTGTACTTAAAGGGATAACAGCTGTTCGTAATATATTCATATTTCACAATAAATACATTTTAAACAACTCATAGAACTATAATAAATTCTATTTAACCACCAAAACGGCGGTTAAGGCAATTATTCTGGAATTTTTGCTTGCCATCACGTCACGTGACCTCCATAGATGGCTACACTCTGTAATAATTTCTAAAGAGAATATAACAAAAAACTAAACTTTTTAGAAAAAAAACAGGGACTAACTTTGAATGTGGGTATGGGTTGTCCTTTATCCAAGGAAAATCCATTTTTGGCCAAAATGAACAGTTGTTATCCCTTTAAACTGAAAAATATCACAACAGACAACCGAGGTGTAAAGCGTTGTGTTTACTTTGGCAAAACAGTTATCAGATGACACCTTGAACAAAGTCCTAAGATTTTCCCCTAAGAACTGAGTGGGAATGCAAAACATTAGTCAATTTTAAATTCTGTTCGGACCTCTAGGTAACTGTTCGTTTGCGTGACACCATCACTTTGTTCTATATGTTGTATGCTGTCAAGACAGGCAATCGATGTACATGTAGGTGCTTCAAGCAATGTGTGTCGCGATCAAAGAAATATACCTTACCAACCTTGTATTACATTGATAGTGCCAAGACCTGCTTTCAGACAATTTTTCGTTTTAAAACTAGAGCAACATGCATATCGCTAGACCTCTTTCACGGACATGGCAGACTGGAGGGGAGAGCGGGTGTAATAATCCCTTTTGACAACGTGTACTTGTCAGTGAAAATGTGAAACCCTCATCCCGTACTAATTTCCACTTGCATCCCAAAGCCCTGTTCAGTCAGAGACACCCTCAACCTAAACACTACAATAGCCCTATAGATAAAGTCTACTTTACACGTTAAGATTTTGAGGACTTCCTAGAAGAATATTGACCTGTGAATCCAACAACAACAACAAAAAAAAAAAAAAACATCGGAAGAGCCAGTTTCGTCTTCTCGTTTTGTATTTTTGCTTATGGAAACCGGATATCAGTTCACAAAAGTAGACAATTTTGCTGTAATATCATCTGAAGGACATCTTTTCACTTCTCAAGCACATTGTTTTACATATATAACCTAAACATTGATCCAAAGAGGTAGGCGTTTCCGAATACTCAGACACTACTTGACGGCCTGTAGACTTTACCTGGTAGACTTGTTAATGGTTTGATAGATAAGACTATTCCATTCACGATTAACACAAAAGATGATTATCTTTATTCTTGGCCACAAAAAAACAATTTTTACTTAGAGCAGGAATAAGTGATTGCATGACATAAAAAGTAGTCTGCATTTTAAGGGGACGATGCCATGTCTGCAAATCACTTGTACCCAATGTTAAGACACGTGGGCAAAACTGGTTCTTGGTTAATGATATTTATTGGATTCGACCATTAATATACAGCCCCGACCAAATGTGCTAAGCAGCGCCAGACTACTTGTTTGACTCTGGAGGACCAGAGGAAAATCTGTTGGAAAGTGTTAAGTGCTTCACCAAGCCCTATTAATATGATGGACTTAGATACCCAACACTGCGAAGCAATTAATGAAACCCCCTGTCCATTTAGTATCTCATTCTTTGCTGTGGTACATGGAACACCGTGTTGTGCGAGACTAAAGAAGGACTGGGAACTGTTTTTTTACTCACTGCAAAATCTAATTGTCCCGTCAAAACTGGAATTAATGCCCTACATTCATCTTCATTCCACGTTTGTATCTAATGAACGCTTTGGCTGTTTAAAAGTCAATCCCTGAATCGCGGATGCCATATGCCATGGTGCAGATTTATGTTTTTATAAATTGCATACTTCACTGACAGATACATTTTATGGTTGCAATGGAAAATAAGGAAAAAGAGGTACAGAGGCGATATATAACCAGAAGACGAAACATTACAGAGCACAATCCGTCGGGGGAAGGCATATAGGCCCATATCATCGTACCTACATGTATATCCGTGACTTAACATGAGCGCCTCTAAAAGCTCTTCCTTTCATATCCCTAAATTTAGATAGACAAAGGAATAAACAAATAGTAAGATAAATAGAAAAATCAATAGAAAGGTAAATGAATAAACAAACAAATAAAAAGATATGTGAATAAATATAATCAGACAAAAGTTGTGGTTTTTCTTTTAAGCGCTCCGGACGAGGCATGTTTCGGAACCAAGAAAAACAATGCCAGAAAAACAATTAACTCACTAATTAGCATCGTTGGCATATAGTTTACGTAAAAAAAAGAAAGAATGAAAGAAAGAAAACAAAGAACGCAGCAGTTAAATGAACTGATAATTGGTACAATAATCAAGACCTGCCCTTTGTCCAATATTTAGATTGAGTTTTTTTTTTCATTTTTATTGAAAAGAATCAAAAAGTTGCCAACTGATAAAGAAAAATGGTTTAAAACCAATAGAAGTTTGGCTCTTCGTCACACTGAATTTGAATTCTTTACGCCAATGTCATTGCCGATACTATAAATTTATTCCAGCCAATATCTCACTGGTAGTCTATGGTTTATGCAAATGAAAGCTTTAAATGCTAAATTTTAAATAACTTGAATGTAAAAGCATTAGAACCGAACCGAATTGCAACGTGAAGCTTCTTCTGAAAATTACTTTTATTTTGGAACAAAAGTGATTACTGGTCGAGAGTGTGATCGGCATTATCAAATCAATGCATAAGTTCTAATTCAGACACGATAATAGGCATAGCCATGACGTACATGTGACCTGCACATAGATTTATGTAATCAGGCGTATTGAGTGATATTGCACCTTTATAAAGATAAATACATGTACGTACAGGGGGTGTTTGCGTCTCATCATTATTAATATTATTATTTCTCACGTCATTATTATGACGCGTTTGCTTTATCACTTGTTATATATAAGCCTTTGTAGTGATACATTTTGCACATTATTCTCGACGGGTGAAGTGACAAATCACCTTCTGTTGACTCACATACTGAGTAAGCCTCGAAGCAAGTAGTCGTATATATTATCTTACATTATGTCTTAACTGAGACTGATTCAGCCTTGAAAATTGTTTTTTTTTCATCGACTGTGGGATTAATGCCATTTGATTCTTAATCATATATTTCTAAAATTTATGTTCCAGTACCAACAGCTGCCATTGCCATCGGTTCCGTGAGCGGGGCACTCGTTGGCGTCGGATTGTTCATCATGCTGTGCAAGATTTGCCGCTACTTTTTGTGTCGGCAGGAGTCCCAAGACAGCCCTTATGCGAGACTGGTGAGCGAGAAAAAGGAAGCAGATAATCTGCCTCAGATCATCGTCGATAACGGAGCTGCTTTTACCAAGCCCAAAACAAGGTACGTCTACTTCAAGTCACATACTTTAGTTTTAACCGTTACACAGATAATTACAAAAGCGTAGGAGTTGGGTGTTGCTTCAACAAATGTCAACGTGGCACCTAGGTATATGCAGTTTATCCAGAACGCAATAACATATTGTCAGTCACCTTTACTAGTTGGCGCTGCCGACAGTAACAAAGGAAAAGGTAGAAATTATCAAATCCCAGAATTGCTGGTAACTTGATTGGAGAAATAAAAAAAGGTCGATCAAAATACCATAATTAGTGAAACAAAAGACCGAAGGGGTAACAGAATGAAGTATGGTACATGTATATTAATAACACTTCATTGGTGGAAATCTCAATCTGACAAAGCAAAAAAAATCTTATATGCAACACTTTTTCCAAACGCCTATTACTGGTTTGACTTAGGTCAAAATAGATTAGAAAATTTGGTCTAATTATTTAAGATCGACTTCAGTCTTAGATTCGAATGTAAAATTGTGCAAAGATTGCCGCTGCGCACAACAAATGCAATCGCCTCAGATGCAAACAAGCATCGTTTTACAATACTTATCGACTCAGGGAAACTGGAATGGGAGTAACACTGCGATTTTAATAGAATATACCAAAGATATGTAGAACATGGGTCAAACAAAACGGGCGAATTAGATGGTGGATCTACAGATAATACTCGGTAGTATACGTGTAGATTGATTAAATGAATACATGGGGGTGGGGACATACGTGAAGATAGCTGGCTAACTAATATGGATTGGTTTATAGAAAGGTGAAATCGCGCAAACTGAGATAGACGAAAGGAGTATGTGGCAAGGATTTTGACGTAAAAGTATTTACTCTTTCTCATCCGGAGTTCCGCTTCGCATGTGAGACCCAGGGATAAAAGAGAAGAAAGAATAAAAATAAAACAGTGGGGCTGACAATTCTTTTATAACACGAAAAGCACAAAGATGGGAAATAACTAAGTAGTGTCTCGTTTCGCTTGTTACATTGTTATATATGTGTCTGGGGGAGGGGGTGAAAAGAAGGGGTATCTTCAAGTCTAAGGGGGGGATGTGTAGGCTGAGCACCCGGATCCACCCTTTTTTGATGGACAATAAACTAGTAGTCGAAATAAAGCAGCTGTATATGCTAACACAAAGAGGTAACCACTCCTATGGTTTCTTCTTATTTATTTATTTGTATGGTTACGCCTTGAACACTCACTAGCTCGTTTTGTTTTAAGGGCAAAACATGAAAATAAACGACGTTTATGTGTTTGTTAAATACCACTATGTAATTATACAACCCGGTTGTTTGCAAAGGCAATTAATCTAAACGCCTTTTCAAAAGTGCCCATCAGTCTGCTTAAATGCAAACATATATCTTTACTATTTTTTCAGTTGGCATTGAAGTGGATGGATAATTAAATTGGTTTTTTTTTTCAGGTTAAATTACTCTGCAGTGGCTATAAAAGAAACATTAATATCTGTCAGAGACAAGCTCATTTTCTTTCAAAACACGGAACCTGTTTTATGCTTTTGTTTTTAGTTTAGTTAATATCATACGTTTTATATATATTGCACCAATTTATACCTTATTATGTAACTTACTAAACAGGTTCACCCCCATCTATTGCTTAAAAAGAGAAGCGTAGAGCGGCAATTTATAATAAAAACACGGAGATGAAGTAAAAAACCAACTTGATAAGATGACATAATGGAACCGGTTCCAAAATAGGGTCGATTGCGGTATCCGGCTGTTCTGTAACCAAAGACCACACGGTTTGCAACCACGAGGCATTTTGCAACCAAAACACATGTTCTTGGTTCTGAAATGGTTTGTAGAACTGAAGAGATACCACAAACCATTGGAATCGCAGATCTTTCAACTTGCCCAGGGTTGTGAGGCTGAAGGCATTTATAAGGCCGTGTTACCTTGACACCTTACGTAATATATATATATATCTTCAGTGAAACCGATCCGGTGACGGTTAAAAACAGAAATGATTATCACTGTCCTTATCCAATATCCGGCGGAAGTCTTGAGAGGAAATTCACACCCGATTCAACCTGTGAATTGGTTGTTCTATACTTGTGTCTCTCACACTTGTAATCTTGACCACGAAGGGTGTATTATGTACGGTACATAAATCTTATATATCTTGCAGAGAAATTGAAATAAAATCTTATTGTCAAGAGATCAGTCCAATTTATTAAACTTCATATCTAAGTTTACGCTTTTAACTAAGTCTCTATACCTTAAAGATTAAAGTATCCTAAGATAACTTTTAGTATGCTGTCCACTCCTTCTCAGTTACCTTAAAACCCTTTTTTTTCACATCGATCGGTATACATAAGCAATGCAGCTTTTACCGGTACACTTTGACAGGTGGTAATATGTAATTACTTTACAGGAGGTTTTACTTTCTTTTCAGTTCTCCACAATTTCATTAATTGGATATGTCGTTAAATGTGGAGCAAGAAACTAAGTTGCTTTTTGCATTGATCGGTATACTTTAACGGTACAGACTGTACCAACACACACATGCACATGCAAACACACACACACACATACACACACACACACGCACACGCGCGCGCGCGCGCACGCACAAAGAATACACACAAGTACACGCACACATATGCACATACACACACGCACGCACTCACGCACGCACATATTGCATTGGATACATGTTCCTTTACAAAATCCAGGTTATGAATGCATTATTTCACAACAGGCCGTACTATATGATGTTCAGTATTGATTTGATTGGAGACAAAATGTAACAAATTAATTCACCATGTTTTGCGTGACACGATAGTGTTGCTTTCTAAGACGACATTCGCGGCGCATAGGGTTTCATCTTTTTCGGATTTTCGCGCGTTGTCTTGTTGCTTAATTATGATGTCAGAGAGTGCCAACAGCCTCTTTTAAGGCGATCTCGGGTGATCTCTATTATGGCATTTTATCAAGTTTGTTTTTGCTTCATGTCCGTGTTTTATTTCATTTTCTTTCATTTCTTTCATTGCGTGTCATTTTATCTCATTCCCATTGTTGCACTTGAAATTGGTATTGATACATGTAGCAGGCATCTCGAGTGGTGTCTTTCATCTTAACCCTTCTTACAAAAGCTCCAGCATTACCTCTGTGTGCACATTAAGAGCCACTTATCGTTTATTTCACAGATTAGATATCTCATCAGCAGCAGACCCTAACATCCCCGTCTCTCTCTCTCTCTCTCTCTCTCTCTCTCTCTCTCTCTCTCATACACACACACACACACACACACACATTTACATTGAACATTTGACAACAGGGCCCTTTTCTAAGCCCGTGTACAATTAAATCCTCCTCGCCAGTAACGGCATGTAGATACAGTAACTCTCGTGCTGTGCGCTTTGTCCCAATCCAAGATGAATTCACACGCGCACATGCTGAACGTATAAAAACCTTTCAGCCGTTCGCGTGTATATTCATTAGTATTGATTCGCCATAAGAGTCGAACTGTCTATACACATTTACATAGAGTTGTTAACCCGCTACCGTTTTATCTTCGCTGCTATCTTAACCCGGGGATGTTAAGCACGGTGCTGTGCGAAGTCAGGTCATACTTGGGTACACGCGCAATGAGTCACATTTAAGTCGCTTTGAGCCGCTACAGCATCATTCCATACCACACTACCGCGATGTGGGCTCAAAACCATCCGTGCTCAACGTGGAATAGAGTCTCGAATTTAAAGATGGAATGATGACAGCGGTGCTCGGTTACAAATCGGAACAGCATGACGACTTCTAACACGACAACGAACAACGGTAGCACAAACGGTGCCCAAACATTATTACAAGTCCCACATTCTGCTGATAATAACCTTCGCCGTTTTCATTCCATGGTGGTGCTCCCCTGCAGCCTGAAACCCATCCCCTTCACAGTGCCTCCGTCGACGCCGCCGATCCCGAGAAGGGGAGGGGAGGCGTACGCTCCCCAGGCGAGAGATGAGTACAGCCCAAGCAGCTCGGAGCAAAGCTCTCCCATGTCTATCAAGAAAGCGTCGGTTGAAATCCCAGGTAAGAATAAACGGTGGTGCTCAGTGTACTTGGCATTTAGTACACAATGTTTAACTTGTACTTTGCTGGTGTAATGTGGTGTACGCATAAAAATGTGAATATTGTGATGTAAAGTGGTTAGTGCTTAGTTTCTGTTTATCAAAATGCAGATCAGGTGTGTTTAAGTGAAGGGAGAAGGGGGGAATCCAACTGCCATGGACAGCAGGCTGGATTTATTTGCTTTCACACTTACGTAAGGTTGACGTGACAGACAGACAGACAGGCAGGCAGGCAGGCAGGCAGGCAGACAGACAGACAGAAAGACAGACAGACAGACAGGCAGGCAGACAGACAGACAGACGGAAGAACTAGGAGGTAGACGGATGAATGATTTGAAAACCTATGAAACGGATATTAGAGACATGCATACAAAGACAAATAAAAACCAAGCAGAGAGAGAGAGAGAGAGAGAGAGAATCACAACTACAAATGATTTAACATCACTGAAGAACGTGTAAATATAAGTGAAGACATGCACTACATTCTTGATAATATGAAATAACAATTATTACTCAGTGTCCATTTTCACATACACAGATTGCATGAAGCGATATTCCTTCGAGTATTGATCTGGTTTGGCTTCAATATACTGCAGGAACACACATGTGTATATCTGTGATGATAAGTTTTCCTTCGTGTTTTTATCATAGAACATACAGCATCAATGGGCAGGTATATAGTAGGTAATACAGTACCTCAAGCCAGTACCTCAAACACATGTTTCATTCGACCACCTTGTTAAGCCAGACGGCTGTAGACGTAGGCATCTGCTGTTTACCTACGGCTTCTAAACATTGATTTTTTATTTACCGTATGGGGAATCATAGCTTGCGTTTGATTTAAGTGCACAAGGCCGGCCAAATTATGTCTAGATTCGTGTATGTACAATGTATACATGTTTGCCAATATTGTATTTCGATCAAATCCGTCAAAACCAGATTCGTTCACATAACCCAGCTACCAAATGTACATCCACTATATAATTCTGGTCATTTCTGTTTGGTCAAATAACACCTCTGATATTTCCCAGTTTTCTTGTTTTTATCAGTTGTTCACTTATATTTTATTTCCCATCATAAGATGGCGTGTATCTTCATCATTGATTATTTATCTTTTTCTTAGTATTAACATTCCCTTGCAGGAAGCCAAAATGTGAATACAGCTGACTTAATTAAATACAATCATATACAGCGTGCAGTGACAGGTATATATATCCTCTAGATTGGGTGACAGCGAATAGCGTCAAATGCATCCCTATTAATTGACTACTAGTTGATTAGTTTTATGAGCATGTACAGCATATATAGACCTACATGTACTGTACAGTACAGCAATTCGAATATTGTATAACAACGACGCACGCGTCCTATAGATAGTTTTAAATGCATGAACTGCATACATGTATAACGAAACTAATTTGTATAACAACGTCACAAGCATTTCAGTAACTAGTTTTATGTACTCGTGTCCTGCCAAAGTATTCATGTGCATGTACACGTTGCCAAAGTAGAGGCCTCAGATATGTATTCTATTGATAACCGTCAAATGAAATTTAACCTAGTTCAAAATTATTTTTTTAAAAGGGAAATGTTTTTTTTAAAGTTCAAAACAAACTTCATAGATGTGAAAACACACAAGGTACAAACACAATGCCATTTTTTCAGTGTGGAACCGGCTATTTGCACGACCGCGTATTTGGCGGTTGTAACATCCAAATCATTCTCGTGGCACTATTATATGGTTTACTACCCCACTACGTTTATTTTCTTAATTTAATTCATATATAATTTTCTTAAAAAACCTCTAGGCTGGACAAACTCAGAATTTACTGGTTATCACTTCTTAATCACCAGACGTACCTATTTTGGCCGAGGTCGCTATTTTGGCATGACACAGCATATAACAACACCATTAGTGTGTAACAATGCCATACGCGTCCCTAATAATATAGTTGATAATTTCATGCACATGGCCAATTTCTCAGGCAAGTTGTTCTACTTTATTCTAGTACTCACCAAACAAATAGGTACATGCATCGTGGACTCCTACTGATTCATCTTTAACTGAATTAGACTTAAATTTTCGTCTTAAAGTTGAGCAAAATTTTTCGGGAAAAAAACTTTTGAATGTGAAATCGGCCCCTGGTCTATATAAGCGGACCCATAACTCGGTTATCATTAACCTTGCTACGTTAAAAAGTAACGCCCGTAAAATGCAGGTGCGAAATCCATCTTACACAGTGCCACGATGTGTTTTTTAGGTGCGAAACCCGGCTAAGGGGCGTGATGGGGATGCTGTTGAATCTTTTCACATAATAGTACAATATAATCAGATGATGGTTTATCGCTTATATATGGTGTGACTGTCACACTTGTCAAAATACTAGACACTAGGTGTGAGATTAACAACTGGATAACGGTGTTTATTGCCATAAATCATTCCGGATCCGTTCGAGGACCGTTATATGGTTTTCCTGAGTATCGAGCTACAACCACAGATAATTTGCCTACGGGTGGTTATGAACACCCCAAATCAAGGTGTTTCGCCTGGGTAACGCCGTCAACGCAGGTGAATAGTACGAAAATTTTATCAGCGTGTTTTCGTCTTAGTCGGCAGAAAGCGATATGCGAAGCGTGATATTTTCTTGAAACCACACAATAGGAGTAATACACCCGAAGCGATGTCATGTTTTCCGATAAAAAATGTTTTTTGGCTGTCTTTGATTGTAGCTCAAGGAAATGAACCTAAAATAAGGAAACCACAATTTGTACATGCTGTTTTATTTAACATGACCACTTCACGCCGTAATCTTTGACAAAATATTTGATATCATTATCATTAAACTAGTAAATATTAAGTGCAAATAAAATTGAAATGTGAAATTTCGGTCTGTGAAATTTTAGTACATTGTTAAAGCTAATATTTTTATAAAAAAGAATGAGGTAGCAGTAAACAACAGTGTCACGTATTTTGGCAAACCGGTTTCTATAATGTTACAAAAAAGGATTTATATTTTTTGACACATTCAAAAGACTGTGTTTTTTGACAGCGATGATTGGTCTATTTTTAAGTACATCCTGATTCTGTAATTTGGGGGACAGCTCGTGGTTTATTGATACCTGCTAGTAATAGCACAGAGTGGTGTCACCCTTACCAGGTATTGGGCCCAGATGTTGTCAACAGCAAGGACCTCTGTTTTCATGGGAGAACCGAAGACCGACAGTTGGTCTTGTCTTGAAAACCGAAAAAAATTGTCTGCTACTATTTTGCGACGAAGGATTAGTAGTTCACCGAAATGAAGTGGTTATTACTGTGTAACTACCTTAATTCCCTTCTTTTTATAAAACGGGAGCAATATTTCATTTGAAAGTACTATAACTGATTTATTTTTGATTAAATAAAGGCTAGCTGAAACTTAACTTAGCACACTGACTACATTAAAACCCTCTGCACGCACCAAGCCGTTCTTTTTATGGAAATGCACTAAACCGTAACTTGTCTGCTTTTTCTGAGCATGACACAAGCTTAAATTGGGTTCAAAATGTAAAAAAAAATTAAAATTATTTAGCCCTGGTCGCAAAACCGGGTGCTTTTTGACAAATCGGTGATTTCAAAGGTGGCTTGCCCAAATAATACAAATCTATAAGATTTGAAATACAAATGAAATGCTGCCTGTCGGTGGAAATGTAATATTTTTACACTTTTAAAAATGCCAGAGGAGCTATTTGACTATACGGCGGTATTTACACCATATTGAAATGTTTCATTGTTGACATTAACAAAAGTACAGTTCCGCCCACCCAAAGAATTACAAAGAAATATAAATATATTATCAATATTTTAGGACTTTATACAGTTGTGAGTTTGCGGTATATGTATCAACGTCCTAAATAAATATGACGATATACTATCACCTTGTTTTTTTTCTTTTTTGTCAATTTCATTGGCTTAACTCATCATGAAATTGAAGTATAAATGAAGCGATAAAATGCGCCTTAATCCTGTACTCGTTCCTGGTCGACCTCGTGTGTGTGAAAAGTCAACTAAGCCAAGATGAAAAAATGCATAGCAAGGTTAGAAAAGCACTAGAGACCTTTCTATCCCTTTCCATCACAACCCGGCACGCATGTTTACTCAGTTCTAAGCCTTGTCAAGCCGCAATAGCTATCAATTTCCCTTATCGTTGTCCATTGGCCGATAGGGCCAGGACTGCACGAGTGGTAAATATCTCAACACAAGGTACTCTCACCTGTCTCACCTACAGCCTCTTTCACGACAGCTTAATCAAAGCATTAAACATATATAAGATAAACTTTAATATAGCCCAATTTTACATACCACATCTATTGTATATTTGACATTTGTCAGATAATCTGTTCGGATAGCGTTCATTATTGTACAACAAGTGCCAGTAATTTCTCTCAAATGTAATGATTTCACCGTTAATATGAAACTGTACACCTTTCCCAAACAGCGTTGTCCCTCCGCTAGTATAAAGACACATCAGTATCACCCATTGACAATGCTAAATATGAAACGTCCTACATAATTCAATGTATTTTCAATGACAAATAATACTGGTTGTGTAATTGTCTGTGACAGGTTTTACAATTCAGCCAACAGGTGGTCGTTTTTTCCTGACTGTTAGACCAAAACTTTCTGTTTACTTGTACTTCATAACAGGATGAATTATTGGCGGTCCACACTAAAAAGGGCAACTATTCGATAAAAAAACACTGACCACTTCTTACTTTCCTCATTTAATATATGCAACATTTAATTAAGGTCGGTCTTACGTTATTTTGTGAAATTGGTATCTGGTCTCTATGGGCAGTGAAGCGTTACTTGAATAGACGATAGTTTCTAATGGTTATGGTGGCCACCAGTTGGTGGCAGTTCACTACACCTAATTTGAGTTGAAAAGTCCATCGAAAGGTAACTTCCCTCTTGTTATCGGACACGTATCGATTTTCGTTGTTTGTATTTTTGTTTGTTTGTGCAGGCCTTTCTGTCTGAGTGTGTGTGTGTGTGTGTGTGTGTGTGTGTGTGTGTACTGGTTAAGCTGCCTGTATCGGTTTGTATTTTTTTTTCTGTTTAGTTAATTTGCGTGAGTGAAATCGTGTGTGTGGCCTTGTGTCTGTTACGAAGCTTACGCTAACAGACGGAAAATAAAACAAATTTAAATAAAGAACGGAGTGATGGAGGAAATCAAATAACCCATACCTGTCAACTTTAACAAATGCCACACACACACACACACACACACACTCTCACACACATTCACACAATGCTTTTGAAAGTAAGTCCTCGTCCTTTTTTAGAAGAGTGTTAGCAGTTTGCTATAATCAAATACTAGTACTTTGATAACACAAAATAATAATATGGAAAAAAATCAAATCGACAAGCAAGTAATTTATTACATTACAGTTCGAGGATTTCAATGTTTCATGAATTCCATCAGCTGATTTACAACCTAAGCATAGTAACAGCCTGTTTTTATCAATAATTAAAACAAGTCAATTTTTACACTCCGATATTTCAGTGTCTGTCGTGTCGCTTTCATCGGGGTATCAGCTTCAAAAAAAACCATTAGGAACGCTGGGGTTTCAGTTTATTGCAGTTAAGAACCAACAATGCAACGCGAATCTTTTGTGTCGATGTTCATGCAGCAACCAAAACTTGCCCAAAAACGAAAACAATGGAAAGTAATATGGATAAGCTGGCACGTCCATGTAGCCAGGGATTCTGAAGAAGATCCGCTTTCTCAGCTGGAAAGAGAGAAAAATCTGATTATCAATCAGGAGATTTTTAGTCTGAATCGGGGGATCGGAAGTTATGTCCCCAAATCGGGAGACTCCCGACGAGATCGGGAGTGCTGAGCTGACAGGCCTGATAACCAGACTTACTAGCAGACAAACACTTAATAAGTAGTTAGAAAATTTAAGTACATTAAGTAGGTTGCTTCATAAGGTACCTTAATGCTATAAAACATACTGAGGATGTCCCTGTGGCAGAACCGGTCTACATCTTGTGCAAGAGGCTACACCGCAGGAAACAAATTATGCCAATGACTTAATAAATTGCGTGTAACTATTGACGGATAGTTACATGTCGAGTGTTTCATAGAGTGCTTTCGAATAAAGCTGATAAAGTCAAGCGCTGCGATGAAGTGGAGCATGTTTGCGGTTAATGACTTAGCTCAACATGCAGTCAATCCTTCGTTCTCGCGCATTAGTAGGGGATCTGACTTACGCGAAATTAGTCCAAAAAGGGATTCATTAATCAGTATATCACGTTCGATTTTAAAGAATGAGATAACATCTACAAAGAAGGAATTCGTCGTTAAGACCCATATAAACTGATTAGGCATAGGTCTACTTGTTCGTGTGGGACTAGCACCTTAAATGATCCGTGTCTGTTGGTTATGTGATACTTGTACCTGACTTAACGTATACTTTATGCATGCGTTTTAATTAAGACCCTATTAAAAATATATATAAAGTACAAAGCTTGCGCTATCAGGGGGGGGGAGTACATTTACAAGATGAGTGTCGCGTCTGTTGATTTGTTTTGGCCTCACATTCAGTCCATGTAAATATTGGGTGTTTTGGAAAACTTTCTCATTAAAGTTCCGCCTTCCTATGCCGTTCAGGCATTTTTGATGAATGAGTGAAAAAAAATAACATTCTGGTCTTAAAATGCGTGTTCTGCCTTCACAAGTAAGTGCTCTACGTGTCCTTTTATTGAGGCCCTGGCAAGTCTTTGCTAACTTGGAGCGGAAAGATAGAAAAATATAAACAGGCTGAAATATTAAAGAGCCATTGGCCCTTATTCAGTACAACATAGAGCGCACCAAGAATAAGAACAAAAAATAGAGAATAAGATAGCATACATATGAAGTGCGATATGCCCACGAGGTCCTTTGGGGAAAGCGGCTTACTTATATTCACTGAGTATACATTTTGTTTTCATTCACGTATAAAGGCCACATCAGTCCTTCGAGAATGTGGTCTTATTATCGCAGAAAAACAGCCGTGATCTTAACTTATGATTGTTTCAGATTAGTATTGAAAGCCACAGATAACAAAAACCCGGCTGTTCACTTCAGAAACTAATTGGTTGACCTCAAGGTACTGTATTACGCAATAAAAAAGAAAAATAAACAAAGAATACTGTCACCCTTTTTTTGTCAATTTCATTGGCTTAACTCATCATGAAATGGAAGGATAAATGAAGCGATAAAATGCGCCTAAATCCTGTACTCGTTCCTGGTCGACCTAGGCGAATAATGCCGGCAGTAGATGGGCAAGTTCGTTTTCGCAGTGCAAAAATAACGAGAGGCAACTTGGTCTTTTTTTTTTTTTTGGGGGGGGGGGGCATATGTATATCCATTTTGTACAATTCTAGTTTCAGAATGCATGCAGGTATATCTCCTTCAGCCTGTTTTGTATTCCAGTACCTTTTTGCACAAAGTGTGTGGTATTGACTGTTGGCACAATGGCGAGATCACTAATGGAGAACCATAGCATTATTGACAGGTATCACTAAACCCTTTTCCGTTTATCAATTGCCAATATACGAAGTTCCAAATAGATCGGATTTCTTAATTCCTGCGTGTAGACTAGAGATGTCGAGTAGTGGGTTCTCACCCTGGAAACGTTAACATTTTGACTGCTTTTATCAAATCAGGATATGGGACAGGAAATTCATGGACAGCCAAGAGCCATCATTGTAACAAACCTTGTCCCTCTCAAAAATATCAATGTGACAACTACAATGTGACATGGTTCTGCACTCCCAAAAGTCTTTCTCCAATCCTTCTTTTATGTTACCCGGTATGCAAATTGAGGGAGGTCCCAACTCCACCGTGCCTGGATAAGAAATCAAGTGTAGCTTGAGAGTAAATTAAGAGATAAGAAAAAACTTATACATTCACATTGACATTGAAAAGTATATCTCGACCTACCATCTTATCAAACCGAACACACTCTAGGTTACTTTATCTCACGTTAGTAACACAGTCTCGTTTTCTTTTCAAGGTCTGTTTAGGCGGTGAAATGAGGAAGATAAGGAATGCATTTAAACGCTCATTTATATTGGCGCCGTGCATGTATAATATGGTACAAGTCTGCAAGAGCATAACCGTGCAATTGCATATTTACCTCGCGTTTCTGTGCGAAAAACCTAACTTGTGAAAAATTTTGTCTGTAGGTGCAAGTGAAATTCTCTACATTTTTTGCTGTTATTGCACAATCGTATCTACAAAAATGAATGCTGTAACATGTATTATCTCCTAATACCCTTAGGCTAATTAGAAATACGTGTGACTTCATCACTGCCTCACGGATGATGTTTGATAGTTTTAAGCACAAAGAGACTTTTGATAAAAAAAATCATATAAGAGTCACAACAACATTAACAAACAAACAATGCATGTTATTGATGTTGCAGTCGAAATGCTAAACTTTTGCCTCGATTTTACTTTTGTTTTTCAGATGTCCTTTCATATTCTGTCGCATTTTTCTGCTAATATCTACAATAGAATTATTGATTTTTTTTCATCATTTTGCCCAATAACCATTTGCAATGGTATACTCAGCTTGTATATGTATGTCTGAAAAGGGCTGGAGGACTGAGTGCAGATCTCACCCTATTGCATACTAAGTGTGGTTCACAAATCCCAATTGTTCTCGAACACTTTGACTCATTTCAGAGTGATATCTGAAAAGCTCTCACTTTATTTGCTGCTTTCGGCAGATTTGCCGCAATTAAATGAAGTCCTCTGTACTTGATGGGATGCCAAGTGCGCTTTGTGTCGCCTTAACGGCGGGCAAAATGTGGGAAACGCGCAATATGGAATTGTTATTGGAATTGGTGATGTTCCCGAGAAAAGGGGTGACCGAGTTAATGCAAGGGTAGATGTGTAATTAAGACATGATCCAAATAATCGCCCGTTTCCTAAACTAAATAACAGCGATGTTAATTACCTGCTTTGGTTATTAATTGATCCCGTAATACGGTAAACGTGTTATTGACAATACGTCTTTCTGCATCATTGATTTCATTTCTACATCATTGATTTCTATATGCTTTTGTGGTTAGATACACTGTGCTGTCTCTAAACAGCAATTAAATTTATTATTTCTCGGAAGGATGGTCCGCAGGCGTAATTCAATGGTGTTTGTCCTGCTCTTGTACGAGAGAAAATTTACACTAGAAAACGGCGTTAGAAAAACACTTAAAACCTGGACATTGAACAAAAGACAGCTTGTGTTTCACAAGAAATTAACGATTATAACCTACAGGGAACGGGCTAGATATACTTTGTATGCGTCATTGTAGACCACAGTCCAAGATTTTTTTTTACTCTGCAGTATTTTTGTCAGGTTCCAGGACCGACAAAGCTTTTCACTCGCACGTGTCCAAAGATGCCTTCATATATAGAGGTACGATTACTACAGTAATTCATATCAAAGCAGATACTTACTCTGGTGGCAGTATGAAATTTTTTAGCTTACATGCTTTTATTATTATTATTATTATTATTATTATTATTATTATTATTGAAAATACAGATGCTATAAGATTGTGTATTATAGATTAGATACTATTGATGTTTCTTCAGCCAAAGCCCAAAAGTTACCTTTTAGGATTTTCCAAAGACAAAAGTTCAAAACCACCACAATGGCAATTTATAAATAAAAATGACGTCTCAGCTCTCAGTCGTCAAAGAAACATGATTTAAATACAGTGAGATAAAAACACAATTGGGACCGTTTCATATTGGTAAACTCAACCCGCTCAACCAGCGTGCCGTATCATATCTATCAGCCCACACAACATCCTGATATATAATTCACGTATTTGGTATTTTTTGGTCATTGCAACCAATAAGTAAGAAATTATTCAAACATGGTTCAAAATTGCCACCTGCATATAATATTTTAATATTTAAAGATAAAATGTGATGTAATATTATTTTTTATATTATCTGAGAACAAATCTCAAATACATGTATCATCAATAAGTTCTTGTCTACCAGACACAATTATATAACATCTGTATTTTCAAAACGAGGCTCAGTGACTTGCCGCGGCGTTTAGCCGGAAATCGAGTGGTTTCGCGATCGCAGTTCGAAACATGCAAACTCATTAGTCGACTGGCTTATTTCATCAAATAACATGCAGGTTATTTTGATGTAAATATTGCTATCTTTATGTTACAGTTATATATTATTACTTAATTACTAACCGTTAACCTTTTTATATATTATATGTTATATCTAATCATAAATGACTAACAAATGGTACTCCCATAAAATGTTTTAGCAATCAGGCGTAAGGGTAGGCCTATATATAATATGCTTATTGAGCTATAAGGCCCTTTTTACGTCTTTTACCAGTCCGAGAGGATTAAAAACTGAATTAATAAGCCTGCCTTTTATACATGAAAAACACCTAAACAGGGCCTCCGCACTCTCCACTGATTGTGATTCGGATTGAATTTAATGGGGCTTGCAAAAGGTAGTAACACACCCACCCACCTATCCACACACACAAACACACACACACAACTCTGTAGTGTAATGACATCTTAGGTGTGGGCAGAATACTGAACCGATCGATGTGAAAAGGGCTTTTGCTTCTGATATGTTATTATGTAAACTTGAACGCCACGCGTTTACATTAAAATCTTAAAGAAAAGCACGCTTTAATTAGTAGAGTTAACTGAAGTGTTTAACTTAATATCTCCTTTATCACATTTACACAGTACCGCTTTTTTGTTTGTTTATTGAGATAAAATATCTTTGCAAAATATTGTTAACAGCTGAGTAGCAAATGCTTTATTCTTGGATTCCATTTTAATATGTATATGCTTTAGTACTGTGCGCCACAAGGATGTCACTTAAACTATTCAGTCGATACTATGTGGGGCAAAATTTCACTTAATGGATACCGTATTTTTTAGATCATGATTTCTATGATTCATGTATTCTATGAATTTTATGTGTTTAAATTTTGAATCTTTATTTTGTCCATCCAGTATAGCCCACGTATGCAATTCTTATTAAAACCTTCCCTCTTAAAGGCGCCTACGCCCTGGGGAGCATAGACCCGAGCCTCTACAAAGCCATCGACGAAGAGGACAACACTCTTTACCCTGAAGATCACAGGGGTCGTATATGGTTTGCTGTGGAATATGAGAGGGAATCAGAGAAACTTCGCGTTACCCTCATGAAGGCAAGGAACCTGCCCAGCAGAGTGTCCGGAAACAACAATGGCTGTGACCCGTTTGTAAGGTAGGTGCTGCGTTGTTCATCTCAAGGTTTTGGCCGCCTTTCTGCTATATGCATTTGTCTGGCGTTTGTACTGGATTATTGTACTAGATTAGTGACAACAAGGAAATGAATCATTACAAGTATATGTAGCTTGCTATGTATGGCTATTTGTATTCCATCCTAAAATTTCTCGTGGATTTTGGAACCATTATAATGTGCCAACTTTTAAGTTAAAATTTTTAATTTCCTCGATCCTTTTGATTTCGCTTCTTTGAATGCATACTGTATGCTCACCTTACTCAGTAGGATGCATAAGTAAGAGGAAACTAGAGACTCAGTAAGTTTATAAGTTTTAAGTTTTTTTTTCTTCAGAATATACCTTATGCCAGACGAGCGCCGATATATGCAATCAAAATCAAAAAGGAAGACATGCAACCCAAACTTTGAAGAAAGTTACGTGTTTCAGGTAATTCGTCTTCAGTGTCAGAAGTAGTTATTATTGTAGGCCTACATATGAGGTATGTATGTGGCTGTGCATGAGAAAAGATTTATTTTATTAAAAACCCAGACTATAGTTTAAGCCGAAGTGTGGGGTGGTCGGCTCATACCTTTGATTAAATCCACTTGTAAGGAGGTAACGAATTATGTTGACGTGAGGAGAGAGAGAGTAAATCATTTCTACCTTCCAACTCTCAAAAGGTTATGTCGGCTAAGCACTATTTACAATCTCTTCCTAATTACATTTTCTTATTAAATGCGTTGTTCCGACTTTGCCTTTTGAATCTGTGGAAGATAAAAATGATTCAGTGTCCCTCTGCTGGAGGCGAGTCTTTTTAATTTGCACAGAATTTAAATAATGATTTTTATCCAGGTTTCGTATAAAACGATCCAAGATCGCACTCTCAAGCTAACAGTGTTTGATGTCGATCGCAGCAAGCGACACAGGTCCGTCGGGCACGCCCTCTATCCTCTCAAAGAGCACGACTGCGAGAGTAACGAACAAGTCGTAATTTGGCGAGATTTGGAGCGGGAGGTCACAGGCGTGAGTTGAATCAGCTCTTGAGTTTAGTTTCATTGATTCGCTATTATGATATTAAATATGAAAGGGTGATTGGTTTGATATTTCTAATACGTAGGCCCTACTGGCAAGTGTCTTGGGTGAAAGGCTTACAATGTCACAACCTATTCGGTAAAATCTTGCTTAATATAATGCTGCACATATGTTCAATGAAGTATATCACTTTATATACAAACAAATTGCATTTAACTTGTATAAACGTTACATATGACTAAATCGTTTGTCACATTAAGGTAAAATGTAGTATATATATTTTATAGCAGTACATTATCCAAAAATATGCAAAACATTCTTCCAGAAAAGAGCGCGTTTGCAACGCGATTGATAGTGAGATTACGGGGAAAACATAAATGTACGCAGGCCAAAAATATCAATGGGCTGTCTGGGTTTCCTCCTCCTTTGTCTAGAATCAAAAAATGATGCAGTTATAAATTCGCCTCAGTGCAAATTCAGACATTAATTTATCTTTCTGGTTTGAAAGTCGGTAATGCCCGGATGCATTCATTCTATGATTCACTGTTATTTGTGAAAATGCGGAAACACGGACGAAAACTTGTAGCAATACAAAAGTATCAGAGAAGAAATAACAAATATGTTTGAACACATTTTAATTCCTTAATTGGTCTTCATCTGATCTCTTTCTAAGCGTTGTACAGATGTAATTCTTGCGACTTGACAATGACGATATCAAAACGGACTATACATCAACTGACGTGTGCCCTGCAGAGGAATCAACAAACATGTAGACATACTTCGAACTTTTTGTCAATCACAAACGTGAATCTGATCTATGAATTGAATTGTGAACACTTTATCGCTCCTGGTAAGAATTTTAAAGAGAAAATAGGTCCCTTAATATCACTGAATATTGAATATCATCTGGCGAATTACACATCCACTTCATGCTCTGGTTTGTAGTGTTACGCTAATTGTCGTTTACAAGCGCTTCCAGATGCCGTACATGTACTTGCATGTGGCGAATGTTTTCATGCATCTGTATATACCCATTTTATCTTAAGATATTCATGTTTCGAAGGTCATGTCAAATAACATTACGTCTTTGGGTTGATTAACTATACAGAACGAATCATAATTAGCGAAACCACTAAATAGCGGCTCGAGAGAGATTTTCCTAGATACAAACCCCAATGAGGCCGAATGAAGTGTGCCGTTGTTTATTGGCATAACTGTGCACTACACCTTTTCTGATGGGAATGATGTATTGCTGGTAATTAAAAGCAGGGTAACGTATATTGATGACGTAGCAGGTGCTTGGTTCCTATGATTTATTCCATCTTCTTGCACAGTCTTGTTGCTGGTTATCCACAATTTCATACTTCCTTGGGCCTCTGTGGTGCTCTCGGGTCGTAATAAAGGGTACTTCTGAAAGTAAAGATCGGTAAATGTATTGATCATTTCATAGTTTTATCTGTACAAAATACACAAGACACATAATGATAAATAAGCAAATGAACATTACCATCCATAAAAAACTGAATAGATCAATTTCCTATAATTAAAGTGCAATATAGTGCGCAATTTTTTTTTTTGGGGGGGGGGGGGTGAGAATGATAAAAATATAACGTGCGCTATACTTAATTAGCCTAATACCATCCAATCACAGTTGTAATTACTAAATTTTGAGAGACAAAATCTGAAGTCTGGGCCTGACGGAATACGGATGGCAATTTTTTCAAGATAAGCTTAGAAACAAAAGAAAGTAACACCATATATACTGTATATGTACTGTTTGCGGGTATATGGTTTTGCAAGTCTGTCCAATTTCTGCCCTTTTCCATAAAACAGAATACAGCGTGGTATCGGGTAGATATTTTCTTATAACATGAACGCAAAAGTGAGCTTTAATTACAAATTCCCCACTAACTCAATATTCACTGACTGAAGACTTATTTTGACAAACCAGAAGGAAACTAAAGAGTCTTTGAATACATGTTATCATTTATCATCAATTTGATTAGAAAGGCAGTCTGATTGCTAGCTTTGTAAGGTTGCTGAGTTCATCAGGCTTGGGGGATGCTATGCTACATTTCTCCAGCGATTCTCTGCATATGGTCTCTGTTACTGAAAAAGATATACACAACATGCAATAGCGGATCAGGGAGGGGGACACAGAAGGCAGCCCCTCGTGACTTTGCCGGGCTTTGGTGGTACTGTACACCCCTTGTACCCACATCCCTCTCCTAAAATCAGTGTAACTAGCAAAAGAGACTATATCATGTAATTCTTTCTTCCCTGAATATATTACAGAAAAATTATGCTGGATATATCTTAGACATTTCTCTTAAATTCTGCCTTTTGTGCCCCTCCTCCCTCCCCCCCCCCCCCTCTGACAGGTAGCTACTGTATTATCGATAAAATCATCCCTGTAGTTTTATGTAATTTAGGTAAAAGGGGTTAGGAATCTGATTACGTGATGCAAATGGCTTCTAGTGATTAAAAAAGGCAGTGTGAAAGTATTCGTGAAAACAGTTTTTCAGTAAATTTTCCGCGAATCGGTAATTATGACCTTTTTCTTAATTGAGCTGACAAGTTTTATTGGCTTCAGCACGGCAGTGCGTTAGTCCCGTTAATTCAGCTCATCAGGTGGGTTTCTGCAGCCAGCAAGGTGCTTCACAGGTGTTCCGTGTAATAAATTGGTCATTTGCCTGAGCTGTGTTCGTGCAATAAGTGAAAGAAGACCCTGATGCTCTTCGCATACGCGACCAACTTATATATTAATTAAGATAACGAATGAAGGTCTGGGCGAATGTTCTAATGAACATTACTTTTGATTGGCAGAAAGGGAGTGATATAGTGCAAAATTGTTTCTTGGTAATATCAGATATATCAGCAAATACTGGCCGCTATTTGTTGTATTTTTTTCTGCAGATATTTGGGAAGAATGGGATAATCATATAATACAGTGTAATTGGCAGTACGCTTTGGAAAGTAAATACAAAACAGGTGCGGATGCAGGATTTTTCGAAGGGGGGGTCCGATTTTTTACGGATTGACAGGCCTCGGAGTGCGAGGCCGACCCTCACCCCCTTGGCATTAGGTTCGGGGCTCGTCGATGGTCCTGAAAAAAATTTGTGTTTTTTAGGGCAATTGGCTCCATTTGGTACGGCTTAGACCTATGATTCAGTTAGACATTTGCAATTTTTTCGTCAGAAATCGAAGGGGGGAGGGTCACGCCCCCCCTTACACCCCCCTAAATCCGCCACCGCAAAAGAAAAGATGGGCCCACGTAGTAGACAGGAAATAACGGATATATTACTAGACTGAAATGTTGCCATATGAGAACTCATTACGCCCTTAACGGATTATATATGCATTTGCAAGGTGATTAACCCATGTAAAGTAATTTTGCTATACATGCATACTCGTGCCTACCTCACAGTAGGTTCAAACATACTCCTGGGTCTTCTTGGCTTCTGTTGTTTAAGTAGATCTTCTTGCTGCTGTTGCTGCTGGTCTGTTGAAGTAGTGGGGTTCTTAGAAGTAGTGGGGTTCTTCTTCGGTTCATAAAAGGTGGCTTTAACGTCGCAGACTACGACCTGCTTCCCCTGTTTGTCGGCGCGAGCCAAGTGTTGGCAGGTCACGTCAAACACCGCCGTCACTTGATTCGGCGACTTCGCCATGTAATAATCGTAGCGAACTCGCGGGGAGGTTAGACATGCACGAGGTTAGTAATTATAAATAGAGACTCGTATCTTCCAACCTGGCATAATGCATTGGAAAGCTCCCTTGCTCTCACTATTCACAGATCTGCAGGAGTAGTACAGGAGAAAAATGTATACGGAACTAGTAGAAAACCAGCGATTGGTTCTGGGAAGGGGAATATTTTGGTCGCTGTCAAAAAATATAATAAAATAAAATAAGTTGAAAAAATTATAATAACAACGATAATGATGACGATGACCCGCGTGACTTTTTTCACTCAAAATTGCAACCTATATGTGACCTATGATATTGGAGGGAAATACGAAATTCATTTTAATAGGGATCAATGGGTAATTAAGGGATAACAGGAGGACACTCGCCGTCTCTTACCTAGAGTTTCAAAAATGCTCCTTTATGCAAATACGGCCTGTGGGCAGAGATATCAATCAAGCCGTCTATTTCCAGGATTCCTCCTAAGGGCTCATTCCCAATGAACCCATTGTTCTATGTAGATCGATCCAACAATGCGGTCACCGCATCTGTTTATCTGATTGCATTCAGCGAGAGTCCCTGCGGAGTTGGATCGATATACATAAAATGATAGTGTCACTTGAAATGAGCCCTAAGACGTCCTATGTTTCCCTGGCCTCAACTAGGCCTTTGTCGTAAGGCCTTTTTCCGAGAGATATGTTGGAGACAGGGCTGAAACATATTGTCAGATATAGCCTCGTTCTACTCGTCGTTTTGTTGTTTGGGAGAAAGAAGATGGAGGTGGCTTTACCTCAAAAGCTAAGGGAGAGGGACCTGCCCGTTCTTTTCTCTCCTCGGATACGCCATCGCTTTAGTGCAAATAAAACGTACAGGTATTTTAACGTTCTGACAATCTAATTTTGAAAGCATCTTTCGACATGACAGGAAACCATATGATACTGATATTGCATTCCATGTAGGAGTGTTTTTTACGGACGCATACACTCAGTGTAAAATTAAGTCGTTCAATACTAGCAAAATCTGTCAGTTTACATCTATGGTGGTTACAAACTACATTCGCAACTGTACAGTTTATGTAGACACAGTCATTCCGTTCCAAAACAAAATAGGCTTATTTAGCGAATAAAATTTAAAGCAATACACCAGGTTGGCCATTGGAGGACAAAAAGAAAATCGTAGCATAACGGGCTTCTGATCCTTGCTTAACGTACCATTTCAATACACCCAACTGTCTCTATGGTAAATTAACTCTTCAGATAAACATCCCTCTGGAGACCACATTGACCTAAAGAACAATTTGTAGTGAGCACGACGTATATGAAATAAAGTACATGGCGATTCGTAGACCCCGTTCCCATAAAATCATCGGTCTTTGTAGATCTACTCAATTCGTGAAGTGCAATCAGCTTAACTGAATGGCACGCTTCCTCTCGTTTCCAACGTACTCTTATCATCACCAGCTTTCCATATTCTACTTAACGCCAGGAGGAGGTCTGTCTTTCAGTTAAGCTGATTGCAGTCAGCGAAAGTCCCAACAGTTGGGTCGATCCACGTAGACCAATGGTGTATGGGAACGGGTCAATAGATGTCTGATTTCTTGACCAGCAACAGGGTGATAAGTAAATTGAATCAAATAAAGCCAGGTGGATATAGAAGATATAGATTTTTACCCTGCACATATGTGAGAAATAAGAGGTTGGGCAGTAAAAACGGACGTTTAAGACTACATTGGAAGATTACAAATGATTTTACCATTAAAGGATCGTTCATTCAGTCCAGTGGTCATGACGCTGCTCGTGTGTGTCAGGAAAGGGTCAGTTGCGGAAAAATGCCGTTTACCCCTGTAAAATTAGTTAAGTACGAGTTTTTTGCGTGGAATACTATACTCTACACCTTTGAGGCTAATGACCCTATAGCGTGTCGAATCAACAGATTCTTATAGTGCTGAATGATTTAAAGTAATCTTAATTCACAACGCCGAAGCTTATTAAACATGCCAGTTCAATGATCTGAGCACCTTGTATGTTCTATTCTGGCAGCCATGCAATCAACTTCGCTCTAGAAAACAACTGCAGAATGGCGTGACGGCGTTGATGCAGAATTCACGCGCACTATCCGTTCAGAAACTGACGTCATATGGTCCCGAATGTGGCCAATCAAATCAAGTACACTGCCTTCAAAATGGCTAATATAACATGCAATATAACTCAAAACTAAATGTTATCCAATACTAAAAAATAATGTAAGTCCACGTATAGGAGTACGTTTNAACCCGCGTGACTTTTTTCACTCAAAATTGCAACCTATATGTGACCTATGATATTGGAGGGAAATACGAAATTCATTTTAATAGGGATCAATGGGTAATTAAGGGATAACAGGAGGACACTCGCCGTCTCTTACCTAGAGTTTCAAAAATGCTCCTTTATGCAAATACGGCCTGTGGGCAGAGATATCAATCAAGCCGTTTATTTCCAGGATTCCTCCTAAGGGCTCATTCCCAATGAACCCATTGTTCTATGTAGATCGATCCAACAATGCGGTCACCGCATCTGTTTATCTGATTGCATTCAGCGAGAGTCCCTGCGGAGTTGGATCGATATACATAAAATGATAGTGTCACTGGAAATGAGCCCTAAGACGTCCTATGTTTCCCTGGCCTCAACTAGGCCTTTGTCGTAAGAAGATCACATTTGAACTGGCGGACACAGGGTTTCGCTTGGGAGGTGGAGTGAGGGGGCACGCTGATGAGAAATTTTTCCGAGAGATATGTAGGAGACAGGGCTGAAACATATTGTCAGATATAGCCTCGTTCTACTCGTCGCTGTTGTGTGGGAGAAAGAAGATGGAGGTGGCTTTACCTCAAAAGCTAAGGGAGAGGGACCTGCCCGTTCTTTTCTCTCCTCGGATACGCCATCGCTTTAGTGCACATAAAACGTACAGGTATTTTAACGTTCTGACAATCTAATTTTGAAAGCATCTTTCGACATGACAGGAAACCATATGATACTGATATTGCATTCCATGTAGGAGTGTTTTTTACGGACGCATACACTCAGTGTAAAATTAAGTCGTTCAATACTAGCAAAATCTGTCAGATTACATCTATGGTGGTTACAAACTACATTCGCAACTGTACAGTTTATGTAGACACAGTCATTCCGTTCCAAAATAAAATAGGCTTATTTAGCGAATAAAATTTAAAGCAATACACCAGGTTGGCCATTGGAGGACAAAAAGAAAATCGTAGCATAACGGGCTTCTGATCCTTGCTTAACGTACCATTTCAATACACCCAACTGTCTCTATGGTAAATTAACTCTTCAGATAAACATCCCTCTGGAGACCACATTGACCTAAAGAACAATTTGTAGTGAGCACGACGTATATGAAATAAAGTACATGGCGATTCGTAGACCCCGTTCCCATAGACGTCATCGGTCTTTGTGGGTCTACTCAATTCGCGAAGTACAATCAGCTTAACTGAATGCCACGCTTCCTCTCGTTTCCAACGTACTCTTATCATCACCAGCTTTCCATATTCTACTTAACGCCAGGAGGAGGTCTGTCTTTCAGTTAAGCTGATTGCAGTCAGCGAAGGTCCCAACAGTTGGATCGATCCAAGTAGACCAATGGTGTGTGGGAATGGGTCAATAGATGTCTGATTTCTTGACCAGCAATAGGGTGATAAGTTAATTGAATCAAATAAAGCCAGGTGGATATAGAAGATATAGATTTTTACCCTGCACATATGTGAGAAATAAGAGGTTGGGCAGTGAAAACGGACGTTATAGACTACATTGGAAGATTACAAATGATTTTACCATTAAAGGATCGTTCATTCAGTTCAGTGGTCATGACGCTGCCCACGTGTGTCGGGAAAGGGTCAGTCGTGGAAAACTACCGTTTACCCCTGTAAAATTAGTTAAGTACGAGTTTTTTGCGTGGAATACTATACTGTACACCTATGAGGCTAATGACCCTATAGCGTGTCGAATCAACAGATTCTTATAGTGCTGAATGATTCAAAGTAATCGTAATTCACAACGCCGAAGCTTATTAAACATGCCAGTTCAATGATCTGAGCACCTTGTATGTTCTATTCTGGCAGCCATGCAATCAACTTCGCTCTAGAAAACAACTGCAGAATGGCGTGACGGCGTTGATGCAGAATTCACGCGCACTATCCGTTCAGAAACTGACGTCATATGGTCATATATTAATGGAAGTTAGAATTTCGCGCAAAGATGGTCCCGAATGTGGCCAATCAAATCAAGTACACTGCCTTCAAAATGGCTAATATAACATGCAATATAACTCAAAACTAAATGTTATCCAATACTAAAAAATAATGTAAGTCCACGTATAGGAGTACGTATCAATTGTTACCCAGCGATAAACCAAATGTCGGCACTGTGTGGGTATTACACTATATATAACACCATGTATAACGAGAACGCAGACCTCCGCCAAGGCAGCAAAGTCTCCACCCAATGCCGTTTCACCCCTAATTTTTTTATTATTATTGATTGATTATTGATCCGGATCACCACCAAAAACTAATCACTTCTAAGTTAACCCATTTCTGACCTACCCTGAAAATTCCATCGAAATTCATCCATAACTTTTCGAGTTATGTTGATGACAAACAAACAGACAGAAAGACAAACAGGGGTGAAAACATAACCTCCTTGGCAGAGGTAACAATGGGTATGGCGCCCTGTAACACACCAAATATGACAGCATTTTTCTTCTTTTCAGTCTGCAACGAATCAGGGGGAGCTCCATATAGCGTTAACGTATAACGACAATCTGGAAAGACTAACTGTTGGAATATTTGAAGGGAAGAATTTACGACTCCTTGACGGCTGTTCTTCAGTAGGTGAGTAAAGACTGGGGTACCCTGTGGTGATGATTGTTCTTGGAGGCACAACTAACACATTCGTGACTTTCAGATTAAATCTGAGTGACTTATTCCTCGGTGACTTGACTTAGCCTTAGATTTAGATGTTCGATAGTCAATAGCTGTAATTCATGTTGAATAAAATCGCCATAAAGAAAATCAACATAAAGCAAATGCACGCAGTACTATTTTTTAAGTAAAATAATTAGGTGCACATGAATTGGATGACGTAGAGAGCCTTTGCCCAGGGGCTGCTTTCCCAAAAGAAGTTTTTCTTAACCTTTTCGTCCGAAACTTATTGTTTACTTTAATTCAGAATGAACTCCGTTAGTCTGAAACATTTGCCGTTGCTTTCTTTTATAAAGCAATGCTCAACATTACATTTAAGCATACTACATGTACTAGTATAGCCTTTGGGCAGAGACGTCTAAACATTTGGTTTACAAAGTTAAGACAAACTTTCAATATGAAGTTCTTTTGTGGACCTGACCCTTGATATCATTACATTTAATAATGAATAATGGTCTCTCATTCCATTAAGATTGCTACGTCAAGGTCAGTTTGCTGCTACAGAATAAGATGGTGAAGACGAAGAAAACGGAGGTATTGAAGAGGACGGACTGCCCGGCGTTCAACGAATCTTTTTCATTCAAAGTTTCCCCGTCTCAGGAGGACACTACAAGTTTCAGCATTCACGCTATGCAACATGTCCTAGGACATAAAGGTATGGGGAACACGCGTGCACGCGCGCACGTAAGTGTATTAAGAAATATATGGAAGGGTTAACTTATGGAGTCATATTTAAACACAGGATCGGTCTGCAAAACTGAGTGTGCTCTTTTTATGTAGCGCAAGCAAAATCACGTACTCAGTCAGACTCAGTGTGCGGTGTAAAAAATGGAATTGATTTCACTATTGGACAGTCTAACTTATTATTATTGAAATTTTTTCTAAAATTTATAACTGCTATATTATTTGCAGCGTCTGGTAAAACGATAGTTGGTCTCATATTACAAAGAGAGTAATTTAATAATATATCTTGTATTTCAAACTTTTGTTTGTTCAGAATTATTCAAGACAATTGTACTATTAACACCAAGGGAGTTAGTAGGATTTACAAATACCATTTTACATTCATTAACAGATATCATTTTATATTTCAGATAAAGTGATAGGCCGGGTTGTCCTCGGACCGTACATGTTTGCGAGGGGCAAAGAGCTCGAGCACTGGAACACCATGATTGCCAACAAACGCGAACAGATCAGCATGTGGCATGTATTAACTTGACCACTGGTCAGCGGTGACTGGAGACGCTATATGTAAATACAGGACACTAGCCATGCACAGTTGGCGACTTTTTCACCTGGAACATTTAAAGGGACCGCGGCGTTCGTGCTAAACGCGTGGGTGTTGATAAAAGATCTCACTTTGTAGCCGGTGTATGTTTGTCATCTTGATATCTCTAATCCCGCAGTGTTGTTTTAGGACCTGTAAACCTGGTCCTGGCATAAGTCAAGGGCACAGTGGACATCGACGACCAGTGGTCAGTTTCACGAGATCCAGATTCAAAAGGAAGTTCACCGACATTCGGGCAAGGAAATTCCGGTGAGAAAATGTGTGTCATAGGAAGATGCTAAGTCCGGTGAAATGTTTTCGCGCCTTTTAGATAAAATTACATTTTGAGGTTTTGAAAACAATTCAAACAAACAGCATCATTTTAGTCAATTTTTTTCAGTTTGTTATTACATGACAATCCGGATTTGAGGATAATATAGTAACAGAACAATATACTTATTATGAACATTTGTGTATTTTAATGCAAAATATCCGTATAAGGACTGTTTTTAAGAAGTATGCGTACAATGTTGCAGATTTATATTCTATATACGTATATTAAAATGTGTACAGCGTGACTTGCGTGCATAATACTCTCAGTTTACGGTGACCATTATATATATAATCTTCTAGTCAGATATTCAGGCATATTAAATGGCCTGTACTTAAACGCCGGCCTGTTACTGTAACGAAAAAGAGGAACGTAATGATTATAATGCTCATATTGAGGTTCAATAGCGTTTGTCACAGTTGGAGTGATCTCCATGGGCGCCATTTTATACGACATAGAACACTACCAGTGCATTTGAGATTTTATTATCTGCGGTTGGTTTTAAAGCATATCATCAGATCGAAAGTTTGTCCAAACTTAATGACAACTTTTGACCATTTTAATATACCACAAATCACTTCAATAAAGTAACAAGTTGGTCCAAAACATTAGTCTTTTCTTTATTTTATAGACGACAAGGTCCATTTAAGAAAACTACTACTGATTTGTCTTGTATCTTTTTAGAACGTATTGAAATATCCATATATCCACAATTATCCACAGTGGATAATGGAGAAAATTAATATCATATCCCCAACACCTGGACCGTTTTCTAAATTGAAATGGTAAGTGAGAGCAGTGCTAGTAGTATACTGTGAATAGAAATACACTTTTTGTAGCCAAATGCTTACAAGCACAACGAATCTCTCTTTTTGTTCAAAATTCAACAAGACCAAGGTCTACATTATTGAAAATTGTCGTTATTAATAACGAAAAGGTAATATGATACAAAGTCACAAGAACGGGGGATAGATAGGCTATACATCTCTCATACTATGTTACTACCATAATACATAATTCCTAAAGAAGGATAATGAGTGCAACAGGCATTAATTAATTAATTATAAGATAAAATAAGTGAACAGTAAAAGCTACTAAAGCAAAAAGATGGCACAAATAAAAAATTAAGCAACAATTGCCCCATTTTATTCAAATTCGGTACTTAGGTCAAATTTGTTAAATTGCGAATGCTACATTTACGCTTTGATATTTTGCCCTCTTTTCAAGGGACAAGCACGATACGATAGCAACCTGTTTGATATTTTAATTTCATATCATTCTTTCACGCCTCCCCAGGCATCGTCCCTGCAGGGGCACAGTAATTAAATCTCGGACCAATTCAGCCGGTTTAGGGACGACGAGTGGGGAGTCGTGTGAGAGGCAGAGAGACCATTACAGGATTAAGCGGTCTTCCTTTCATGTAGGTCTGCCATATTTAGGCCGTGGGGCAACTAGCACTCGGCTCTTCTCATTCTGAATGGCCCCATGGAAAATACATTTATATTTGTATTAGATATTACTTTAACTGCAATGTTCGATTATAAGGTTTCCGCGACAGATCTACAATAATGTATAAAATTATATACATCCAGTTGGACATCGCCAAATAATTTTTAATCGGTATTTCATAACGCCTTACGTCGCGTCACTTAACCAGTAATCATTTCAAACACGCTGTAGATGTGGTACCAGCCCAAAACAACACACTTATACAGGTGATTTAGTGTTATTTTCCCTCGTCACACGTTTACCAGCCAGTAGCTAGTCTGAGTTAATTTGCTTTACAACGATAGATACAAGTTTTTCCCAGAATGGATTGTGTTTAGCCAAATGTACAGCAGTACCAGCAGAATGTATGTTTTACAAAATTGTGTTCTTTATTCTATTCATGATGACTATGCGACAACCTTATGGTAAATGTTTATTCTCCGATCCAAATTTAGATCGATTGATTGTATTGTACAGAAAAAATAAGGACACGTGTTGCATAAAAGGAAAACACACTACCATTAGAACAGAACATCAGCCAAAATTGCCTTTGTCATACTTGAAGCAATTAACGTAATGTTGCGTTTGTATTTGATCTGCACACTCATCTTATGGCGTACCGGGTGTGGAGTTGCCACTCCTGTGAGAGAATGTGCATCTCAAAGCAGCCGAGTAGAGTATCAGTATCTGAAGATGTATACCGAGGATGACGACGCCGACAATTCTGTAAGTAATTAGGCGTTCTTTCAAGAGGAATATTGTTACAAAATGATCTGAGTAAAGGTGTTTATCACGAATAGTGACCCCTTAGAAGTATTATCGATTAAAAGAAAATAAATGATATCAAACCTCAAGCTACTCTTCATGCCGTGGATCACCAGATTGTTTTTAACTGCCATTTAAAGAGAGACCCAACCAAATGGCGGCAAGGTGGGGGTAGACAGATTTTAATGAAAATTGATGTGAAGACGTGCCCTAAGGAGCTATGAACTTATGTGAAGTAAAATGGAAATATGTCCATTCTTGGCAAAATATGGGGTGTACAACTTTTCCACTGGCTTCGCCCCGAGATGACCAGTTTCAATTCTTTTAAATATGTTCCTTATACTTGAGAATGATTTTCAAAGGAAATAAAATATTTGATATTCATATCCAGGTTCCATCGGATAGTTTAAATAACATACCAGGATAGTTTAATTACATTAGTTCGTATTTAAAATTTGTAGGTGAGCATACCTCCCGAGCGATATTCTGAAATGTGGATCCGAAAATTGACCTCTTTTTTCGTACGTTTCGACAAAGACTTTGACATGGAAGTCACCAAGCAAGAGTACGTTGATGCTGTTGTCGACAGAATATGTCAGTACATGGACAGGGAAATGGCAGGCATATTGGCACCCATGTGGACTTATACATGGCAGCGCTTTTGGTATAATGGAGGCCCAAGAGGTCGTAAAACCGTCGATGAGATGATAAAGGACCATCGATATGCTCTTAGCAGTCGTCTTTACGTTCACAGTGCGGCAACATGGCTTCGCATAGCTTTTGACACAGTTCTTGCTCGCGGGAAAGAGGTGATCTCCTTGGACGAGTACAGTTTGTTTCTGAAATGCTTCGATGTTCACCCGTTGTCGGCCAAATTTGCCTTTCACTCCCTTGACACAAACCACGACAATTTGCTCAGTAAGGAGGAGTTTATCAATGGTGGAAGGTTGTTTTTCACTGCGTCTAATTCTACAGTGGGTGATCATTTCTGGGGCCCAATGTTGGCTTAGGCAACCACTCTCACTGCAGCAGCCGGTACGAAATCTTGAGAATCCATTTCCTGTTTATTTGGGGCTGAAAGCATTTCGATTTCTTTCATGTTCTATTCAGAACTTGGACAGAACCAGGGTTGGGAATACGGTACACCTTTTATTATTCTTATTCCTCGACTCGCCGCTGTGACATAGATCTGCATCCTATCGATTGCCGATATTACGGAAAATATAGTCATCGTCGACTTCTCACGGACACATCACAGCTACTACTATTACTATAATCATTGACTTAGTTTATTTACGAACTTGTTTTGGCAATCCTCTTCTGAGTGGTTAAAACTTGCTGTAAAGAAATGATACTTACACTGATAGTAATATGTGCTGCGATATTATTTTGATCTTTCACTCAGAGATGTTTTGAAAATAAGAATTTTGGGGAAGTGTTATAAGAAGTACACTCACCAAATGAAACACACGTTCACTGTTTCCATATTATACAAAGTTTATCATCACTGCACAGTTAAAACTATAACACGTCACCACGCTCCGCTGTCACCGTGATTGGTTAGAAAACGACTGTCGTAAAATCGCTATGTGATTTGATATCCGGCTGCGTAAACCTAAAAAAAACCCATAAAACCACCTTATGCTGCCATACTAGTCTACCACAACGCAAAAAATAATGATCATCGGCGAAAGTATTCGCAACGAATGTCGCAATAAATAAATATTTATTTATTGTCCCTGTGGGGATATATGGAGCCCCAAATTTACCGAAAATTGAAAGCACCTGCATTAATTTAAACTTATCAATAATCCTGTCATGAACCTAAATCATAAAGATAAGGGATGCATAATCGTTTTACTATTTATGAATATTCTTTAAAACATGTTATGTCACGGTTTTGTTTATCTGTATTAGCAACAATTTATTTTTCTTTCAAAGATTCTGTGATTGTCCCGTAAGCAACCCTTCTGTCAATTGTTTTCATTTGTTCTCTGGCATCTGTTTTTGTGCATCTTTTTTGTGCACGATCAAATCCATTTTTAAGCGCGCATTGCGGTAATAGCCATGTTTCTTGGGGACAAGAAATCATCAAAGATGGGTAGAATGGTAGTTTCAAATCCATGCTCTGCTAGGTAAAACCCTCTGTCAATCAATATCAAACTCTCCAGTACTGGCTGTAGTAGGACCTGAAGACACTGGAAAATGAAAGAGAAAGAAGCACATTATTTTTCCTTTTTTTCTGATAAATGCTACAAAATAATTAAAAAAGTATTTCCTTTCTGCATCCTTTTACAGTTTTCAGTGTATCAGTATATTTAAAAAGATAACAATGGATATAGATAATTCTGAGGAAATTTTTTTCGTCTTCATCCTTCTTTTCTTCCAATTGCTACTCTTTATTATTTAAAGAAAAATCTGAATAAATTTTAAAGTTAAAACAAAAGTATTTAAAAAAGTTTAAATAGAGGTTAGTGGCATTATTAAATCTTTGGTTATTTTCATTTTTGTATCCAATGGCAAGTAATATAATATAATATAAATTTGTAAATGGCAAATAAACCAACTTACTGTAATAGGTTCTATCAATTTCATGTGATTCTCATGACTTTTGTAAAGTTCCTTCAGAGACCTGACACAACTTTCTGCACAAAATTCCTCACCTAAGTTGAAAATTAAAACAAAAGATAACCATTTTAGAAGTCATTTTTAGGACAGAAAGTCAATGTAACTGAAAAATATACGGTTCACGTCTTTGATTTTCTAGAAAAGATTTTGTGAATATGATAGCAATAAAATAAACAGTGATTAAGTTACATATTTGATGCTTCAGATTGTTTTAAATTATGGTTTTACCTGAACCAAAATAAAAAAGCTCTAATCATCAGAATACCTTCAAAGCAACATCTGTCCAATACAGCTTGAATATAAACATCAAAAGACTCAAAATGCTTCTTTCTTGCAATTCTTCTTTTGAGCTTTTTCGCATCATTTGGTCCTGGAAAAAAACAACGCAGGGCTTCATCATAAAAAATACCTATGTATGTCTTCAGTGATCCATATTATGTATAACTAGAGCAATCTATTCATTACTGCGTAGAAACAAGCATCCTATGGGTTGGTATTAAGCAACTGTCTGAAGTGACACATAAACTGTTAGCCAAAACAATAAAAGTAGATCTCTATTTTAATTTTTCTCCAAAAAAAAAAATAAATAAAAAAATAAACTTCATAGAATGGCTTTGTAAAGTATGACTGGGTAAGGTACCTTGGTCTACATATTCCTCTAGTATAGCACGATATGCAACATGTTTCACATGCTGTGAATGTTCAATGTGGGTTTGCGCTCTCCATCTTGCACTAGAAATATTATAACAAAGAACATGCATCATGTGTTGTTTACTAATATTGAGTGTATTATTCACTGCATTTAACATGTCTTTAGAGAATGGTCAACTGAAGATCACTTCTTATTCATTGTAACTTGCTGTATATAAATGAAGGAAGTCTAAAAACAAAAGTTGGCAAGCCATGGCTGGATGGCTGGAGCAAGAATTTTTCAGTCTATTTTCGTAAATAATGCTTTTTATTTTTTTTTGCACACAAAAATCACAAAAATGCAGCTTTAACTAGATGTTTCTTTGTAGGCTGTAATATTTTTTAATTAATTAGTAGCTGTCAAAAACCACGTAAAAAGTTTTGAATGTAAAACAAATGCACTTCTCTAGAATGGTTCATAATTTACTGACCTAGTCTCTTGTGCTGCAAGCCTGGCACCAAATTTACTCAGTTTCCAAGAGATGGAATTTTGTTCAAGGTAAGTTTGTATGGTGTGACTCATTGGAAAATTCTGGTACCCAGCTTCTGAAATGATTCAACTGCATGTAAATACATCATATGAGACTAGGACCCAAATCCTAGTAAGAGATCAATTTCTAAATCAAAATTCACAAATTTAGTAAATTGTCTTCACAAAAGGTTTGCTGTTGTGATAATGATCTTTATATTTTTTTCATTAGAAAATCAAATGAACTCATGACAGAATTATTCAAATTATTGTTCTGGTACATAACAACAAACTATGCTAATCAATGGCTAGGACATCAAGACATACCCTGATACTGCATATTGTGATAACAGCAGCTAATGCAAACCAATGCTTTTATATCCGGCAACTTTGTCATCAGTCTCAGCATTGTTGGGGTTAAGTCCCCACAGCAGTGGAGTCCTATCATACAAACTCTAGATTCAGTGGAGACTGTTTTCTTGTCACCATTTGTTGTATGACAGGATGCTGTATGGGCTGTATGACAGGATGCAGCATGGGCTGTATCACAGGATGTTGTATGGGCTGTATGACAGGATGCTGTATGGGCTGTATGACAGGATGCTGTATGGGCTGTATGACAGGATGCTGTATGGGCTGTATCACTGGATACTGTATGGGCTGTATGACAGGATGCTGTATCACTGGATACTGTATGGGCTGTATCACTGGATACTGTATGGGCTGTATCACAGGGTGCTGTATCACTGGATACTGTATGGGCTGTATCACTGGATACTGTATGGGCTGTATCACAGGGTGCTGTATAAAGTTGACTCTCGCAAGCTGATGTAATTCCGTAACTGTCAAGACATGATACATTCAGATGTCCACCATTTCTGTCCTGATCATGCTGACATTTACCACTCTTTGTTTCTAGTTTTTCATTGTCATTATTCCTTTTGTTTAAAGACGTAAAATGTCCCATATCAAACTGACCAAGATTTTTACCATGGTGACCATCTTTCAAATAAGGCCTTTCATAATGTGCTGATAATCTCTGAAGGCAGTTGTCTTTTTCTGACTGAATATCACATTCATTGTCTGTCAAACCTTTCACTGATTTATCCATAAATTCTAAATTATCTAACATTTCTTGCAACTTTCTTTCTGTTTCCTCATCATCTTGCATGTTTAAAGTCACAGCTTCAATAGCGCCAAGGGGAATATCTGAATATCAAATGTGAAAAAAAATTAATTAAGTGTTTCATACAGCAGTCTGCAATATTAAATAGTAAATACCAGTAAAAAATAAAATGGGGCCAGTTTTTAAATTTTATTATTTTGTTCATTTAATGACCAATTTTGTTTGTTTTAGGCCAGTAAATTCTTAGACCCTGGTTGATCAAAGGGGCAGTAGGCTAAAAGGCTTTTATTTGGCACAGACTGCATATTATAATATATAGGACTTGGACTATTATGAAAAATAATCATTCTGACTTCTCATTCAATAAATGTTACATACCATCATTTAAACTGAAAACTTCCTATTCCAAATCATGAAAAACTACTAACTTTGAGACGCCAGCCTTTTTTCTGCTGCATGGCTTCTACATGCCTCTGATTCTACACCAACTACTTTGAGTCCAGTCACAGAGTGGATTACTTCATCAATGTAACCCTGAAATTAAAGAATGTTAAATCTCATTTCATTTGACACAATAATACACAAACAGTGTCAGATTTCATAAATCATGAGCAATACACCAGGTCAAATAAAGATGTGCAATAAACAATAATAGATTGAATTGTTCACATATGCCAGTGGAAATAAAATAAAATCACTTCTAGTTAAAATGATATTTTGAAAACTTTATTGTTTTCAGAGACCAGAGAAACACATTTTTTGAAAACTTCATCATGCCTCTTAAAACACTTTTTTTAATGACAAATATTTTCAAATTTCTACCCTAAAGAAATTCACAATACGTAGCCTTCACTATACAACACCTGCATCACACCTTACCAGCCCAGAACCCACATCCACCACTGCACTGCACTGCATCTCCTGGCACACTCCACTCACATAGGCAGCCATATTGGATACTTCGTGTTGTTTCTTGGGCGACATTCCCTGGCACATTTGCCTGTCAATTTTTATTGGTTGAAGTCTACTGTTGCACTGTTGTCTGGGAAGTGATAACGTTACTGATTGTTGTATTAAAGATTTCAGAGACTGAGGCCAGTCCACCTACAAAAAACGCAAAAAGGGTATAAACTGTTATAATAATAGTTTACGAGCAAAAATCAAATTCAGTTGTATCTTAAAAATCATGTTCCTGGTATTGTTTATAGGACCTTGTCAACCAAGTCTGATATAGCATTCAATGATAATGACAAGATTCTTTTAACCAAATAACATGCATCAGTGACTACTGTATAATATAAACTTAAACAAACTACAATGAAGAATAACTATTGAAAGCTAATCTTTGGTATAAAAAGTTTTTTGACTTCAAAGTAACATATACCTGCAAGTAACCAGTAGGCATCTGATTAAGCTTTTCTATGCTCAAACTGAGCAATACCTCGTGCCACTGTAAAGAAATATAAGCCGTTTCAATATTTGTTTAAAAAATCCTTAAGTTTGCAGGTATGAATGAGAGTCCTGATAATTTTAAAAATGAAAATGAAGTTGCACAAACAATCTAATAAAAAATAAAGTGCCAAACTAATTAATCACGAAATTACAAATGTTCATCAAAGTCTCCTAATAACTGGGTTTAGAAAATATATTGGAATCAAAAGGCCTAAAGGGAGGGGGCACACTGCATGCATCACTTGCATTTGTGCACTAGACATTATTCTATCTTCTCTCAATCTACCAATAACAAAGCAGCGCTTCCTAAACTAATTCTTTTTCAGGGAAAACTGAATCTAGTCTTGCCTCTTTCGGAATATTTTTCCATACACTGTCTGCAAAGAACCTGGTTAGTTGAAAGTCATAAACCCATTCATAACGCTCCACGAGGGCAAAAACGTCCCTCAAATAATCGCCAATGCCCATTGCCCTATATGAAACGGGAAGTAAGTGATGCAAGTCTGCAGAGTCTTTCCTTGCAATATCATTCACTGCAGTATCCATTTCATAGTCTCCTTGCCCTGCCCAAATCGGTCAATATTTTGCCCAAACTACATGTTTACGTTTGTGTTCCATGGGCGCAGACATATTGAATCCGCGAAGCAAACCTTTTACCACGGTCTTCTCTTTAAAAATGTGAAAATTTTCAAAAAGCATTTTTATCTTTAAAACATTCGATTAAGATAAAGAAATAATATTAACTTGACTAGATTCAAATATGAGCCTGTTTGTAAAGAATCTAATCATGTAAATTAGGTAATTTAAGATAAATTGGCATGACTAATGTACTTGTAAGAACTGAGGTAAGGTCATCCTACTCTCAGCTGTGACTCTTGCAGATTCAGGTTTGTTACTGTCATATTTAAGTCCTGAATCTTGATTATTCATTTTCAAAGTGTATTCACAATTTCAGTTGATCTTTGCTATGTTCTGTTCTTAACATATACATGGATTGTATCGAATTGATCGCCGCATTATGGTAGTTTCCATTACTCGTATACCTGGTTAAATCTAGTCTAAATGTTAGTCTTGACTTCCATTTCCACCTTGGATGAAGCGTTCCAAAGCGTCATGAAAGTTCCACACTTTAATCATCGAGATAGGACAGTTGAACGACTGATAGCATGCTTAGAATTAAGAAACAAAGACCAGGCAGTGCAGTAAATTATACAGGCCAGAGATATTTCAAAGCTGGTCCTTCCATTAAATTGAGCTCTGGCTTCATTCTCAGTTTTTCACCTGATGTTAGTATCCTGCTATGTGGTTATGCCTGTTTGAAATGTATCTGCCCCATTTTATCAATATATGATTTGTATAAAATGAGCCAACATAGACCAATGCCTTTTACACGTGATATTTCTGTTTTATTTTCAGAATAAAATGGCATCAGAAGTCACCACACAGCCTTTTGAAGAATTGTCCACACTTTTACCTCAGGAGTTATCTGGCACTAAAAAGTCATGGCAGGAGCTGAGACAGGTTGTCAGGGAAGCAAGAAAGCTACAAACTCAACTGATCAACAGGGTACCCAATAACTTCACCTTCAGAACTCTCCATGATGAAAGTGGAAGTAAAACTAGGGTATATTTTCTTGGTGTTCCCGAAGGAAGCCGTGAGAATACTTTGCTATATATTGACATAGATCAGAATACAGACAGCGGTGGGGACCTAAGCTGGAAACCAATGTTAGATCAGTTTCATGCAACCCCTTATCAAGGAGGTTACTCTAAAGAGGAGCAGTTATTGAGGGAAAGAAAAAGACTGGGATCTTTTGGAATTACATCTTTTGATGTAGACTTAGACTGTGGGAAGTTTGTTTTCCCAGCTTGTAACAGTCTTTTTACATGTACAGATGATTGTTTTATGGTAGGTATTTCTTGAAATTGGCCAGCTTTTTTTATATATTCCCATGCTTACATGCCCACTTTTCAGTAGCTATTGATTGAACTTGACTGGTCTTATAACTGTGTCATATAGCCTTTAACTGCAAAATGTGAATGACTCCGAGCAAGTCTTTACATGGCCCAGTAAAAATTAAATGGACTTACAGTTGACAATCATATTGATAAGCGTGCACATATGGAGGTTTGAAAATAAGAAGCTAGAACACCTCTGACTTGAATCTCGGGGTAGAAAAGCTTTGGGTGTACAAAGATGAAAATTTATGGCCCTTTTAATCTTCTTATAGCTGTAAACATACAGTATCATGTTCCATGGGATTTACACATACATATTTGATTAATGTAAAATTGGGCTAGTCAGTAGAAAATCTTGCCATTCCATTTCTTCCAATTTACCTAAAGAGAGCAAAGTCGAAGTACAAGAGCTTGTTTTTTTTCTCTGTTCTTTTTCTTTGGATTTGAGTTGAAAAAGTGCTAGGAATGAAAAAAAATACCCATTGAAAGGTCCACACATGATGTTTATGCTCTTCCCTTGCACTAGTATCTGTCTTACCCTTGTATCTTATATCTAAAATTTTAGCTAATACATACATGCCATATGACAAAAAAATTGTTTGCGCTTTTACTCACTAAGACCTCCTGTAGGCTGGGGGTCAAACTATCATAAGAAGGAGTTCATATTGACGTAGATGCTTTTCTCATGAAAATGGGTCATACTATTATTTGTCAAACTCTCTTTGAATGGGATAGGTCTATCCCATACAATATCTGTCTAGTATAAGAAGGATTCATTTTGGCCTAAATAAGTAAGATAAGGTTTATTTCTTTTCAACAAACTGTTATTTTGGCCAAGAAAAATGATTGATTTGGCTGGATTTTTTTACCAATTTTCCCTAGTCAAAATGTCTGCTTGAGTGAGTCAGGAGGAGTTGTACATTGATTTTACATTTATGCAGTAGATAATGAAGTTAACTTCACTGTTGAAGTAAATTCGTGGTTGCAAGTACACACAAAAGCTGTTAGCTCACTCATCCAAGAGTTGTAGTATTGTACTGGGTCAAAGTCATGACTGAATTAATTTATTTCCAGACAAAACCTGTATTTCCCACAGAGTTGAAAAGTTGTTGCACTGGTGCAAGACTTGATCCTAAGATCTGTCCTAACAACTCCGAGCTCATTGCCTTCATCAACAACAACGATATCTGGGTCACACACCAAGGTAGCGGGGTGGAGAGGAGGTTGACATTTGCTCACAAAGGTGACATTTACTTATAAGTTGCAAAAAATATTCACAGGTTTACTGGTCTCCTCATTCATTTGTTTGTGGTCAAATTTTTGTTTTATGATAGAGGCCACAATTTTAAAGATTTTGGTTTCAAAAAAAAATTTTGTATATTGGTAATTAGTCTAAGGTAGACCCTGTTGATTTTCATTTATTTGTTTGTGTGTCAATATTCTACTAATAATCTTATGTACAAATATGTGTATGAAAGAATTTTGATAGCTATGCATCAGTATAAATCACTGTTCAAATCCTCAGTTTCTACATCACTCCAGGTTTGAGTACGGCTGAGGATCCCAAGAGTGCCGGGGTGCCATCATTTGTGGTACAGGAGGAGTTTGACAGGTATACAGGCTTCTGGTGGGAACCAAAACAATACTCAGGTACCTCATTAGTGAACATTCTAATACTGTAACTTGTTTTACCTTAAGATAAAAGTCAGATTTTTTTTTCAGCTCGGTAGCATTATGGTTATATACAAATAAAATGATATATTATATTGGATATTAAGCTAAAATTTGTTGTGCTTGAGAGAGCCCAATTAAGGAAAGGAAAAAGTGAATAATTTATTTAAAAAATTTGATACATATTACATTTTAGATTTATTTTGTCTAAAATATTGAACACTTTTGTTATTGTGTAATAGGATCAAATCTGAGAGTTGTGAGTGCTGCGTTCAGCAATATCTCTCTGCAATAGCTTTCTGAATAAAAAAATGGTTTGTTCAGATTGATGATAAATCATTGAGTCACATACTGCTGTTTCTGTTTTCAGAGTCTACCAACACATATAGAATTTTATATGAGGAGGTAGACGAGTCGGAGGTGGAAATTCTGCACATTGTGTCAAATGATGAAAAGGGGGTGGATGATTACCGGTATCCTAAAGCAGGCAAGGGTTTGATGATGTTTTTATATTGATATGATTTATATGCAGAAATAGGTTTAGGTTATTAGAAATGGTAAAGATATATGCATTAAAATTTATGTAAAAGAATTTCTCTTCTGTAAAAGCAGTGTCTGTAGATGATATGCACATGTAATAGTTACATTATGTGAAAAATGCCGCTTTAATCTCTACAGTATGTCCCATGTAAACAACAATTAGAAACAATGAATAAAAAAACGATTTAAAGAACCTTTGTGAGCTATCTTGTGCACAGATGTGACTACTTTATGTTGAGAAGTCCCATTAAGATAGTTAAATGAATAATCCTATTTCTACTTCCAGGAAGTGCAAATGCCAAGTGTTCTCTGAAAATCATTGAATTTAAACTAGATGATGAGGGAAATGTGAGTGCTGATAAGAGTATCTCCACACACAATATCTACCTTTGGAGCTACTTGTAATGGATCCTATTACCTATAATGTTCTGTTTGTGCAATCACATATTGCTACAGCTTTGAATATTTAATAAAATTGATAATTTAAGAAGTGACATGAGTAAGAGAATTCTTGTTAAATTCTATGGACAGTATTAAGGTGAAAAGGATAATGTCAATGTTATATATTCCACTTTTCAGATCTGTGACGGCATCCTGGAGAAGCACATGTCAGAATCCCTGTGTTCGTTGTTTCCCTGGACTGAGTACATAGTCAGAGTGGGCTGGACCCCCACAGGGAAATAGTAAGTCCAAGTTTTCTTCTTTTTCATGAGATTAAGTTCACATTCAGAACAGTTCATTTAATAAAAGACGTTATCCATACATGTCCACCAGATGGCAGCAACAGTTTGAATATCAGGTAAAGAAATGTATTCTCCGTATGTATATGTACACTTCAATAACAAGCAATTATTGATTCATATATTTATATAATGCCATGTATACATAAAGTATACTGTGCATAACTGGACCTTGTTTGGGACAGGAAATTTTGTTGAAGTATAATAAAATTAAAGTTGGGTAATGTTCATAAAGATAAAACAAATGAAAAAAAAGTTGTTACACAATTTTTTTTTCGAGATCAACAACAATTCCAGTTAAAAAGTTGGTGAGTTATATAGACTACCATACATTACATTATATAAATGCATGCTTAGCAAGCAGCATTTGTAATTATTTTTTAACATTTAAGGTAAGTGGTATACTAAGTCATATCAAACCTTATTTGGATGTGTTTCAGTGTCTGGGCCCAGTTGTTAAGTAGACGACAGCAGCAGTTGGCTCTGGTGTTAATCCCTGTGGATTGTTTTATGGAAATCGGCTGTGATATTGAGATGAAATGCTTCGATGGAAGTTCTTTATCTGCAGTTCAAGTGATTTACCAAGAAACGTCTAACACTTGGGTTAATGTAAGTGATTTGTTAGTGGTAGGCTGTTTTGAATGAATTAATAAAACCAGGTGGTTTTAGTATATGACATTATTCAGTTCTGCCATTGCTTCAATACAGATAGCTTTGATTTTGGGTTTAATTCGTAAGGACTGGTTTTGGTGGATGATCTCAGATGATTTCAGATGCGAATTTAAGCTTAAAGGGATAATAACTCTTCGTATGAAATCTGTATTTCACAATAAAAACATTGTAAATGACTCATAGAAATATAAAATATTCTGTTTTCCCACAAAAATGGCTGTTATAACTATTATTCTGATATCTGAGCTTGTCTTTAGACCACGTGACCTCCATTGATGGCTATACTCTGTTATGAGATTTTAACAAAAAACCAAACTTTTTAGAAAAAAAACAGGGACTAACTTTGAATGTAAAAATGGATTCATTAACCATTGGTAAGTATGGGAAAATTGTTGTTTACTCCAGGAAAATTCATTTTTTGGCCGTAACGAAGAGTTATTATCACTTTAAATGTGAAGGCACAGTAACCTTAAGAATGGTCGATCTTTTTCATTTTTTATCAAGGCTTGTTTGTTTTTCTTCATAATTTGTGGATATTATAATTCAAAGGGCTTGCTTGATTGACTGTTCATTTTGCATTTCTCACACCCAGGTCCACGATATTTTACACTTCTTCCCTGAAGAGAAGTCCCAAGTGTCCTTCATCTGGGCCAGTGAAAAGACAGGACACAGGCACCTGTACCTGGTCACGTCAAAGCTACACCATGGGCAGGAGAATGGTGTGGAGAGGGGAGCCAATGGTATGGTGGATGATCACTCAGGTACAGGGATGATTTCTTGTGTATAATGACACAGTGGCAAGTGATGTGATAATTAATAACAAATGTTGTACATGGCACCTTTCACAAATATCTCAGTGCAAGTTACACAGTGATAAAAAACACTGTGAAACAATGTTTGGGAATCACTTGTTAATTTTATTGAATTTCAAAGGGCCAGAATATGCAGTTTGTTTCATGATTATTCCTTATACTATTGTAAACTTGTGCAATGCTGGAATCATTATACCAATACTGGCTCTATAAATAAGATTTTTTTAGAATTACATACTGACAAATACTGATCAGTTTTGGAAAACAAGCCTTAAAGATGATAATCAATTATTTCTTACCTTTCCAGGCTATTTACAACCAAATAGTGATCTATTTTGAAAAACAAGGCTTTAAGATTACAATCAGTTGTTTCTTACCTTCTCCAGGCTATTTACAACCATGTGTTTTAAGTGCAGTGGCCTTAACCTCTGGAGACTGGGAAGTGATGGGGAAACAGGTAATGTGCAGTGATAATGTGATAATGGCTTGATAATGTGATAAAGACCTGGTAATATGTTAATGACCTGGTCTTGGTGTATATAATGAAGGAGTGCTTATGTGAATTATTGCTGATCATGCACTGAGGATGTTGAAAACTATTGATTATTGATCAGATATGTAAATGGGTGGTATGCAACATTATCTAATGGTCATTCCACAAAAGTGAGTCCTGTTAGAATAATATTTGCATAATTTTAACGATTCTTATTATTTATTCTGCTTCATACTACTGAACCCTCCAATATGGAAAAAATCAACAGCAATGAGAAAGTGATATAAAACATGTACAGTCAATGCAAATACTGCACGAGATGTGTGCATCTCCGACATTACTCAATTGTTCACTTTTTTATCATGATAAGCAAGTAATGGGTTATGTGAACAAGTGATTTTAATGCTGCACTGCTGAACCTGGAAACTGTTGTACAGAATACAAACTTAAAGAGCAAGGCAGTGACTGTTAAGTACTGTACTGAGATGAAAGTAGTAATAATATTTCCTAAAGGTAAGACCAACTTGGCTTGGGGTTCTTTTGGCCAAGGTTAGGTTCTTCTGGACCAAGGCATATAAAATTGTTTTGTTGACATCATACAATTATCTCCAACAGTACAAATACAACTCTCTCTAGGAGCAGCAGTATGCTAACTTTGTTTATTTTCTCTTACTTTTCTGGTTTCAGATCTGGGTTGATGAAATTAACCAAATGGTTTATTTTATGGGATTGATGGATACACCTTTAGAAACTCATTTGTAAGTAAATTAATTTTCATTTAGTGATTGTGTTACTATTCTTTTCTGATGTGTAAAATGTTGTTTTATTCAGCAGTATCTTTCAAAAGTTCTAAGTTTGATAGTTCTAATGATTTATAAACATGGTAAATGATCATCTGGTCTATTTTTACTACATTTCAAAATGAGCAATGCAAAATTTTTTTTGATCACTTGGATGCTTGTGTGCACAAACACATGCACACTCCTTACCTACATGTTTCACAACTGAAATAGATTAGGTACTTACATAGTTAATATATAATGAAGTAGATGCCTAATCTATTTCTTTATATAATGAGTGATAAATCACAAGAATTTCTTTGAAATTATTAACAGTAATAATTCTCTGTTCTCCAGATATGTTGTGCCAATAAATGCTCCAGGTTCTATACGCAGACTGACTGAAAAAGGACACTCACATGCTGTGGGACTAAGTCCAGTAAGTTTTATTGAAATACATTAAAAACTGAAATAAATCTAGAGTACATCACAAAATGTAGGCTGGGTAAAAAAAAAGTGGAGAAAAGAAGAATTATAAAATTATAGAAAGAAAAATGATTGAGATGTTCCTAAGAGAAAATCTCTGGTTTGAATGACTTTAAATTAATATCTGTTCCACATGATATGCCCAAAGTTGTAGGCTGTTTATAGTTTTCTGTCTGAGGATTTTGAATTGTTGAACTGCTTGTATTTCTGCTGATGGTTTACATTATTAGAATTGTATCATAGCTAACAGTTTTCTTCTTATTAACCAGTAAAATATCTTTATATATTTAAATGGGTTTTTAAAGTTATTAAAAAGACAGTAACCGTATAGCATTGCCATTAGAAATCATGGGAAGTATCAAAATTGAAGGGGCTAACTCTGAAATTGATAAAAAAATTCTGTTTATTCCAGGCCAGTGGAATGTTTGTGACAGTGTACAGCAGTATTGACATGCCCCCTTGTGGCCAGTTATTTAACATTGTCCATGATGATATGAGTGGCCAGATCACAGCAGTATCATTGGGGAGCATACTAGAATCACCTTGTAAGTAATAGATGTTCAACTACCAGGATTAGATAGGGATCTTTGGTAAAAATCTACTAAATTAATGATTAGGAAAGTTCTATTGGTTTTATGGAAGATTAAATCAATAAATGTTAAGTCCATAGAATTTTGTTTGTTTTTAGTTTGCAGAGGTTACAAACCTCCAGAAATCTTTAGCTATGACAGTCAGTGTGGCTTCACCATGTATGGCATGCTGTACAAACCTCACAATCTGGAACCAGGCAAGAAGTACCCCACCATGCTGTTTGTTTATGGAGGACCACAAGTTCAGCTTGTCAGTAATGCATTTAAAGGGTTAAGGTAAGATTTTTGTTTAAAATTAACAAGGTGAAAATACATGTTCATATATGTTTACCCCTCAACTTTTGTGTGCCTTGATTGTCTGAATTTGCAGAGGAATCGGGTTGCACCCAATCTACTCATTGCTTAGCTATCACCTGTCTGCCCGGTTGATTGTAACACTTCCATGTTAATAACACAGGAAGAATTATTTGAAACGTAAAAAGGTCTACCTTCATAAAATAGTAGATAAAAAGACATGAACTTACAATTCAAATTTTGAAAGAGATGTGTGAATTTGTTGCACTGTATTTGCCATTTGGTGCATTTTCTCACATATTTTGAAAGCCCCATATACTCTACATGAAATGGCCATTAGAAGATGTTATATTGAAATTGTTGTTTTTTAGATTAATGGTTTTTGCAAATTTGATTCTAGATTTTTACGTCTCCATACGTATGCTTCCATGGGGTATGCTGTGGTTGTGGTGGATGGCAGGGGATCTTCACAGAGGGGGCTGGCTTTTGAGGGTGCAATCAAAGACTGTATGGTAAGGCTCTGTCCTAAAGACACCACCAGGGCACTCGGGGTTCGATATAGATACTTAAATGTGTTATCAAAATGTTTTCAGTTTGGGAGGCACTTCAAAAATATAATAGAGAAATATTCTATTTGAATGAAAAAGTTCATCTGGCTGGTGTTTATATACATTTTATGTACAAGTTAATCCTGCCTCCACTTGACATCAGTCACAAAAATGTGGGGTTTATTTTTTTCACAGGGGAAAGTAGACCATTTTGCAGCTGTGCAAAGCTTAAAGATAAGATTTCTGTGCAATTAACTGTGATGCTAAGATAAGGTACACAGTATGATATCTCAGTTAATTTTCCTTAAAAAATTGAAAAGGAGAGAGGTTTGATAATTCATTTGATTTTGAAGAAGTTCATACATGTAGCTTTGTTGAAAAGTGGTGAGCTATTTTGTTCTAGGGTATAGTGGAAATACAGGACCAGGTGGAAGGCCTCCACCATATAGCTTCACAAGTAGACTACATAGATCTTAACAGAGTGGCAATACATGGATGGTCATATGGTGAGTTATGCTGTATTTCTCTCTCTCTTTCTCTTTATGATAAGGGCCAATTTATTTGAAATATTGTCTAATAATGCCATTATATACTGTGTGATGATGGGGCAGCAGATGTCAATCTGTCACATATTACAGACAGTTAACAAATAAATAATGATTTAATTCACTGAAACAAGTGAATTGATTAAAATTTCTTCACAAAACCAAAAAATGCCAAATCCATTTGATATAGTATAAAAAATATCTTTGATTTCTTACTGATATAAGTTGTCATTGTATTCTAGGTGGATATCTTTCCCTAATGGGACTGGCCCAAAGACCAGATGTGTTCAGGGTAGGTATAATCTTTCATCCATGTGCATAATAAATTATGTGGCTATAATGTGTACTGCTCAATCCATTTCACTAAGAAGTCACAGCCAGCAGTATTAATTTGGTGAAATATGGCCCTGACTGGAACTGTTACAAATGGCAAAAAAGAAAAAGAAACAGGAGTGGGAGAACAAATAGGAAAAATCAGAGGTTCAGAATTAACACAATTGCCATTGTCACAAGTCTTTAGGCATTACACACACATGCACGCATGCACACACACACATGCATCCCCCCCCCCCCCCCAAAAAAAAAAAAAAAATTAATACCACATACATGTTATCACTGACAGGTTGCTATAGCGGGTGCTCCAGTAACCACATGGAATCTTTACGACACTGGCTACACTGAGAGGTACATTGATACTCCACAGAATAACCAGGATGGGTACAAAGATGGCTGTGTTCTGAACTATGTAGAGAAAATACCTTCTGAGTAAGGATACTTGACTTTTTTTAATTCTCTGATATTTGCTCTCGAGTCTTATATATGAATTTTTGTTTCAATAGATATGAACATTGAGTGCAGATTTTGCTCAGTTTCAAATTGGTTGCATAAATGCTTTCTCATCATTCAGGATTATAAGTGCACTAAATGTATTGAATCATATACATCTTTTAATAGGATTTAAAGGCAGCAAGTGTTTAATTTTTGTATCAGAATGTAAACCATAATTACTGTGATAATAAATGCTTCACATGTTTATATGAGAAAATCACCTGAAGTGTGACAAACATTTTTTTCTCTTACAGGGAGAACAGATTGTTGATTGTCCATGGTCAGATAGATGAGAATGTCCATTTTTACCACACTACAATGTTGATTAATGCACTGGTCAAGGCCTGTAAACCCTACCAGTTACAGGTTAGTTACTTAAAGTGCTGTTCACTTGCCAAGACTTCAAATGTATGCTGTACTTGCTTTTTTTTTCCCATGATCAAGTCATCTAAATCATAATGACTCAACTTTATAAATGTTTGGACTTCTCAAAGATAGTCAAATCCATTTTGAAGATTGTAAAGTGAATTCTTACTTTTATTATCAGAAAATTTCACAGATTTGTAAAATTCTGCTTTTAACTTCTATTTCAGGTCTACCCAAATGAGAGGCATGGAATTAGAAACCCTGAGGCCAGCGAGCACTATGAGACTTTAGTGTTGAGTTTTCTACAGCAACATTTATAACACATACACATATATATATAAATATATACATATATATATATATATGTGTATGTGTTATAAATACATACACATACACATATAAATATATACATATATATATATATATATATGTAAGCTCCTAGTCGGCCACTAATACAATTATCCTCTAGCACAACGGGTATTGTGAAAAGTGCAATTAAGAAAACTACTGCAAACTTCCTGGTAGAAGTCAGCCGTTTTCTCCATGCATTTTTGAAAATATTGCAACCATAACTTGTTGCTTGCCACATTATATTGCCACAATATAGGAAGACTTGTGTTCTCACCCTGAGATTATTGGGACATTAGATGCCCCTGCACATCTTGAACTTGATTGTCCTTTAAGGAAGTGTGGTTTCTACCAGTAAAAGAACAATTTCCAGGGAATGTTGGTCTTAAATTACATGAAGATGATATTGATTTTACCCATTTCATTGATTTTAATGAAGTATATATAAATATATATAAATACATACATGACTTATGCTGGAAGTGATGGGAGATAAGAAGGCAGCCAAGCTTCCTGCTTAATACACTTACACCTCAACAGAACCATCCATTGCTGTAATGACTTAGTTTTCATAAGACGGTACTTTTGATAAGCATAGCTGGACAGCAGAAAACTCAGGCCAAATTATTTAAAAAGGACATCTTGCAACTGAAGTTGCAGCTTTTATTCTGCTAGTTCCCATGTTCACAAATGAGGCATTTTGTAATGGGTTGAAATGTTTTCATGTAAAAATTTTAAATTTACTGGCATTTTAGTTTCACTTGAAAAAAATTGTGTCAAAGAGATATTATTTTAAGGCATGCATCTTAGCAGCCAATTTCACCACTTTTGTCTTATAATACTTTTAAATTTTCAGATCTATGCGTCAAACATATCAATCAAACATTACGGGAATAGGAATGAATTTTTTGTACAATAAATGCGGAATTTGTAGAAATTGTATGTTCAGTCCAGTTTTCTTTTCTTTTCCTGAGACTGCCCTAGTTATTGGCCTGCAATTTGAAATCACCTGGCAGTATTGTCTCCCTATCAATAACAGATGTGCATGGTCAATACTCTGACTCCAACAATTAAGGCACAGACACAGGTGGTAACAATACGTACAGACAACTACGGTGCCTGTATAATTAAATGCAGGTCCATGGGTGGGGTTTCCAAAAGAACTCCCCTTTTTTGCTGGGAAAAGGTCCCCTCTGGGTAAAATTTTATCTAAGTACATGAAGGTTTCATGGTAAAAGGTTCACATTAATTTTTCAAAAAAAAAAAAAAAAAGAAAACCCTTTTGAAATTGCTGGCTACAGGCCTGAAATGTTTGAAAGTCTAAGCATACTATTATAAGAAAATTGTGCACTGGCGTCATTCTGTATAGAGACAATGACAAAGAGGAAAAACACATTTTGTCATGTTTATTGCATCAAAGTCCAGATAAAACTAGTGTCTGAATCTATCAGCACAATGAGTTAACAATTATTATGGAAAAAGAATGATTAATCTTGGGGCTTTTGACAATATCACAATAAACTAACTATTCACAATGTTAAAACTTTTGCATAAATGACAAAACTTTAAGCAACAAACTCCACTGCATTGTAATACAGTAAAAGTACATTATAATTACCCAGCTAATCAGTTATGTTCAGTTTCCTATTGTTTTTCACTAAATTATTCATTAGATGTGACACAACATTTCACTGTAATTTGAACACTTACAGTGACTCCCATATAACTGTAATCTAACACTTCTGGTTTCAGTTCCCAAGGTTCACATTTACAATATCACACTCATGGAGTACATATGCTTGGATCAAGACATGTATAGTATAGACCTTATTCTAATTGCTATCCTTCGGCGTCTGTCTCATATATCTGTAACACATACTACTGTAAGTGCCATTTCTAAAGATTGTTTTGCAATATCTCAAGCTTCCTAATTCAGTGAAAAGAGCTGGCTTTCACAACTTTACACTATCAAGCTTTATAACAAGCAATGCCAAACTTTGTGCACTACCACTTGTAAGCTCCAATTCCATAAAGTCCATAAGAATTGTTTAAAATATTAATATTATATAAGGCATCTAAGAAGCAATTTACTAATAAAGATAATGCCTTCTTCTTCTTCCAAATGGTTCTTAGTGATAGGTGGGACAAATCTTTTAAAATGTCATGGAATAATTGCAATTGCAAGTTGCCATGCCTTCACTTTGCCTCAACCTTTCTTTTCATTTTCAGTCACAAACTAAATCTTCCTGAACAATGTTGTTAAAAGTTTTTAAATTTTAATTACTTCACATAACCTCATTCTAATACAAATATATCTCTCAAACACCTGACCTTCAGTTTATTTAATCCTGTGCTTTCTTTTTACCTCCGCCAAGGAGGTTATGTTTTCAATCAATCAATAATCAATAATAAACAAAAATTGCTGCCTTGGCGGAGCTCTGCGCTCTCAGAGTGCTTTTCTAGTAAAGTAAATGATTCCACAAAATTTACTGTCTGCATTTCTATCAAGCTGGTGCTAATTTTCATAATAATTTTTCAACAAAACTATATGATTTAAGTTTGTCTGAGGATAAATTTGATGTGAACTAATTTCAAGGTAAGTTCCTGAAGCAGTTTACCTATAGACTAATCCCAGTGTTTTTCAGAATGACCCACAATAAACCTCTTGGGTTTAAGGATCTTATACTGATGTCAAGAATTTACCAACCCCATACATGGGATCTGGAATCCCACATTAATCACACTAGTTAACAGATTCTACGATGATCCCATTTCTATCCAGATCCCATATTAATCTCATGGTATCAGGGATTCAAAAACTTATTTACAAAGTTTCCTACACTGAAAGGCCGTTTCCATATCCACTACATACTGAATTATCAAATATAACAGTGACTACTCCCAAATGTTTCACACACACGATTCATAGTGTTTGCTCAGGTATGGGGGTGCTGCTTTTGCTTTTAATTGCTTCTTACTCCTAAAAATGGTAAATATAAGATTTTGAAGAGAAGCGTTAAAATAGCACAGCAGTGCAACAAGCCAAATTTAGAAACACACTTTGGACATCTATATGAATGCTATGAAAACTAATATTTGTATATAGTATGACAACTATGGGAAAGAAGTCATATCTGCATTTTTTTCTCTGAAATAAGCATGGAAAAAATTTAGACAACTGTTTAAATCTTGAACATCTGTTACACTGTATTATTCAAATGGTACCACTAGTCATCACATAATGAATAAGCAAAAAAAAAAAAAAAA